TGCGAGAGGCTGGATGCCGCTTTCCAGGCTCTTTCTCCTTCCGCTCGAATAGCGCGGAGCTGCGCTTGATCCCTTCTCTGGAGCGTACCATGGATCACTTTGGGTCTGGCGGGGCAGGCAGGGTCGTGAGCCGCGTGCGGGCCGTTGCAAGTTGGGCATTTGAGGGGGCAGTCACATCCGTTGAGGCCTTCCGTGCCTCCGCAAGGGGCCCGGTGCTCGTCGGTTGTGTGAGTTGCGGAGCTGCACTTCATGCACCTTCTCTTCCGGGTGCATGTGCGTGCATTGTGGAAGCCACCGCAGCGGTGGCATTCAATTGATTTCTTCTCCTTGGGGAGACGTAGATTGATATATACGTTGGCTCCTAGAAGCCTAGTGCGGAGCGGTATCTGCTTTGCCGCGTCTACCTTGAACCAGGCCGTTACCGTGCCTAGTCTTTCCATCTCGTCCTTTTTGGAAAAGTAGGCCTTTTCCGGGCGCCGTTTCGTGGCAAGTCGGATTTCCTCCTCTAGCTCCCCGTTTGTGATTTCCAATTCCGCGTCGGTAATCAGGCAGTGACGAGTGTACGGGACATTGGGGATATATGCTCGAACCCAGGTATCTCTCTGCTCGACGCTATGGGCTTGCAGTAGGGTGGCTATCTGTTCTCTGTTATTTAGCAGGATCTTAGCGCCTTGTACTGAGGATGGGCAGAGGGCTAGTCCTGTTCGGACGTGGTCGACTCCCTTTAGTGCAGTGCGGGCATTTCCTGGCAGCTTTTCACGGAGAAAAGCGCATATATCGTAGGCTCTCTCCCTGCGGGAATGATTATCTTCATGCATCCGGGCGAAAATCCGTAGGTCTTTCGTGGGCAGTTTCTTTGGTGGCGTCGCGGTGACATTTAGGCTGTGGGCCGGCGTGCTACTCAGTTGCCTTGCAACCGCTGCGTATGTGCGGGCTGGTGTTGATTGTACTGTCGGGTCGACCTCTATTGGGGTTCCGAGAGGCTTTCTAGCAGTTGTGTCTTGGGTTGTTCGAGTGGCATGTCGAGATTGTGCGAGTTGTGAGGTGCGGCAGTCTGGTTGCCCACGATCCTCGCGCATCCTTTTCACCTCCTGTTCGAGGGATTCTATTTTGGCCTTGTATGCCTCGAGAGTCTTTTGTCTGTCGGCGTCCTTTTGTTGTAGCTCTTTTGCAAGCCGAGCGAACTTCTTGGTGGCTTCGTGGATCACGTCCTTTGCGATATCTCGAGCCACGTCTTCCAAATTTTCGCGGGCTTTAGCGGTGAGTCTCCGGGGTCGCCTCGATAGCCGCGAGGCCACTGAGTCCTCGAGCTCATTGTTATTGAGGTTGAAGTTTATGATTCCTTCCATGCAGTACGTTTTTCTCAAGCTTGGGGGTTGACCTAGATCAGTGAAGGAGAAGGCCAAAGCGGCCTGTGAGCATCCACCCAAGACACAACACCCGGCCTCATTCGCACATATAAAGAGAATCGCGAGATCCTACACTTGGAAGAGTTTCAACGATCGATGGGCCACTACCTGCCCTCAACAGTATCGAGATCTAGGGATCGCTATCCACCCGCGACCCCCCGAACTTGGCCTGCCCCGGCAACACCTAGGCAGATTACTCGCAGCGAGGTCGCACCACGGGGATTTCGTGACCTACCACGAGAGACTCCAGCATCGCGACGCACTGCTCAACTGCGGGTGTGGAAAGACAAAGACACCAGTCCACTTCTACTTTTGCAAGCGCGGCCGCAAGGCCACGCCCGGTCATCTAAAAGCGCATATGGCCAAGAATAGTATAGATTCCCTCCTAGGCACGGCCAAGGGAGCTCGTTTGTTTTGTCAATGGGCGGAGGAGACCAATTTCTTTACTGAGATCTGCCCATCGCACTGAACAGGAATGTTAGATGAAGACAGTCCCCTGTAACATAGATTCGACTAGCATAGACCATGCCGGCACTGCGCCCGGCACGTCTCACGTGATGAGACGTTAAATTTCAATCAATCAGTGAAGGAGAGATGGTTATATAAAGGACAGGACTCCCAGGCATTTCATAGATAGACAGTCTCTACTTCAGTGATCAATCTAAGCATCAATCTAACCCATTGGTGAGGCAAACTGCCTTGACGACTCTATTCCCAGTTACCCTACTTGAACACTTCAGTTACCCAGAGCCCTATACTCCATACTTCAGACCCCGATATTATTGCTAAAGGACTCCGCAGCAGGACTTACTTACTAGCACAAACCCTTACAGACTCTTTAGTGGTTTACGCAGCTAGACTATTAGAGCTTTCGTTACACGACTCTATTCCCGACTACCCTACTTGAATACTTCAGTTACCCAAAGCACTCTACTCCATACGTCAAACCCCGATATTATTGCTTGAGGACTCCGCAGCAGGACTTACTTACTAGCACAAACCCTTACAGACTCTTTAGTGGTTTACGCAGCTAGACTATCAGAGGTTTCGTTACAGGGGGCCAGGGAGGACTCCTCTATTTTCTTCACTTCAAAAGGGGGACGGAGGTTATAGACGACTTTCAACAATTCGTCACCTTTCATGATCTCATTCAATCATCATCTTCACTTTCATTTTCTATTCGAGTTAGTCAGTCCTTCAATTATTCGGTTCATCTTTACGTGCATTCAGACACTACTGTAACGAAACCTCTGATAGTCTAGCTGCGTAAACCACTAAAGAGTCTGTAAGGGTTTGTGCTAGTAAGTAAGTCCTGCTGCGGAGTCCTCAAGCAATAATATCGGGGTTTGACGTATGGAATGTGACGGTTGTCACGTGACTGACCCACACTTGTCTGAACAGATTGATAAATAGTTGCAGATACCAAAGTCAGGGACTTTGGTATTGGTCTCTTTTGGTGAAGACATCTGGTACGGTAGCGTAGTGGCAAGGATTGCAACCCCTGGCGCGGCGTGACATGGAGTATGTGAAGGTCAACCCTCGCAGACTCACTACAACCAGGTGACTTACAGCTGGAACACCTGCCGTGGCAGTGCCAGATAGGAAGCCAATCATAACCCCTGTAGGAGCCCCGCCAAGCGTGGACGACTTAGTCGCGCTCCCTCAAACCTAAGTTGTCATCTTCTTTCCTTCGCTCCTTAGAGTAGAATCTTCGTCGATAGCACCTAATCGAGGTCTCTACCAATGCGATGCAACCCAGGTCGTGACAGAGTAGAGTGCTTTGGGTGACTGAAGTATTCAAGTAGGGTAATCGGGAATAGAGTCGTTAAGGCAGTTTGCCTCACCAATGGGTTAGATTGATGCTTAGATTGATCACTGAAGTAGAGACTGTCTATCTATGAAATGCCTGGGAGCCCTGTCCCTTATATACCCATCTCTCCTTCACTGATCCCCACTTGTATATGTTGGTTGTCCAACATATCCACCCCTATAGGTCACGCGACCTGTCGGTCCTTTCCTTCCTCCGATGCGGGGTCCCGTGATCCTAGCGTCTGTATCCACCTGGCCTGCCGACGGGCCTGTAATGTTGGTTCAGGGCCAACGGTTCGTAACAACTACTTTCGAAGTCCTATTCTTCTGCTCTCATCTTAGCCTTGACAACTACAGGAGCCTTCAGCTTTCTCTGATCAGACGAATCTAGTGCTAGTAACAGCTTCAATTCAACTCCCGGAGCCAGGCATCTTGTTCTGTGAATTGTCCCGTCGCAGAGGCACATCCGACCAACTTTGGGATCTGATGGTACTGGAGCCGTCTATTCAGTGTGTTAGGTGGTAGGTATATTCTACTGACCGCCTGACCCCGTTTCAATAGCTAAGTTGGTGGTGAGCACTAACTTAGGTTAGTGAGCTTAAGCGAATCCAAAATAAGTGGGGCGTGGCACGGGTAATTGCTTATTATTGGACTAATTGGGCAAAGTGTATTGTATTGAAATGTGGCCAGAAGGGCCTTATATAGGTAGAGTTGAACGATGCCTGCTTCGCAAGCAGAAATTATGTGGTACGTTGGCTGATGGTCACATTGGCTCATAATGTACGGTAGGTCGTCGTGTGTGCTCCCATACTGGCAATTCGGTGTAATGACCTTGAAGGTCCATCACTTATCCCAGTAAACACCAGACGGAGTCCCTCAACTCATTGACGTCACGGGCAGTTTTCACAAAGTACGGCACTTGGAATACACGAATATATCCGTTTTCCAGGTTTGCTGTGGACTTTTGTGTAATTTGCTACGAACAAACACTGTTATCAGTAGTAGGAAGATATACATTCTCTCCAGTTAGCCGTAGCCGAGGTCGGATTTTCGTATTTCCTTTTCGAACGCAGACCAACACCTCCATCCTATTCAACACCCTGGGATAAGCCCGACGATAGTATCTCGGCCGCGTCGTTGGTGCACTGCTTAGACCCCGTTCGTACTCTGATTTCGCGTATCATGTCAACGTTGACCCTATCGGTGACTTTACCGGTTTTCCCCTATTCCCAGTACTGCTCACTGCTTGACCAACGGTTTCCATCCGAACAAGCCGTATCCGAAGGATAATCACACAATTATCATCGATTGGATCAAGAATAGTGTTGTGCCTGAAACTATAAACGCTTCGGTTTCGACCGGTACGTCCGTTGATGACGATCAGGTGACGATGAGCCGAATTATGCTTGGCCCCCCTGAGACTGTTCAGGGGGGGTAATGGCACCCGTATGGACTGTCAGTATGATCAGGCTTCTATTGATAGCAGCGCTTGCGCGTTCCCTGCTTTCAAGATTACTGCGTGCTAAGCACGGCGTTCATAGCTTGCGAAGGTTGCTGGCTACAATTAAGCAAATTGAAGGAACGGAGACTACTTGTAGTACCGAAAGGGGTTCCATCTCCTGAATTCCTGCATACGAAACTTACTATGTAATTATATCGACTTCTACGGGCCCCCGAGGTTTCCTGTACATAAACAACGATGCATATACTTGATTAAACTCCATAGTCACGCAGCTGGACAACACTGTACCACCTGTCACTGTCGCATTTACGAATCATTAACTCGTCTTTAAACTCATTGTACATTCGTTAGTCTCATTGCGTTGCGACGGTTGAATATCGTCAACGACATCCTTTTTGTCCTATTGGTAGGACTCTTCTAGACACTAGCCCGAGCTGATTCAGCGGCAAGTATTCTAGTTTGCCACATCCCTGGAACAGCATCGTCAGTCTTATCACTCAACGTGCCTGTGTCGCTGCCCGGGTCAGTTCCGCGCGATGCCGGCTTTGACCACATCTTAAGGGACCTCCTACGCGACTTCAGGGGCGTGCCTCCAATTGTCCTCAGAACGTTGGTAAGGTGTGCCAGTGGCATCTCGTCCGAACCTGCATTATTGCTGCGTGTTGATATTGCTTCTTTGAGTAGTGCGCGAAACACGGGCAGCGATGCTGCGATGATGGCGGTGGCTGTCTCTACGGCCGTCCAAATAGCCAGGTCTTTCCCGTTGACTAGTCCGATGTTAACACATGATCCCCATCGTGCCGGCAAACATGTTCCATGGTTAGGCTTACAGTAAAAGTCCTGCTGTCGTAACTCCACCATGTACACGCCCTTTACAATCGCACAGACACCAGAGCTTTTGGTCAATCAGCCAACCTCTACCAACAATCAAAGGAAACAAACTAACAGTATTCCCAACGACATAGCAATCCCAACCCCAATCTTCTCCTTGGTCCTCATCTGCAATTTCCAAATCAATTTCCATGGCAGCAGTGCCAAAGCAAAATCCATCACGGCGCACCAAGCCGCATTGAAAATGCCATAATTGACTGGAATGGACGCATCCAAACACCTTCCCGCCACATACGTGTTCCACACCTTTTCTATAGGCGTGCACTGGATCCAAGTCAACAGCGCACTAGGTATCATAACCATAAAGAGTGTCACAATGGCGAACCAAACGAAAACCTCGCAATACCCCTCTGTGAGGCGGAGGAGGCTGATCCCCCACGAGATCTTACTCCCCGTGGATGCGAAGCAGGAGATTGAAGCGCCGATTGAGGTATACAGGGCAATGGTGAGGAGATTGGCGGATGGGATGTTGTAGTAGTGCTTGCCGAAGCCGAGGTTGGTGCCGAGTTGGGTTATGATGGATTCAATGAAGAACATGGTCTGCTGGAGTTGAGTGTTTGATTCTGGGAAACTTGATGAACGTGGATATGGATCGGGAGGGCTTACCCAGGAGAAGATCAGCACGTAGTCATCCCACCACAGCCACTGGTGTCTGCTGATCTTTGCGTACAGACGAATCGTTAGAAAGCCGCCACAGAAGAAGCAAAGCCACCAAGTGACGCCGATAATGAAAGGGCCATTGTTTGGGACTTCGGAGGCCATATCCTAAAGTCGACTTGTCGCCTGAAAGATTGAGAAAGTAGTAATGGGCACATGGAGCACATCTGTATGCCAGGTGTAAGACGCAAGTTCTCGAGAGGAAATTATATGACCCTGGCAGTGGGAGCGTAGTAGGGTGAAGTGGAACAATAACGCACCATCATGATGGCATCTAGCGGGGGTGGAGCTCGCAACCTTAAGAATGGATGTGCTTTTATGATTCGACTGATTGCCCGGTCGACGACGAGCTTAATACTAGGAACACCATTGAAAATTCTGGAACTTATCATGCCGCGATCTGACCGAGACTTTGGCCCGACAATTCTAGAGCGGTATGACCAATCAATCATCGCCTCGAAACAGCACCGTGCTCCCCGGGGAAAAACACAAAACATCCCCATTCTGGGATCAAGGGAGTAATGCTAGTGGGCATGCATGAACATGGACAGGAACTTGAACATTGGAGAGTCCAGCTCCCCGAGTGTGGCCTCAGCTCAGCTCATAAGGAAAATTTACGTTATCTTCTAAACAGATTGCAAACAGACTGGGGAGATGATTAAAACTTGGTAATATCGGTCATTGTTGTGTGAGGGCGCAAGTGAGGGTAAGACATTAACGGCCAAGGCCATGTTTAAGTAATCTGCAATACTGATGGATAGATCTAGATAAGCACTAGGTACTAGGCTATCACATCATGGCACCGAGGTAAAATCTTGCGGTGAAGGAGTTTCACTGCATGCATTCGAATCCTACTCAGTTGTGAGATATAACAACTTTCTCTAACGTCACCCACAGGTCAATGCCCCACACGGGTCTTTGCCCAACTTTTCACGACCTCCCAACCTGTAATCTTAGATAGATCAACTACAACCCGTATTCATCCAAGAAATTAATCAGTATTCTTTTCATTATCTGTTTCTACTTCTGCCTGACAAGTTCGCGCATTATGTCCAGTTCCTCTGCAAATGCCACAGCGCCTAGCACCCGTTGCCCTCCTCCTTGTAGGACGACTGCTTTCACCCTCTTCCTCACTTTCCAAACCCGTATCACCCCTAATAGCCCGTAGAACTTGTGCATCTTCTATATTAAGTGGCCCACCATACTGGATTTGCTTGTTTTTGGTTCTGCGACGTTTGCTTAGCACATGGTTAGTCTCACGAAGCTCTTCGTTCTCGCGACGCAAGATAACATTCTCTTGCATCATTGCATGCGTAGCCTTTGCAATCGAGTCAATTGAATAAAGAATATGCGTCGGAGAGCTGTCTTGATGCCTCTGAACGCTATTCTTAATCAACGTTGACTGCGATTCGGCTTCAAGGGTGGTAGTAGGTGTCTTAGAAGTCCAAATAGGGGGTAGGAGTTCTGGGTCGGCAGAGGGTGTACGCGCGACTTCTGCGACATCCAGGGCAGATATAACCATGTCGGGGTCAAAAGGGACAATTCCAGCTGCTTCAAAACTAGATCTGATGTTTTGTTCAGTAAAAGCAGCGCCAAGCGCCTCCAAAAAACCGGTAAGGAAATCCTCCTTCGCAACGTGGGTATGATGCCGTCGCATCAAATCCTCAACAAACACACCGTACGCCCGTTTCAAAACACTAAAAGGCACCAAGTCGAGAGGCTGGAGCTTATGGGACGAATGGGCAGGCATAGGAAGGGTAATGATGCCATGGTCCTTGCAGTATTGTTCGAAATCCATCGAGTGATGGCTTTCGTGACCGTCAAGGATCAGGAGGCGTTTGACACCCTTCGTACGATCGCGTGTGTGCAGATCAAAGTGAGCTGCCCAGTTGAGACCAATATCATTCATTGTCCATCCGTTGTGGGATAGATCAACGACCCAATTGCCCGGTAATGTGGTGTCGCGATACCACGAAGCGAGGTGAACTTTGGCCGCGAAGATGATGTACGGCGGCACCGCCCAGCCTTGGGAATTGGCCGCCTGAATGACAGTAACCCATTCCCTATTGCTTTGCTGGGCTTGCCTAGGCCTTCCACGTCTTTCGGTACTCATAACGACCATGCCGGTTGAGATCATGCCCATTAAAAAGCCCGTCTCGTCAAAGTTGTAGATATCCTCCGGCTGGATGCCGTGCTTCGCTATTGTGTCCGCAACACGCTTAAAATAACCGCGATACGCGACAGGATCTTCGAAGAATGCCCGATGGTAATCGATTCGACGATTTAAACGCGTCCGGAGGTCTGGTTGTCGCCGTACGAAGCTCGAGGCCCAGTTCTTGCCGACGGGTGACGCGTCGCGGTCGCGTCGGAGGATATTCGCCATTTCTTCAACGTATCGAAGTCGGGGAGGAAAAGTTCGCGAATCTAGCTCAATTACGCGTCGGATAATCGTATTCTCTTCGGTTTCGGTCATTTTCCTTTTGGACATGTTAGTAATGTGTAATGGTTGTACGCCTTCGTAACGGCGCTTCAATGTCTTATGGTCGACTTTGAAGATTTTACCAAGCTTGTTCCAACTTAGGTGAGGATCGCGTCGTTTAGTTTGGATGACTAATTGAAGATTAGAATCACTAGATTTGCGTGCCATGTTGTGGAAGGGAAGAATTGTATAAGTAAAGATAGAAAGTCAAGATTTCTTGAAAAGTTGGGCAAAGACCCGTGTGGGGCAATGACCTGTGAGTGACGTTATATATTTCCCAATTTAAGTTAGGCTGGCTGCTTCCTTTTCAGATATAACCGTAAGTTTATCTCAATTCGGTGATTAGCAACTTTATCAAGCTTTCAAGCATAAGCTGAGATTTCCAGTGTTCAACTGTCCATTTGGTGCTCGAATCTTGGCTATAACGTCCCACACCCACATCCGGGACACCCAAAAATGCCTCAACACCGCTAGCCTCTAACTTCAACCTCTTTTTTTCTTTACCAATATCGATTTAATCGTTACGAAATTTTTACGTACGTCTTCTTTACACTAATATGAGTCAATATACCGAAGATGATATTTATCGAGCTCTTCAAGCAATAGCTACCGGTCAAAGCCTCCGAAAAGCAGCATATGAGCATGGTGTCCCAAGGTCTACTCTTTCACGACGGATTCAGGGAGCCCAGTCAAGAGATATAGCCTTCGCTGATTACCAGAGGCTCTCTCCAGCCCAGAAATATCATCTGGCTGAATGGGTTCGAATCCAGGCTGCCCTAGGCCTCCCACCAACCCATCAACAGCTCAAAGACTTCGCCGAGCGTATCCTACAGATCCACGGAGACACCGAACCACTTGGAAAGAACTGGGTCCAGGCTTTTATCAAGAGGAACCCTTCAGTCAAGGTCCATAGAAGCAGAGCTATCGATTCCCAGCGTATTAATGGAGCCTCAGCTAAAGTGATCAGGCAATGGTTCAAATATCTCGCTATCCCTGAGATCAAAGCTATTAAGGCCTCGAATCGATACAATATGGATGAGACAGGTATTCTAGAAGGTAGAGGATCAAATGGTCTTGTTCTAGGATCATCTGAGACTCGTTCTATACGGAAGAAACAGTCTGGATCTCGAGCTTGGACATCTCTTATAGAGTGTATCTCTGCGACTGGTACTGCACTACCCCCACTTGTGATATACAATGGGAAGTCTGTCCAGCAGCAGTGGTTTCCTCTGGACTTGACTCCATACGAAGCCTGGAGGTTTACAGCAACAGAGAATGGGTGGACGTCAGACTCTACGGCTATTGAGTGGCTACAAAGATCTTTATTCCTTTGACTCAACCAGAGGACCCTGAAGAGACTAGGTTACTTATCCTAGATGGGCATAGTAGCCACGAAACGACAGAGTTTATGTACCTCTGCTTCGTAAACAAGATACAATTGCTTTTCTTGCCGCCACACACATCCCACGTTCTCCAGCCTCTCGATCAGTCAGTCTTTGGACCCCTTAAGGCAGCCTATAAGAAGGAGCTTGGTTACCTTGACCGATGGGATACTACTACTGTCGTAGGGAAGAGAAACTTTCTCCTCTGCTATAGAAAGGCACGTCTAGCAGCATTGACCGCTAAGAACATTATGAGTGGATGGAAATATACTGGTCTCTGGCCTTCGAGCATAGCTAGACCCCTTATGAGCCCCCTGCTCCTTGAGAATACGTCAGCACCAATCAGACAGCCTAGTCAGACTTGCAAAGGGTATTCTGATAGTAAGGGTAGTCAGGACTGGGCGTTAGAGACATCAGCAGTAGCCTGGTCAACACCTGAGAGGAGAGATGAGCTCCAAGATCAACTCAGCTTATTCAGCAAGCTTGATAGTGATCCAAATACCCAGCGGCTACTCTTTCGGAAAGTTCAAAAGGGCTTTGATGAGAAGGACTACCAATTAGCTGTCGCACGCCGAAATATTGAGGCAATAGAGGCAGAGCTTGAGGTTAGTAGGGCTAGGAAGCGGAGGAAGGTCAAGATGAGCCCAAATTCGAAGTTTACTAATATCAAGGCTATTCGGAAGGCTCAAATCGAGGCTGGGGAAACTGAGGATAGTACAGATGAGTCTAGCGAGTCTGAAAACCCTAGTGACGGTGAAAGCTGTATTGTAGTCGCATTAGAATAAGTGTGAAAAAAGGTTGAAGTTAATGGTTATAATATACAGCGTCATTTTTAGGGCGTCCCACATCTGGGGGTGTCCCGGATGTAGGTGTGGGACGTTAAGTTGTCTTCTACATGATAATCGAGTTGTCAAATTTATCAGGTGTGCTGCCAAAATATCTCGGTTTACTTTAAGAGAAATAATCTGCACATACCTACTGTTAATCTTACATACGTCTGATGAATTCCCTATTCGTTATCTGATCCCCTTCATTCAAAATTGGTAGTCGTTCACATTCCTATTAACCCCCATTATAGGTTCTACTATTGTTTCTGCTAGTTCTAAGCCTACTTACTGAAGCGTGGTGACTAGCTGTCCGGGAAAACACGGCCTACATCCGGCTTAGACTCTGAAGTACCACGAAAGGGCTGTCCGTTTATATTTCAAGCACAGCTTCACTGTTATCGACCAAAATAAGTCCCATCCTAATTTCGGTGTTGATGTGAACTCATCATGAGCAAAGACCTACCCGTAGGCACCTCCATCAACACCCTCTCCCCCAGCGAGGTCTTCTAGCATGCCAGTCTTGAGAAGTCCGTTGATGCCACCGCGTCTTAGTCAAATGCAAAATCATTGGACAAAGTCAATATCAGCGGCACATAACACTGAGGAGCAGACACTGCGTTTGTTGGATGAGTTTATTAACTTCAAAGGTCCTCAGATACTTTGTTCAACATGTCCATCTACCCGACGGTGCTAACATAGATACGGAGGGTGTGCGTACTAAAGTTGAGGAGAACATGACCGGGCCGACGGAAGGGGAGCACACGGCCACACAAGGGAATTCAGACTAAGGCTGGTAGATTGAGGGTCTATGTTTTGCGAGATCGTCACTGGAAATGTATTTGTATATCATTATGATTGCTTCATTACTGAGAATTGGAGAAGGAATACGATGGGGGACCGATCTCGTTGGAAAGAGGCATGGTAATGAGTATACACCTGCACGGCATGGGTCACTAGTATTTAGACGAGCGTCATGATCTGCGAATATGTCACTTTCCGGTTTGAAGTCTCTTACGACTGTACATGAGCGGCGGTTACTGTCTCTGTGGGAAATTTAGGCAAGGGAGCTGTATTGGTGATGATGGTGGGACTTGATAACGTGACGTAGCTAACATCATTCCTCAAGACTTGCAGAATACAGCGTTTATATAATGATTGCTTTCTATATAACAGGAATTGAGTCTTGGGTAGCTGCCCCCGGCAAGGAACTTTATGAGCCGGTGAATATGATTATAGTTAACAGGAAAGACAAACGAAATATGCCTTTTATAGTCGTTGAGATAGATAGGTCGTCTCATTACTTGATATGGCACCTGGAATCCATAATATCACCGTACTAAAGTCACAAAGGATGTAGTTTTATATAAAAGTGCCTTTTAATTGCCCAGGCTAAAAGAGCCTGCTTTTGTTTCATTCTTCATTTTGACACCTTGCTTGATCCACTTCGTTGTCTAGCCGAGTGTCCACAGATTCAGTAGGGTTTGATTAGTGCAATTAATTGTCAGTCCTTGACACCAATGTGCGTACCAGGAGATTATACAAGATGGATGGATTTATCGTGGGTTAATAAACTGGATTCCTAGAGACGGGAGTGAATAATGACTTCACCATGATTAAGACGCTGTCTCAAAGCAACTGGCAGAGACGCCCGCCTCAGGCGTCATGGCCCTGGGTTATCGCAATTTCGACAGCACCAAAGCCAATGAAACTTGATATAATGCGACCTATGTCGTATTCAATCATCAGGGATATCACAGAAGAACCAAAAGAACCCCCAAACGCCTCCTCCTTCCTCTCAACCCCCCCCCAACAGACCCTCCGCATTTACATTGCTCACGATACAACTTGCGAAGACAGTTCACCAGAAGGAAGCATGCTTGTGGTGCAGGATATGACATTGCGCCAACGCCAGAAGAAAGGTAATTTAGGCGGTGGCATTTCCTGATTGATGAACATACTTTCAGATACGCATAATGAACCCATGTGATAAAATGGCGCCTTGCCATAGTATAATAGTGAAGTGGGCAAAACGATTCCTAACAAGATGGTCCACATCTGCGCTCTTAAAATATATAACGTCAACATATGCATCTCCGATCTAGTATACACCCGGTAACTGGCTCAACCTGCCCCCATCCGTAACCATAGCCTCTCCATTCAAATACGCCCCCGCCCGACTGACCATGAACAACACCGTTCCAGCGAAATCCTCTTCGCTCCCTGTCCTCTCCGCAGGTGATCGATCCGGCTCCATCCAATGCGCCCCCCCAAACGCTCCCGGGTGTCCCTCCACACCCTTGTACTTCTCCAGTTTCCCAATCTGGCCCGCTGTCAACTCACTCGGATACAAACCCGGCGCAATCACATTAGCCCGTATGTGGAACTCGTTCTGCGCGAAGTACGTCGACAGCATCTTCACTAGGTGCGTGACGGCCGCTTTCGAGGTACTGTAAGCAAAGCTGGAGGCTAGGTAACGGCTGAAGCCCGCTACAGAAGACGTGACGAGGATCTGCGAGTCTTGCGGGATATTGCGGCGCTTATTCCCTTCATCCAGTAGATCCAGAAACGCGACAGCCGTGTAGAAGACGGCAGTGTTATTGACGTGCACCGTCTTGGTAAAATCATCAGGGTCCGGCTCAAACACAGCTTTCTGGAAGTCCTGCACAGTAGGCTTGCTTCCATTGGCCTGGTTTGACACCAGGGAAGCGTGCGGTGGCCCACCTATGCCGGCATTGGCGAAGAGCAGATTGATGAAGCCCTGTTCCTTGCGGACCTGGTCGGCTACTTTGGTGAGGGACTCTTTGCTGGTGACGTCGCCGACGATGGGCTTTATCGTGCCGTTGACCGCTGTTTTGGCGGCTTCTTTGAGAGTTTCTTCGCGTCGACCGACGATGTAGACGGCTTTTGCACCGTTGGCATCGAGGGCGCGGGCTGCGTAGAGGCCGAGGCCACTACCGCCGCCTGTAACTACAGCTACGAGGCCGTTGACATTGAATAGGTCCTGGGCTTTGTTGGTTGCCATGTTTGAAATACTGGTGTGATCAAGTGGGATGGGTTGTCAATGAAATAATCGAGGCTGTACCCGTCTCTTATGCTAATAGTCACTTGGTGTCAGACCAACGACTTGACGATATGTTTTCAAAACTGGTCAGGAGCGGGGGTAAGTGTGGATGACGTGACTGCGTTTGGTAATGGGATGATTAAATGATGTAGACGTCTGCACATTGTTACTAATGCAGCTGGTAAGCTCTTGCCGATATCTTCCCGATGAACTGGCCACTTCTTGCATCACCTCCACAGTCTCAATTAAGCTCTAAACAGCAGCTCATTCCAGACTCACTAAGGTACAGTTTGTCAAAGATTACCTCAATAGAACTGGACTACTTGGGAAATTGATCAAGTAGAGCTTTTTCTCCACGGGTTTTCTGGTCCTTAAGTCCGGAAAGTTCCGTTGAATTTAAGAAGCAAACTGATTGTTCCAAAATACACAAAGGTATGTTTTGGTCGAATAGGGATATTGTGACCTATGAGCATCCGATATTGGTAAACCAGGTAAGTAACTGGCTGCGCTTGAAGACTTGCTCCTGCCCTCCAGTGCCCTTTGAAATTCCTTATCCAATTTGCCCCTATCGAATAGTACTTACTGAATACACTCGAAAAAGACAAAGAACCTCATCCAGATGCTCTTTTCGACACAAGACCACCAAATGAAGAGCACATCCACTTGATTTCCTCATCTCACTCCTTTTCAGTAGAAGAGTAGTGATGAAAGTGAGGCAAAACACGTCTCGGCTGTCCCAAGCTTTCGCCACATATTAATAGGGGGTGAATATATGAAACACCTGCTTCTGCAAACTGTTACACAAATACAGACCACTATTCATCCTCGTTCCTATCATGTCGTACAAGCCCTCGCCCCGTCCGCCACCAGAAAGTCAAAATCAACCCCATCCTCCGCCTGATTAACACACCGTTCATACAACCCCCTATAACCCCTCGTCGGCTGTCTCTTCCTTTCCGACGGGCCTCTACTCTCCTTTGTCCCCTCTAGTCTCGGCTTCCGATCCGCTATCCTTCTTTGGATTTCTTGCTCACTAAGTTCAATCTCCAACACCCGCTTCTCCACATCGCACACTATCATATCCCCATTCTGGACAATACCTAACACGCTCTCGGGCAGCGCCGCTTCTGGCGAAATGTGCAGCACGATGCTTCCCCCAGCGGTGCCGGACATGCGCCCATCTGATAACCGGAGCATGTCTTTGACCCCCTGAGCGGCCAGCTTGCGCGGAATAGGAACCAATCCCGCCTCCGGCATACCTGGGTTTAGGAATCCAATTGGACCAATTCCCTGCAGGATCAAAACAGAATCCGCGTCAACGTCGAGATCTGGGTCATCGATGCGATTCGCGAGGTCAGCTGGGCCGGCAAATACGACGGCGCGGCCGCGGTGGCTGAGCAGGTGGCGGTACTTGCTCGCACTGGCCTTGATGACTGCGCCGTTGGGGGCTAGGTTGCCCCTGAGCACGCATAGACTGGAAGCTGGGTGAAGAGGATCGTCTAGAGATCGGATGATTTGTCTCGAAAAGGGGAAGGGGCGAAAAGGGTCAGCGTCTAGGACCTCGCCTAGTGTCTGCCCGGATATTGTCAGGGCTTCTAGCTTGAGTAAAGGACGCAGGGTCTGCATGAGTGCGGACATGCCGCCGGCGTTGTGCAGGTCCGTCATGTAGCTACTTCCGCTGGGCTTGAGGTCTACCAGTAGAGGTGTTTTCCTGCCTAGGTCCTCAAGTGTCTGGAGAGTGATCTTGCCTTGGACTTCGGGGTGCCGATTGGCAATGGCGAGGAGGTGCACGACGCCGTTTGTGGAACCGCCGATAGCTTGGAGGACAGTGATGGCGTTGTGGAAGGAAGCCTCGGAGAGGATATGCTGTGGGGTGCGTTTGGAGATGGCGGCTTCGACGGCGTTGGAGCCCGTTTGTTCGGCTATGCGGAGACGGGCACTGGAGACTGCAGGTGCGGTGGCGCCGCCGCGTAGGGGAATCAGGCCCAGTGCTGCGGTTAGGCAGGCCATGGTGCTGGCTGTGCCCATGACCCCGCAAGTTCCAGCCTATAGGTATCCTTTAGTAGAGATAAATTCGCGTATAGCAATCAGAACTGACTGTTGGTGCTAGTTCTTCGTTCAATCCAGAAATGTCCTCAACGTCAATCTCATTGCCACGATACGCCGCCCAATTATTTCGACAGTCAGTGCAAGCACCTATCCGGTCTCCCCTGAAACTACCTGGCATCATGGGCCCTGTAATCAGAGGAAGAACTGGCTTATTGGCAGAAATGCCGCCCATTATCTGTGCCGGCACCGTCTTATCACACCCTTTTCTTGATAAGCGGCTGTACCAAGCTCATGTATTCAATGATAGACATAGACAAGGTCTCACCTCCAATCATGATACACGCATCTACAGGCTGCGCCTTAATCATCTCCTCCGTGTCCATGCTCATTAGGTTCCGTAGGAACATGCTCGTAGGCGTTGAAAAAGACTCATGGATACTGATGGTGGGGAACTCGAGGGCCAGCCCACCGCTAAGCTGCACCCCTCTCTTGGCCGCCTCGATGAGCTGCGGAACATTGGCATGACACGGATTGAACGCCGAAAAGGTGTTAATGATGCCAATAATGGGTCGTGATAGCGCGTCTTCGCTGTACCCGAGGGCTTTGATGAACACTTTGCGCAGGAAGAGTGCGAAGTGCGGATCGCCATAGTTTGGCAGGCCCTGGGGTTGAAGTAAGTTAGTAAGTATTTTAGATTAACTGTCATGAATTGAAGACCCTTGAGAAGAGGGGTCTTGTTTTCGTACCTGTCTCATGCCCGTAATGGGCCGAATAGGTCGAGTGAGATCATAATCAACCAAGTGTTCTGGAATCAAGACTGCGCCCTGGCTTTCATCACCATCCCTACTTGTAGTCGATTTTGTATCTTGTTCCATTTTGCAATATTCCGTATGAGTGAATGAGCGATTGATTGAGTGACATGTATATTCAAATCATCGTTCGGCACCTTCTCCGAATGCATGTCATTGCTGGGAAATAAGTCAAACTTGATTGGTTCTATTAACCTAGGTTGCACCACCGGGGCATGTCCGTGAGTGGCGGAGTTGAATCTGCCGAGCTCTTTTGTCTGACGGAGCACTATCCGTCAGACACTAGATGATGGGGAGACATCAAGAGGGGGCAAGATTCTATGTTAGTCGCGAGACATCGACACGGGATAATAATAGACAGATGGCATTGATCTTCTATTGGTACTCTGTATAAATTGTCACCAGTTTTAGACTATTCTCCCACCTTGTTTCGCCTCGACGGAAAGATTGTCCTCATCACCGGCCTGGGTCAATCAATCACGAATGGTTGGGGCATCGGCTCAACCAATGTTGTTGTCTTGGCGCGGCAAGGGGCCAACATCTTCGGTGGAAATCGCACTCGCGATGTGCACTGTCAATAAAGAGCGTTTCGAGGAGGGCGTAATATGCGATGTGGTTCAGATGGATGCAACGCCTTCTGTGTTTGTGAAGGTAAGTACCTGGTGCCGTTTTCTCGAGTCTTAGGGCGAGGATACAAAAAACTTAAGGTTGCATATGACGATACGGCTTCGTCGAATGCATGGCGAAACATAAGCTAAATTGCGATTTTGATCAACAATGTTGGCCACTCAGAGCCCGGGTGTGTGGCTACTATATCGTAATACCTACCTTTTATAATTCAGTCATTCCCCTCTCTTTCTATTAGAACGGCGATCGAGCTTGTGAAGAAGGGCTTCCTGGGACTAAATAAGAGCCCGAAGCACAAATGGCTAACCCAACCTGTTTAGAGAAGAAACGTGGGATGCCAAGATGGTCATCAATTTCAAATCAGTATACGTGACTTGCCACGAGGTATTAACAATTATATAAAGTCATGGTAGTGGTGTAATGGTGTGCGTCTCTGTTGTCGCGGGTCTGCGATATATCTGAGAGCCACATGTTGTTTGTCAGCTTGGTTCATTTTCTTTGTTTCTAGGGCACATGTTGATGCTGAATGGGCATATTTTAGGGCTTTGAAGATGCACTTGAGTACTGAAGCATTGCTTGTGTATCGACACATCAACATAACTGTTTAGTTCATATAAATCCATAATCGGAGCAAAATCTACACAATGGGTTTCACTCCTATAGACTCAGCTTCTTTATTCAATGCCTCGATCTCCGCCTTGGCATATGGAATACCAGTCTTCAATCTTTCCTCGTTTCTATTGATCTCAATCTCACCAGGGAAGTAAATGCGGTCCACACCTACCATCTTCTCGGCGCCTACCACTCTCTCATACAGATATTTCATCCGCGCCTTGAACTCAACCGCACTCACGAAAAGATCTGGCTTCATGGCGATAATGAAGTGTCCTACATCCGCGTGTCTGGATGGATCATAAGGCCCTGCAACATGACCGGCAAACGCTGAACCCGACAACACACCAGAGAACACATCCATCATAATCGCCAGTGCAGAGCCCTTGGGCCCGCCCACAGGCAACATGACACCTCCATCCAAAGCTTTGGCGGGATCATCCGTCGGCTTCCCCTCCGCATCCAACGCCCAATCGTCAGGAATCTTCTCGCCCCTCCTTTTCGCCTTGTAAATCTTGCCTCTAGCTGCTACCGAAGGCGCCATATCAAGAATAAACGGCACCGGCTCCCCCGGCGCCCCGCACGCAATGGGACTGACACCGAGCAACATCTCCCTCCCTCCCCAAGCCGGCAGCGCAGGCGAACTGTTTGTGAAAACGAGCGACAGCATCCCCGCGTCGATGGCCTGCTGCACCACCCACGCCGACATGCCGAAGTGGTTGCTGTGCTTGCACGAGACCATGCCAATCCCGTAAACCTGTGCCATTTCGACCGCAGCGCTCATAGCTTTCTTGGCCACTACGGCGCCGAAGGCATTGTGTCCGTCGATCTGGGCTACTACAGGAGTGGGCTGCGTGATGGTGGGTTGCGCTTTGGGGTCTAGCACGCCTTGGCGCACGCGCGCAACGTACGAGGGGATGCGGTTGATGCCATGGGAGTCGACGCCGCGCAGGTCGGCCGACACGAGGTTGTCTGCTACCGTCGCTGCGTCGGTCGAGGAGACGCCGTGGGCTTCGAGGATGCGCTGTACGAAGGCGAGGGCATCTTCGCGCGGGATAGAGGTGTATTCTGGGGATTCTTGTGACATGGTGAAGACTGTGTGGATGAGGATTATGAAATGGAAATGAAAGAAGATTCTTGATATAAGTACTTGCAAAATGAGGTTGACTCGATTGATATTTACTCAACCTTTCTCATCATGAACGTTGGCATGAATCCTTGATTACAGGCCGCGGAGGCTATCTGCCCGTGGGCCGGCAAAGTCCCGCTTGGCGGGTCAACAGGGCTCCTCTTACGGATCGAAGTCCGCCCCATACGACTAAGAGAGTCAAGGGGATAAGTAATCACCCACGATGTTGCAATGGCCGGGAAATATGACTCAGTCTGGTAAGCATATCCAGCAGTGTGGTAATCTTCACTGAAAATATGTGTGCAATTCTCTGAATCCTATCCATACACTTCACACGTATATTGTCCAAATATGAGAACCTTCTAAGTCTGCATGTCTTAACAACGTCGAGAAAAACACCAAGAAACGACCCAATGTCGATGAATTTAGCACTGCTTTCTAGTTTTCTCCCTTGGCCGACAGTTGCCACATAGAAATGCGTATGTTCTAGAAAGTCTTCTGTCGCTCAACCACAAATACACCTCTAGTTAGCCGTTCGTCCAATATTGTATTCTAATAACACTCCAAAATCATGCCCGTAAAATAATCCGAGTCCGAATTCGTATTTAGCTAAGCAGAGTTTTTGACGACTCGTCGTCGGTAGTTTCAAAGTCAAAACGCGTAACATCCTCCTTGAACGGCCACAATAACTTGCTGGTAACACTACAGAAGCAACGATTGATTAATACATGATAGAATTCCAGAAATTTGTGGTGGCGTACTCGTGATGCTCCTTCGAAGCTTGATACTCGGCCAAGGCCGCAAGATCTCGGTGGCGGCTGACCAATGCAAATTCATAGCCTTTGCTTCGCTCAATGGGATTGGTGACCGACGGGCCACCAACTGTTAGCTGTGCGTTTTCAACGCATGGCAGGGACTTGAGCTTCTGCAACTCGGAAATGAATTTGCTTTTGTGTTCCTGAGAGACATCAGGTTTAAATTTGAATAAGACTTGGATCCCGAATGCGCATTAGCAAGACGGGATCTGGCGAAAGCAATTGAATTAGACGGGATCGCTTACCGATATGAATGACTGCCATTCTGTAAGTCGATGGTGATTTGGGAAAGTGCAGGCTGACGAGGTAGGAAATTCTCGGATGTCGTGACTGAATATCAAGTATTATCCTGACTTGTTCAAGCAAAAGCGAGCGGTGAGACTGGTTAGTTGAAGCAAAGTGCACCTCATGCCCCTGTCAGTTATAGAGTTCATCGTTCTGCTTCTAGCGTTATAAGTGGACATCTGGTCGCTGACATGCGCGGATGGACACCCGCCCGACCGCGGACCTCTTCCGTCTTCCCCGCACATCACACAATCAGTCCTTAGATCAAACCTCATTTGTCGGATTTCGTGATCCGTCAACAATCCCGAGAATCTTCCCAGCCGGACCACTTCCATGGATACCGAAAGTGGACGTCACCCGCAGAGAAGCTCTCGCATAAAACTGGCTTGTTCGAGATGCCAGAAACGGAAGATCAAAGTCAGTTGCTTATTCCACAATTACCCTGGTAGTTGATCCATGATGTGACTATCAAGCCAAGTATGTTACAATTTGAGACTGACTATCCGTAGTGTGACGGCCAAGTCCCCGCCTGCTCTTCGTGTAAGAAGACAGGAGCTATTTGTTCGGGTGGCAACACTTCGCGAGATCGATTGTATTCGAGAGCGTAAGTTCTATAACGCCCATTAGTTTTTGTCCTTTAGTAACCTTGCAGAAGATATGTCAACTCATTGTGGAATCGTGTACGTTGGCTAGAGTCAGCGCTCGAAGGATTATCTCCTGACTTCGATTTTTCACAAGCACCTCCTGTCGGCTCCGGCCAGCCCGAAGAGTCACAGACGCAAAACGGTGGCACAGTCAACCTCGACCCTATTACTCCCAATCGTCATGGAGGCGACACTACGATCAATACCGGTGACCTGACCACCGTCAGCAATGGAAACCAGGTTTCTACTCCAGCCGGAGACGCCGATCAATCGAACGCGGAGCGAGTCCACGATATTGGCCTCGTGTCTGTAGGAGCTGGACACGATCTTCGTTATGTCGGTCCTTCCAGTGGGTATGCGTTCGCCAAGCTCCTACTGAAGGTCACCGGAGTGCCAGCACCACGGGGGAACTCATTGCAACAGAAAAGACGGGACTTGGCTCCCAGTGACGCCCTGACGGCAGCCCAAGCTCTTCGCATCACACCGTCACCATTACCAGCGAAGCTTGAACATTCTGTTCAGCTCTCTTCAGTGTACTGGGAAACGATGCACCCACAGTATCCCTTTTTACACCAGCCCACATACTTGAAGCGCCTTGAGCACGTCTATGGCTCGCCAGAGCCGAGACCAGTTTACAAGTTCCAGACCTTCATGGTGCTTGCTATCTCAGCAACCGTCCTCTCCCATCGATACAAAACGGTTCTCTCTGCCGAAGGATTTGCCGCCTCGGCTCTGGAGGCTTTTGAGAAAACCCAGGTCGAGGGATCTCTGGAGGGGATCCAGTGCCTGCTTCTACTCATTGTTTACGCCCTGGTGAATCCCTCGACTCGACTCAATGCCTGGTATCTGAACTACTTATGTATTTCTGCTGTTCTGGACTTGGGCCTGCAGAGGGATGTCAGGGGCAACCTGTCCCTATTGACGCGAGAAATGCGAACGCGGATCTTTTGGGTTGTCTACTCGCTCGATCGGTCCTTGGCTACGGCTTTGGGTAGACCGATCGGGCTCAGGGATGAAGCTTGCGACTTGCGCTTGCCCCTAGACATCGACGACGATCAACTTCTGGACCCTAACGCGACCCCGCGGCAATTTGGCACGAATCCTATGGGAATCACCAACGCCATTCACTTGATCAAGCTAGCGCACCTAAACTCGGAAATCAAGTACATCGGACACTCTATATCAAACAAGACACCGTCGTACTGTTACCCAGTAGTAACCGACCTGGAAGCTTGGCAATCAAATATGCAAAGCCGCCTTGACCAGTGGGCGGTCGAGCTATCACAACATTGCCCTTCAAGATATCTCACCCAGGTCGCCACACTTCGCTATCATGAAGCACGGATTCTTCTTCTACGGCCCAGCCCAGCCAACATCAGTCCAGCGGCTGCCGCCTTACGCACCTGTCACGTTAGCGCAAGTGCTGTAGTTCGCATCACGTTGGAAATGTACCGAGAAGACTTGTTAGTGTACTCGTGGCCCGCGATGCATACCCTATTCCTTGCGACCATAACCATGTTGTACTGCGTTTGCGCCGTGCCCGACCTCTCCGAAGAAGCTGCTACCGCAGTCGAAGCTGTGCAGATGCAACTCCAGGCCGTATCCAATATTCTTAGCTCGGCGGCGGAGACTTGGCCTGACGCCAGGCGAAGCCGCGATGTCCTAGATGAGGTGGGGACGGCCACCATTCGATGGATACGCCGCACCGTGGGTCGTGAGGGTAGCGCTTTTGAGAACCCTAGGGTTTCCGTCGGCGCTCCTGCTCGTCAGAATCAGCATTTGAACGCCGGAGATGCTTCGCGGATAGATCCTAACTTGCAGGATTCCATGGTCAATTCAGTCGCTACGCAGCAACCTTCATCCTCCCTGGATGGGGATCCTTTCGCCGATCCGTTTGTTTTTCAGATTAAAATGGCTGATTTATCGCCAGGAATGACAGATGTTGACCTGAATTTTATCATGCAGGGCATATTCAGGGATTACCAACCGGCGGTGGATTTTGACGTAGACTTCGATGCGAATTTTCTCACAAACTATACGTGATTACTAGTGCGGTGAGTTAGAAAGGGACAATCATAGTACCATGGCGCAGTGAACCTATCCTGGCGTATGGCACTTCCAAAAACGATAGCTCGATCCTTCTTGAGATGTCGGTTAGGTTGATTAATCCTAGTGGGTAGATAATAAGGGCGCCGCCTCTTTCGGTATAGTAAACATAGATTGGTGTTATTTATAGGTCCCGTCCGGGTAGGACTGGCGCAGCGAAGCCAACAGTTTCTCGTAGGATGCAGCCGTGACTGGGCGAACCACGGTATAGATGCGTCGAGATGAGAAACTCAGAGGAAAATGTTGTACATACAGGACAAAAATAAGAACCGAGCTTTGCGACAGAAGGCCCCGCGGGAAGAGGTAAAGCAGGCGGCGCGTTCGCCATCGACAGTTTCTGCCGCAAAGGAACCATGCTGAGGATAAATAATTGGATGACAGCGCTATGGCGATGCTGCAACATGAGTTTGGAGCTTGGAGCAGGAGGGACGCCTCCTGTGCCGAAAAGGTATAGAGAGAAGTTGCATGGAAATTATTATGACAGTACTTAACGAAGCAGACCCACAGCGCGCCTTTTCATTATGGGTTTTGTTATATTCCGTATTGGAGCTCTTCCCAATCTCAATTTGTTTTACTGGCACCTACGATCATATAACTATATCAGGTTGGAAAAGGTGTAGCAATTAGTCTGTTTACCCAGGGAAGCTTATACTTGCAGATGAAGATCAGACTGGATCCCGGTTTATCTATCAGATGGGCTGCGCTCTCAGGTCCGTGTGCTATGAATCCCAGGTCGCAGGGGTGAAGCCGGGGGGAGGGGGGAATGCAGCCCCTGGTGAACATTGGCCCCATATAATTAAATACTCGTTGTAGTCAATAAGTTCCAACGTAAGCTCCACGAGACCCTATTCATGAATGTGATTAGAAAAAGTGCGAACGTCACAACAAGAGAAAGCGCATTCGTGTCTGTCAATAGCGTGAGCCTCATGTTCTACCTCAGTGTAATAATACGCGTTTCTTATCAGATTCCATTTCAACTACAACCGATGTGACGGTATCCATATGAATGGCGTTCTCATTCATCCCACTTCCCACCCCTCTCAAGGATTCCTGGCTGACACCGCTCTCGTCCGCACTAGGCCACCCGCACAAGCCACTCTTACCACCACTGGCCCCTTGCCCTCCGACTCTCCACCAGCCGCGCGCCCTTCGTCTACCCTTGCCTGCTCTCTCTGGGTCGGCATCGCCTGCTGCACCCTGGACCCAGACCATGTTTCCAAATCGCCTCTGTGGTGTCCTCATGAATGCAAAGGTACCGAGCCCCGAGTCCTCCGTATCGGGCGAATTGAAGATGATGGAGTGCCGTGTCGTTGAGAACAGAACGACGTCGAGCCAGCCGTTTGATGCAATCATGGCTCCTGCTAAGCAGAAATAGTCAATGCTTACGTTCCGCCCGGCCATAGAAACGATGCGGCCCAGTGCCAAGGGCGCCGTACACACAACGTAAATGACGGGATAAACCAGAAAGGCTGGAGGGTGACCCGACCTCGACCTAGGTGCTGCTGCCAAGTTCCTTTGCAGCTCACCCGAAGCACGGCTATGCGACAGCGGCTTATCCCATTTCAGCGAGAAGAAAATCAAAGTGTACAGAACGCTTGTCAAGGCAAGCGACACGAAGATCCAGAAGTAGTGCAGCCACAAGCGGAGGTTCTCGTACTCGACGTTCATCCAACACCACGCCCGAGCCCGGACGTAGAGCCCACCTTGAGACCACCCGTTCCGAGTTATGATGATGCCGAGGAAGCCGAGGGCGTAGACGAAGAACCAGATGCAGCCGATGGCTATATATAGGGTTTTCTGGGGGGGCTTGTATCGCTTGATGACGGAGAGGTAGGTGTGCACGGCGATGGCGGAGATGAAGGCGCTCGACGCTAGGTCGCCGACAGAGACAAACCAACCCTGGACCGTAAGTCAGTAACGTGATGTGGGTATCAATGGGGGATCACGAGGTGCCTAGGAGGACAAAACCCGGCCATGGCAAAGTTGGAACTCCTTTTCTCGAGTTGGTACGGAGAGGGCGGATTAAATGAACTCAAGCTGCTCACCTGTGCCCAACACGTCGAGGTGCCCACGTAAATCGCATCCGACCGAACCCAAGACGCATTCAACAGAAACGCCATCGCTTGATGCATATCTGCGAAGAGAAGGTTATATACAAGCACCAAGAACTGATTCAGCGCCCTTTTCTGTGGCCGGGGTCGATTCCTGTTCGTCGCGGAAGCACTCGTCACGACTCTCGGCTTCGCCTGCCCGTAAAGTCTCTCTGACAACCCCAGAGATAAATCTTGATGGTCCTCATTGTCGAACTGGGATCGCGCCAACTGCCACCTCACCAGCTTATACGTCAGATATCCAAAAAGCGTGGTGCATGAGACGAAGGACAGCATTCCGAGTACTGCCACGGCGATGAGGCCATGACGATGCGCGTCCGGCAGGGGGATAAGACTGTCGCTTTCTGGTGCCAACTTCGCGTATACATCGCTGGGTGCCATGTCCAATTTTTTGGTCCGCCGCTGAAATTCGACGCGATCGAGGAAGGCACCTGTCTGTCCACAAGGAAGCCGTGGAATTTAGGTGGCGTCAACGTCCGCCGCCAAGGACCTTGTAAGGCTTTTAAAAGCGAATCGAAACTCCAAACCTCCAGAACCAAGCCATGTAGAATTGGGAGACTTGGTATGTCGACGTGGGGGGCCAAATGATCTAAATCGTGTTTCGGTCGCAGGCTAATGAATACCACCAGCCGCTCTCACTGCCAGGGTACAATTCACAGGATATGTAATCGGCTAATGACGCCTGCAGCATCGCGGCTTGCGAATGCAACGCCACTGCATATGTCGAGAAACGCTGGTGCAAATCCTGCCGGTCTCGATTTCGTCTCATTTGTCCACGAGCGGCGGGTGGGTGGTCAGACCTCCCCCGCTGCGTGCATCCTGTATAGGAAGGTTGCTTCAAGTTTGCTGATGAACAAGCATGGCAACGAGACAAATGAGTCAGACTTTTCCCCTCGACGACAAACACGCCCAGAGAACTTTCGAAAGCATGGCGGTAGAATAGCGAACATACGCAATCAGCTTCACGAGCAAACGTCACTGTCTGACCCGAAATCATGGCGCGTGGTTAAGCAAGACCCCGGTTATGTGGTACAGCTTAACAGCCATGGATTCCACGTGGGGGAAACTGTGTTACGGCAAGGAAGGGAGAAAAGTCGGCAGGATTGTAGGATTTGAATTAATGTTGCATTGTGCCACGCGGGACGGAGTTATTTGCCCCTGAGCATTGCCGGTAATCCCGACTGCATACTTGCTTACTTAAGAAGGTCCTGAACAGCGCGAGAACAATTCTATTTATTTTGGATCTGGGCGAACCCACTTTTGATGACACGAGCACCGTGCTTGAAGTGACTCCTTGGATACAACGGTCGGAGCAGGAAAGGTGTCGATATCATCAATCAGACGGCAACAATAAGATTGGAACATACGTTCCACGTACCTAATAATAACGGGACTTCTAATAAGCTCAAACTTTCGAGTTCTTGTTCCTACGATATAGTTACCGGCCTTGTAGCACTTTATGTCGGAGGCGGCGCTTACCCGCGGCCATTCTACAACCGTTTGCACTTCTAGCGTACTTTCCATTGTGGCACAGCGCGAACCGGTGCAGATCTCCTGGCTGACTGACTTCTGAGCTGATCTCAAGAAAGCCTCGAGCCTTGCTGAGGAGGTACAAGTCTGACCAACGGTAAGCCCACAAAAATACAATGTCAACAATATTAAGGCAATTATGCAGACTTATCTCACGCAGGTTGTCCAATTGACATGATTGAAACCATTAAAACGCCTTAGACTCTGGTCAGCTATGGATGGGTTTCGCCTGAGTGCAACCCAACAGGCAGACGAGGTGCACCAATGCCAAGCCGTTGGCACCAGCACACAAAGTTCAAATGCTGAACACGCTCTGCAATTTCGGCAGATGAAGATACTCCCCAAGCTGTTCCGCATATCGTCTCTGCAGGCCAATGTTAGCCACGACGGCCGACATAGACGTTCCGTCTCGAAACCCCCGAGGGTAAATAGAGCTTCTTGCTTAAAGGTAGGATAAGCGTTCTGATACTCTCATAGATGCAAGCCCGTCAATGTGTCAGGACTTTGTGGGGTCATTCGAGTTGCCGGGATCTTTCAGCTACCACATGGGTTATAGAGTAGCCCTCCTAGGCCTGTCCTGAGCGAGCCGGAATCCCTATTCCACCTGGGGAAGAAGTCAACTCTAACTTATCACCAGTAAGAGGGGGTTTCTCAAAATTTTGACTAGGTAGAGTGTTTCGAACTCACAATAACTTCTTTACAGACATGGAGACGTGTGTAAAGGTAAGCAAAAAGGAGGCAAGTGGACGATTAATAACCGGCGGACTGAGCACGATCGTCAAGTTGTGTCTAAATACTGAGCCTTGCCATATTATCACATCCACAGTGCGTTTTTTATCCTGCCACCCCCTTGCAAGCCTTGTTCTTGTCGGGTGTTGCAGTCGAGGCTGACACGGAACCTGTGGACAAGGATGTGAAACCCCCACAGCTGCAAATATTGCTGTTGGTCTCGAAAATTGAAGTGAACCGTTGCTAGGGTCGGATAAAGAAGCGATCTGAGCGAGCCAGGTAGTTGCCCTTGGCAGGTAGGTACAGACATGTTTCTTGGATTGATTAGACTATGTGGATGAAAACCAACCGACTGACCGACCAACCAGCCAACCATCACCAACTTGAAATCAGCATTAAGACAAGAAGAATAAGAGGTGGCCCACTACAAATAGTCCAACTTAAACTATCGAGTTGCCCCAAAGCACGAGATGTGTCGGCTATTACCCATGATCTGTGTTCCTAATCCCCTGGGCGGGAGCGCCGACTATGAACCCTGTATCATCCTGCATATGATCATTATATTATATATAGTATACTTGGCCTGTGCCGATGTCGATGCGTTGTGAACTAAGAAGTGCTTGGTTGAACCATCACCAAGAAAACATCCTCAACCGGTGCGTTACTATCTCACCACTCCTTATCACAACCTATTCGTGACCCTGTTCTCCTACGTTAATTTTGTTTGGCAGGTTATGTAAGGTGTTTGTTGTGGAATCACTGGGTCGACTTCGGGGCTGATCAGGGAAACTGGTAAAGGGCACCAAGACTTATCGTTAGGAAGAGAATCGTGGGTGAAGTACTTCCCACATTCATCTGTTGAACTTGGACCCTGTTTGTTTGCGCTCGTTTCGTAAAGGTGGCGTGGACATCCATGTGTTGCCAGCTGACTATCAATCTTGTAACTTTACTGATAAAACTACCTAGGAATTATTGTCTTCGTGCTTTGTGACTGATACTGTAGCTTATTACTTTCTTGGTAACCTTAGTTATGTAGGTCATACTGACAAGCCAATATGTTCAATTACACAAAACATTGTCGCAACTGTCGCAAGGTCTAAGATACCAATATTTAGCCCTTCACTATTTGATCGATCATATCGCCTTTTCTTAATGATGCGACCGCTTCTCGTAACGACAGGGTTCGGTATGTCTGGCTCTAAGTGGTTAATATCCGACTATGCCACCTCTTCTTCAACTACCACAACTTCACTACAATTTGATGAATTTTGACACCCAGGCGGTCGAATAGACTCTTTGAAAGCCAGCTGTGTTAACAGGGTTATCAGTCGCCGATTCAGGTAAGCTTGTGCATTACGTTTCTTACCCCTTCTCAAGGGGTCTAATTTCTCCCTTGATGCGGCACTTGGCATGTTCGGTTACTAATTGGACTTTTAAAGCGCCAATTGAAATTGACCAATTTCCGGTTGTACTCCAACCAGATTTGATGACCTTTTCGGTCACACAGCCTTGCGTGCTTTGGCATAATAGCGAATAAAATTGACTTTGCTAGCTAGCGAGGCATTCGTCATTCTATCTAGTTTGCTAACTTTGGCTCTACAAATCGCTCTCAACTCTTTTTAGGAGCTCGTTATCGTCAGACTGGAGTCTTAATGGAGTACACACAAGTAAATAAGAACAACAATATACGCCATGTACAAAAGCAAGAAGCCATCCACTCATCCTGTATACGAATTGGTAGCGATAAATACCAAAATAATAGATAATTTACGGAGTCGTGTGATCTACAGCTGTAGAGGATAATCAAGTGAGCATAAGATGGATCTTCTGGCTTGGTTTGGGGCAGGTATACACCCATAAGCTACTGGTGCGCGATGTAGTTGTCCATTCAGCTATCCCGCGAATGCACTCACAATACGCTTCTCCTAGGCTATATAAAGTCGCTGGCTGGGTTGAATTGGGCCTTCTATAGTCCTACGCCTTTAATTCGGTCAGATAATGTCTGCTATGGGTTTCCACTATGCCGGCGCGGAGCTTCATATAACCTCTAAAAAGAAAAGCAGAATCATGCAATCTATTGAATTTGCTATCTACTGTAGGCAAGTGTGGTCTAAGGTATAGAGGCGTACAAGGTACGTAGGAAACAACGAGTGTATTTAGAGAACCCTGTCAAGATTATGGTTGGGGCCAACCGGAGATCCGAAATGAAGATCAAATAGCGGCTGATACATCAGAGGCTTTTTTCGTGAAGATGATATAACAATCCAGTAGAGGCTTCGTTCCCGAAAATCTAACGGTGGCCGATGCATTAAGAGTTTTTGACGGTCAACCATTAAGATCCTCCTGACAGTTCGTATAAACCTAGCCTTTTTCCCCCTCTACGAAATTAATAAGCCAACAGTCATGCCCCAATTCATGTGGAATCCCGATCACTTCGTCCAGTGCATTTTAGAGGATTGATCAATTGAAGCTAGAAATAGCTCTGAGTGAACGTACGTGATCCATGTAAGGTTTATCCTCCACGTTTCAGTACAGAAGGGTTCCGGATTATGGCCCGAATACTTATAGAAACAAGTGCAGTACTGAAAGACTACAGGAATACTGATAATTTCAAACAATTTCCAGGGGCTGATTGATCAGTCCTTTCCCGCGCGCCTTCGTAGTACCAGTACAGCTCCAATACTCGAAATCTGAGATCTACTAGCTAAATTGCTTGTAAATAGATTCAGTCACGGTTAAAAAAACGTGTAAATGAAGCTGAAGTGGTTATGCGTGGTTCATCGCTAATGTGGTTATCGAAAGGTTGATATTACCGAGCGGGTAATACTCCATGGTAGAAGGGCTTCCCGGGTGGAATGTGAGACTCGGTTTTCGTATAACTGTCGAGTAGTGGTCCCTGAATCTTTTAAATAATTCCTGGTGGCAGTTATACATCAAGTCCCGTCAAATGGAAAGCCCCAGTCATACTTAATGTATAGAGTGGGTAGTCTGCTTCTCTGATCTCCATGTTGATGATGATGGAGAGTGTGGTAACCACGATGCTAATACCGTAGCAACGAGTAGCGGTGAAGGGAGATGACGTCATATCTAGTAACGCGGGTCTCCGTTTCTTGAAGCTTAGGCGGTTGCTAATGTTCGCCGAGAAGGTGACTTGCCACATCTCCGACTAAAGAATGTATATAGCCCAGCATGGTGAATGTCCAATCATTAATAGATACTGTTGGAAATATAGGCAAGAGGGTTGTATTGGTAATGATGACGATGATGATGATGGGACTAAGTCCCAAAGGCTGCAGCTACGCAAGGGCTATCTGTGGGCAATCGGCCCAAGCGCTGCTTCTAGTATCAAGGCTTGTGGCTCTGGATGCTCGGCATAAGATTTCCGTGTTAGAGAAAGGACTGCAGTACAGTAGTGATCTAGCATGTCAACAAAATGATCGCAGGCTCGCGCGGCTAGGTATCATTGCGGGAGCAAGTAAGCACTAATCTGAATAAAATTATCGTGCAGATCGATATAGCCAATTGAGATCCTTGCCCCTTCCGAATATCCTCTAGTAAATCCACATGACCGTACACACGAGCCGAGGCAAGTCACACGGTACTCCTCACCATGTCATTCTGAATGCCACAAGAAAACATTTCGCCTCATTTTCATTTACATGGAACAGGTCACAGAAAGGAAATGGCTTCATCAAAATGGACCCCGTTGCAACCCAATGCCGACGATGACTTTGAGATGCGCCCGTCTGATCGTTTCAATAATCGCACTGGAGAAGAAACACCGGACCCTTCCAATAATAAGCCTCGCACAAGGGGCCAAGGACTTTTCCAACAATCAGACCTATCCTTTGCCTCTCATGATAAAACGACGCAACCTGTGCTGCCGCTTGGTAGACCAAAGGCAAAAAAGGGTATTCACACCCAGGACTTGTGGACAGCCGCTCTATCTTTCACTTGTCTCGGACTTGCCATTCTGGTCGTGGCAGACGACCGTATAGCCTGGCATCTGGGACAGGGAGATGACGACAACAACCAACTCATCGTGGTGGGCTTCCTGCTCAGCATAATGAATCTCTGCACCGAAAGCGTCGCACCAACCCTTTTTCTTCTCATGGAAGCCAGGTTTGGCCCCTCAACGCTTCAGAACTATCAAGGCCTTCTGCGGAACGAAATCATAGCGGAAAGGCTACACTTTGTGTGGAGGGTCGTGCTCTGTGCCATGGTAGCGCTCCCGCTGGGCGTGAGTGCTGCATACAAGGGGTTTTCGGGTGGCCACAGCACCATCGAGGTGCGGGCTGCAAACTACGTTGGAAATGCCTCCTATTATGGAATGTTCGCTCCTCCCGGTCTACAACCACTAGGGAATAACCTCGGTATATGGTTGTTCTCTAACGCTACGTTGCCTTTCGCCGTGGCTTCGTCATACGGCGCCGTGGCCCCTGATTTTCCCACTGAGCTCCCGACACCCTATGGCTTCAACGTCCTCATGCTCAGCAACGAAAGTACGGCCATGTTAGATATTCCACAACCCGACTATGTTTCGGCTGTGCAAAGCAAGCTAGCTATTGGCGAGTCGTGGACTGTTTCGGCGCCCGTCTATGGCACAGTTTCCACCTTCAATAACTCTAAGACGACAGACCCCGACGGATGGGACTTATATTTTCAGATCAAGTGCAAAGCCGCCAAGCCCTCGGATGGATTTTCGACGACGTGGATGTACAACCCTCACTATTACCTTACGCTTTTGGGTAGCCCCTCAATCGCAGGAGATCAAACGCATCAATACATCGGCTACATCCCCTGGCCGAACCGCACGTCTACACCAAGTTGTTTAGATTTTGCCCCTTACGCTCAATTATACAACATCTACCGACAGAGCTGCCACGGCACCTGGTCCATCACCCGGGGCAGCATCCTCCTCAAAGATGGTTCTTGCGATGGCCCCATCCTTCCGGCGGAAAAACAGCAGCTCATCGTCGACAACGCCCTGGTCCTCGAGCTATACATGGCATCTTTGTTCGACTTCTTGGGCATATTCGTCGACAGTAACAACCAATCGGATTGGGCTAGTCCATATATGGCGACTGGGGTAGCCGCCATGTTATGGTCAAGGATCACTGCACTCGACGGTGCTTCTAACATGGCTCGATCTCAGAAAGCAGGCTGGACGTCTCAGCAAGGTCAGATCAAATACACTTTCGAGGAAGCTGGGCTTGTGTATCAGGTTGACGACACGCCTCAGTACACACGACCTACACTGAAGAAATCGGGACTGTTATATTGCGTTTTCCTGATCCAACCAGTCTTGCTTGTCGTCATGCTAGTGTCATTTTCACTACTCCACTCAACGCCGCTGGACAGAGGGTTTGGTCTGGTATCTATATTATCGGGTGTCGATCGAGAGAGTCTAGACGGCATCGCGGGAGCTAGCCTTTCGGGCGAACTTGAAGAGGATGTCAAGTTGATCATTCGTGCAGTCCACGCGGAGAACAAAGAATCAATACAGTATCAAGTTACGCAGTCTTCGCCGACGTCAGCTCGCACTGGGAGATTGGTTAAGGCTACTGTCTACCACTAAGTTGCAGAAATATCCGAAGCATACATTTTCAATTTGCCTGTGGTAGATTGCAAAGCCTGCATAGTTAAGCCAGTGGTCGCAGCGCGGACCCGGATTTCATATTTTTAGAACGATGAAGCAGTGATTGGCGAGTTCTTAAGCCGTTGACGAACTCAAAAACGAAGTCGAAAAGAAAGGGAAACAGGAAAACCTAAGGGAAAGAAGACATGGGAATAATGGCTAACGAGGTACCACTATGATACAAATATATTCCACAGGAGCTGGGAAAGATCAAATTGAGTTGTTGATGGTGTTATTTTGATGAATTACATCAATTACGAATGAACGAGGTTTATTGTCTCGAAATCACGATGCTGTCGAAGCCTTTGAGAGCAGGACTGCACGGTTTGTCTGAAACCCGTCACAGGCAAGCCTGCAGGAAACCCTGAGCTACGCAGGATATAAGGTGTCTTGAACGAAGTTAAAGTCATTCACGCGAGGCAAAATACGAATATCTACGATGTTGCAGCAATCAAGCTGATAATCCGATCGCTAGTCATCAGTCCACTTGGCGCACAGATGTCTGTCAAGCAGCAAGCACGATCGATTGCGGGCAGATCCCCGGATCGGCATGCATATGACGTCATTTCTTCGAACTCAGAATCTCGAAATACCGGTTTTGGTGGAACCCCGATGTCATGGAAGCACTGAGAGTACGGATACCACCAGTCTATCTAAGAATACACCTAATCCAACTCTTTCGGATGTTGCGTCCGTCCATCAAATTGCATAATATCTATCACTAATATCACCTAACCCAACCAACCTGCAAATCATCAGAATGCCCATCCAAAACTCCAAAGACTCCGGCGTCACTGGCGCAGCCAAGTTCGTTACGAGCACCGTGGGCAACACGGTTGGAGGCATTGGTCGCACCGTCGGCAACGTCACTGGCGCGTTAGGACGGGGCATCGGCGATACGATTACTGGAGCTACGGGCTCCGCCGGCAAACCGGTTGGTGATGCCATCGGCTCTATAGGAACAGGCGTCGAGAACGGCGCTGCGAGCGTCGCCAAGGGTGTCGAGAACGCGGGGCAGTGGAAGAAATAGGGAAGACAACATCATTGGAAACACCGTCGCATTTGGCACTTCCGGCGATGCCCTGGACAGAGTCGATTGCCTGTACGAAGACACCGGCTTGAGCGAAGAAGTCGGCGTATATAATTAAACGCTGGGATGCTGGGTTACGGGGAATGGCGTTCGAGGAATGACAGGATGATACACGCTGCTTTGATCGAGGCAATGATCACAGAGTATGGGGCTTGTACAATTTGGAGGGGAAGACTGGCACCGGCAGAAAACATAGCCAAAGCCTTGTTCCATAATCTGTTATTTTCCCGTAAATGTACACACTGCTGCTAGGGGTTTTTACAAGGTCGATATAACCCGAACTACGACTCCTCGAGAGCCTTCCACTAATCAGCCAACTGAGAATCCTCTTCGCTTAAATACTTTTCGTTCCATCGAGTGCACTGACAATCTTGGTCACAGCAGCAGGATCCACACGGGTCTCGTTATTTGCCGAGTCAGAGCCACTTGCTGATGACTTGACAGCATTGGCTGGATTCTCTGGTACCATGTAAACCACTGCTGTGGTTGCGGGAATGGTAATGCCGAACATAGCAAATGCAATGACCAAATTCACCATAGGTGAGACCTGAGCCGCACCAACGCCAAACGATATGCACGAACCGATCGACTCAAATGACCGGAGCAGTCCGATAGCCAGGGTCAATGTTTCTAGATCGTTAAAGAAGGCCCCGATCATCCAGTAGACGAACATGTAGTGCGACTCGTTCATGAATCTGTGTCGGGATCAGTTTTTCACGACCCAGTCTCAAGTGTCAGGCAACTCATACCTGAACAGCACATTCACCGCGAACGCTCTCCCAAACTCCGGACTGGCCCAATCAATAGTAATCTTGGGCACAGTCTCCTCGTACAATTTCTCGTTCGACACCTGCCAACCAAACAACCCCAACATGAAAACAGCAAAGAACAACCAGGTTATCTTCGCCAGAACTGGCCGACTCCAGATCTTGAGATCGTAGAACCAGCCCCAGAACACGTTAGCGGCGGTGGCCGCAAGACCTGACGACAGCGCCCCCAACGTCCTGGCCCGGACCGAAAAGTACTTGGTCAAGTAGATGCCCTGGTATGTACTATTCCAGTTAAACCCTATGAGAATAGGGATGAGCAAGAGGAACTGTTTTGTCTTCAGTAGGCCCCAGAGCTTCTTGGCCTCAACCAGCACGGCTTTGTCCTTCGTCGGGTCCAGAGTCTTGCGCCCGTCCCGACGAATCAGCTTCTCAGGGGTGGAGATTAGCAATGCTAAGGGCAGGCCCAGGCATTGCAGAGAAATGAGAACCAGATATGTTGAGTAACCGACTTTTCCTCTCTGGCCGTTTTTGACGTTCAGCGAGAGCTGGATCGATGAGCCGATGAGCTGGCCCAGCTCGCGAAGACCTAGCCATATTCCCGCTGTTCAAATCAGTACGGGGCCGACACCTCGAGTCGATTGATTTTGTGACTTACTGAACTTGCCCCGGTCTTTGATGTCGCCATAGCCCAATGCGATTGCGCCCTCTGAGGCCCACAGTGCTGAGGCGGCAATGCCGCAAGTCACGCCGCCGAAGAGCACGAACCACTCAACGCCGTAGCGATTGTTCACGTAGAGTGATGCAGAGTAGGGTGCGTATCCCAATGTGCCGATGATAAGAATTTTTCTCAGGCCGAACTTGTTGGCGAGGACGGAAAATAGGGGGCAGCCAAAGACCATGATGCTGGACAGATGTCAGATTTCAGGGCCGGCGATAGTTAAGTTTGACCTCTTACCCGAAGGTCAACGAATTTGAGCCGTTGACTAAATATGGTTCTTGCTGGCCTCCAGCACCAGTGTCTGTTGGTTAGCACGCTTTATGCGCTGAAGAAATTTTTGCAGTCTTACTGTTCAGTGCATTCCAGATACCGGGCTGGGTGAATGATATCAACCCCACGACGATGACATTGAACAGTGGACTTCGATACCATCGTGTAAATCGCGTGACCGGTTTCGTCTCAGCCACCACTTCCTCTCCACCATCGCGGCCTGTTTCGATCGACATTATAGTCTGTCCTCTGAGTAGTCGTGAATACAAGCGGACAGCAAAGAATCATAATGTACAGAAGAGATGTCAAGGTTGTGATTCTATCATGGTTAAGAAGTAGATAAAGCCGCACTTCATTTGACGCCATCGGTATAAGCCATATTCGGCCATTGAGAAGGACAAAATTCTTCACGCTGAGGCCTCTATTCCCAGTTTGGATATTTGCCCACTATCTGAGGCCCACTGAAGTCGAAATCGCATTGGCTGGTATGAAGTCGTGATGCAGGGAAATGATTGCGACATATCACAAGTTATATCCCCACTACCAAGGTAACATCCTGGGGAAGTCATTACATAAGTGCGAATGCTTGGCAGTATAACATATTCCACAAAGAATGCCTGGATCAAGGCGATTTTGATCGAATATAGTGAGGAACCTGCATGAAGATCTGAAAGTTATCGATGTTCTCTCGTTTATTTGATGGGCTGTCTCGCGAAGAAATTGAAACTACTTGCCCTGAGAGACCGGCGTAAATTACTGGAACGGCCAATGCTTCAACTGGGTCGCTCTGATTGATTATTCTTTACTTAATATGAACAGTAGGCTGAGAGTCCTATATCATTAAAAGAGATGACTGGTACGAGTCTCGATGTTCAACTTATTCCCGGCCGCATATGATATACGGGTTGACAGTTGGGGTCGAAGGCAAAGGGCGGTATACACAAAGGCTACGTGACAGATCCGTGTAAGACCTTGCAGTGATTGGGCCAGCCTGTTTGACGTGCATGTTGCGCTGGACCGTTGGCGTCGTAAACCTTCACATTCGGTACCCATGGTTGACTTCGAAACTAACAGGTCAAACTTCTATGACCAACGTTATGAATCATTCTTGAAAGAAAGATCCCATCCTTCAATGCAGTCTCTGATTAAGTCCTTCTCCATGCGTCCACCTTTCCCACCACGACACTGCACAATACTACACAACACATTTTCCATCACCAGAAGTTTGCTAAAAAGTCTTGGAAATGTGTTCTATAACAGGGAGGTTTTGTTTTGAATCCAAGGTGGCGAGAGCACTCTTATGTACGCCCCGTCACTACGCAGACGTCGCAGCTGAAATTGCATCGAGGAATGAAAATAAAAGTGCCAACCAAGTCATGGCCGACTCTAAATAGTCTTTGGACGAGAAAAAATCATCATCTGATTGGCGTCCGCAGGCAGTGGTAAAAGAAAGGCCAAGTCGCCATACAGAGACATGTTTGATTTCTTAAAGCATTTGACTATATTGGCGGTGAGTGGTATTGGAGTAATGGTCGTGCAGGCGTCATGTCAGACTCCATGGTTCAAACAGAACTGTACCCGACCCTTAAGGAACCGATTAGGATTGCGTCTATAACTGAGAAAAGGATTTTCATACTCGTAGGTAGATGGGTATGAAGGAGAGGTAATCCATTGACACCAATTCCGAGTCCTCCAATCTTATAAAGTACAGCTCTAGACGCGAAGAAACCCAGAAACCCATATCTGGGCTGGAACCTAGCATGAGGACACAATCTGGCAGGACTCCAAGTTATGCCACTTTTCTCATCAGATCTGAATCCACTGTAGAGTAGTTCGGATTTGAGCGATAATTATAATCCAGCTCTCCTATTTCCACTAGCTTGAGATATAACGGAGATCGCCGCTTACTAAATCCACTAAAGCAGATTCGGGGCTTCCCGATCTTCGCCGTTGATTTGCCAGCTGCACTGGACAGGAGGCCATATTCACAACATATAAGATAACGACACGGTACAAAGTATTGCAAAGAAATACATCATTCAAACCCCCCATTTCCATAGCAAACAGCAACACTCCAGAATGTCGGCGACAGAGCAAGACATCGCCACCCTCCTCCAATCCCTCCTCACCACCATCGAGACCCAAATCGTCCCCCTAACCGCCCAGGGTGTCTCCTCAGGAAGCAAGCTTTTCGGCGCCGCCATCCTCTGCAAGTCAACCCTTGCCCCGCTCACAGTAGCCACCAACAACGAGCGCGCCTCTCCCCTCCTGCACGGCGAAATTAACTGCATCCAGCAATTCTTCTCCTCCCCCACTCTCGCCGTCGGCTACACCCCCCGCCCCAGCACCAAAGATTGCATCTTCGTCGCTACACACGAGCCGTGCTCTTTGTGTCTAAGCGGCATCACCTGGTCCGGGTTCGACAACTTCTACTATCTGTTCACGTACGAAGATAGTCGGGATTTGTTTAGCATCCCGTACGATATCCAAATTTTGGAAGAGGTGTTTCGGGTGCAGGCTGAGGGGGAGAGCGAGCAGGCGTTGGGAAGGAGGGAGTTGTATAATCGGAAGAACAAGTTCTTTACAGCGAAGAGCTTTGCAGATTTGGTGGGGGAGATTGAGGATGAGGGGGAAAGGACAAGGTGGGCACGGGAGGTGGGGAGGGTTAAGGGGTTGTATGGGGGTTTGAGTGAGAGGTATCAGGAGGGGAAGAGGGAGGGGGTGGAGAGTGCGAGTGTTTGGAAGTGAACGGAAAGAAGGTTGGGTGATGCAAGGACGTTGCTAACATCATGGAGAACTGTCCGCGGAAGGAGCGTCACTTGGAATTCTTAGTCTAGATCAATGGCGGTGTAGGGTAACATCACATTTCAGTTCCTCGGTGATTAATTCGGCCTTCACAACTGCATCACCCCTGCAACTCGGGAAATAATCGAAGCCCATGACGGTGCCGGCCGCTAACAACTCGTGGATGGGTTCATCGGTTGGTGTCCACATGAAATCCCAGGTATCAAGCGATCCTCCACGATACTCTCTATTCTATCCAATCGCCAGATATGCAAAGCCATCGCCGTAGATCTCGAAGCTGTATTTGATACCCGACGCACCATCATCTAGTTTGGTGATGGCGCAGGTGATGGCGCAGGTGATGGGGACCCAGCTTTGTTGAAGGAAAATGATCATGTCATGAGAGCAACGTCAAGCTATCTGTAGACAAGGTCTGGAAATTCGTCGCCGTGAGTCTCGCATGTGTGGCAGTCAGTCTTGACGAAGATGATCCAGGATGCCGGCAGGTTGTACGAGATGTGGGAGAAACACATGTGGTTCCGGCTTCGGCCATCGGGGTTGCAGTAGAACTGGCCAGTGATCTACCATAACATGAGGAAAGTGAGAGCTTCAGCGGGAAACTACCTCTAGAAATTGGAGGTCATGACATGCTAGTATCATCACACACATCGATCAAAACTAATACCTCTGCTTAAACATATCTTTCTCCCCATAAATAGTGTCATCACCGAATCATATTTCATTATTGTCCATAATCATTATATTTCCAGCATCCTCGGATGATCAAACCGCGATAATTCGAGACTGAGGCACAATTAGTACAACGCCATTACATAAGCTTGTAGTCACCTGTCTTCCGGCAAATAAGCTGACGAAGACTTCTACAGCTGGCTATGCTGGTGGGCTTGTAGAAACTGAGGGAATCGGCCCTCTGTTTATGACTCTTTATGGATGTCGTATTGATCACTGATCACTATGCCTGCTACATGTCGAATATCACGTGTGTCCAATCGAGTAGTCAGCAGTGCGTAAGATTGTATATAAATGAGGTGTGTTCTTGTCTGTCTGTCTTCTTGTCAGGGTACGGCCTGGACCGAAGGCGATAGTACAGAGTGAAGGGGAGAAATAGGCGTGTCCCCCTGGTGGTCACCTGGTGTTCACTGGCGGTCTCAGGTAGGGGTGCCCACGGTGATGCATTCGATCTCTCCCCTCTCTATCTTCCTCCGTCTCGACTCCTTACTTATAGCCAGCCGAGGTTCTCTGTTGGATTCTGGATGTTTGCTTCCGCATGTCTGTGTTCCTCCGACTTCGGCCAACATCTTGGATAGCGGCTCTTTATCTGCAACCAAGCGATTCCCTATCCGCTGCAAACGGCTTCAACAGCTCTCATTCGCCACAAGCGGCTCTCTAGCCGCCACAAACGACTTCCTTCCTGGTGGAAGCCGGCCCGCCTCGGATGACACTTGTGGCTCTGACACTTCTGTTCTCGCGAACTCCCGTTGCTCTGCCTTTTATAGATGCTTTAGAACATGTCGGTAACTTTGGTGTTACTTTTGAGAAGAGGGGTTCCTTTCGCCTTCTGAACTTTAAGTGACAATAGTCTTCTCTAGTGCCATATTATTTCTGAACCTAGGAACCAGGTGCCCTATCTGACACTACACGCGTTGCACTACGTGGGTTGGTATTGAGAGGCTATGTAAGGCGCTCTTGCTCTCTCTAAGGAAGGGTCGGCCCACTAACTACACTTAGCAGCACCAATAATTCTATGATTCCCAGGTTAGCTACATCTAGTGCCTATATGCCCTCTGGCGCTAGCTCCTGATAAAATCAATCGTGCGGTGTCACAATATCAAAGTTGATATACCGGTACTGTTTGTAATATGGGTCGTATAACTTATTATATCGTTACCGTGCCCTATCTTAGTGCCCGGGCGGCTAGGTTTTAAAAACAGCTACGGCGTAGCGGGAAGAGGAATCTGCTTCGCAGCACGAGCAGCGCTAAAGCGTCGTATATACTGCGGCAGGATGGGCCGGCGAGGATGAAACGAGCGTCGCAGCTACTCCGACCGGCGAGGTACAATATGGAGAAGGAGGCCCGGGGTTTAGAGCAGATGGGCAAGGAAAAAGAGGTTTTGGCTGCCCTCCTCGGCCACTGGAAGGAGAGCCGCAGTAGCGTAGTATGATCGCTAGCGCCGCGCTATCGCTGAGGAATCGGAGGGGCTCTTTGATACGGATGCCTAAAAGGGGCAAGTACTTCGGCCTGAAGCGACTGGAGGCGTCTCATTCCTAATGGCTTCTTCGGGTCTAGGGTTGCTTTTGCCACTTTGCGACATTCGCGCTAGCACCTTAATATTGTCGGTCGTGGAACAGGACCAGCAGTTCCGTCCAAAATGGACCTTTTTAGCGTAGTTATAATATTAGTCGTCCTTGATAGCCTTTACTGTTTTTGTTGCTGCCTCAAACGGGCGCTTAGGTATTGTTAGAGCTACCGCCAATAGTGCTCCCTCTACTATGGCTAGTGTTCCCATCGCCTATGCGTGCTAGCTTATTGTGGAGTGCGATGGCAAACTATTCTGTGAGCTCTGCCCGGCTGCATCTTATTGCAATGATGGAATTGCTCTTGCTACCGAGTCCAGCTCGAAGCCTTATCCTTAGTAGCGGTAAGGAACGTAGTGACCTGTTGACTGCCTCTAAGTTTGAGTCCTGCCTGTGACATTCCGGCATAGCCTTATGGAACTTGGAGTTGAAGATGACGGGGTACAGGCCGTCGTACTTCAGTGCGGTAAGGTCGCTTTATAACCTTCTGGCGCTGCTTGAACGACTGGTCAGAGTTGGCCTTGAGCGTTCTCAGCATTTTGGTCCCGTTCGCGAGGTTGTCGATAAGTCCTCTGGCCATGACGTCGGACGAATCATGATGGCCTTCGCGATACACAACTCGTCGTACTTGGTGATGTCCTTGCCCCTGTACCAGCCAATGGATTGTAGCGAGAGCTCATGGATCTTGCGCTAAAGTCTGTATGAGTCAGGCCCAAGTACCTATTGAGACTTGTAAGGCTTGCAATCATAATCCTTCTTCCACATGAGGCAGGCAGGTACAAGTTCTAGTATTTAGGGAACCCTCGGGGTCAACTTGGGATTTGTCCCCCACGCACCTTCGTAGTACCAATACAGCTCCTGGTGGTTGGAATCCGATACATGTCCTCATTTGAACATCGTTCCCAACAAGTATTTTTCTGAACCTTGAATACTTTACTACTAGCTATCACATCTTGATTAATGACTCACTCAAGTTATATGTCAAAGTTTCGGTCATTACTACTAGAATGTGTCAAGCTGAGATGAACAACCAGTACTGGATGGAGACCACTGTAAGAAAGACTACATATTATTGAACGAGAGGATTATTAACAGGCGTTTCCACCTGGGCGGAACTCGCTCTGCATGCCACACCGCTTTTACGTATTATGCGGCTAATCAGCGGACGACAGAACCCCCACTCTAATCGTTAGGCGCGTGGACTAGCCACAAACGCCTTATTATGCCAGATAGTGTTTTGCCTGTCCCAAATTTCAACCTCGCTCGAAACTCATCCATCTAGGTTATCCCCAACATGAACATAACGATGTCGGGCTCGGACCATACGGCGCAGCCAGATGCCTTGATTCGCACGGAAGATGGCAGGAATTACTGGGAAGGTGTCGGCGCCGATGTTAATGGGATGCTCGGGGGGGTCACCTCTGTTGCTGGCTTTTCCAACATCTCCAAAGTGGACTTGCAGGGCTCACGCAGCTTTCTAGCCAAGCTGGGCATTGGCTCTAAGAATGGAAGGCGTATTGTGGCTAATGCACTCGAGGGCGGGGCTGGGTAAGTAATGTCCCCTAAGAACTGTCAAGTACTTCACAGCATACTCTAAATTTATTGCTAACAATTCACCCTTTTGGGGCCTATACAGTATCGGTAGGGTCACTGAAGGCCTCCTCGCCGATGTGGCGGAGCAGATGGATGTGATTGAGCCAGTGGCCAACTTTACTAAGACTCTGCAAGCCAAGAAGGGCGTGCGCAACGTCTTCAGCGTCGGTTTGGAGGACTGGATGCCTGAACAGGGGATCCTATATGACCTGATTTGGACACAGTGGTGTGTAGGTTACCTTAACGATGAGCAGCTACTGCAATATCTGGAGCGATGTCGGGAAGTGCTGAAACCCGACGGTGGACTCATTATTGTCAAGGAGAATCTAACGACGAGCGGTGTTGATCTATTTGATGAAGCGGATAGCAGTGTTACGAGGTGAGTTTTCCTGGCACCGGAATGTGCATCCTGGTGTGGTAGACATTGACTGACATAGTGTATTAGGGAAGACGGAAAATTCCAAACCATCTTTCAGCAAGCGGGGTTGCGTATTGTCAAGTCCGAGATCCAGAAAGGTTTCCCAAAGACATTTCCCAGGAGACTATTTCCCGTAAAGATGTATGCACTAAAACCAAAATCAAAAATGTGATTGGCATTCTCTTTACGAAGGTACGGAAGTTTGATTCATGATATGAAATCAATGTAGGCTTGTATATTTTCTCTTGTGTTTACTGTCGATCGTAGATTTGATTTGTCTAAGAAAAGTGAAAGCCAAAAAATAACCCTAATGTTCCTTGTGTCGAAACATTTGACGCAGTCTCTTGGCTGAAAACTTCGCTGCGCCATCTCTGCCGAAACCGTCATATCCATCACTATCATCATCAGACCCGCTGACGCTGATAGATTCATGCTTGAAATCATCATGAACATTAGGTTCATCACTGTCAATTTCATCATCATCGTCGTCTTCCTCCTTGATCTCCTCAGATTTGCTGTCCCATTGCACCGCCCTCCCAGCATCACTACCATCGTCATCTTCCTCCCACTCCATTTCTTCCTCTTCGACAGCACCGATATCCTTCAAAAGCCGAATGATTGTTTGCTTATTGAAGAATGACGCAATATCGAGTGCTGTAGGTCCATCTGGTGTCCTTGCGTTTACGCTGACTCCTCTGTTCAGCAGCTGCTGCAAGATCGGCACATCCCCAACATAGGCGGCCAGATGGAGCACTGTAAATCCTGTTTTTGTTACCAAGCCAATGTCAGCACCGAAATCAAGAAGGAGTACCACCAGCTCAAGATTAGCGTTCTGCACGGCCCAAAATAAAGGCGACCATCCCCAGTGATCCGTCGCATCCAGTTCCGCTCCCTTTGCTAAGAGCAGTCGTGCTAGACCCTCTCCGTTGGCCCCTCCAGTCTTCCCAGCCCAGTGCAATGCTCTTCGGCCGTGGTAATCTGCTGCGTTGACATCCGCACCGCTGTTGACTAGCCTTGTGACAATCGATGGGAACCAATTCTTTGCCGCGAGGAGCATTGCGGTCCACCCATGAATCCTCAGGTCAAGGTCGGCACCATGTTCAATTATCATCTTAACGATGCCTTCGTAGCCATCTTCTGCTGCGGTGTGAAGTGGCGTACGTCCATTCCTCTGGCGTTTGTTCACATCTGCCCCTTTGTCCAGAAGTAGCCTGAACAGTTCCTCCAGACAAAGCCACGCTGCTAATCCTAGGGCCGTTGAACCCCCTATGGCGTCTTCAGCATCGATATCAGCTCCAGCTTCCAAAAGCGAGTTAACCCGCTCAGGGTACCCAAAGTTGACAGCCATTCTTAGACCTTTGACAACAGAGCTGCCGACAGATTTCTTCTCTGCCAGTTCCTCCAATATGTCCCGTTGATTGACATGATCAAGTTGCGCGACTACTCGTTCGAAAATTTGCTGCCCGTTCTCGATCTTGGGTATAAGCATGCTCACAAGGCCATAATGTTGTTTTACAGCTGCGGAAACTAGTGGTGTCCAGCCATCTTCATCCTCTTCGTTTGGATTGGCCCCGTTCTTCAATAAAACCTGTGCCATATCTGAGTGCCCAGTCAATGCCGCTGCATGGAGCGCAGTCATGCCGTATATGTCCTTGAGATCAACCCTAGCCCTAAGCTGAATGAGTACCTCTAAAGCCTCTGCTTGGCCTTCCAGGGCGCTCCAATGAAGTGGGGTACGACCCTCGTTATTCTGGGCGTTGATGTTGGCCCCATTCTCCACAAGCATTCTTGTAATTGCGCTGTAGGAAATTGACCAGTGCAGCGGAGTGTTGTCATATTTATCCTTTGAATTGACGTTGACCCCTCGTTGAATAAACAGACGTACGGTTGATTCGTGTCCTTCGGGCACTGTCCAGTGCAATGCTGGGCTCCCTTCTTCGTCCTGCCATTCCATATCCACTCCTTCGTCCAACAGCATTTGGATGGCATCATTGCTGCCGGCCTCTGATGCCAAGTGCAGCGCCTTCTTGCGGGACCTTTGTCTGGCCTCCTCCCGATAGGCCTGTGTGACGTCTTCTCGGTCGGTCAGGTCGTTGCAATCAAGCAACAACTTGGCCACGTCGTTATGTCTTCCAATAATAGCCCAGTGCAACGCTGTCCAGTTTTCGTCATCTTCTGCCAAGTCGTCGGCTTTGTTTTTCAGGAGTAGCCGCACTACAGCCTCGTGGCCATACTTGCCCGCCAGGATCAGAGCTGTCTCTCTTCTTCTGTTGTGAGTATCGACGTTTGCCCCTTTCTCAAGCAGGAGAGCTACACTTGAGACATTGCCATTCTGCGCAGCGAGGTGTAGCGCCGTCGCTCCGTGGCTGTTCTGCTGGTTGATATCCATTTCTTTGTCCTCTTCCCAGAGGAGGTTTAGAACTTTGTCCAAACCCCAATACGCTGCGGCATGCAGTGGCTCATGTTGTCTGGGAAAGCAGTCGTACCACACACTCGTCCGAATTTGAGGTATGTACAGTACCTGCACGGAACAAGACAGCTTCCCCTTATCCTTGAGAAAATCGAGTACGGTGTCTAGTTCCTCGTCTAATTGGGCTGCCAACACGTGAGAGCCCCAATGGCGGGAAGCGTAGTCAAGGAAGCGGAATTCGTTCAATCTCGCCTCCAAACCATCTGCTCCGACGCAAGGTCCGTTGGCAAAGTCGTTCGAAGATAGGTATGTGAGGCAGGTTGTGGCAAGATCACGTTCCGGGTATGGAAGGAGCTGCTCAGGGTGTTTTTCTAAGTACTCCTGCAAGGTGCAATGAACTAGTCCTGTGCTGCCTGTGCGTTCATCAACCAAAATCAGGCCCTCGGAGACGCTAAGCAGAATCTCCGTATCGGTGCAACCCATCGGGTCTAACTCGGTATCTCCAGGCTCAACACTCAATGCATGGAGTAGCTCTTCCACCTCAAGTGTTCTTTTCGCGCAAAATATGTAAGAAAGGGCTTTTCTTGCCAGGGCTGGCCCATCCTCATTTTTTCGATTCGCGATTCGCTCAATCGTGGTACGATAGCACTCGTCCAAACTTGTTGAAAGGGTGTTCATAGACTGCCGGACCTTCTTGGGGGTGAGTTGTTTGCACAGGTGGCCCATCTGAAGAACTGCCAGCAAGAACCTGGGAATGAAGTCAACTTTGAAGCGCGTGTTACATTCAAAGTGTGGCTTTGTGGCTTACATGCCGTTCGCTCTCTCAACCACCGTCCTTATTACATCCTGTCTGAGTTGTTTATCTCGCTTGACGTGAGATCGCATTTTATGCTCGGCTTCAATCATGTTTTCTAAACATACTTCGATGTCTGATCCATTAGCAGCAATTTCGAGTCGACACAATTTATCAAAGCTGTCATTGAGGTCAATATATGGGCGAGAAGTGATGAACAGACGAGCAAATGGCTCCAATTCGCTAGCCATACGAAGGAATCTGCTTCTCGTCTTTTCTTGGCATTCGTCCTGGTCATCTCAGTTAGCCAAGCCCACCATCTCGTAAGGAAGGTTCATAGAAAATACCAAGGCGTCGATGAAGATATAAATCCTATTGAATCGTTCTGACATGGTTTTGATGAGTGACAGGCGATCATTGTTTTTGGGGTGAGTCCTTCTGGTGGTGAAAGATTCCCAGAAGGTCTTGACCTCCTCAGGTATGAGCCTGCACTGTTCAGCAAGCTGGCGAACGATGCTAGATAGTAATACTTCGTCGGAATTCATTGCTGAAGTTTTGTAGTCACAATATAGGCATACGATTGCGGCGTTGAGTTTCTCCACCTTGGCTTCTGTGTAGGCAACAGCAGCAGCCCTAGGTGAATGTCAGTCCATGACTTGTTTGCAAGTTTATGAGTGACTAATACGTCATGACAGTCTTTCCTGCCCCAGCTGCGTACACAAGTAAGCATTCTTCTTACGCAAATTCGGAAGAGCGGATACATACGGATTCCAGGACACCAGAGAGTAAAGGTGTCCTCCCCATTCAGCCATCGCTGAAAGGTGACCCCCTGCAACAGCCATTGTCCTGTACCTTCCTGATATTTCGCATGCACATCACGCTGCTTGTCATGGAAATTAAACTCCCCCAAGAACTGCAATATGTTGTGGCGCTCAGCCGCAGATTCTTCATCTACTCCTCGCGTTAGGCCCAATATCCAGGGTATTACAAGCATCCTTACTCTCGAGATATTGCTCGATACGTCTTGTACCAGCCATAACGGTATTGATACTACCGTCCATACGTTGCGCGATAGTCTGGGTTTTTCGAGTATCGGCCATAACCGAGCTAATGTTAGTGTCCATACGCTTTGTAATCGCTCGGTCGTTCTTCATGTTATCCTTGATTTGATGAACGCCAAGGAGTGTTGCGTTGTTGATAACTCCTTGAACTAGTTTGACCATTTTTTGGAAACGTTCGTGAGCTTCTTTGAGTTCTGTGTCCTCGCCAGCGAGACTTTGGAAAGCTTTGACTGATATACCTGTTAGTTAAAGGGTGGGTAAGTTCCACTTTACATGAAATTGGGAAGTCAATTATCCAAGACCGAGTATTGAAAGGGTCGGTGAGTTGGGACTGGACGTGACTAACAAAGAAAATTGGCTGCAAACAGCACGATATGAAATGGAAAACAACAAAGGGTTTGCTTTTTCGACAAACACACACATCGACGAACCCACAGAAACTCATGCAGGGTTCCGCAGAAGAAAACGTATTATTACCGAGTCGCCTTTTTTTGATGTATTTGGTACAAATTCCAACGAAACATAATGCCGATGTCATGGCCTTTGTTACAGCAACTTCCAGCCCTGGTATAGGCCGGACATTGCCGTCTGCATGGTTAAACAGTTCTGCTATTGGTAATAGCGCCAACCTGTCCTCCCAATTGTACTTCTCCATCTCAGGGGTTTCATAGTAGAAGGTGGGCGTGTTGGCCAGGAACCATGAGTACAGGTAGTCTTCCAGACGCACTTGCGGAAAGACTTTCGACACAATGTTCCAGTGATGTTGAAAATGGAATTGCTTCTTCTTTAGAATGTCCTTAGCTGGTTTAGGAAGAAGGTCCTGAAATTCCAGCAGCCAATAGTACGGCGTAGTCGCCTCGAAGTCCGCCAGTAGTGAGGGTAATGTGGTTTCCCACGGTTCCAGGGCGGTCGTCGTGTCGAGTGCTATGTTGGCAGCGAGTATGCCATGGAAAGGGGAATCGTGGGGAGGTTTACTCAATATAACCACGGAGACCGTGTATAGGCTACAGAGAGCCTTAGTGGGAACTTTGAGAATGACTTTCCCTTCCTGCCTGCTTGTCAGATCAGACGCCAATTATCAACGGGGCGATTACTGTCAGTTTTCGCGCCGTGACCACGCCGATGCCGCAACCGCGTATTTTCAGCGGATTGATCCCTCTTAGGACAACCCCTCGATCCTCGGCCCGCCTTCGCAGCTCCCTATAGTCTCCCATTGGAATTGATAAGAGATAATACAAGCTATACGGAAGATGCACGTGTTGCATACTCTCTTCGACGTATTACATCATCTGCTTGCTGTTCACTAAATCAATATGGCGGGGAAGAACCTGACCCCGCCAGTCGTTGGGGCGCCGAGCGAGGTTTCATATTTTCTCTTCGTATATTAATAATAATTACCATGGTCGACAAGTTGATCCCAGGTCGCTGTGAATTTCCAATAAGCAACTCCAAAGAAACAATTTATATTTACCGTATTAGCTTGAAATGGCTATGAAAAGTTGGAAATACTTGTTGGACCTTCAAGGCTACTACACCAAGACCGCCAAGTCAAAGAGAAAAGTATATGGCCGCAAACCGTACGATTATGGGCCAATATGACCTCTACCCAACGAACCGCACAAGTCCTGGATGTGGGACAAGCAACAGTCATTTCTGTCTATATAAGGCCCCTATGGCCGCCATTTACTTCTCTCAAGACTCTCCAGAGATCATGGCACTTTCAATACAAGACCATTTGCCCACAATCCAATAATACTTAACCATGTTAAATTATTTGAATAAATTATGAAATCCTTAGTACAGACCTAGCTATATTAGCTTCTTGTGATACAAGAAAACCATGAACAGCTTATGTTTGCCGTATTGCTTACTATAGTCCTTAAAAGTAGAATCTGCAGGGTTTCTGATAACATCTAGATCATACAGTTCGTACACGTTGTTCAGGAAGCTAAAACATATCCTTGATATCTGTTATGGAGTCTTGGCAACTGATTTTCCTTGCAATCCAACATGAACATCATAATTTCATGCTATGACTTGTTGTGGTCAATACAGACAAGAGGGTTGTATTGGTAATGATGAGTATTAGTCCTAGAGGCTGCAGCTACAGAAGGGCTACGTATTGGCAATTGGCCCAAGCGCTGCACCCAGGACACAGCCGGTGTGTCTGGGGCACGCAAAATTATTTTTTTATTATTAAATACGCCGTAGGCTCGAAGCCCCCGGTACCTCTACTAGTACTCCCGTATGTCAAACCGTGCCCTAATGGCTGGACTAAATACATACGCTGCGTCGTCGGTTCGCCCTATTGGCGACTGCGTTGCGTTCACTACAATACTACGTTGGTTCTCAACCTACCAACAAAGTCCCCCCTGAGAAGATCGATGCTATCTGGGCCTTGAAGCTGTCCGATCCGTCCCTAGCAGCCACCTTACAATAGTCCCACTAACTACTGGTTCTCCTGTTGCCGTTGCGAGGTCTCTGCGAGAGTATAGTGGCCATGGTGCGATAGCGGCCCGTAATCGTTCCCTCGGTCCTTCCAACAGCCCGCAAAAGAGGATTACGTGCTCTGCCGTCTCAGGGGCGTCGCCACAGCGGCATAGCGGCGAGTACACGCCAAAAGCCCCTGTCTTGAATAAGAAGGCTGCTAGTCCTATTTTTCCGTCCTGATCTGGCACAGCGTAGACGCTTCCAGTCGGTTCAGGCCGAAATACTTGCCCCCTTTCGGTATCTGCATCGAAGGGCCCTCCGGTTCCTCAGCGATGGCGCGTCGCTGGCGATCGTGATGCTCTGCTCCGGTGAGCCATCTCTTCCTCCAGTGGCCGAGGAGGGCAGCCGGGACCTCCTTTTACTCACTCATCCACTAGGAGCCCCGGGCCTCCTTCTCCATAGTGTACCCTGCCGGTCGGAGTAGCTGCGACGCCTGCTTCCTCTTCGCCGGTCTATCCTGCCGGAGTATATGTGACGCTTTAGCGCTCGCGCTGCAAAGCAGATTTCTCTTCCCGCTAAGCCGTAGCCGTTCTTCAAACTTAGCAGCCCGGGCACTAAGATAGAGGTCTAGTGGCGGGATTGCTGCTTCTGCTTCCAGGTGGCGAACTGGCGTCGCTTTGTGGGCGCCACAGACTACCCGGAGGCACTCGTTCTGTATCCCCATCAGGCTCTTAGCTGGCCCTGCCGGTTCCTCACTTATAGTATGCCACGCAGTCGCCCCGAAGGCGATCGCGCTACGGATAACCACCGTATATAACAGCCTCGCCCGTATAAGATCGCAGCCCCACGACATATTGACTAGCTTTGTCAGGGCTAGCTTTTGAGTTGCCATTTTTGTTTTAACACGCTCAACATGGGCGTGCCACGTCAGTTTGCGGTCGAACCAGACTCCTAGGAACCTCGCTGAGACTACCGGCGACACTGTGGCGTCCCCAAGGCGAATACTTTGCGGCAAGGGCTCTCGGGCCCTAGTAAAGTGCATTAGCTCACTCTTGTCAGGAGCGAACTCCATCCCGTGCCTCACTGCCCACCGCTGACACGTAGCCCATGCGCTCTCCAACCGGCGGCAGGTTCGTGTCGTCCGCGAACCCGACTACTAAAAGTAGTGGGTGCTGCTCCGATAGCTCCTCGTACAGCGTTGAAATGTATAATATAAACAGTATCGGGGATAGCGGTGACCCCTGGGGGACGCCAGCTCGTAGGGGGATTGGCTCTGACTCCTTGCCATCGAACCGGAGGCGTACCGTCCTATCCTCCACGAAGCTGCGTACCCACTCCTGAACCCACTCCGGGTAGCCTTTCCGGGCTAATATGGAAATCAGCCGTCTGTAATTGACCGTATCGAATGCCCCTTGATGTCTAGCTGTAGCAGCGAGGCGATGCCCCCGCGTCTCCACGCCGTATAGACCACGTCCTCAACTATACGTATTGCCAGTTCGGTGGACCTCCCAGCGCGGTTACCCATTTGGCCGTTTGGTAGTAGGCCGGCCGCCTCAGCTACTTTGGTGATACGCCGGCTCATCGCCGTCTCTATTACCTTCCCTACCGTGCTAAGCAGGGCAATGGGGCGCCAGCCGCCAGGGGTCTGCTTCTGAGCTGTCGTTTTATTAGGCTTAAGGATAACAACCACCCTCGCTGAGCGGAAGCGCTCCGGGTAGTACCCCAGCTTAAAGCTAGCTGTTGCCAGATCCGCTAGGATCTCCCATAGGGGTTCACCGCAGGCCTTTAGCAGGCCAGTGGGGATCAGGTCGTCGCCGGGAGCCTTCCAAGCAGCCGTTCCTTTGATGATAGACTCGATATCCATTGTGTTCACCTCCCTAGGGACGTTCAGCTCTGGTCTCGTCTGTAATAGACCGCGATCGAGGTCCGATAGATCTATACACGGGTCTGGGAACAACCTCTCAGCTAGTAATTTTGCCTTCTCATCATGTGTACGTGCCGTAAGCGTGTCGCCGGCGTCCCTCCGGAGATCTGGAAAGCCGTGGGCCTCAGGGGGGGCCCAGCTCCGTAGCCTAGCCCACCTCTGCAGTGCCCATAGGCTTTTGTGATCCTTCGCCGTCCCCTTGAGCTTCTCATGCCAGCTACGCGTCTGCACTTCGCTGATTTCGAGCCGTTGTTTTTGGCCGGCTCTTGTATATTCGTCCCAGTTGGTCTGCGACCTTGCCTGGAGGTAGTCCCGCCGTCGTCTCTTCGTCTCAGTGCAAGCCTTGCTAACCTGCGGGCACCACCACGGGACCCCAGCGCCTCGGCCAACGGTGCGTCTCGGGACCGCCACGTCGGCGATCTCTTGGAGGTTCCGGATAACCCAGTCAACAGCCTGGTCCAACTCCGTTATCGTCTCAACCGGCAAATAATTCATAAATCTCTGGCTTGATTCGGCTACGATGAGCCACTTATCCGCCATCGCCCAGTTCCACCCTTCGACACTGCGGCGGCCCTCCTTGACTGCTTCCCCGTTGGATATTACCCTAATCACTTGCGCTCTGTGGTCTGAGCCCTCTAGGCCCGGGTCCCCATCGTAATCAATCCTAGCCCCTTTCGTCACCCAGGCTAGGTCGATAGTTGAGTCTCGTTGTTTGTGCCTTTGCCGTGTGATTTCCCCGAACGGCGTAACGAGCTCTAATCGCCAGCGTCGCGCAAACTCCACTACGTTGTCGCTGCCCCGTGACGACCGTCCGTGGACGTCCCACAGCGGGTGATGTGTATTGAAGTCCCCTACGAGGACCTGTGTCCCCTCCGGCGCCCCATTAGGGAGGTCTTGGAGCGGGCTGACCCAGCGACTCCCGGTCTGGTTTGGTGAATAGATAGACCAGATTGTAAGGGCGTCCGGGCCTGCCCCGAACGTAATACTGCTCCAGTCCATCCCGGTACGGGGTCGCAACGTAGCCACGTCGTATCGTTTATGGACGTATAGCGCAGCTCTGCCGCTGCTGTACACTACTTCGTACCTGGACGACTTCGGGCAATAAATCGCCTTCGTCCGCCGGTTGATCCATGGCTCTTGAACCGCTATTATATCATAGTCACCCCCCTTATCCAGCGCTAGGGTTGCGTTCGCCTTTGAATCTGCGATATTCCAGTAGAGAATAGAGACTACCATTAAGCTGTCGATGGTATATCTTCGTTCGTACGTCCCTTAGTGAGGAAGCTACGCATTGCTGACGCAGACCGTTCGGTTCGTTCCTGCTCCACTCGCGATCCGCCCAGGGGGCGGCCCCGGGGTCGTACAACTGTAAACCCGTCGCTGGTCAATTAGCTAGGTGGTGTGAGCCTGCCCTCACTAGATAACCCGTCCGAGTAGCTGCGGACCTCAAATTGTCGGGGGCGGTGAGCGTACGCCTCGCGTACGCGTAGCCGCTGCTGTTCTGCCGTAGGGCAGTCCCTGTCCCACGCCGTGTGCTTCCCTTTGCAGTTCACACAACGTTTTTTGCCGCTAGGTGCCTTCTCGGGGCAGTTTTTTTTCACCCCCTGGGTGTGCCGTTGCAGCGCAGACGCCGCAACGCGCCGTCTTCTTGCAGTGTTTCGCGATATGGCCGTATTTGTAGCACTGGTAGCACTGCCGAACCCGAAGATTGCCGTCGTACGGCTCGCAATCGAATATCTGGGCCTCCCAAATAAGCCCTTCGGAGCATAGTTCCATCGCCGCCTCCACGCTATCCACGTGTAGTATCAGGGCCGCATACGGTGCTTGCGGCGCCCGGGGGAGGTTTCTTTTAGCCTTAGAGAGGTGCTTTGTATTGTCCCGCTTCAGGTCTTTAAGTAGCTGGCTCTCGTCGTGGACCTCTCGCAGCCGTTTCGCAGGCAGCCCCTTCGCGATCACTGCAACTTCTCTGCGGTTGAGAAGTGCCTTATCGCCGAAGGCACTACGCACCCACCTGCTGTCCGTGGTCGCCGCTGAGGCCGACTGCTTAAACGTCACTACGGTATCGCCACTGCGCAGCCTGCGGGCCGCCACTGCATCGGTGCTGCCGCGTGCACTGTTCACCGCTTTTACGACCTCAGCCGCCGATCTGTTCTTCATATTAGGGTCCTCTGTCCCCCGGATCACTACCTCTCTCTCCCTTCGCTGGGGCACTACAACCCGCTGCTGCCACACTGGGGCTTCACCGGGTCCCCGTCCCTGGGCCGATCCTGAGGCGATTGAGGCCCAGGATCGAGTTGTAGGCAAGGCCACGTTCTTCACCGTATCCTGCATGGTCTTCTCAACCATCGTCTGGATCGCCGCAGGAATTTCGGCAAGGGCCAGAGTCACTGCCAGTACGTCGGCATGTGTGGCGGGTCTGTCGCCCCCCTCCTCCAGCGTCCTGCCGGCTAGTTTCAACCCCAGCCAACGCTCCATCAAACCCCCCATGACCTCAATCTTCTCACGTGGGACCAAGTCGGCAATCTCTTGTTCTACCTTTTGTAGTTCTCTTCCGATCCCTTCCCTCTCTGCGTTCTTTCTGCTGGTGCGCTCCACGTTCGGTGCGTGGGCACTTTCGTTGGCGTGGGGGTGGTGAAAACTCTTTTTGAGTCCCGCCCGTCCCCCGTCGATCACCATCGGCGCCGCCATCGCTTGCGTCCTCGCTTCGCGTGCGATGCGAGGTCACTGTCCGACGTAAACGGTCGTTAGGAATCGAATGCCGCAATCGGTTTGATGATTTGACGCTGTTCGAAGAAGTTATCGATGAAAGTCAGAAATCTCCCTTCTACAAGTATATTCTTGCAAAATTATATTCATCGTCGACTCTATGTTGTCACTTTTTGGTGGCTTCCTTCACATCATCCTAATATCTTCCAATTGATTTCGTTATCCAAAGACCGCCCCTTACTCCTGAGAAAGCCGCCTCAGGTTATCTCTTAGCTATTGGCCTGACTTGTAGTGTTGTGCTCACGAGCATACTCAGTCTAGTCCTGGGAACAATCTTTGATATGCTGAATTATTTGGTAACCTTGTAGCCTTGTCGAGACCCCCGGGTAGATTGGAACAGGCGACGATGGATCATGCCATGAATCAGCGTCCATACCTACACAAGGTGTAGCTGTAGAGGCTATTATACTGCAATTATCTCAGTCGCCCCTATTAACAAACTAAAAGCGTCAATACCAGTAATTATTGAAAAGATTGACTACCTCCCTCTGGTTGGTCTTGAGCTTTTCTCATGACAACAAAGCTGTGTTTCGAACATTCATTTTATTTATATTTAGAATCCTGGTCTATACGATGCACATCAGCCACAGGAGAAAGTAGTTCGGGTTACGTAGTGTCTAGATACATATGCACGTACGGCTTAATCCACAACCTGTATGCTGGATACAGCGCCTGGGCCAATTGCCCATAGATAGCCCTTCCGTAGCTGCAGCCTTTGGGACTTTGTCTCATCATCATTCCCAATACAACCCTGTTGCCTATATTGCCAAAACAAACATATATGGGTTAGAGGAGAACGGACAAACTACCTTCTACGTTGAAAACTCTGGTTTATATAGAACCGTCACATAGGGTGCGACCCTAAAGGTGTGTATTGGGACCTTGAGGCTATTATAACCGAATTCCCAGCTTGTGAGTACATATGGTCACCTACCGTACATTATGGACTAGTATGACCACCACCTATCGTACCACACAATTTCTCCCTGAGTGGCAGGCATCGTTCATTTCTACCTATATAAGGCCCCTATGGCCATATTTTACTCCTTTAGAAATCTCCTGAGATCATTACACATTCAACACAACACAAAATGCACAATTAGCCCAATAGCCGAGGCACCAGATGTAGGCGGTGGGCATATGAGGCCTTTCTTCGACAGTCGTCCGAATCTGCTTGGCATCTCTTTCCGTTATTGCGGATGCTAAGGTGGTAATTGGCTCTGTCGTGAGTGACGCTGTAACAGGAATTGAAGGTGTCGGGTCTAAAGGGGAGGTCCCAAGCCGGGGATCCTCCGTCAAAATAACAAGAAGCAGTTATCTGTTCTGCTTTCAGGATTCTTGCAGTGAAGAGATTTTCTGGTCAATTAGATGTTTTATGATATTTATTCTTTGCTGGATATTAATTTGACGAGAAGTTGTTGCTTATATAGAAGTGAGAGATCACCATAGTCTTCGTGTCAAAGTCATAGTAACGATACACAAAAATAAAGTAAGTTTTTGGAAATATTTATATTTCACAAGATGGCATGCTGTAGCAGCTTGGGAAATAGTTCCAGAAGACGAGTTTGGAAACACTGGCTTAGATTTCGATACTCTTATCGAGAAAGGAGAAGCTTGCTATAAATAAAACCTTTCTTACAATCTGTAAATCAGCCTCAATGTATCAGATGGTGAGGTTTCTATTGATCCAAATGCTGGGCTGCTGAATCATGTTTCAATTTTATACTAGCCTAGTGATGTTTGCTGCTACTTATAAAACTCACATAAAATACCCATCAATTCTCTCCGATAATTCTGATGGTGACGTTGGGATGGGGGTGGGCTGCTCGTCCAAGCAGACATGGGGGTGGTAGTCCTCCGTGCATGAGACCCGCTCACGTGTGGAACTCCTCTTTGAGGGTTTCCTCGATGTGTTTCTAGTTGTACTTCCCGATGCATCCCTCGATTTATTCTTCGCACTTCCCTTGCTGTCGTGGCGTTGTCTTTGAGACGGTAGCGACTTTGCCAATATCTCTTCCAGCATTTCCTTGCTCGACTGCTTCCTTTCGCCATGACTTTCCAGCCGACGCGGAGCTTCACCTTGTGCCTTAGGAGGTGGCGTAGATCGGCGAATACTTTCCGGTGTCTGATCAATGAGGGGCATGAAGCTGTATCGCCGCAGCTTGCTTATCAGAGAATCATGGTATCTAGGATATTGCTGCCCTAGGAAATGAACGCTGCTTCGTCGCCGATGTGAAGAAGTGCCGATCGCCGCTCCCATCTTCTTGTCGGCTTGGTGTCCTGGATTCGTCTGCTCCGATCTCCATAGAGCATGAGACTCGCCAGCTGATAGCATGAGCGCACCTTCCGAAGGAGCACGATGGTCCCTGTCTGCAAGATCTGGAGTCTCAACAGGGAACCCGCTGTGAGCATCTACACCGCTGTGATAAAGTGTCGAGACTCTGACTTCATCCTGCTGACGCCGTGTGATCCATTCGCTGGTACATGCACGAGACCGTAAAGCTGGGAAGGATATGATGCTACGCTGATCTGGCAAACTGTTGCGTGACTTTATTCTTCTTCTCTTGCCCCCGCTTGGTTTATCCACGGGGGTGGAGCTAGGACGACCCTCCAATTGCGTTACCCGATTGGCGAATGGATTCGATTCCGTATGAATTTGACCAAATATCGCACTAGCTCGTCTAGTGAGCATGGGTGAGCGAGATGGGGAGGAACTGTAAAGACTGCCACGATTCGAGATGGTTGGGGATATCCCGCGGAGCGGCGAATCTTGATCAGAGCTCTCTGAGGATAATAGCCAACTCATCTCAGTGATACTGTGTCTCGAGATGATGGTCGCCTTGGTAGTTGGCGATGCTTGAGCACCTTGAGCACCATGAGCATCATGCAGAGGAGGACTTGAAAACTCCAGCATAGCGAATGACGGCCGTACAGGGCTTATTGTTGTAGCAGGGTACGCGAGACTCGATGTTCGAGGCAGAATGGCTGTCGCGCAAAGGTTGGGTCTTGGAACGCGTTCGTTAGGCAGAAGCACCGAAAGACAGCCGGTGGAGAGATTTTCATCGTGGAGTGTTCGAAGCCCGGCAATGACGATGTCCAGAATTCCGGCGATGTCATTCGTCGTCACCAGGTAGATGTCTTCAGATTCGCTTCGTAGCCCCCAAGGGCCCGCCTCAACTGTTTTCACAGAGGGTCTGAGGTTCTCTTCCAAGTTCGGGCATGACACTGATTCGGGTGAACAGTTCTCATGGCGTCGATGAGACAAATACGCCTTAATGCTACTGACAATCCCTTCTATCCCGTGGCGAACCGTGGCTGGGTCGTCGAGCCCATGTTCACTCAATGTGGAAGCACGACGGGCACTTGCGGCACTTCGAGCGTTGTGGCCGATCGAAGTTGAGCTCCACCTCTTGGTGGTTACTGGTGGAGCAGGAGAAGACATAAAGCTGTCAAGTGGCCCAAAAGACTCCAACGCTTCACCCTCATCCTGAGCCTCGTTGTTCCCATTTCCAGCGTGGCGATCTCTCTCTCTCCATCGCCGAATCACGGTTGGGCAGAAATGACCGTTCTTGGGATCGTGTTGGCGTATCGATAGAGGCAGGGCCCATTTCGAATTGTTTGTTGGTTCAGGTGCTCCATTCTCTGAACAAGGGGTAACCACATCGGGTTGAAGGATCGAGGGCGATGGGTCGGTGGGGATCAAAAGCTTCACCAAGCTATTGGGTGCGTCTCGCTTTCTTCGTGTAGATGCGTGCACACTCACATGTCGACTTGCAACGCGACTGGAGGGAACACTAAAGAATTGATCGCTCTCAATACTGGCGACTGAAAAGCGTATAGGTCTTGCCATCGTAATGCTATTTGGTACAGTTTCCCATACGTAACATCATTTATGGTGCAGGATGTAGGGGAAGAAGACGTGCTATTGGATAAAAGTATCAAGATCAAACCCTCAAAGTTTGGGCGGAGTGCGTATGGTTGTATTGGATTTCTTTCCCGCACAACTTTTCACTCCGGCTGTTAATGCAGGGCGCAGTTACCCACTTGGGTACTTATGTAACTTTGGGCTTAAAGTCGCGACAACATCTGAGCACAGTTGATTTACACCAGGTGGCAAGTACGAGGCAGCCCAGCTCACCAGGTAGCACCTTCTCGAAGTGGTTGGTATCCCAAAGCCCCAAATTGGGGAGACACGTACAAACAAACAAACCAAGATACCTATTGACCCCCATATCAATAAGCACTTGGAGTTTTCATTATTTGTGCTAATGTAAAAAGTGTCATGAGTGTGGTGTCATAAGATACTTGTGAATCACCACTACCGAACGTCCACACCATTAGCCCAGATATTCACACCCAGACGTAACAGTTTCTGGTGGCGACCAACAAAGTCCATGCATGTAACTTACTCCTGCCCATGTTCGTTTTGGCTCGAGCATCCGTGCCAACTGAACATCGGCGAAGAAACCCACAGGTCCTCCTCAATCACCTTTACTAGAATCCATCTCCAGTATCCACGCCATCAGCCACCAAACCAGTTGTGAATGGCCCAACCGGAGATCCCAGGCCGATTCTCTTCCCCTCAGGATTTTCAATAGCCACCGGACTAGGAAAGGTGAGCCATGGAGGACTAGACGCATCCTTGTCAACTTAGTGAATATGCTTTGTCGATTTGGTAAGAGACTGGTATTCGCCTTGGAAACCAAAGACAGTAATGTTGTAGCAGATGGTGTTCTCGTGACTGTTGGTTATGAAGTTCACTTAGCCGATGGCGCCTTTGATAACCGCGGGGGGCTTCGCTTCGTGGAAGACTTAATTAGGGATAGCGATGGTGTTGAAACTGAATTCAAAGTAAAGTGGCTCATGGTACCAACTGGGATCGATGCCCTTGGAGTAAACAATCTCCCAATCCCTCGATAGTGTGTGGTCAGAATTCATTGACGTAGCAGAGATACTCAAGATTGTTGTAATGGAATAGATGACAGTCGCGGCTTGTATTGTAAATGACTTGTGATAAGTCTGCTTCAGATATTTCGAATGCATTTGGAGTTTTGAGACTCTTCATCACGGCACCTATCGCCAAATAGTGCTAAGTAATGAAAAATAGCACGAGATAAATCTTGGCGCTATCTTGGTCTAGGTTCAGAGCCTTGATAGTGCGTGTTCGCAAACCTCTGGAGTCATCAGTTGCACTTTCCGTGTTCTACCTATACTTGATACTCTCCACGTTTAGCCTCAAGGTTTTGACTGAACTGCAAGCGGCGCATTTGTAGTACCACTGACCGCAACGATGATGGCAAATCTTTATATGATTGACTGTTACTTCTTCGGGCGGATCTATTTGCTGAGCTTCAAATATTCTCTATATAGGGTGCAGAAGGCTCCCCTGAGTGGCGCCCAAGTCATATTGGCGTTAGCTGTAACTCATTACCGCGCTCTGCTGTCTCTATTCGCTGTAATTCTTGATAAGGAACCAATGCACCCCGCATGACAAGTTCAACTTGATCGCAAGCCAACTTTGCTGAACCACGCCCACCTCCGCAGTTCCCTCACCGGAGCAGCGGCTGATGATGTGACTGTACAAACGGGTTGATTTCGATGCTCATCACGTCTTGCATAAACTGCATGCTTCAAAGGTAAGAGTCGGCCATAGACATTTATACAGAGGCTGCGAGGACTGTATATTCCCGTGAGAAGCGCAGCACTGGTAACCAAGAGGTCTTAACGTTAACTCAAGTTTCCCGTTATATGGAAAGCACTGACGGGGTCATAGTGTGGTTGGTACATGACATCCAGGAAAGTCTGACGTACCTTATTTGCCTACCTTATTCACCTGGCGCATATGAATAACGAGGTAACTAAAGCCACATGGACACTAAAGTCCATAAACTCTATTATGCGGTGTGCAACCTCATAAGAACAGAGAAAACCTGCCAATCAGGGCATGAAAGATAAACAATATGTGAAAGAGAGCGGCCTGATCCGATTCAATGGCTCTCAGAGGCCTATGAGATTGCCGGAGCTCTCATATTTCTAATAGGGCTTCTACCCAGTGTTTTTAGAGCCCAATATCCTTAAGTTCATGCATAGCAGCAAGGCTGCGCACGATCCTGTCAAGGTGGTGTTAAAACTCATGAAACGGATTTGTTTCTTAAATTGGGCGAGGAGCTACAAATTTGAAGGCGCACCGGAAAGTGGATGATCCTCGAGAAATTCAGCGAGACCACTATATGTAAGGCTTACGAGCACCAGCTGGACGCAATGAGGCAACAGTATAAAGGGCCCAGCGACGAGGTTAAGAGACGTAAGCTCAAGATGGATTGGACAGATGGGAAGAGTGTAAGTGGCCAGATGAACTGGGTTATCTATGTGGATGCGAGAAGTTTCGGCGGCATTATTACACAAAATCGTAGTTCATGCTTATAGCTCGTTAATCGTGGTATGGAGCTACTCGCGGGAGGCTTCCACAAAGTTTTTTTACAATCCCCAGCGTATCTATTATTACGGTAGCCCTATATATAGTTGCAGAAGGGGCTTTTTTTATTACTAGATGGCCTTTCTCATTTTACAGTTCGAGGGTGCGTGTCCAGAAATCAGTGTTAGTAATTTCGCCAATCGCCTGGCTTGGGAGCAGCTTCGGAGCGCTGAGTTTCTGACGATATCGCCAATGCCAACGCACGGTCTCTGCCAGAACTATGAGTTGGTTGGCAAACTCGTCCGTTCAACATATTGCCTAAACCATCCAAATAGCATTAAACGTCCAAAGTTTGCACTGGGGTCTGCCTTACAGACGGCAAAGGCCTGGAAGGAGATCGGGTTGTGCTGTAAATTGCGAAATTTAGAGAAAAAGAAAACGCCGTAGCGGTATATTATACACCAAACGGCAGATTCCTTAAATAACGTCCCACACCCACATCCGGGACATCCCCACATGTGGGACACCCAAAAATGCCTCAACACCGCTAGCCTCTAACTTCAACCTCTTTTTTCTTTACCAATATCGATTTAATCGTTACGAAATTTTACGTACGTCTTCTTTACACTAATATGAGTCAATATACCGAAGATGATATTTATCGAGCTCTTCAAGCAATAGCTACCGGTCAAAGCCTCCGAAAAGCAGCATATGAGCATGGTGTCCCAAGGTCTACTCTTTCACGACGGATTCAGGGAGCCCAGTCAAGAAATATAGCCTTCGCTGACTACCAGAGGCTCTCTCCAGCCCAGGAATCTCATCTGGCTGAATGGGTTCGAATCCAGGCTGCCCTAGGCCTCCCACCAACCCATCAACAGCTCAAAGACTTCGCCGAGCGTATCCTACAGATCCACGGAGACACCGAACCACTTGGAAAGAACTGGGTCCAGGCTTTTATCAAGAGGAACCCTTCAGTCAAGGTCCAGAAAAGCAGAGCTATCGATTCCCAGCGTATTAATGGAGCCTCAGCTAATGTGATCAGGCAATGATTTAAATACCTCGCTATCCCTGAGATCAAAGCTATTAAGGCCTCGAATCGATACAATATGGATGAGACAGGTATTCTAGAAGGTAGAGGATCAAATGGTATTGTTCTAGGATCATCTGAGACTCGTTCTATACGGAAGAAACAGCCTGGATCTCGAGCTTGGACATCTCTTATAGAGTGTATCTCTGCGACTGGTACTGCACTACCCCCACTTGTGATATACAAGGGGAAGTCTGTCCAGCAGCAGTCGTTTCCTCTGGACTTGACTCCATACGAAGCCTGGAGGTTTACAGCAACAGAGAATGGGTGGACGTCAGACTCTACGGCTATTGAGTGGCTACAAAAGATCTTTATTCCTTTGACTCAACCAGAGGACCCTGAAGAGACTAGGTTACTTATCCTAGATGGGCATAGTAGCCACGAAACGACAGAGTTTATGTACCTCTGCTTCATAAACAAGATACAATTGTTTTTCTTGCCGCCACACACATGCCACGTTCTCCAGCCTCTCGATCAGTCAGTCTTTGGACCCCTCAAGGCAGCCTATAAGGAGCTTGGTTACCTTAACCAAAGGGATACTACTACTGTCGTAGGGAAGAGAAACTTTCTCCTCTGCTATAGAAAGGCACGTCTAGCAGCATTGACCGCTAAGAACATTATGAGTGGATGGAAATATACTGGTCTCTGGCCTTCGAGCATAGCTAGACCCCTTATGAGCCCCCTGCTCCTTGAGAATACGTCAGCACTAATCAGACAGCCTAGTCAGACTTGCAAAGGGTACTCTGATAGTAAGGGTAGTCAGGACTGGGCGTTAGAGACATCAGCAGTAGCCTGGTCAACGCCTGAGAGGAGAGACGAGCTCCAAGATCAACTCAGCTTATTCAGCAAGCTTGATAGTGATCCAAAACCCAGCAGCTACTCTTTCGGAAAGTTCAAAAGGGCTTTGATGAGAAGGAATACCAATTAGCTGTCGTACAGCGAAAGATTGAGGTAATAGAGGCAGAGCTTGAGGCTAGTAGGGCTAGGAAGCGGAGGAAGGTCAAGATGAGCCCAAATTCAAAGTTTACTAATATCAAGGCTATTCGGAAGGCTCAAATCGAGGCTGGTGAAATTGAGGATAGTACAGATGAGTCTAGCGAGTCTGAAAACCCTAGTGACGGTGAAAGCTGTATTGTAGTCGCATTAGAATAAATGTAAAAAAAGGTTGAAGTTAATGGTTATAATATACAGCATCATTTTTAGGGCGTCCCACATGTGGGGGTGTTCCGGATGTAGGTGTGGGACGTTAAGGAAATGGTTCTTGTACCAAGTACCTTGCCATTGTCGAAGAGGATGGAAATCCAACAAAGAAATTTCCCTTGTCAACTTTAAGCGCGAACTTTCCGAATGATAATGCGACTAAACTCTAGACCCCGAAAATGTGGGCCTATATATGTATAGAATTCCTCATCTGAGCATTGTGAGACAGCAGTTCAGCCAATTCCTAAAATTGCAAGCCTATTCTCCAAGGTAACAGAATCAATTTTTCTACAGTTGCACGGGCCGATCAACGCGTCGATGCCGTGAGACTCAATCCTAGGCATTTAACCTACTGTACGAGAGCCGTCATTCATGGGGTTCAATATGTATGCCAATGTTCTACTCCTGGTGCTACTAAGCACCCTGGTGATGGGTATTCCTATATCCCACGCCACGAAAAAGCAGGACCTGCTACCTATCCTCACAATGATATCGGAAGACCCGGACTTGTCCCAGTTCTACGCTCTGTTCAAAAGCACAGGAGGCAACAGCGGCATACCTGGTCCCCCGTTCGAGGAGCGATTCAACCGTGCCGAGACTCTGGTCCGCTATACCGTCTTCGCACCAATCAACAGCGTACGTTCGCTCCCCTCCAAAAAAACCCGGGCCGCATCAAGCCACTGTGCCCCATGCCTAACCGTATCTCTCTAAACAGGCTTTCGCCAACCTCAACCCTGAATTGATCAAAACCCTCACCTCCCCACCTGCCTACCCCTTCCTAGCGTCGATTCTCAAAACTCACCTCACTGAAGGCGAGCTCTCCTCAATCAACCTTACCAATGGCGGCACCTTCACCGCCGTTGAAGGCTTCAAGATCAATGTCAGCGCCGCCGAATCACAAACAGGCATTTCGATCAACGGGCAAGCTCGCCTCATCTCCAGTATCCCCGTCCAAGCCTCTAACGGTGCCGTCTTCAAAATCGACGGCATCGTCGATCCCTACGCCGACTATTTCGGGCGCGACAGTTCCTCGCCGCACCCTGCCGAGTCCAATACCTCGATGCCCGTCTGCGATGGTGATGTAGCAAATCAGACGAGTATGGCGGATGTGCTGAATAGCACACCGCAGGTATCGACGTTTATGCGGTGGTTGGGTGCCGTGGCGCCAGAGTTTGTCACGACGCTGGACTCAATTCCTAAGGCCGAAGGGGATGCCAACGAGACGGTTCTATTTGCACCGTCGAATACGGCGTTTGCAAACTTGCCGTCCACGGCGGTTGATAAGGCTCTGGAGCCACATAACCAGCCACTGACAGCGTGGTTGTTAAAGAATCAGTTTGTGAGGATGTCGGGAAGGGCAAACACTATATCCATGTTTGGATTGCCGCTTGCGACTACGATGGCGCCAAATGGGAATGTGAGTGTGATTAATAATGCTAACGTGGAGAGGGAGAAGGTTTGTTCGTGCAACGGGTGTGTGTATGTTGTTTCGAAATGGATTGATCCTCTTTTCGGGATTTTGGGATTGCAGAAATAGGGAGGTCGCTTTTGTCGGACCGTACCAGCCGTCCGATTGCTGGCGATGGATGGTATTGGATCTTCAAGGGCATTACAGCTTATGTTTCCAGTTTGGGAGGCCATATGGCCACCTACTGTACCACACAATTTCTGCGTGTGGTGCAGACAGCGTTCACTTTTCTGTACTTAAGGCCCGTAAGGCCACATTCATATCTTTCAAATCGAGGAGATCAGAGACACATTCAATTCTATACTTTGTTCTAGAGTGCAACAAGCCCGATATGTTTGCGATGGTGGAGTCACTAGGGTGACGTATGAGTTACGACCCGGGAACGACGGATGACGTTTAGTAATATCAGTTGTTTCCCTAGCGGACTCGGTTTAGTCACGGGGTGTACATAGAATTCATAGGGCTACCGATCAACCTGACAACGGCGACAGTGGCGGCTGGAACTGTATTAGCACCGATACCAATATTAAATTGAAGCATGATTTGACGTGCATGATAACCTTTAAAGCTACGTGCGTTCTGATAAGCCATCTGATGCGACACAGACAACTAGTGTAGTATTCAAAGAAATCACTCATTTGTATATTGTGATATATGGCTAACCGTTTTGAAGTCATGGAGCTGTCAATGCGACATCTACAGACACAGTTGTACGATCTGGATGCACAAATTGTCGCACTCAGACCCTTTCCACTAGCAACCACACCTATCTTGCATACATCTTCCTTCTTGCTCCCCCTTTCAATACCGACAGAGAGATCCTATGGGGGCTTCACCTTCGCTTCGGCACCGGGTAGCACGTGGTGTGTTACGATAACAGTCCCAGGGACCTCATCCACCGATATGGTGACTTTGGTCAATCCATAAGGTGTCTCCTGTTCATACTCAAGGAAGTTGAGTCCTGTCAAGACAGGTGCCCGCCCGAAGGATTTCCATACTGGCTCGATGGATTATAAACCGGCAAGATACCTCGGCAACAAGAAAACGGGCCATGTTCAGCGCCCATGCATCAAAGACGTGTTTTGGTGGAATTTTCCAAGTGGCTGGGATGGTCTGGTGGAACCCGAAGACTGATTGAGTACGAGTTTACATCTTCACACAAGCAATCAGCAGGTAGATTGCTTCCAAGCCGAAGACGACCAAAGCTTGGATCCCATAGATACGTTATTATGCTGTCCCTGAGTGTTTCTGCTTGAAAATAATATTCATCTCGGAGATATCGTTGCAACGGCGTGTAGTGCATCATAGATAGGCCAGATTCAGACCTCCAGAGACCCCGAAGATGGGATTACCCATAGGAAACCAGGTCACTGTTCCATATAATATGCAGTTCGATTGTGGGAGATAAATAGAGTTCTGACTTGAGATTGGAGTGGTGCTTTGACTCGTCCTTGACTAGTTATCATACGAGACGCAAATCACAGCAGCTTTAAAAGGCAATCGAAGCAATTTTGCTTCAAGGTCTCATCTTCAAAGTGGATCTAGCAATTCTTGATGGCGCATGGAAGAGGGTTCATCCCAACTTGAAAGTCGCCAAGCGTGCGGCTTTCGTCTGACCGACCGAGTGATTATTGTAGAGGACACCATCTGCAACCTGCAGCGATCGATGAGACTGAAGTCCAGTCTGCTGGCCCACCAAAAGCCACCGAGCATAGGTCTGATATTGAGTTCATATATCTCCACGTCCATTGATAAGGACACCGAAAGTGGTATCACGAGCAACAGTCTCGACCTTGAGCCATTGGTCTGGTGGAAGCTCATCCGGTAGGATCCGCGATCCTTTTACAAACGTGTGAAACACTGCGATATTGTCCGACAACCCTTCAAATGCATAGAGCTGCCGCTTTGCAACATCTAGGCAGAATATTAATTCATTAGCGACCATGTATGTTGCCCAATTAGGGCCACCTCCCTCAGTCCACATTTCGAACTGGATAATCTTGTCTGCCCGTCTATTGCCGTGGACTCGAGTATCGTCCTCTACGACTTCTCACGCAGGTGTAGTCTCGCCTTTAGTAGTGGTGCACATATCCACGGTGCGAACGCCATCACACCATACCCGGTTCAAAGTCTTGTTTGAACATTGGAAGTGGCACTTCGCGGGGCCTCAGGACGGATGCGCTCGAATGCCACCCTCGAAACAGCAACTGAGGAGTTCAAAGTGAGTCGCACCAGTATCTGGTATATTTGAAAGCGCCGTGCGAACTTAGCCATTATACGTTGTGGAGTTGTATTTGGGATTACAGTATGCATCACACTCCAGTAAGAGTCTGTTGCAGACGGGAAAGAAAAAAGGGGCCATCTCCTAGGCCTCACTAGTACGACAGACAGCGATTTGCTCATGAAAAATGCGACAAATTTACCTGATTCCTCGTCGATACCCTCAATAGTCGCTACTGATAACTCGGAAAGTGATGTCTTTCAAGTTGCCGTCTGCACGGCCAAACTCAAAGATGAGCGCACCTCCCTCGCAGCGGCCATAGTCCTGAAGCACCTCGGCAACAACACCATCACCACCATTGGACAATGTGGAATTCTCCACGCTGTTATCTGTGCTGTCGACCTTGATTCAGAGGCACCCAGAATCTTGCGGGGCGCAACCAAGATGTTTTCCGAGGCCAGGGCTCAGACACTGGCACAGTTGTCGTAATAGGCATAAACAATGGGTGTATCCCTTGCGCAACTCAAAGCAGCGTGAAACGTACGTGGGAAATGCAAGGGAGGACACCCGTGTGGCTAGGCTCGAATTCGTTTGAGTATTTGGGACACCGTCGGAGACTGTTGACATGATGACGAAGAGATGACTGGGCAATTATGCGGGAAGTTACCCAATCATAGTCGATGTTCAGTCCAGTCTTAGAAAGACTTCATAGAGACTAGGATCAGCGCACAGCATCAATATGCAGACCATATCTACCATAGTAACCAATTCCAGAAAGGTGGGTCACGCTGATTGCCTGAAGCGCACGTCGCGTCGATCTCGAGTCGTAGAAAAGTCAGAACTTAAAACCTGGCTCATATTCGCAAATTTGCGACGTGACATTTGTCGGGGGGGTGAGAATCCTTTCTTGCAAAATTCTTGAATAAAACAACTGTCCCTTCGCTTTAAGATGGCTGGCAAATGCGATGCCCAAAGAGGCTTAGGGGCAAGGCAGCGGATAACAATCAACACTTAACTCCACTCTTATACGCAAGCGTTTCACCCCCCCATCCCCCACCCCCCCAAAAATTGCCCCAGACCTGAGACCTGTCCACCTGAAAACTAACCTGGCCAACGCTTCCTTTGAGGAAATAGATGGGCTATGTTCTTGCTGACCAGCCATGTTTCTATGCTCGAACTGTAGCCGATCCTTCTCCCGGCCCGAGAACTTAAGTCGGCATGCACGAACACGTGAGAGTTTGTCCCAAACTTGCAGTCAGCGGGAGCTAATATTCATATTTCCCAGACAAAGCAGTACTTCCTTATGCATGCCCGACTTGCAATAGAGGCTTCTCGAGGAGTGACCTGCTGGCAAAACATGAAAAGCTGCATAACAAACCCGGAGATGGTGCGAAGAAACGGACAGCCCAAGTTCCAGGCCCAACTGACCCCGGTGGTCCAAAACCAAAACGTCCCAGAGGGCTTGATGGTGGCCCACCAGCACGAGCTGAATCCCACGTCCCAAGCATCGAGCCTCTTACTGCTTCTCGTGCCTCCGCTGTATCGGGAGCAACTTTGAACGCCACTCCTCACTCGCATCACAGAGGATTTCAAGTTGTCGGATCCGGCGGACCAACTTTACCTAGCCACTTCAATTCAACTGCATCCAATACGGGGTCCCCAAACGTTCTTCCCCCACTTGGCTCAATGCCTATGTATGCCGATGTGGATCCCCAATCACACTACTTCGATTTCATGTCATTCAGCAAGCCATGGAATGGCGATATGCTTGCGAACTCGCCTGATTGGTTTTCGCTAGACTTCTATGAAGCTTTACATGAGACCAATTGCAACTTTGATGGAACAACCACCTATCCACGCAACACATACTCGCCCAGCGTCTTTCCACTCGAGTATCTTTTCGCCAACAGTCTAGAACATCGTCCTTCCAACTCCTATGAGCAACCGGATCCCCGCGCCTCGCAACCTCCCAATCATGACGACTCCGAAAAGATGTCATGTGCTGCATCACCTCCCAATGAAGCCTCCTACGAGGATCGCCTGCCTTTTGCCTGGAACCCCAAGTCCCGCGGCATAAGCTCTGCGAAACCAATCTGTCTAGATTTTAGTGACCCGCTGGTACAGAACCACGACCCCAGGTTTGACATATCAGACCGGGTACTCGAAGAAGTGGCAAAATTTCTCGATGCGGGTGTGCAAACAAGCCCCAGGGAAGCCTTCACTCTGCCGCCGCTCTACGTGGTGAACGCCTTCATCGGGTTGTTCTTCAAACATTTCTCGTGTCAAGCTTCTGTTCTACACCATCCAACTGTAGACACCAACACACTGCCACGCTCTCTGTTGGCCGTCATCATTGTTGTGGGTGCCATCTACAGTGGGCTGAGGCGTACCCTTCGGTTTGCCATCATACTACTGGAACGTGTCAGGCGTAATCTTCAACTTGATATCGAGAACGACAATAGCCTAATGAGAGAACCACTCATCATCTACGCATGCGCCCTCGTATGCTACGCTGGACTGTGGTGTGGCAACAAGCGCGCTTTTCAGCTTGCAGAAGTATCGCGGGCCGTTATAGTCACCTACATTAGACGATTGCCAAAGCACCAGGAGAAACGCTCGCCAAGTTCGAATCTGGATTTCCAGTGGTCCGAGTGGGTCACATTGGAGAGCCGTAAGAGGCTTCGGTGGTTTGTTTTCATGATTGACTCTCATTTTCCAAACCTACTCAATATGCCAAGCATGTTCTCACTTTCGGAGGCGATGCGATGGGAATGCCCATGCGATGACCACTTCTGGACTGCGCAAAATGCTCGTTGTTGGAAAGACCTCCTCGGAACTTCCCCAAACCCTCCAGCACCGAGCTTTGCCGTTGCTGTCGCCCCTTTCCTGGGACCTGCATTGGGCCACACAACACAAAGACCCCAGCAAGCGCTCAACCTCAATCCATGGAGTTCCTTCCTCGTCTTGACTGTGATAGCTTCCAAAGCTTTCGACTACTCACAGACCTTTATAATCGCAGAATGGGTTGCACCGCCTGAGTCCGACGTCAACGGCTGTGTTCAAATGGGATTCGGAAATCACCGTATGGCTAATTTCGGCAATCTTGCCTACGACCGGCACAATATTTTAGGTACGATCAATTTCCACATGCGTATGACGTGTTAGGACTAGTTTCACGATGGCCATGTTAGGATAGTCTTCTCATGAGCGGAATGATTGCCGTGATGACAACGTGTTTTTCATATCATTATTCCAGTTACTGACTTATCGTAGATGCCCTGCACCGGTGGCAAATTGCATATGGGGTGACTGGATCATCTCGAACGCGTACATATCAGGAAGAGAATTTTCTGCACCTCGCATCGTTATGGCTTCATCGCCTTTCAGAAATGTGTATGAGCATCTCCCTGACTGACCTTCAAGATGCCATTGGAAATGAGGGACCGGAAAGTTCACCCGCTGGATTCAAACATCTGGGACAAGCAAGCGTTTTCGAGTCATTACCGTTGCGACAGACCTCCAACCGGCATGTGGGCGGTGTAGACACCGGCGACCAACGTTTTGGCATCTCGGCAGCATACGAAGCTTTAAGGATCATTTCCATGACTAGGGAAACTTCCGTTGTCGAGATAGCGGCACCTTATAGCACAATTTCCATTTTTCTGGCTCATGTCACACTGTGGGCTCTGGCAAGAGTCTCGTCGGCCGACATGAAGAACCAAATTCTTCAGCTAACGAGAGATCCAGTGTTGGCGTCGTCTTTACCGGATGCATTCCTGAACGTGTTGAACTCGGCCTTTTCAACCGAGCCAGGGAGTGATGGTGTCAAAGAAGCGTCGCAGATTTTCAAGCATGGCGCAATCTCTTTGGCGAAATTTGGGAGATGGGGTGCGTGTCTCAATGTTGCTGTGCTGCTGCACTGGCTTGCAGAGCATTAATGAGTGAGAGCAGGCATTTATCCACATACTTCGAATTGGATTAGGCAAGTCTGATTCCATGTATTATAGAAGCAAAAGGTTGTGTTCTTAGATGTAACGAGGTCATCATGTTTTGTGGAATACGCCGGTATTTACTGAAGCACTCCACACTAAAGCAACTGAGGACAATTTTGAGAACTCATGATGTGGCTAGTGGTTGAAATGCAGTCTTCGGTGGACTTTGTGACGAGTTGCCAAGGGTGCTTGCACATTACCAAGGCAGACGTGCTGGGCTTAAGTTGGGGTAACGCATGCACACGAGTCAGACCTGGTCAAGCTACTCATTAAGCCACTCCAGGACCTGTTCCCTGCTCATTATGCAGCCGGTCGGTGCAAACCCGCAGGGTGCGCAGGGTAGATAGCACGTGGCGACTTGTACAAGTCGACGGTATCAAACAGCCGTCCAGAGGATGATTACGTGGATTGGTTTCTTGTCAAGACCAGCCTATGGCTCGGCACTACTCCAGGAAGAAGATCGATACCAGAAACGTTGCCTTCGATCGGGACACGGACAGATGCGTCAATGGAAATGGCTCAAAGCATTATTGCTGTTTTGGAAAAAGCACAAGTCTTGTTGGGCGTAACGTACTCCAGAAGCAAGTTGGCCACTTTTTCTTGGCACCGTACGAACAACCTTTTAATTAACATCTTTACACATACCAAGATGGGATCGAATTGTAAAGAAAGAAACATGATTCTAGCGTGTCAGGTGCTTCAATCGAAACCCGAATTAAGCATCCGACGCGCTGCCCAACTCTACAATGTCCCTCGTACAACTCTAGCTAACCGAAAACACGGACTACTATCTCGACGCGATACTCGACAATCTAGTCATAAGCTTACGGAATCAGAAGAGTTAGCGGTCGTACAATATATACTTGACCTAGATTCGCGATCATTTCCTCCCTGGCTCCATGGTGTTGAAGCTATGGCTAACCGACTGCTCCGTGACCGTGGCGCTGGACGCGTCGGCGTCAACTGGGCCTCGAACTTCGTACGACGACAACCAGACCTTCGGACGCGTTTTAATCGAAGAATCGACTACCAACAAGCCTATTGCGAAGATCCTGACGCGTATCGCGCGTGGTTTACGCTCGTACGAAATACAATTACGAAATATGGTATCCAAGAGGCGGATATCTATAACTTCGACGAGACAGGGTTCGCTATGGGCTTAATCTCATCCGAGATGGTAGTTACAAGTGCCGAACGACGCGGAAGGCCTCGTACAGTCCAACAAGGGAATCGAGAATGGGCTACAGTAATCCAGGGTATTAATTCGTCCGGCTGGGCTATCCCGCCGTATATCATTGTCGCGGGTCAAAACCACCTCTTATCCTGGTACGAGAATAGCCCATTCCCGTCCGATTGGGTAATCGCTGTAACAAAAAACGGTTGGACAACAAATGAGCGAGGCGTAGACTGGATTCAGCACTTTGATCGCTATACGAAGGATCGTACGAAGGGTGTTTATCGTCTTCTTATCCTCAACGGGCATGAGAGCCACCACTCGACTGACTTCGAGCTATATTGCAAAGAGCATACTATTATTACACTTAGTATGCCTGCTCATTCGTCACATAAGCTCCAGCCTCTCAATGTAGGCTGTTTTAGGGCTTTGAAAAGGTCGTACGGCAAAGAAATTGAAGACCTAATACGGGCGCATATAACCCATATCTCGAAGGAGGATTTCTTTTCGGCATTCTATAGGGCGTATCGTACGACTATAACTAAGTCGATCATCCAGGAAGGTTTCAGAGGGACAGGAATTATTCCGTACGACCTGGAATATGTGATTTCACAGCTGGATATTAAGCTACATACGCCTACACCTCCTGGGAGCTCGTCTGGCGCCCCCTTAATCTGGGAATCAAAGACTCCAAATAACCCAACCGAGGCATAATCCCAGTCTGAATACGTTAAAAACAGAATCGTATAGCATCGGAATAGCTCCCCGACGACAATACTTACGGCTATTGACCAATTTTCACGTGGTGCGACGGCTGTTATGCATCGGTTAGTTTTACTTGAAGATGAGGTTACTACACTTCGGAAGGCCAATCAAGAGCTAAGCCGTCGTCGAAGGACTCACAATCGACAGCTACAAGATGGAGGATCTCTTAGTTTACGAGACGCTCAGGACTTACAGTCTCAACGGGATATTGAACAGCAGCTAGAGGATGATATACGTGTAAGTCGTCGTCGTACGAGACCGGCCGAACCACGCCGACGGCGCTGTAGGATCTGCGGAGAGCCCGGACATAATGCTCGTACTTGTGAGAATGATAAAGATACGTACGAGGAAGAGGATTCCGATTAGTTTGAATTATTATTATTTTAGTTGTCGGCTGGTGTAGTTGGTCACTTCGCTGGTAGATAAGTCCCGATTTGAGCCTCGCCCACTTGGGTTGGTGACGAGTCGCGGGTTCGAATCCCGCAGCTGACACACAAGGGGGTTTAGTCAACCCTTACGGCGCGCTGCCCACCTTGTTGACTTCGCCTACCTAGCGATAATAGGGAGATTGGTGCAGTTTAGGATTACGAGCATCCTAGCCAGTCGACCGTCAAGCACTACGTCGGCGGAATATAACTCGACAGCCGGTCCAGAATTCGAATCGTTAATCCGACCCCTTATCGGACCTCACCTATCCGATAACGCTCGTCGGCGAACCCGTCCCCTCACGATAGAAGGCGCGCAGCACGCCCCCTCGCCGCGATTCTTGCGAGCGTCTAGACCACGTTACGGTCTATCCACTTGAGCGTATGGTTGAGATGTATACGCTCGACGAGAACCCCAATTAGCAGATACTACGACTTGTCGCGACAAAAAAATAGTCGAGCATCTTCTGCACATCAGCAGCATCCCACCCCTGAGGACGAATTTAAGTGCCACATTACCACGCTTATCGGTAGTTCAGGCAGGGGTTGTAGCACAGACTTAGGGAGGGACAGGAGGTTTAGTAGTCGTTTGGCTACAAGTTTACCTGTATAACCGCCCGACGCGGCTTAAGGGCCCGCTATATCATCTATAGCCCCTTAAGGGAGTGCTTGTAGAGGTACCGAGGGTTAACACCTACGGCGTATTTAATATTTTTTATTATTTTAGTTTAGTTAAGTTATTGAAGTTATTCATACGGTGCCAAGAAAAAGTGGCCAACTTGCTTGTGGGGTACGTTAGACGTTTTCAAGCACGGGGAGCTATTAATACTTGGAGAAATAGCACGCGGGCCTTGGGCAACTCGGGGCGTAACATCAATATAGGAAACCGGAAACAATCGCGAGCTTCTCATTCGCACAAACATATCTGATAGCCTCGAATGAACTACGAAGCTCATCACAATGTCGATGCTCAGCCCGTAGGTTAACGGAATAGCCTACCTTACGATGTAAGCAACTATAGTTAAGCAAACACGAGTAGTGAACCACTTGATGTTATCTGCCATGTTCTTATAGTCCTTTAGTCCTTGAATCACGGCACCCCACTGATTCTTTCCGTTCTGACCGTGAAAATGACTGCAGAGGCCATTATATGCTCAAGGGGGGGGCAACTTGGGCCGCTGAAAATGTCTACCTCTTGTCCACCCAATCATTCCCTCCCCCCTTTCCCCTTCCCCAACTTTGGTGCCTTGTCCTACTCCGCACTGACTCAGCCAATGCTTTGCTGCATCTTGGTGAACATATGGGGCCTTTCGACATTTGAGACCGGGTTGCATATGCTGAACTATAGAACGGATTTAATTCCCGTCTACAGAAGGCATTTGAGTTATAGGCATACGAATTCACGGTAACATATCCCTCTCTACACCAATCCTACATTTAGTTCAGGCTATATCTCTCCCACTTGTTGAAACAATCCCCAGGAGAGATGCGTACCGCCAAGGCGTACCCCAGTCCACAGCCGCTGCAAGCAACCCAATCCACCATAATTTAGAAGACAAGGGAGCCAATAGACGCCAAAGATTCCCCCGAGTTCGACCACCGGAACGATGTCGAGCACATTAAAGGCCGCGCAGTAGATGGCGACGCGTGCTGACGCGGTGAGTAGCTCTTCGAATCGGAACGTAACTATACGCTCTGGCAGGCCATTAAGACACACAAGCGCACCATCGCGCACTGCACGGCTGCCTTCCTCGGCGGCATGGTGTTTGGGTATGATGTTATTGTGAATGGATCCTCCATCCCGATGCCCTCGTTCAAGCTGTACTTTGGCGAAGTTGCCGACGGCGACAGGTCCCTCTTCTTTCCTCTCATCTGGACTTCCCTCTGGACCGCCATGTCGTACCTACTATAGACCCTGGGCGCTGCCGGCAGCGGCCAGTTCTCGGATATGATGGGACGGAGATGGATTTGTATAGGTTCGAGTTGCATCTCCTTCGCCACCACGAACCGGGGACTACTTCTAGCGGGCAAGATCCAATGGGTCTGGTCCTTTGCCACTGCCATCGCGTTCCTGCTCATGCCCGGGTCGCCCAGCTGGTGGTTGTGAAGGGCCGGGCTGCCGAGGCGAGGAGGTCACTGTATAGACTATGGCAACAACAGCGAGGTTGAGGCAATACTCGCAGCCATGGCAAATATTGGTTCTTTTGATTGTTTGTGGGAAGACGGCGTTGGGGTTGAGGCTCGAGTATTGGTGGATGTCATTTGTTGTGAGACACGCGTATTCCCTGTATAAGCCGGATTCGGAGGACAAGGACCCGGGGTTTCTGAAGCAGATTTTGAAAGAGCAAGGTTTTTGGTGAGAAGGACAAGGAGAAGTGAGCGAGGGGCTTCTCTCACAGCAGCTATGCGTCGTACAAGCTTGGGTTGAGCATCCCTTATGAATTTAAGTGAGTAGATAGTCTCGCTAGCTAATGGGCATGGAATAAATGAGAGAAGCTTTACTCAGAGGATAATGGAGGGTGTTGTAAGTGCTGGGCCATTAGTACACAAACAGATATAATCATATGTTATAAGTCGTGAAAGGAGGGCACTCTTTATAAAGGTCAAGGAAATGATGTATCCGCATAAATTTAATGCTTTGAACCCGATGGTTCATTGGGCTAATATCATTTGCTCCTTCATGTCTCTATCGTGTTTTTATATTTCCACATTGGAGGGAGAGCCTGAATTCAAAGTGGCCAAAGCCTACCTACCCAATTCCACTCCATCTATAATAACTTACTGAAGATCAATAAGGGACTCTACGCCTCATAAGGTTCGTGGTCAACGGAAAAATGTTCTATGCTGATAACTACCACCAGCATCCTGCTAATCCACTACCAAAACTGGCCGCTGTTCCTGCTAGCTAAATCCCAGAACTGCATTCAGAAGTCACGCTTGAGTGTTTGCCAAACACGCGTCTTTGTATATAAATAATTGGAGGGGAAAGAGCAATCCGTGGCTGCAAATGTTCTTGTCATGCCCAAGGTGGAGTTCTACCATGCGTTCCTACCTAATCAGGTATATCGAATCGCAGTGATCCATTTCCAGGTGTTGTGCCTTCCTTACTTGCAACCAAATAACCTTTTTCAACCCCAAGAGTCTTTGCTTGATCATCCATCCGCACGATCCGTGTCTGCTGCCAGAGATAACCAGAACGACAACACCAAACCGCCATGCGGTACTCAGACACTGGCAGTAATAAATGCTCGCCCATCAAACCGCATCATCACAGTCAGAAGCCCGAAGCTCCCCCATTCAACACCAAGAAAATCACGTCGATCACTTTTCTGATTCGCTGGACCCTTGCAATTAGTTTCTACCTCATTCGCGGAACTCTGAAGGCCATTCTCCATCTCATTTGGCTGTGGCTTGAGGTTATCGTTCTGATTTTCAAGGCCTGGACACCCTTCCTCGGTATTCTAATTCTGCAATTCATTCGTAGTGTGCTTCTAGTGGCCATAGAAACATGCCGAGTCGCACTGAAGATGGCGTTCGACCTGGATCCCCAGTCCACCGACCCGACAGTCTGCGTATACTAGCTCGAGAACGAGTCCAACGCGAGTCGATTCTGGGTCATCCTGATCCCCTCGCCCAACATCCCGTCTATTATGTACCTTCAGCTCGCCGCTTGTCAGCCAGCTTTTCGAATGCTGAGCCCCCTTCCTCACGCCCTACCGTCGCTACCTCTTCCCTAACCGCATCGAAAACCACGTCTACCCTCCCTGTACCAACTAACCACCAAGAGGTTTCACGCAAGGTGGTCCCATCCACAGCTACAACATACACTACAGCATCGGCTACTCGTCAACAAGCGAAGGGTAACGAAAACATCTCTCCCAATGTATCTCAGACTAGCCTATCTACCAAGCACAAGGACAGCATTGAATTGGCGGCTGCCAAGCTGCATCAGAAGACGAAGATGCGTACTGCTGGCACCATTCCCAAGTCGCGAACGATGAACGTCTTCTCGAACCTTACCTCTTCCATCTCTCGCGCTTCGATCCCAAATTTCAGCCGCACTACTTCAACCTCATCTGCTGCTGAATCCGATAGCGGTGCGTCCTTGTCTTCTAGACCATCCACGGCGAATGTTAGACCTGAGATAATCAATCCTCGTCAGATCCATACAGCCCAGCCCTCTGCCTACTGGACGGGTAGATTCATGGCATTGCAAGATCGATTCCACTCAGAGATGCTGCTACCCGACAACCTGACGACATTGGTCAATGCACATGCTCACCGTTCCATCGTGCCTCGCCCAAAACTTCCTTCTCATGGCTTGGCTACGTCCTTCACGAACCCTAACCTTGCGTCTTATGCTAAAAGCTGCAAACAAACCTCCTCATCTTCGACCACGGCATCCCCAAATACGACCGGACAGTTGAATGCTCGCAACAGCATTGACGCAGAGATGCTCGAGAACGAGGAGAACAGATGTCGTCGCGTGTTCTTGCACCTCGAAGCCCTGTGCACAACGAGCGAGGCCAAGCGAAGCCTACACGCCTGGCAACAGAGCTACGCAAGACGCACAGGAAAAGAGGAGTTTCTGCCACGTGGTGGTAGTATGGATGATAAGGGATGGATGGGCCGTCTTCTAGGGCGAAATGGCGCACAGGGAGCAAAGAGAAGCAGTCTCGCCAGCGTTGCCTAGAAGGCCTGAACGATTCTTGGAATGAGATTGACATGCGGTATAAGGACTGTATGATATACTCATGCAAGCAATGTTATGACGGCGGAATGTCATTGTTGTAAGAAACAGGCATGTTTATGATATGGAGAAAGCAAGCCATCATGTATTAGTCGACCTCCCCAGCAGGAATCAACGAGCTTTGTACACTTATTGCAATGAAACAATACGGCTTTGCAAGTCTCATATTTACCCACTGCATCTAGCTCATCATCCAGGAACCAGTATCATGTGATTGAATTTAACAATGTACTAGTAGAACAGGATTTCAATGTGTATTATTACTTGAATATACTAACGAAACAGCTCGGACTCATGGGCTATATACCCATGCCATTGGATCAATACCTGCTTATTCAGAATATACCTGACCATTTGATGATGACTTTGTAAGTATTGTGTGCCTCCGAACGCCAATCCACCGTCTCAACTTGGAGATAGTGTTGCCAGTTTGTCCTTGCCTAAACCCCTGTGGCACCTGCAACTGCGGTTGAACATAGTTCTGCATTCCACTGTCATTTCTCACGAAACCAAAAATGTTGTTGAAGGCGGCGCGGGCCAAGCTGGTGGTGGCATTCACTATTGCGTTCTTCACGGTCGTGAGTTTTTTGTCATCAAGTTGGTATCCTCCGTTGCAGACTTAGGGCCAATCGCTCGGGTGATTGTGTGTAGTGGTGTCACTATATATATTATGTTGCGAGACAGCCTGTACGACAATCGAAGAAGGAGCGATGTGGTCACGCCGGATGGTCACTTCACATAGGCCACAAGGCATTGTCTCGAACCATAGTAACATCAGCACAGCCACCAACATCGGCTGTAAATTAAACATGCGATACGAATAACAAAAACAAGCGAAACGACGACAACAGCCGGAGTCTATGCCTTTTCCTACTCATCGACCGCAAATTTGAACGTCATGTCTCCCTTGCCACGTTCAATTGAATTGCCGTCAGCATCCCACAGAGCCCGCTCCTTGTACGTAACATTCCCTTCCCAGTCGACCAGTATAATGGTCTGTCTTTGCGTGCCGTACGGTCCCGTGTCAAACATAACGGGCGCCTCTAACCCCGCATGCTGAATTGTCTCACAACTCTCGTCTTCAATCGCGTTGAACGCCACCTTCATCTTCTTACTTTCAGCTGTGGTCCTCCATTCTTGGCTCTTGGTCTCGTCATCCATTGCTGGTACGAATATCGATTCCTGCAACGCATCCAGAAACTCCTCGAACTTCATGCCGGGCTTGAGCGGGAGCGTGTCGGTATCGAGCACAGAGTACAGAGCCTCCGTCAATTCGTCCTCGTCGAGATCCTTCTCCACCGCTTTTCGAATAGCTTCTTCCAGCAGCTGTTTGCCCAGCTTAACCTTCTTCCACGTCGCGGGCTCCGTATACACCGTGTTACTCAAGCCCCAAACCTTGTCCCTCTCCCCGCCAATCCAAGGCACACTGTCCAACCCTTCACTCCGATTCGAAATAATCGCCAGCGGCTCAATCTCCTTCTTCCCTTTCCTCTTCAAATCCCCACAAATCAGCGAAAAGCCACCGACGCCTTTCACCATTCTGCCCTCCAGCATCTTTATCACAAAATCCTGCAGATCCTGTTCATCGGGCGCGCCCAGCCACGCCGTCACCATGCCGCCCCGGCTCTTCACTCCGTTGATGGGGTGCTCCGGGTCATTGCAGTTGGTCTCGCGATAATTAGTCAGCACAGCGAGTCGTCCTTGCTTGGTAATACCCATCCAGGTGCCGTGCTCGCGTCGGTGGAGGTCGACCGCCGACAACACCGAGTGGCCCGACTCGGCGTGTGTCCACCACGAGGGCCGGCTGGTGGGGCGGAGCACGTATTCATCGCGGTTGTCGAGGACGATGAGGGCGTATTTGGGGTGCGAGGTCGCAATTAGGGCGATGCACATGGTTGTATGTGTTTTATGGGTTGGTCTTGTAGTAACGTTTGCTGTTCTTATTGTTGCTGCTCTTGCCAGTTCGTGTTCTATTGATGTTGGGAGAGTCCCAGATGCGTCGCGGCCTTGAGAGTGGGGACGGAAGGAATCAGTTCTTGAAGTATCTAGCAATCCTCGTAACAACTATCAAGCACAGTTAATACAGTGGGGCGAGCTAAGTTCACCAGAATCTCCTCTATTGAGATCGTTTTGGCCCAGTTTGCCTTCGAAAAGTTGACTGGGTCCTCATGACTAGGGACGTTGACCACATCATGCGATTTCGGGCGGCATCGGCCAACTGTGAAGCCTGGGGTAAGCCGGGGTTCGGAAGCTAGCGAAAGGGCTAGTGCGACCCCTGTCCAGCCCTGTCGCCCGTAGCGTTCAAGGTTATTTCAACATCCGCAGTCCCGAACATGGAACTCAGTTAGTTGCATCAAAGAAGAGTTTTACGAATGTTAATTCCAGAAGTTGGCTTCATTCGGGGTTCCGCGCGACCTCGGGGTGGCTTGGGCCAGTAAGATCTACTGGATGAGTCTTCGATGATGCCCCAGAGCGCGAACCATGGGACAGATGGTTGAGTGTTACTGTTATATATGTGACCAGTTTCCTCCACGCAGAGAATAGGTGCTATAGTACAGAGCAATGCGAGACCGTATAGTGCACAGACGCTCAATTTGGACAACTTGCACGATACTGACACTGGACGGTTCCGAACCAGACCCAGCGGGAGGAGCATAACTGGAAAGACTCAATCAGTATTTTCGAGATGAAAACGGCAAACCAATAGGTAACAGACTCATCGTATCCGAGGCAACGTCAACAGAAAAGGAAAACCACAAGCCGATGATATAGGCATTGAGGTCTCGTGGCGTGCTACAGGCCCCTGCTGTAAACCATGTCTTCATACTCGAGCACGACGACCTGGAAGACGTGAGGGAACCAGCAAGATACTGATTGGATTAAGTATAAATGTTCCTTTCAAGTTCGTCTGTGACTTCGAAATGTCAACTTACGAAAATAGAAAACGTAATAACGGCCCATCAGAATTTGAGGAATAGGAGCACGTTCCACATGAGCTTCTTGCAGGGGGACATTAACGAAAACTTGACACACCAGACTATAGTCTGCAGCGCTGGGGTTGTCACAAAGCACGTCTTCTGCAAGGCGAAGCTTTCATCCATGATGGATGCATTTAGTTGAGTTCGTCCCTTGGAGGCGTCTTGGGTCCGAACGTTCACTGACCAATGGAGAAGTGCAGGCTCATAACAATCATGAACAGGACCTAGGCCACGAAAAGCCACACGTCGTATCATTAGAACTCGGCGAGGTGCCGCGAGCCCAAGGCAACTCGTGCACCCGCAACGAACGTCAGGGTCATGAGTGTAACCCAGTGACCTGGACGGTGATGTTTCTCATACCATCCAAAGATATTCCATAATACAGTTGCCAAGAGGCTTCAAAAACCACACTAACAGAGTAGAAAATGAGTAAAAATAAGTTGAACACCTAAAGAACCCCTAGTAATAACTGCGAGGCATCGATGTTTATTCTAGAGAATTTTCAGCGATAACCACAGCTCTGCGCTTTTCTGAGGACCTGGACAAAACTAATGCCCCTCCAATCAGGTTCCTCTTTTTAACGGGGGGGTTTGCAAGGTGAAGACTGGTCTTTGCCCACTTCTAATGTCGCATTTCGTCGTTGTAGGTAATTCAAGCCTAGTCAGTGTCGGAATGAATGCGTAGCAGAGCACCCCAGCCTGCAATTCTCCTATGGTTGAAATGCGTGACCAGTTTCCCAATTAACGTGACATGTATTTGAGATTCTTGCATGCTAATGGATTTGATAATTTCGCTTGGTGAGATCCGAACACGAGGACGCTAGCCTGCAGGGGCCGATGTCTTAAGCGCCCGGGCTAAGAATTTTGTTCCACGGCTGATGGATCTGTCCTCCGGTTGGGGTCCGTTCCTCGACCGGAGGAGTATTAGATAACAAGCGTCAATTGTCAACCTCCTTATCCAGTTGGTGCACAGGTCAACCCCCGGTTGGGCACTACGAACCTGGGCCGTGACCAGGATAGATACCAAATTTCTCCAATTCCACAAACAGGAGCATATGCCACAACGAAGCAAAGTTCCAGTTTGGAAGGAAATTTTGACCTCCATCCACGAAATGTCGAGTGTCAAGTGCTTCTTCGTGTGGCGAGATCTTGGCCACGTTGTTCGATGCATGCTAGTCCTACTCTTTCTTGCTTTGCAGGGCTTACTACAAATTTCGTAGCCTATGGATGCTCGATCCTAACGTTCTAGAATTAAATTGACTCAGGATGCGAATTGCTCGGGCCGAAGTGTGTTAGCCCGCATGCGACAATTGATGCTTCGATCCCCTTATAGTCTTCCCGGTCCTGAAGTACCACAACTAGTGGCATGCACCCAAGGAAAGGGAATGAAGGACGTTGGCATTAAGGACCAACGAAAAGCCTCACGCACGCCTACGTTCGTTTGGGTTCCAGTTTCAATAGGCGTTGGTGGTCACTCACCCTTAGCTGTAATGGGCAAGCTATTTGTTCCACTGTGATGGACTATTAAACCTTATACATGCAGCAGCTGTTTTGGTTCGCCATACCGTCCGACACCATGCATATGCTACAAGTAGCCCCCCTTCCTACCTTGTTTCTTGGTTCAATCCTCGCAGGTCCTGTTTGCTCCAATTACCCGTTGTATGGTAAGTTTTAAGCAATCCCACCATGCTGCATCAAGCACGATCTTGTCTTGCATCACATTGCTGATCAGCAGCTTGACCCTGCGCACAGCAACACAAGACTTCTGTCAGGGTATGGCTAGGCCGAAGGCAATAGTACAGAGTGATGGGGAGTAACGGGCGTCCCTCCTACGTAGCACCGGGTGGTCACTGGCGGTCTCAGGTAGGGGTGCCCACGATGATGCATTAATCTCTACTCCCTCCCTATCCTACTACGATATGGTCCTAATATAGATAGCTAGACTGCCGCTTAGACACGGCATAACAGCAGGGTCGGCGATGCCGAGGATCTTGACTCTCGTCATCCCAAAGCTTCACATAGATTGTAATCATGACTCGGGAGTCTTTTGTCCGAACCACCCCTCCGGCGCCCCACCGGTGTCCTGCGTTCAGTGTCCTGACAACTTCGAATTTAGACTAGCAGAGACGTGGGAGCAAACGCATTTTTCATCCTAACTACTTGTCCTTATTGGTCAACAAGAGGGGATACGTCAGGTTCTTGGTAGGTCTGATGCCTAGCCTTCTTTCAAGCCCACCAGGAAACGTTCCTAGCATTCTCCAAGGAAGACCTGGGGCCAGACCTCATAACACAGCTGCCCGGGGAGTAGAGAACTTTGGGAGTATGGGTCTGTCGACGGATTGTCGGTTGTCGGTTGTGAGAAAGTCAAGGCTTGGGATTTGACTCAATGTCCACAAAGACGGTGAAGTTTAGGACGGAGAAACCACAGGAGTGCAATTAAAGAGGACGAGTGTATTTATCTCGTCACAAGCAGATGATCTTCAAATGATGCGAAAGAAGTCGCACTAGAATTGGGATGCTATGAAACCCGCGGTTCACTGGGCGGATATTAGTCTGACCGAGTCAACGTGCATAGTTTGAAGGAGGACCTTATGATTAGAATCGATGCTGCATTTAAGGATTCCAAAATATATACGGGACTACTAGAATATTCACAGCGGGATTGGAAATAAACTACATGCCGAATATCACCTATAGAGCTCGAGACATATGTTTAGTATAAACCTGGATTCACCTGATAGCCTCGGCGCTGCTCCCTCTACCAACGTAATTGCGACATACATGATTTAGTTATTCATGAAATAGGAACTCTACGTACAGTCTTAGTTAACTTCAATCTTTCTTTCGATTAGCTGTTTTGTGTCTAGCTAAGAAGAATTTTTGTATAGCAGCTCCCTATTTATTCCTACAATAAGAAAGCCTATATGATAACCACTTTACTTGTTGCTGTGGGCAAGCGTGGCCTCAGGTGTGGAGGGGTACAAGGCAGATAAGCACGGATTGTAGTATTTCGGGACCCCGCGGGCCAATTCGGGATTGGCCCTCGTGTAACTTCATAGTACTCATACATCCCCAATACTAGGTATCAGATAATAGGTCTTGAACTCATTGCGTTATAGTACGTTGAAATTTTGGTCTTTGTGTACCGCTGGTGGGTGGGTTGACGTATACGACCGTTTGGGATAGGTTGAGCCTTGCTATACATTAAATCACTAGTGCTGATGACAGTAGCTGTTCCGTCGAATCCCAGTATCATGGAATATGGCAGTCTTTTTAAAGCTACTCCGTCGAGATTGGACCGCATAGCGACAATCATTATGTGATCAAGTGAGCAAGAATGCATCAACACAAGTTGAATCCAAAGTACTGATCTGACTGATTGGCGGGGACAAAATCCCCTTTGTTTCCCCGCAGAGAAGTCTCGGTTCTAACGTGCCCAATCGTCTAGTTGTAGAAGAGTATTCAGATCGCTGCCGCCTGTCATCAACATATTTCAAATAGCATTCAAAGAGGTTTCTACTGGTTCCTTTGTCCCTTGGGCCGCTGTATAATAAGTAAGGGCACTGGATTGTATATATTCTCCCAAATGAGCAGCTATGACATTGCACTATTTCTGTACACATATCAGTTCTGAATATTAAAATATGGTCAATACATAAATTTAAGAGATAAACGCAATTTTCACAGATCTGAAAACGCAGAAAAGAATATTTGTTTGGCTTGATACCGCCAGAAGGATGCGTCCTTAGGGTTTGACTGTCGTGGCTAAGAGTGTGTGGAGAATTCAATATGTATTCTCGTAGCCTACAATTTAAATGCTATGTACAATGATACTGCCTCCAATAATGGACCAGCACCCCAGAGAAACATAAATAAGTTCATAAACGTCTTTTCCTCATTCATAGGCCGCACGATTCCGTGGCAGACCGTATGCAGTACTGGCGGTCGATGCCGCACATTCTTTCACTGCCCCCAAATCCTCAGATTGCCTACTCGTTTTAATTAGCATCATTTAAACACCATCAAATCAACATTGTAGGAGAGCAGACATACTTTAAAGCTTCTTGGTAAGGCAAAGACCGCCGACACACCACTCGCAGGACTCAGCGCAAGCTTGGGTCTCTGTTCGACCGCGTTAGTATGGCTATCAAAATCTTGAGACATTTCTGGTCGCCTACCAGCACGGAGCGTCAGAACGTCCTTCTTGGTCAGGCAAAGACCGCCGACACACCACTCGCAGGACTCAGCGCAAGCTTGGGTCTCTGTCCGACCACGTCAGTATAAGTATCAAAGTCTAACGACAGTTCTGGTAGCTCACCTGCGCGAGGCATCATAACATCCTTCTTGGTGAGGCAAATGCCACCGACACACCACTCGCAAGACGCAGAGCAAGCTTCGGTCTCTGCTCAAGCGCATCAGCATCTGTCAAAGTCTCGAGACAATTCTGGCAGCTCACCTGCACGGGGCACTGAAGCAGACAGTACACCAGCATTGGCCGCAGCCATAGGGTTTCCAAGAACCAAAAGGGGTGCCACGGCGGCAACGAGTATTGAGATGAACTTCATGTTGCTGGTTGTGATTTGAAGAGTGACTGGGAATTCGAAGAGTGCCTGGATGATTTGAAAAATTGGTTGAAATCTAGACACGAACATGAAGCATTTATAGTACTGTGAACACCCTGTTTACTTGGCAATGGGGTCTTTCCATAGTAACCTGGAATACTATGGAGTACGCCCGAAGTCGGAAGTCGAGTGGACTAATGTGTAAGCCAAGCATAGGGATCGACAAAAACGGCTCTATAGCCCGACCGTCGCATTTCGAGTGTAACGTGTCATCCTAGTATTCAATGGATCATGTACCAATGCCTAAATTGCAGTGATCTGGGGGTGTCCAGTCAAACTTCAGTCGCTTAGTTGATCTCGACTATATTTCTGGCAAGAAGATGCAAGTAGCGCTCCGTCTTCGCCCGAGCGTTTCTCCTCATTCGCTCTCCACATGGCAAACATGTGGGCTTTCCACCATCGCCGATTGAAGAAAATATACCGTTTGCGCATGTGATGGGCATGATAGACCTTGTTGACCTGCAAGAGGGGTGCAAACTTGCGCTCACAGGCCATGATATCTCGCCAGCTCCACGGCGTGTCGATATCCAGATATGGTCAAGTTTTTGGACGAGGTTGCATGCCGGCAATGGCTATGCGCCCTTGAAGCTCTGGTGTCAAAGTGCACATGTCGACAGATTCCTCATCGCTCGTGCCCACGACCAACATGACTCCTTTGGCTCTATTCTCACCACATGTTCATCCGACAGCAACCCACCAGCATAGGTAGCACCTATTTCGCCAGATGAGTGGCCCACCACTGCATCGAGCTTGACGTCAGCCGCGCGCAGAACATCCACCAGGATAATCTGCACAGCGGTGCAGAGCAATTGGGATATAGCGGCTGCACTGCCACGCGAGGAACCATTCATCAGCTTGTTGAGAAGTGACCACTCGGGCTGATCTTCTTCAGGCAGCTTTCCGAGCCGCAACTGCAGAGTACAAATCTTTGTCTGAAGTGAGAAATGCGAGTGCCGGAAGTCTAATCTGCAGGCCAGACTGCTCATATCCGAGTTGGGGTTGGCAATAACGTAGTCGTAAGCAGCCAAGGTGTTTGCAAGTGAGCGCTGCGACTTGGCCGTAAAGGGGAGTGATAGAACGCTTTGTTCTTTTTCGGAACACTCGTTTTATTTCTTGGGTGAAGATGACGATTCGTAAAAACCCGGCATGGCGTATATTCGTACCTTCGGCCCCAAAGCTGTTGATGCTGGCACGTCGTTCTTGAAGAGCATGTTAGGAGGCGCCATGCCAGCCTGCAAGGATAGATATGCCTTCAACAGCCCCGCAAGCCCTGCGGTGCCCTCAGTTTTCCCCACGACCATCTTGATCGATCACACGTATATATTTGAGTCGTTCTCTAATTCATGCTTTCCTCCAAATACAGATGGGAAGAAATCTGAGCTGACTGCATCGGCTTCCAGCGTATCAACCGTTGGCGTACCTGTGTCGTGGGCTTCGAACTACTGAGGGCAGTGTTCTTTTCGTCAAATATCCCACGGGTCCGGCCATCATGGTTTACACCAGTTTCACGGATTCTGCATTCAATACGGTCCCTGTCTTGCAACGCCGAGCTCAGCGTGCCGAGAACCTTCGAGGCCACAACACCACCACAGGCATAGCCATCTGCCTCTGCATCCCACATATGGCTGCCGCCTATAGGAAGCAGCAATGCAACATCAGAGATTAGCCAACTAATTTCGGTGGCATGGTTGGAGAGTCCTGAGCTTGGTCTTAGGAGCATAAACCCTTGAAAAACATTGTTTCAGCGAACTCAAGCTTCAAAGACAGATCAGAAAGGAAGGAAATGACCTCGGAAGCTTCATACTAGCCAGCTTGCTCTCTCCAATACCAGTTTCGGGACCATGGGACAAATTTTACTACTTCATTACTATGTAAGATGTCCTTGAAAATATACTCTGATTTGATTTACATCGGACGCATAGAACGGCGTTGCAGCCTGTACTAAGTTAATTAATATATGTGGGGGTCGTTGTACTACTATCATATCATCCGCGAAGTTCGTCTCTGGCAGTGGCATTTGTGGTGTTGCTCACAATATTGCCATGTCGGTCGTGGGTCGAGTGCTCCAGAGCATGAGCTGAGGTGGGTTTCAACGTTCTCCTTATGATCATCGTCTGCGATTTGGTGCCCCTGCAAGAACGCGAAAACTTTTCGCACTCGTTTTCGGCCTTATCACATTGGGAACAGCCTGGGTCCCTTTTCTGGTGGCCTTGTTCTCGAACGCATACGTGACGTTAGGTTATCTGTTGGCCTTTCAAGGCTACTACTACACCAAAAAGTGCCAGCTTGTCTGTACATATGGTCATCTACCATGCGATATGGGCCAATATGGCCTCCACCCATCGTACCATTCAATTCTGCCTGTGGGGCAGGCATCGTTCACTTCTAACTATATAATGCCCTTCTGGCCATTGTTCAATCCCCGGAGGACTCTTCAGAGATCATCAAAACTCAATGCAAGATCATTGCCTCACAGCCCAATAAATATTTTCTACATCAACCTTCCCGCCGGCGGTGTATCTTTGGTCTTACTGGTCGCGTTCCTGAATGTTGACTGCAACAAGGAGAAATAATGTGGGGATCAGTTGACGAGGATCGAGGATGGATGGCATAAGCCTAGCGAAGAATACGAGACCTTAGTCAAACGTATTTTTGTCATTAGAACTAATAATGAAGTTGCGTTGTTGCTCACTGAGATCGATCTCTTGAAAATGGGGTTGCATTCAGTGGTGGTCATGCGGTTAGTAAGTTTCGAAGGGGCCCCATAGGCACAAGGGTACCCGTGGGTTCACCTAAATAGGTAAAGATCCTCTGTTGTCGGATACGATCACGCGTCGCGATGTAATTAGGTTAGGCGATTAAAGCAATTCGAAAGATGCAATGTCAGCTACAAATTATTACTATTAGGTCACAGTCCTAGCCTATTGCTAAGCAATACACTGCTAGTTAGAGTAAGCCTTAGAGGCCGTCTGCTTCTCCTAGCCCTTTGTAATCGGCACTAAACTGTTATTCTCGCTAAGGTGCATCTGGAAAACCTAGTCCGATGTTGCGCGAGGATTCTTAGGATCTCTGTAATTTCTAACGGAGTGGCAACTAGACTGAGTAAGGTGATGCTCGTAGACTGGCTCATAATAGTATCTTCTATCAAGCTTCACCCGATGCACTCCTGTAAAATGTTCTCTTACTCCCGAACGGTAAGGAGTAGGCCGTAAAGATCTGGAGGCAGAATGACGTAGGAACCGAGTGCGGTAATGGCGAGCCTATAGTGATGGACCGATTCTACGGGTATTTACTCGGTATCCGACAAAGGAGGAGCTTTATCTAATTAGGTACCCACACGGCTACCCCCAGATGGGAAGGTACGGCCAAGTGCAGGGCCAAACACCTACAGAACCCCGCATCAAGCCATCAGATAGAAAAAGAAAAAAAAACATCTTTTCTTTTGTCTTCGTATAAATCTCCCCCGTCCCTATGGGACCCCCGTTTTGAGGGACAAGGATAACAATCTTGTGTGGATCTTCACCTACATGCCAGCGTTCAAGAATTTCGTCATCGCCACCTTGTACCCGAATTTCTCTCCAGTCGAGGAAGCCCTCGCTTACAAGGATGGATCGGCTTTGCCAGAGATGATGAACATAGTTGAGATGATCAATATAAGTGAAATGGCCTTCAAGTATAACATTCTAGCACAGCACAAGTAAGGAGCCCTTCAACAATTTGCAATTTCTCCCTGCTGTCCGGTCCATTCTCAGTGATATCTGGTTCACGATTTCATGAAGCTTGACGAAAACATCCGAGCTTCACAATCAGCTCGTGGAGGACCTCAAGGTCATTGCTCCAGATGGCGACTTCATCACAAAATGCTGTCCCAGCCTTTTCTGGAGCTGCGTGGGAAACGCGCAGTAGAAACTAGTAAGTCTCAAGGGATTGCCATGCCATTGTTCCTTTTGCAGACTGAAAATAAAAAATAATATTAAATACGCCGTAGGTGTTAACCCTCGGTACCTCTACAAGTACTCCCTTAAGGGGCTATAGATGATATAGCGGGCCCTTAAGCCGCGTCGGGCGGTTATACAGGTAAACTTGTAGCCAAACGACTACTAAACCTCCTGTCCCTCCCTAAGTCTGTGCTACAACCCCTGCCTGAACTACCGATAAGCGTGGTAATGTGGCACTTAAATTCGTCCTCAGGGGTGGGATGCTGCTGATGTGCAGAAGATGCTCGACTATTTTTTTTGTCGCGACAAGTCGTAGTATCTGCTAATTGGGGTTCTCGTCGAGCGTATACATCTCAACCATACGCTCAAGTGGATAGACCGTAACGTGGTCTAGACGCTCGCAAGAATCGCGGCGAGGGGGCGTGCTGCGCGCCTTCTATCGTGAGGGGACGGGTTCGCCGACGAGCGTTATCGGATAGGCGAGGTCCGATAAGGGGTCGGATTAACGATTCGAATTCTGGACCGGCTGTCGAGTTATATTCCGCCGACGTAGTGCTTGACGGTCGACTGGCTAGGATGCTCGTAATCCTAAACTGCACCAATCTCCCTATTATCGCTAGGTAGGCGAAGTCAACAAGGTGGGCAGCGCGCCGTAAGGGTTGACTAAACCCCCTTGTGTGTCAGCTGCGGGATTCGAACCCGCGACTCGTCACCAACCCAAGTGGGCGAGGCTCAAATCGGGACTTATCTACCAGCGAAGTGACCAACTACACCAGCCGACAGACTGAAAATATATTCACTTGCTCCGTTCAAGTGAAGCATAGAATGGGAAGCGTACGACGGCGTTCTATTGTTGGCAGTTCTTATTATGAAAATACCTGAGCAGGAGGCTGTAGCATACCCTAAAGTAGCGGCGTGGGTTGAGGCCTTTGAGTATGCTACATCGATTGATGGCATGCTGGACTGGGTCTACCTGAAGTATGTGGACAAATGCCAGAACCCTTTGGCAAGCTATGGAGAAGACAGCGTGCAACGGATCATGGACATGGCAGCAAAGGTTTGCTATATAGGGACCGAACCTTGGATAAAGCCCAAGAATACTGTTGAATACAAATGATTATACGAATTTAGTCTAGTTCTAGTGAATTATCCCTTGGGTTTATGTCTCTTAGCACATAAGAATTCGTGTCTTCAGGCAAAGCAAATTGGCTATCGCTCACCTGTACCAGCTCTTCGACTGAACAGAGATGTCAGAGTTTTCTTCCGAACCATACCAACAGTTTGCTTTTTCTCCAGGTCCTGCGCATAGCTATGATGTCTCTGCGACGTCCACCGCAGCCACAAAGCAGCAAATAGGAACACCAGAATGGTCAACGGGATGATGATCCACCACATGACGCGGAAAAGTGGTGTCGGAACATTGTCTACGAACAACTGGCTGCCCAAGATGCTCGCAACGGCTGTCGCCGGCAGGAAAAGCATGGTGATACCCGCAATGACCTTCATAGAGTTGGAATCCTGCGCCATGACCTTGGAGTCGTTGATCATGATCATAGAATCGTTCTGAGTAACCAGGTTAAATGACAGGGCGATGATGTTGTCGATTCTTCGCTGGAGGCTGCCGAGCCGCATCTGTGTTGACTGGACGAGACTCTTGCGGTATTCGAGGCTCTCGCGAACCTGTTGGCGAGCCTGCAGCTTGGCAGCGTCACTACTTGACCCCTGTTGTGATTGCATGTGTCGCTCGTCATGCATCCCAAGCCGAGCGATAATGCTGTCTACCAACAGCAGCTGTGCTGCGATGGCTTCATGGAGGTGAATTGTGTGCTTTGAAATATTGTGGAGATCAGCGAACGGCATCGTTTTGTTGAGGTGATGATCATCTCTTGAATTTGCGTAGGTGAGGATTTTCTGATTATTTCGAGTCAATCAACTGTTGTTTCTTGCGGAGACCGTCGTTTGGGACTTACATGCTCGAGTGGACCAAATACATCAGCCATGTTCCAGATGTTCTGATCCACCTCATGGAACAAGCCCATGAGGATGACATCGAAAAGTGCCAGGGGTTCAAGAGAGGCCATTTCCCAGGCATAGCTGGCGATGAACCTTTCGAGGGCCTTCTCAACCTGCTCCCTTGCTCCAAAGCAGATAAGTGTGGTATCCGCATTTGGCGCCGACCGTCGGAGAAAGAAGCCAGATCGGATGTAGCTGAAATCGGCTTGTGGTAGAGGAGCGCCGTTGGCTTGACCCGTCGACAGTGAAGTGGACGGGTGGATGATGAACAATCTTAGGCCCATTGTCACCTTCCTGGAGGCTGATGTTTTTAGAGAGGAAGTGAAACCAAGCACAATAACCATTTGAGTCCGTCTGGGATCCGAAACTGTGGCTGACAGATATTTCCCGTTCGTTGGCAAAGGCATCTGGAATCGCGAAAGTATGGAAAATACTGAGCAGACATGGAGCCATATCAGGCTCGGCCAAGTCCAGCGGTGCAAACCTGGGATTTTGGGTCAGTCACAGGATTGGGAATCCGAAGTGAATATGGAATTTCTCACACAATCCGCAGTTGACATGGTCTGCTAGCGAAGTCGATGTTTTCAATACTTTCCCATTTACCATTTGCGACATCTGCTGAGGTTTCAGCAACGATACGAATATTGTTAGAAACTTCGGAAGACGTACCCACAGCCTTCTCCCACACCATCATGCGGGGCAATAAGCTTGGTCTGCCATATTCGTTGGAGCTATCCCTGCTGGCGGCTCGTTGAAATGCCTCGTAGGGCTGTTGACTGCTAAGCCAAGACATCACTCTACACGCTGAAGCGGAGAGGAAGTTCAATAGAGACGGATGAAACAATCTTAGAATGGGAAAAGATCTATCTCGAGAGATTTCGAGTCAGGCGATAACCTATCAAATGCTGACTAGTGTTGCAAGGTTAGTCAAGTGTGTAGTACTAGGATCGTGGAAAAGCCCGATTCCTATGCTATAAATAGAACTTTGAGTGGTTATACCAGAGTTAGTCACCCCCACAACATCTTCGGCAACGTCGTCGCCTCCAGAATTACGGCAAAGGCTCCTTCCGCAACAGCTTTGCCGCCCACCACAGCCCCGATTATGTATATACTCCTTGTTAGGCAACCTTTGTGAGCTTTGCCAAGATCACCAAGGTTACCACATGACTTAGCCCTTTGGGGACTAAGTCCAACTTTCGTGCTCGATAACATTAGCATTAGATAGAATGACATGCTTTTACAACTTCACAAATATTCGACCACCATTGCGTGTAACACTCCTATAATAGATTTCTTCTTAATAAATGACTACCATGTGACCCATCTGTGGCCCCTACGGCGTTATAGGCCTCTAGGACGCGAACAGAACGCTCCTACTAGCATTATTGCTAGTCAAGGCCTGCACCGCCCATCAGACCACAGGTGCCCCATGCGGGCCAAGCTTTCGTCAATTATACCTTCCTATTCGAGTATAGCAAAGGGGAAATAGATGCTCATAATACTAATCCCGCAAGGCTGGCATACATATGGTAGTCGAGCGAGGAGATCTATGGCGGCGCAGTAGATCGGTGATCAATCGTATCAACGCTCGTAGCATGCTTTGCTCTCCAACTTGTTCAACCAAGGCTTGGACAAAAATGTACGTTGCATTTCGCAGGGCTCCATCCGCCTCAATTACGACAATTCGTGGTCTAGATACCTAAAAGTGCACTTTTCGTCAGCGTTGGCTGCATATGCTACGGTCAATGTCGCACAATCACACAACGGGCTGACCAATGAGACCCGGCGGAACCTGGCCCCCAAGTTCCACGACATCGCAAACATAGCCGGGGATAAAGGTCATATATGTTTTGAGGTTGTTATTTAACAGAGGACTGGTGGCACACAGTCCACTGGCGGAGCCCTAGTTACTCCGTAACAATGTACACTAGTTAGATAGGTAACATTCTGCCGTTACACCTGACGTAGGTTAACTTAGCTCAATCAACATCACAATCCTCCATGATTATTTTTAGGACAAAGAAACTGCAGGGAGAAGTCACCGACAACTGCATTTCAGCTACCGCCTCGGACTGCGTCGGGAATTTCCCAAACGCCAATGTATCTACTGCAGGGTAGTGCAGCTCCTAGCTTGAAAGTGATCAACTTTGAGGAACCACTTGGGAAGTTCACATACATAAGGCGTCACGTTGCCGAATGCGCCAATACTGCAAGTTATTTGGACTGGAAAGCTTGACCTTGACCTCCAAAACGGGCTGGGTTGCTGGTAAGGCTGAAGCGCCCACAATAGGCGAGTGATTAAAATAGCATGTGCAGCGTGAAAAAACATGATATCCAGTCTTCGTGAAATATTATAGCCTTACCATGCCAAAGGAAATGGCCGGCATAACTTCCCCCAAGTGTACCCCTTGTATGTCTCGATTTGATCGTACTTGGGGCAGCTCCATTCCTCGCAGCCGTTATTCGCTGGGATTTGAGCTCTCCTCATGATGTTGTGGATGCACATCATACGAGGAGCTTCAAGACACTACCGTCACAATACATGTTCTGACCAGTCGCGACCATAACCACTTTGCTACGTATAGATCATTCAAAATGACCGTATAGACAGACGTTATTCTTACCAGTACATACATGACTCATTGAGGAACAGCCTTCCGCAAAGTTTACTGCTAAAATCTTTGGCTCCTTACACGTGGGAATAGGGCCGAAGGGGTGTAGGTGGCGACCAAGCCACCCCCAACTTGTGCCGGCCGTCTCTTTGCTAATTGGCCGCAAGGATTGTCAAGAAAGTGGGAGAGAGACCGCATTACGTTTACCATGCGGTCGACCCATACCACAAGCGCTTGTAGCATGGTTTTATGTCGCAGCAGCATAAATAGTCCCCCATGTCCGCAAATGGCCACAAAATTGATAAGCAAGGTCGTCATCGACCAAACTACTAGGTACTCCTCATTCGCATGTTAATGTACTTGCTCTTCCTACATCTTATGTCACTTGTGTTGAGTCGCACTTATTGCTCTTAGAAATGGTACGGCTTCAATCAACCCCACGTCAAGTTAGCTCTAATAATCAATGCCATAGACCGGACGACACGGTGGGGCGTTTGACCCAAACCAGGTGTGAACTGCCAAGAGAGCCTAGCACTGTCTATGTAGAGCTAGTCTACTGATAACTGTTAATAGAGCCAGGTTTATGTACCTGGAGTGGCTGGTGGTTCCAACCATTACAGTCATGGAGAGGTGAGACCGTGAAGCTAAGAGGCCATATCCCTTTTGCCTTTCTTTGACGCGATCATGCAGGAGAGTGCACCATCCACCCCAGACAACCGGGTAAGCTCCCCGAGGAATGGCGTTCTGTTCACAGTAGATTCTGACGATAGATTCAGTACAACTCCTCGTCGACTCCAGAAAGCAGCCGGCACGGAGGACGATTCGATCCGAATCAGGTAGGTCCATAACAAGGGCTGAAGTTGATTTAAATATGCTTATACCCACATTTATGCAGTATCACGCATATAAAACCAGCGTTGATACAAGCTATACTGGATCTAGGAACCTTACAGCGGTTCATAGTGATGTCAGTATTCCAGTGCCGATTTATATTGGACTCTTTGCTGATACGTCATCTCCCTCAGACGGCTTCGTATTCCGGACCACTACCTCCGCCAGCTATGTCTAGCTGGGTATCAATGGCCCAGTCGAATCCACAATCGTACAGTGGCCAAGGCAATCTATCCGGATTCAGTCAAGTGCATGTTGGACCAACGAACCCCCTTCCCACCGGCACGTCCGTTCCCGGAAATGGACACAATGCCTATCAGCCTCGGGCCTCAGGTTCCACCGCGAACGTCCAGACATCATTTCAATCGCAGCCAGGAATGTATCGAACCCCAGCTGGATATAACTCAGACTCTCCTTTCGAGAGCGCAAGCCAATTCTATAGCCAGCCACCAGGCCATAGTATGAGTTATTTCCCAACTCAACAGTACGAGAGCCCGTCGTCGTGGGGCCAGGGTAATAACATGGTAAGGGTTTTCGCCTTATATGAGACTATGTGCCAAGCTGACCTGCCTCTTTCTACCAGGTGGGTATCAACGAGGCCCTATTGCCCGGCCAATTTCAAGTCGGGCCCGCGAATGGCTCAGGAGTATGTTCGTACTTTCTCGCCAATCGAACACTGAGGTTGATGAACAACACAGAGTCTGTTGAACAAATCAAGCGCTGTCTCTGAGAAATACTCCAAAGTGAGTATACAATCTTGTCAGAATTGAAGCACCTGCTCATATCACTTCCGTTGTGAAAAGAAAGAGCTTGCTGTTCACCTTAAAGGGGCTAGATCCTCTTCAGCCTGCGCAACCGATTTCGCGCCAAGAAGCCCAACGCCTTCCAGTTGCCAGGCTATGAATACAACACTACGCTAAAATTCCGCCATCGTGATGCAGCAGGCCGTGTCAGTAATAAGCCCTTGCAAGATCGCTACCTCCACCCCCTGGACGGTCGGCTTCGCAAGCTGATCGTGGCCTCTACTGACGACATATACGAAGCCCCGGGCACGTCGACTTGGCGCAGGACATATATCCGCAACGTATATCCTTGGAACGTTCGAATTTCCACATGGGTTATCGACTTCCACCATGATCCCGATAGCTGGAAAGCGTGGTTTTTTATACTAGGGAGAGCCTTCGTCGCGAACATAGCTCTGCAGATCGCTTTTTACATCAAGTCATACCAGGTAGGTCATTATTCTGTACTTTGTTTTGAGATTTCTCTTGGCTCAAATTATTTTGCAGTTCTTCACCGAAGAAACTGCCAGATGGGTGTTCGAAGGCAAGTACGCACCGGTACCAATTGAGTTCAACGGCAACGCCAAAATCTGGAGCAATCACCTAGAGAACCGAGACGAGTCTACACTGGCATCGCGCGAAACTGAAGCCTACCAAGTTCTGAAACCCCGTGACCTCTGTTTTCTGAGAATGCCCGAGGAACGTGATCTCCACGGAGTTGAAATTCGCTCCGTCAGGGAGTGGGAAGAGACTGACGGCCGAGAGGTCAACCTCAGCTACGTCTTCGTTGCCTACTTCACTGAGCATTTCCACTCTAATAATGTGGATGACATGGTGGCACTGTCTACTATTGCCGAAAGAGCTGCCAGAAATGCCGGTGTTGTCGCTTACTGGGTTGCCGCAAGCAACATGCGCGATGATAACCAACTCGAGTCAGACGTAAGCTGCAATCGGCTCTGAAACTTTGAGATGTATAATGACTTTCTAAAGGTTTTTCGCATATCTGACGTCCTCAGGGGTGCTCAAAGCATGGCCATTGCCGTTGGTCGTCCCAGTACTGCCATGCATGAAATGTCCACCGACGAACTGCTGCGTCAATGGGGCACTCGGGTATGGACTTTCCCAGAAGTTCTGCTGAGCCCGGGGCGTGAAATCTCCGTGTACACTCGAGGAGACAACCTTTCCGCTCCTCTTATTCTCAGCAAGAACCAGTTCGCCGGCAGGGTCTGGTCGGATGCTCAACGGTCCAGACAGCTCGTAGACCACTACCTCGGCAACTTGACACTAAGCAAGCTCGAGCTGGCTGTTACTGCGCTCAGGTGCTTGTACGATCGGAAAACCACGCAGTATCTGCCTGGCGATCAAGCGTACGCTCTGGTGGGTTTGCTGCGCATGCGACCCAAGATTGACCGAAATGACACCTCATTTCAGGCCTTTGCCAGGTAAGTCTTGTCAAAATTATTGAAGATCGAACAAGTGTGGCTAAACTATCGCAAAGACTTTCTCTTGCCAACGACTCTGACGAGGTCTTGGAGCGGTACCTCTGCACCCTGCCCGACCTCAATAAAGAATGGTACGAGATGACCGACGTCTATAAGTCAGCTCTTTGGGACATAGTGCCCTACTGCCAGGTAGCCGGTGTCTGCGGCATCTCCAAAACCCAGGGAACCGCCGACAGTGACACCATCATCCTCGACGGCGCCTTCGGTGCTAGCATCCAGTGGAAGGCTTTCTATCCTGTCAAGTATCAGACAGGCTTCAGCTGGAAGCGTTGGGTATCGCTGCAAATTATGGAGAACAACGGCATGCTCCTAACGGCCGCCATGTTCGCGTGGGCCATTGCCAAAAACTGGCAAGAGTCCGGGCAGATTCTGTTCGATGAAATAATCAACCAGTTAGCTGCGGATACATTGCCCTGGTGGCTTACACATATCACAGCCCTGTGCCGTACTGTTGCCGGGATTTTCTTCACACTCTATATCTGGAGTTGGTTGTACACACCCGCGCTGATCAAAATGGAATACGCAGGTAAGTTCAGAGGTGTAGACGCTGCCTTGTTCGGATTTGAGGGTTACTTGAATATTGCCACCATCGAGCGTTGCATCTTCGGCGGTAACTTCAAGAGGATGAAGTGGTCCATCAATGGTAGTCCGCTGAGCCGCTCTTACACCGACGAGGACGGAGATCGATACGGCACGGATCCAACAGATGTGGATCCTGTTGTGAGACAGACTGTCGAGAAGGCGAAGAAGGCTGGACCAGACGAGATGCGCGTGAGTTGCCCCCTTCAGGACTCAAGAGACCAAACAAACTAACACGGCCACTTCGAATTTTCAGATCTTCACCCTCGTCGATACGTACAACATGGAAGTGACGCTATTCGAATCTGTCCGTCCGCCCACAAATCTCTTCCTGTGCGCAAGCGAAGGGGGCATGCAGAGGGCTATCGGGTGTTCGTATGACTGGACAACCCAGACTATGCATAGGGAGACGGTGTTGAGGATGCCCACCACGTCGCTGAACAAGATGGATCGCGTGCCGAGGTTTAAGATTGGCGTACGGAGACCGCCGATGTCGTTTGGCGTGATTAAGAGTTCTACGGAGTCGGTATAGGGGGTCTAGTGCTTTAGGGGTACTGCTGAAAGAGAGTTTTTGTCAGAGGTGGGGCGTGCGTAGCCGTCAAAAGAAGGAATATCTGTATCTCTATCTGTCTAACAAGATTGTTTAGGGCTCGGAAGCCTTCGCAATCCCTGACGCTTTCCGAACACGCTCACGTAAGAGAGATTAAAGAGCTTGAACAGGATAACCTCATTTTCTGCGAGCATCTTCTATGCATGGAAAAAGTTGTTGAACTGAAGAATTTGTACCAATTTCGGAACCATGTCCAAAGCATTCATGCCATCTAGCCCACGCCTCGCCTGGTACTGTAAAGGTCTAGGTTAGCGATGTGGTTGCTGTCACAATAACTCCGATGCATTTAAGAGAGATATAAAAGCAGTAATGACGTTATTTGGTCGTGGTGACCCCAATTGGCGCCGTGTACGCAGATGCTTGCTTGATCGCCAAAGGGACATGAGTTGGGGAGCGGGGTAGTTTTGTTGTGCTCTCCGGATCGCCTCGCTGGGTTTTTCGAGATTCCTCTGCAATATCTCCGTAGCCTCGGCCGTTGTCATCTCTTTTACTATGGAAAAACTCTCTTGTGAGGTATAAAGGCCTGGTGACACCTCGCTGTTACGAGTCGTGAACAATATTAAGCCTTTCCGATTAAAAGGCAGAGCGTCGTGGATATAAGTACTATAACTCTGATCGAAAAGCAGATCCACATCGTCGGAATTATCAATACTCATCAGCCACCGAGGCCATCGATGACGATTCTCTAGCAGTTATTTTCTGTTGTCCGAGGAGTAATTTTCTGCAGAAGCTACGTCATAATGGTGTCACTGCCGATGAAGCCTTCGTTCTGTCAGAATGGGAGTATGAAGTGGTGCTTCTGACTATCTACCCGATACCTCGTTATTAACCAAATAAGGAATTGACAATGACCTTGTCAAGAAAACTTGGTGAAACTTTTCCCTTTACAAAGCCTTTCTCGATCTCATCCCTGAGGCCGCGCAGCGCATTGTGCTTTCCCTCGTCGTAGATGAGCGGCATGTAAATTCCGAAGAGGCAAAGTCCCGAATAAGCCCTGTCTTCTTCCTTCTTCGTACTTCGGGTGTCAAACTATGATATACGCTCAATAATACCTAACTCAGGCAGCGGGTTTCCTTAAAACCTACTAACGCTAGAGCAAGAAGTTTCTGGAGCGTCCATACCCGAGGAAACTATCTGCGTTGCCGAATAAAAAGAAAAAAAGGCAAGTGGTGGACAATATACGACACAAATGCAGTGCAACCGCGGAATGACCTTTGCGGGCTGACAAGTCGTCGGCAAAAGTGCGATGGAGTGCATGGAAGCAAAACTGGGCTGTCGAGAAGCGTTAGGAGGACAGTCAAGTAGCAATATAATGCGATTTTGAAACATTCCTTTATTAGGTGTCTTATGTCGTCGTATTCCGTGAACAAAAGACTATCGAGCCATCAACACCCCATTACCAATTACGACTCCCACTCAACTGCCCTCTTTACTCCCTCCTCATAAAACTCCGCCACCCACTCCGCCATTTGCTCCACCTCCGCCTCGGCAATAGCCTTGACCTCCTCATTAAACGCCCAATTCTGTCCATACAAATCACTGCAATGCCCACCTCCCGGGATAACCCTAACGGGCAACTGAGACGTGCTCTCGAGCGGACCGCCGGAACGGAAGTCGGCAGACACAGTGGCGTCCTTCCAGGGGTCGAACTGGCCATTGGCGTACATGAGCCGGCGAGTGTCGGTCTCCCCCCAGCCACCCGTGTGGCTGTTCAGCGTTTGGACGGAGCGGCCTTCGAGCAGCCCGTAGGTGCCTTCAGGGAAGTAGAAGCCGCATTGGGCGCGCCAGTAGTCAACGTTGACGAGGCGAGAGACGAGCGTCGGGCGACCTTCGGGGGCGCCGTTTTGCCACCATTCAAAGCTGAGGGGGTGTTGTTAGTCCCCAGTCTATCATGTAATTTCCGGAAGGGGGAAGGCAAAAAGGACTTACGGCTCGTTGCACAGCATCCACATCCATTGCCGACCTCCGAGATTATCGACGCTCAAGTCCTGATAGTACACATTGGTCGAGTTCATGGCCTTGAAGCAGTTGGTGTTATAGGTGCCGTCGTAGTCGTCGTAGCCCCAGCTCTCGCAATAGCCCGGCAGGACCAGCTCGGTAAACCACTTGACGTAGCCGTTGAGCGCCTTCTTGTAGCCGACTCCCTTGGCTCCGGGAACAATAACGCCGGTGGTGCTGTTGGTGCCGTTGGCGACGGGGAAGACGTTCTAGTCGTGCACAACTGTTCGAGATCGAGCTCTGGTGGTTTGGGAGTTGGAGTAGCTTACCTCGATGTAGTCGCAGAACTGGTAGTAAGAGTTGTACCCATTTAATGACTCGGTGTAGAACTGAGTCGACTGCCACGACCAAGGTCCGTTCTCAAGCGCCCTAGACATCTGTCATCAGCAAGATGCCCGGACAGGACGGAAATAGAAGAGTAACCACTCACGCCCCAAAATCCGCATCCTCAAGATCCTCCAACATAAACCTCGCCTTCAACGCAGCCTTCTCGGCCTGACTCCCATGCAGCAAAACCCCATCCACATACTCAATAACGGAATTCACGTCTGTCGAGCAATTACTGGGCGTAGCATCTTGCACCGGAGCAAAGTACGTCCAAAAGTCGCTGACAGCCTCCTCCACAGCACTACTCCCATGGTACGCCCAGAACGTGCCCGGCTCAGCCGACTCGAGCCACCCGGCCAGCGCACCCGAGTACGAGCCGCCCGAAAAGACCCAGGGAGTGGTCTTCGGATCGGTGCTCCCTTCGGCATCAAATGGCGCGTCGAAATTCTTCGCGAAATACGTGAGGTCCTTGAGCGCATTGTCCAGCGTTAGGTACTGCAGGTTCTCCTCCGTCAGCACCTCGAACGGCGAGCTGCCGCCCCAGTACCGGTGCTCGAGGATCACGACCGCGGCACCCATAGCCTCGGCCATGAGGCCTGTGATGCGCTGTTTTGTCGTGTAGGTGACATTGAAGCCGTCTCCGGATTGCTCGCCGGGGCAGGTGAGCACGATGGGGGAGCCGGTGCCGTTCCAGAATTTAGACCCGTACCAATACCGCTGCTCGAAGGTGCCTTTGCTTGGGTCTGAGTGGTCCAGAAGCTGATCGAAGGTGCCCCAGCCGTTGAAGCCGCTGGTCCCGTCGAGTTCCGTGTCATCGTCTACGGGGCCGACGCGCATCCCGCTGAAGTGGTCAGCGGGGAAGATGGCCACTGCAGCGTTGAAGAACAGGAGCTGTGACACAACGGGGAGGAGGTGCATCCTGATGGTGGCTTGTTGGTGCTACCTTGGGAATAAGAACTTCGGAAGATAGGCGGCAGGACGCGTGAGAGAGCGGTGAGCGACCGAGATGGAAAGAAAGAAGATCCATTCTGAAAAGCATGGGAAATTTGCTCGATATATACGATTCTTTTGCCAGGTCGCTTGCATGCAATCGCAACACATCCTAGTGTCGATCCCCACTTCTTGCTACTATAATACTCCCCAAAGTCTTGACCTCCTTCCCAAACGAGTCCGGTCGCCAAAACCACGGTTCCTAAACCCCTGTTTGTAGGAGGTCTCTAAACCCGACTAGGGAACACCGAAGACCAACCCCGCAATTTCAATAGCCCTCCCTCCAGGATTCTTATCATTAGAGGTTCATTGTAGATAACACGCCGTGAACTTGTCTTCTTGCCCTGTCATAGTTGATTTTCCTACTGGATTATGATTGCATTGGAGGTTGAGTTGGAGGTTGAGAAGGGGAGATTGACGGAATGGGCCTTTGTTGATGACCCTGGATGGATGTCGTATTGATAGCTATGCCTGCTCCATGCGTTGTGCTACGTAGGTTGGTGGTGGGAGGCTCTATGAGATGCTCTTGCTCTCTGTAAGGAAGGGTCTAACTCACTAGCTACACTAGCAGCTGTACTGGTTTTGGCCTAGGCCATAACTATGGTGCTCAATCCCACAGACAGCTTAAAACTCAGAACGCTTTTTTGACGTTCGACAGTCCAGTAATTACGTGATGGGGAGGGGGAAAGGGTGGGGAGACGATAGCAAGCGAGTCGAGTTATATCATGTCATGCTGCCGGTACGCCAAGTCACGCCAAGGGACCTTCCAGAAAAGGAAGATACAAGTAGCAAGTTCATCAACTAATGCCGGGGTCTCCTTTTGCACTTAACGTAATCCACCCATAAGCGGTCCATCTAATTTCAACTTGTCGAACCCTTTAAACTTAAATAATAACATTGATTCTCACGTTAATTTATCAAACCTTCGCTTGATTGGCAAATGGATCGGGAAGAGCAGATCCGGAAAGCTATCAAGCCTATTCGCGCTCGGAAAATCCCTGATAAATATAATGTAGCCGATCTTCTTGGAGTTCCTAGAACAACCCTTGCAGGCCGTTGAAGCCGGACGACCATGTCATAGGGCTAGGCTAGACGTCGGTATCGGCCTTAAGCCCAAATCCTGCATATAAATAATGCTGCCCAATATACTGACGTGGGGTTAGGGTTTTTTTGGGCGTTATTATTATTAAATACGCCGTAGGCTCGAAGCCCCCGGTACCTCTACAAGTGCTCCCGTATGTCAAACCGTGCCCTAATGGCTGGACTAAATACATACGCTGCTACGTAGGTTCGCTCTATTAGCGACTGCGTTACGTCCACCACAATACTATGTTAGTTCTCACCCTACTAACAAAGTCCCCCTGAGAAGATCGATATTATCCGGGCCTAAGCGCTATCCGGCCAGTCCTGAGTAGCCACCTTGTGATAGTCCCGCTGACTACTGGTTTCCCCGTCGCCGTTGCCAGGTCTCTACGTGTATGCAGCGGCCATGGTGCGATAGTGGCCTGTAGGCGCTCTCTCGATTCTTCCAGCAGGCCGCAAAAGAGGATTACGTGCTCTGCTGTCAGAGAACAGAATGCCATAGGCACCGGTGGGACACCGGTGGGGCTCTGGTGTAGGAATGTGCGAGTCATGACACGATATGGAAGTCTTGGTTTGCGGAACAATCGGGGAAACTAGTGCTCCGCGGCTCCGACGTCGGGTTCTAGCTATCTATGTAAGGGGCGGAGGCCCGGGAAGAAGATAGAGGGAGAGTAGAGATCAATGCATCACCGTGGGCACCCCTACCTGAGACCGACAGTGGCCACCCGGTATTACGTAGGAGGGACGCCCGTTACTCCCCATCACTCTGTACTATTGCCTTCGGCCTAGCCGTACCCTGACATCTGCCGTCTCGGGGGCCTCTCCACAGCGGCATAACGGCGAGTACACACCGAAGGCTCCTATCTTAAATAAGAAAGCTGATAGTCCTATTTTTCCGGTCCTGATCTGGCATAGGGTAGACGCCTCCTGTCGGTTTAGGTCTGAGTACTTGCCCTGTTTCGGCATTCGCATCGAGGGGCTCTCCTGCTCCTCGGCGATAGCGCGTCGCTGGCGGTCGTGTTGTGCTGCCCCGGAGAGCCATCTCTTCTCCCAGTGGTCTAGGAGGGCAGCCGGGACTTCCTTCGCCTTGCCTATCCACTCGGAGCCCCTAGCCTCCTTCTCTATCGTGTACCCCGCTGGTCTGAGCGATTGTGACGCCCGCTTCCGTCTCGCCGGCGTGTCCTGTCGGAGTATGTGTGACGCTCTCGCGCTCGCGCTCCGAAGCAGGCTCCTTTTGCCGTTATTCCGTAGCCGTTCTTCAAATTTCGCTGCCCGGGCACTGAGATATAGGTCTAGTGGCGGGATAGCTGCCTCTATTTCTAGGTGTCGGACCGGTGTCGCTTTGTAGGCGCCACAGACTATTCGGAGGCACTCATTCTGTATCCCGACTAGGCTCTTAGCTGGTCCCGCTGGTTCCTCGCTTATAGTGTGCCACGCAGCCGCCCCGAAGGCGATCGCGCTGCGAATAACCGACGTGTACAGTAGTCTCGCCCGTATGAGATCGCAGCCCCACGCCATGTTCACTAGATTTGTTAGGGCTAGCTTCTGAGTCGCCATTTTTGATTTAACCCGTTCGGTATGGGCGTGCCACGTTAATTTGCGGTCAAACCAGACCCCTAGGAACCTTGCCGAGACCTTCGGCGTTACTGTAGCGTTTCCAAGACGGATACTCTGCGGGGAGGGGTCTCGGGTTCTAGTGAAGTGCATCAGCTCACTCTTGTCCGGAGCGAACTCCATCCCGTGCCTGGCGGCCCACCGTTGGCACGTAGCCCAAGCGTCCTCTAGTCGGCGGCAGGTCGTGCCCGTGTCTGTGCTCACGCTAAGTAGGTTCGTATCGTCCGCGAACCCTACGACTAAGAGTAGGGGGTGTTTCTCCGCTAGTTCCTCATATAGCGTCGAGATATATAGGATAAATAGTATCGGGGAGAGTGGCGACCCCTGGGGGACGCCAGCTCGTAGAGGGATCAGCTCTGGCTCCTTACCGTCGAACCGGAGGCGTACTGTCCTTTCCTCTACGAAGCTGTGTACCCATTCCTGAACCCACTCCGGGTAGCCCTTCCGGGCTAGTATAGAAATCAAACGCCTGTGGTTAACTGTGTCGAACGCCCCCTTAATATCAAGTTGTAGTAGTGTGGCGATCCCTCCGCGCCTCCAAGCTGTATAGGTTACGTCCTCGACTATACGTATCGCTAATTCGGTGGACCGCCCCTGATGCGAGTGCATATGGGGTGTGAATTGTTGTATTGAAAAGGATTGCCAGGTCAGCTATCCTGGCCTGGCAGAGCTCTTTTATAGCTCTTATCTATCTTATCTCTAGCTATAGGGCAACCCCCCATGGGGTCACGTATCAGCCCCTTTCGGTTACCCATTTGGCCGTTTGGTAGCAGACCGGCCGTCTCCGCGACGGTAGTGATACGCTGGCATATCACCGTCTCTATCACCTTCCCTATCGTACTAAGCAGCGCTATCGGTCGCCAGCCGCTAGGGGTCTGCTTTTGGGCTGTCGTTTTGTTCGGCTTAGGGATAACGACTACCTTTGCCGAGCGGAGGCGCTCCGGGTAGTATCCTAGCCTAAAGCTTACGGTCGCTATATCCGCTAGGATCTCCCATAGGGGTTTACCACAGATTTTCAGCAGGCCCGTAGGGATCTGGTCATCGCCGGGGGCCTTCCAAGCCGCTGTCTTCTTGATAACAGCCTCGATGTCCTTCGCGTTTACCTCCTTAGGGACGTCCAGGTCTGGTGCTTCCTTCGGCATCAAATTTTTGGGCGTTATTTTTTTCGTTTTTCTTTTTCGATATTCAGACGAATTATGTAAGCGTGTTCTTAACGGGTATTTAAGACCTTATGTACATAGTCACTCTCTTGAGAAAAAGATAGGAATTCAAGCGGCCTTTTCCACAGTAATCTGAACCAATTTCTCTTTACTTGGACAGGCATTCAATGTCTGACGTACCTGTTGAGGTACTTTTGTTGCCCCTATAGATCTGATTGTGCCTGCTGAGGCCATTGTTCCCACCTTTCACCTGTTGAGGTTCCTTTTCTTCCCTAGCCTGCTGAGGCTACAGTTGTTAGTACCTGTTGAGGTACTTGTCGTTCCGATCAGGGCAAAGAGCTCTTGATCTTATTATTTCTTTCCACCTCCCGGATAGTAAGGTCTTGTTGAGGATCTTGTTGTCCGTTGCCATCATCTTCACACCTTAAACCTGCGGGTGGTTTCACTGCCCGTCGTCAATACGGCTCGTGCAATTCCCTCTGCTCTGCAATATAGCAACTTACACTTAAGCCTTTGCAGAAATAAGCTAAGTGCACTGGACCGTTCACACACCGCCTACTAACACCAGTAGCGAATGCTACCTACCGAAGAAGTAAAGGTCGAACGAGCCATTCTTCAGTTAGCTAAGTAGGGTTAGCCTTTAACTAGACCTTTATCGACGAGTTAAGAATAATACGCTATTGCGGACGATAATACCTATAATATAGACGAGAAGGGGAATGCGGCTTGACGTTACTTCAGTCAATTGATATATTGTCCTCGGGAAATGCAAAAGAGAACGTTCGTTAATTCTTCGAAGCTGTCCAATTCCATGGTATCCGTGAGGCTCCGACTGCAAAAGAACCAATATCCCTTTTGACCCCTCGCCGCAAGGGCTTTAAGTCCACAAACGCCAGCCAATGCTCCATTGCACCGTGCAGTAGCCATTCCAAATCTATCAAACAGATTCGCTCATTTCCCCGCCTTCTTCTCTTTATTCTTATTCTTAACAAAGTCCTTGACCTGACTCAGGCCTGCGTAGGTGATAAAGAACATGCCCTTCCGGTCGTTTCTCCACTGTAATACGCCGATCTCATCTGCAAACGTGACGACGCTGATGTATTCCTTGTAGTCGTCGAACTCCTTGAACAAGAAGCCGTTGGTGGTGGCCATGCGCTCCGTGTCCAGCTGCCACAGCCGGATTTGGTCGACGATGACCGTCGGCAGGAGGGACTTCTTGGCCGATGCGGCCACGCGGTGCATTTGCTCGTGTGCGTGCGTTGCCAAGTATGAAATGATCTGATCCGCGGTGATGCCCATATCCACGGCGCGACGAACGGACTGGCGCGTCAGCTTGCCCGAGACGAGCTCCTGGAAGCGCATCTTGAGGTCGCAGAAGAGGGCAAGCACCGCAATTTGCAACGGCGAGGACGTGTACCCGTACATTCTGAAATTGGTCTCTAGAATGATGGCGTTGCTGTCTTGCGCACCGCCCATGCCCTCGCTGGCGGCTGTGAACCCGGCACTGACACTTCGTAGACTGCTCTCGCTCGATGTGAGGGTGGTGGCTAGACGTGTCGGAAAGTATTGTCGGCGATCGTGGTGTGGGATGTAGATAAGACCAAAATCGACCAGATAGGGTATCATATTACGGCGAGGCTCGGTGAGGGCATCGGTGCTATAGGCGCGTCCAAGCTCGAGGGAGGCAAGCAAGAAAAGGAACGAGAGCATGTCAACGCTCTCCATGCCGGTGTGGTGACCTTCTTTGTTGGCATGATCGGCAGCCTCCAGCCACAGCAAGAGCAGGGTCCAAACCTGGGAGTTGGCTTCCTGCAGCAGGAAAGTGAAGCCTGCTTGTGTGATGTTCATGGTGGATGAGGCACCCTTGCGCTCCACCAGGCGGCCGGCCATGAGCAGATCCTTGACGGATGCTTTGGGCCCATTGCTGCCATCGGATCGCGAATCTATCAGGCCGACGGAGTTGACGACGAAATGAAGAATGTCGTCCCATTTCTTTCGCGCGTACTTGTCGAGGAATGCGATATCGACATCGGCGGCAATGGGCAGCTGCGACGGCACGCCAAACGAGTTGTGATCGCCACCACCTTCTAATGCAAACCTTAGACTACTCTTGAAGTTGGCCGTGAGAGTCATGGACTGGGGCGTCTCTCTACAAGGTACGGTGACGGCGATAATGTGGAGGGCTCGCAGGATCGACAGGGCCTGGTCCTTCTGACGCTTTGCCGTGGGCTTGACCCAGATCTCGAGATCGGAGAGGAGGAAAGGCGTGGGCATGTACAGCATGGCCATGACAATGGTCTTGGCAAGGTGAGGTAGCATGCGCCTGAAGATGGCGAAGGCGGTCGAGGGCTGCTGGTAGAGTCGTCTGAAGGTTGTACCCGGCAGTCGCTCGAGGTACTCGGAGAGTTGCGACGAATTGGCGTTGACCGACATGGTGGGCAGATGTCAGGTCAACCGCTGAAAGTACTGCTATTTCATCGTAGAAGTCATGGAGTGCGTTCCTTCGGACACTAGCCAAAGACACACAAGATGTTGATGATGCAGACCGGAGTGCGGAATCCAATTGAAGGTTTGTAGCAGAACTGGGCTCAGCCTTCCAGGCCACGATGGATGGGCCTTGCAGCAAGTACGGTCCAAGCTCTACTACGCTAAGCCGAATCTGCTCACCTTGAGTTCACAACTCACCGAGCCCACCAAGGTCCCTTTGTCAAAGAAGTTGAAATGATATTCGTTGAAATCTCAGGACAAGGGCAGTCGAGTACAAAACTCACCATCTTTGCAGACGTGGATGGTAATTACTGGAGGTGAAATCCGCCAAATTCCGTACAAGTTCAAGAAGAGCTTAAGTAAGCGTTCGCAACACTTTCCCCAGGCTTTGTGGCGTCTTAACATCACGACCGTGTGTGTAGTAGGGACAATCTCAATACTTACATGCTATTGATGATAGTTGATTCGCAATAAGGAAGGGAGCAACTTAGCTTCACACCTCTACCAGGCCGCTGAATGATAGTGTCTTACTCGTCCTGCCCATATTTGGTTAAGCGTGGTGGAAGTACGGCACTAACATGCATAGGGCTGGTAGAGGTGTAGATTGTAGCTGGTCAACGAATGCAACGGGCCTGCCGGAACCTGTTTTCATAATAAATGAATTACAATGAGCATGGACTGTCAGACGAAAGGCATCGCAACTGTTCCGATAGAGCTGCAAGAATCTCGATTTGATTAGGAAAAGCTGCGCCAAGCCGGGTTGCTACCGAGCCTCCCTACTACAATTAATTGCTTTTCCCTGCCTTGAGTCGTCTTGGATGTGATAGATGTGATGCAGGCTGCATGATGCGTCGGCAATCGGTAGATGCGTCCTCGTATTGCGAGCGGGCCAAGGTAAGTAGTGTAAAAATAAGGGGCCACAACCGTCTCCACATCTAAGTACGCGTCCACTTAAAAAGTCCCCAAAAGTCCCTTACGGCCCTTGCCCGTATTAAGTTGGACTATATATAGCTTGTGGGAGCGGGCCCTGCCTCGCAAATGAAGCAGGGATTTGGTCATTTCGCTGACGGAGTCGGACGTTTGATGCTGTCGAACTTGAGAAATCTCATCCGGCTTGAATAGATCTTCATCATTACACCTAATTAAGCAACATACAGAGCAAAACGTTTGGTCAAGCCGAATCTCCTACGCGTATTCAACACCCGAATCCAAACGCGTCTCCCTATTGTCACCAATCCACAAACTCATCATGAAGATCACCTCATCACTGCTGCTCGTCGGAGCTCTAGCCTCCACAGCACTTGCCGCCACTACCACAGCTGCAGACGACACCGCCGCCGTAACGGCTACCCAAACCGCAACGGCCAAAGCGAGCGCGACAGATGACTCCGGTAGCACCGCGGTTCTGACGGGGACCAATACCAAAACTGCCACCGGTACTGCCACCGCCACCGCCACCGCCACCGGCACCACGACCAAGGGCACCACCGAGGCCACTAGCACCACCAAGACCAACACTGTCAAGATCACCTCGACTTGGACCTCATCCGCCAATGCCGTCACAACCTACCCGCCCAACATTGTTTCGGGCGCTGAGAGACCCGTTGTGGGCTGGAGCTTGGCTGCGCTGGCAGCTTTCATTGCCACCTTTTAGGCTTGCGGTAAAGACCCTCGAGTCTCGGGGCTGGTGCTGGAGCTGTACATATAGACGGGGACAAAAATACATTTCAAGGCATTTGGGGAGCATTGGGAAACGGAGTTATCGGGCATTTGAACGGGCATATTGTTGGCAATAATACACCGGAAGCGTATGGTATCACAGACTGCAAAAGACAGACATGGTTTATTAAAGCTAGACTCCAGGGTTTCGAGGTTTTCATTTGGAAGATAGGGGTATGGGTATTCTTTCTGGCATCCAAAACATTCGAACTGACTTCGATAATCTACCACTCAAATACATAGGTCACCTTGCCTCGAAGACTAATACACATACTGGTGAAATGATCGAAACTCGCAGAGACCCCGCCTGCTCTGATATTGCAGCGACTCACTAAGGGTAAACTTGACCTTTGAGGCTCGTGTATTGATGGAGCCACAAAAGGCGAAAACCTTAGTGTCACTTGTGGCTGAGCCATTTGGTAGCCCATTTAGCCTCTATTTTCTCCAGCTGATAGACCCCTGAAGAATTCTATCTTCATGCTTCCATCTTCTCTGTAGCCTTGAAGACTTTACAATCACGTGTGGACAGTCCTGTTACGCTTCAAGATTGACGTTTGACTTCATCGGCTCAATGCTGCCCCTGCCACTCCTCTCCGTTCAAGCCGCATCTTGGACCTCGTAGAAATGTGAAGGACGCGGTCAACAAACATATAAAGCCAGCTGCTCGCACAGAACCTAGGCGTCACCTCCTGAGTCGAGGAAGCGTCGGGTTTGCAAGTGCCGAACTGTGTCAGCACTCCTATGGACTTAACAGTTCAAAGCTTAATAGGCGGAACAGTGCCAGCGGTTGAACTGGCAGTCGATGACAATATTGATAATGCTAACCTAACCAATACTATGGTTGGGGGTTACACCTCAAATAATGCACCATAGGGGTGAAAAGTTATCCCTCGGGGAAGAGGTGTCGTCTAGTCATGTCCCCATGTCATTGGCATTGGACTTGCAGAACTATACTCTATGTCGCGTTGTAAAACTTAGGTCACAACTCGAACAACACCAAGCCCTGCCCCCTCTGTGTGCTAAACTCAGGCTACAGGATTCGCGACCATGGGAATATTGGTAGCAAAGGCCTGGTGAGTTAGTTTGTGAAATGAAGCACTTTTGGCCAGCTTTTTCAATCCATAATTTGAAGGAGTTTCAGTTGTAAGATAATAGATCAGCAGATTCAGAGCATGGATGCAGTAAACTACATTATGCGTTGCGAAGTTTCCATCAACTTTTTGCCCCATACCAGGGATAAATGCCGCTGAACAAATGTATCGCGTAACAAAATCATAGCGAAGTGCACGTAACAAATAATCGACCTCATGGTGTTTTCATTGAGCCGAAATATGACCAGATGATACATATGTGGAGCCTCGGATTTGGTGTTAGATTAATGAGAACACGATCATCTCGTAAGGGTTTGAGTCTCCGGTGTTAATAGACTCTTTCTCATATAACCACGAGTCAATAGCATTTTGTCCAAGGTAGGATTTCTGAGGTTCCGGAAGTTGACAACTCTTTCGTCGCCGAGGAGCAACATTTTTCATTTCAAAAAATGCTTTGTATAGGAGACTATCCTAGTGACTCAGGTCATCTTAGCTACAAAGAACAGACAAATGAACTCAACAACCCATTATATGATGAATTAGCTGCAGATTTGAACAACGGCAGTGTTTGCTTGTACAATCTATCGATAACGTGGAATACTAGCTTGTCTATTGAGAAGACCATCCATCCCTGACTCGCTGATGCGTGCACCTAGGGGGGAGGATGCTATAATGCAGCAGTGCGCAACGTTATAGTATCTAATTGAATGGGATTCACCTAACCAGTGGGTCCCCCTACCTTTTCGTATCACTCGCATATGACATAGAGAAATCTGCATTCACTCTGAACTGCAGGAATTACAAAGATGGAACTCTACCACATGAGGAAGTCTTCTTTTACGCCAATCAACCTCTTCGATATGTGTGAGAAGTGTACACAGACGACCTACACCTGCTGTGGGCACGTCAGGTCGATCATAGAGCTAGGCAAGCTTGCGTGTTTGGTCCCTACTGTACCTCCGTTGGCCACATGTCTGAGGGGAAGTACACCAGTATAAGGAATAGCTTTTGTGACAAATGATGGCCTAAGCAGCCGAGGCCCGCTGCGTCTAAGGAACATGTAATGGAGTCTAAGAATAAGGAACCAAAGAGCAAGGACATCTCGATGAAGCTATCCACGCACCCGGAGGCTACCGCAGCTGCCGCTACTAAGGCTAAGCCCAGTGTTAAGCCAGCCACCTCTCCAGCAGCGCTTTCACCCTGGCTTCTTCTACGGTCAGCTCACACGAGAAGTCCCATTCAGCATCCGGCAGCGCCGAAGACGCCAGAGGGATTCGACTTTGTGTAGCCCAACTCCCCGCCCTCGCCTCGCGTAAAACCAGCAAGAAGGCGAAGTTGAAGTCTGCCCAGAAGGAAGAAATGGCAAGAATTACCCTCCAAGAAGAGCTCGTCTGCTAGCTCCAACAACCAGAAGGACCCCGTGGCGACCACGGCTCTGCCTCTGAACGCTGGTAGGACGACAAGGCATGGATTCACTGTGCTCCGGGCCTGCCGGCTTGGGCTCGCACCACTCACCGGGTGGGAATTTGCGACACGCGTATGGGCGTCACGGAAGATGAGGCGATGTCGGGATTAAAGGCCGAAAAAAGAAAGGAAAACGAGTTAACCAAACTCAAACAGCCGTTTTTGGTAGAGTAATAATCAAGATTGATGATACGGTGAGTTTTCATTCCTTGGGATGTGTTCACATAATTATGAGCCATGGAATGTTGATTTTCTTGTTTTAAAATGCTGAGATCTAGTTCGACGCATCCAATTATCCCTCAAACGGCCGCTAGTGACGAAGCTCTTGCCGGACCTATACCTCCAAATTAAAGGGGTTCGAGCATCTCGCTGCTACTGTATTCTCTCCCAACTTCCCTTCCCACTCTCACACTACCACGACGCGCAGTACGAAACCACGTTCATTTCTGTAAGTTTTCTCCTACGTAGCCCGTTTCTTCAGACGATCGAAAGTGCACCTTTTAAGACTCGATCTACCGTGTCATCTGACGTGAGCTCTCGAGGCGAAGCTTTAATCTCACAGTCCACAGCATGTCTAGCCTGCCTCTTGAAAGGTTCTTAAACTCGTTATTTCAGGTCTTTCCTCTAGGGCCGTCCTCCCGCTGCCTTTGTATAGACGGAATGCCAGCACATGAGACAATCCGTTTGGTGTGGTGGCATCAACTGAACACGGAATGGCACAAGCACTTGAAAATAGAAGGTGTTCGAACGCGCGATGCAAAACTATACGCTAGGAACTACGACATTCCTCATTCGAGCAAGGAACCAAACTCGAAGTCATGGACGGTGGCCTGAAATAGACCGGAACATGCCGCCAGCTATTATTAACACGACAAGCAGGCTGCCAATATTCGACGTCGCTACCCTATTTGATTGAGACTCTGTGCGCCTTTCCTATCGCGGACGCATGAAGTGCACATTTGCGGGTGCATTGAACACGAGGCTTCTCAGCTCCGCACAGGGAGTATGCAGCTTCCTCAGCTGGAATAATGTCCGTGGTGGAGTCTAGACTAACCGGCGGGTAAGGTGGCAGTCTACCCCACAGCGCTCTGGGCGTCATAAGGAGCGGCTCGGTTTGCATCGTCTCAAGTCGGTTCGTCCCTCAAAATGATGAGATGTCAAAGTTCACAAATGATGGAAAATATGGCGTCGCAATACCAAGTTGTCATCATGTAGCCAAGAGCTCGGGAATCGTGTGTGCCTGACTTGGCGCTAATGCTTGAAAAAAGCTTGTTGCCATCAGACTTTCCCAAGCTGGCCACCTTCCGGAATATGCTGGTATCAGTTGACAATTGCGGCCGTGGTGCACCACATCTGCCGCATGACCCCTGCTTAGGATCGTTGCTTGTACTTTGAGTTGGCCTATGGGACGTCGGCAGAGCCCCGAACTAAGTGACCCCTTTCTCAGATAAGAAGGTCAGATTCAAGCTTATATTAGCCCTGGTTTCTCTTTTTGGTAGCCTCGCTCCGCGGTGCTCTACTCCCACTGCAACTTGTTGATTGGTGATGTGCCCAATTCGACTGGACGTCCAATTGCGGCCTTGGTTTGGGGTGTCGCCATGATGATGCGATATGTCACGTCCGTTATACACGGCAATCGCGAGTCGCGCAATCAACGCCGGCCGGCGGGCGTCGACGGGTTCTCTGGTCTGATTGGCCACAAGGCAGCTTCCCCTTGTCGCTTGTGCTTTCCCGCGTCGATTGACTTCCAACGGTCCCGATCCCAAGAATAGGAAGGTAGCAAGCAGATGCACCATGGGACACCATCGCTCAATTGTGCCGAATTACACGCCACCAAGTCGATGCCTCCAAACAACAATGGTGACGATGATGGCCATGGGGTGTGAAGGCGCAGCATAAATATACTGCTCATCCCTCCTCCAACCGTCTCATCTGGCCACCTCGAATAGTCATCAGAGTATCGTCTACTCCTGTCTCTACTCGGTCATCATCAGAGCCTCCTCAACATGCCGTCCTTGTCCAACTCTATTGCCCTGGCAGTCGGCCTTTGCGGCCTCGCCACCGCAGCGCCTGCTATCGACAGCCGATCCGGTGACTTCTCAGTCGAGCAAGTCCGAAACCCAGGCTACGTCCGCAACGGTCCCGCTGCCCTCGCCAAGGCATACCTCAAGTACGGCCAGCCTCTGCCCGAAGGTCTCGCCGCCACCATCGCCAACCTCACCTTGAGCAAGCGCGCCACCGGCAGCGCCACGACCACCCCCGAGGAGTACGATATCGAGTACCTGACCCCAGTCCAGATCGGAACCCCGGCCCAGACGCTCAACCTGGACTTCGACTCGGGCTCCTCGGATCTTTGGGTCTTCAGCTCCTTGACTCCCACCAGCCAGAGGAACGGCCAGTCCATCTACACGCCCGGGAGCAGCAGCACGGCCAAGACGGTGTCAGGCGGTACCTGGTCCATCTCGTACGGCGACGGCAGCTCGTCTTCGGGGTCCATCTATACCGACAAGGTCACCGTGGGCGGACTCTCGTACGCCTCCCAGGCCGTTGAGACCGCAAAGAAGGTGTCTTCTTCCTTCACTGAGGACTCCAACAACGATGGCCTTTTGGGTCTGGCGTTCAGCACCATCAACACGGCTTCGCCTAGGCAGAAGACCTTCTTTGATAATGTCAAGTCCACCTTGACTTCGCCTGTTTGGACTGCTGATCTGAAGGCCGGCAAGCGTGAGTTCCTCGTCCCTAATAGCACACAACTTTAGCCCATTTACTGACTTCTTTCACAGCTGGTAAGTACAACTTTGGCTACATCGACACCGCCGCCTACACGGGCGCCATCACCTACACCGCCGTCGACTCGAGCGACGGCTTCTGGGAGTTCACCTCCTCGGGCTACGCCGTTGGCTCCGGCGCCTTCTCTTCCACCAAGATCACCGGCATCGCCGACACGGGCACGACCCTGGCGCTGCTCCCCTCGGCCGTCGTCACCGCCTACTACAGGCAGGTTTCGGGCGCCGTCAACAGCAACTCGGCCGGCGGTTACATCTTCCCTTGCTCCGCCACACTGCCTGACTTCACCTACGGCGTTGGAACTGCCCGCATTGTTATCCCGGGGAGTTACATAAACTATGCCCCCTACTCCGGCTCACAGTGCTATGGTGGTATCCAGTCCAATGCCGGGATTGGATTTTCCATCTTTGGTGATGTTGCGCTCAAGGCGGCGTTTGTGGTCTTCGACTCTACTCCTCGTCTCGGCTTTGCTAAGAAGGCCTTGTAAAGGGGCTTCATGGCGCTTGGAAAAGCATGATCCTCTCGCAAGCAGTTTCGTTTATAATGGCTTGTTGGCTAGGTTAGTTGTGGAAACAAGAGGGTTCCTGTATTCATGATGACGATGATGTCTGCCCAGTAACACTGAGTATTTGGAATGGTGTATATTAACATGACTGAATCTATATTATTAATAATTGTGCCCTAAAATTTCTTCTTTTGAACTCGTCAGATCTTACTTGAGACGATAAGTGCTTAAGTAAGTATAGCTTGCCCAGTGCGTTTCCATAAAGCTCCATAGCCTCATACCAGCTGGCTTTTTACCTCCTTGTTTCCACCTCCCGCTAACTGGACAAGCTTTGCGATGAGACGCAAAGTATGGATGCCACTATGTTCGTCTCCGGACTGAAGGAGTACGACTCAGGTTATACACCGCGGCTAGCTCCATTCACCGCCTGATTTGGGAAGTGAGCTCCAGTCTGATTGATACTTGGATATGCTATGTGAATGACTTGCAATAACACATTACTGCCCATAAATATTCATAGAAGTAAGACAGATCACCTGAGTTCTTGTATTTCTGACATGGGAAAACGTTATCAACATTATGTAGCAATTTCGAACGCAGCTGAAAAATATAAGGCCGGCAAGCCCCTTTTCTCCCACATGTCGAACCCCAAGACCAACCAAACGTATAACGTAAAAGTAAAGAGTGAAAGATAAACATCAAATAATCATCAAGTAGTTATTGACAGAGTGTTATATTTTCTACGCAATGGACTCCTGATCTCATTACTTCAAACCTTTTGTTTAAGTCTATCCAAGCGCCATCCGATCCTAGGCCTTGTTTCTATCCTGTACGCAGTGAGCGTTATCCTGTGTATTATTTTCTCCCATGTTTCCTTGACCCAAACCCCACAAGCCTCATGCAGCTCGTGTCTGTGTGATAGGCTTTCCTACCAGCGCGCTATTCGTCCCAAACACACCCATTATCTCCGTCCCGCTCAGCGGCAACACTCCCGGCCAGCTGCTCTCAGCCTCGGCCACTAGCACCCTATCGATGACGGTAATAGCGCTATTATGCAGCCCACTAGAAGCCACACTCTTGATTGTTGCACCATTGGGCCAATCAACCTCGCTCGCATCCTCGTCCGTCATGAACAGAACCACCAAACCCCCATCAGAAAACTGCGCAATCTGCGGTGACCCAGCATTCCTCCCCGCCGCGGGATTGTACACTGTCTGCCTCTCTCCCCAACTCGTCCCGTCATCATACGTTACGGCGCCCTGGACCGAAAACAAGCCATGACCCGTCGTCTCGTAGACAACAATCAACGCATCCTGTCCCGTGCTCGCATCCGTAACCTCGACAATACTCTGCATGCCGTCCCTTTTCTTCTCGTCCGCCGCGTGACAAACCAAGCACTGCGGCACCTTCCACGTGTGTCCGCCATCGAACGACTTGGTCCGGAATGTCTCCTGGTTGTCAGTAGCCTCCGTCTTCGAATACGAAAGCTGGATCTCCCCCTCTACCCCAACCCGCATGAACGGTTCCCAGAACCCCAGCACGTCGGCTTCGGGCGGGGATTGCACGGCGTTGACGAGAAATTTCCAGCTGCGCCCGCCGTCGTAGCTGATGGACAGCGTCAGGCGGTAGTACGTGTACTTGCCCGTATGCGGTACGCGGCGAGAATGGGGTTGTAGCTGCTCATTGCGTTTCCCGAGATCCAGTTTCCTTTGAGGGAGGGGTTGGAGGACACGGGGACTTCGAGGAGGAAGCAGTTGTCCAAGTCGCCTGTGCTGCTGGCTATGGAGCCGATGGGCGAGAAGGTCTGTGTCAGACCTTACGACTACCAAAAATACCTCATTCTACAACGAGTGGGTCCCTCGTCTTTTGACGGTCAATTTGGTCCAACAGTCTGCCCCTTGTCGGTGCTTTCCACGACTTTGAGGGTCTTTTTGGAGCCCGAGAAGGAGGTATAAGAGCCCATGATGTTGCCGTCTGTTCGCCAGGCTAGGCGCGGGTAGGCGCCCGAGACATCCCAGGGGCACTCGGTACTGCTGACCGTGGCTAAATTTGTGTAGGTGTTTGAGTCTGCTCCTGCTTTTGCATGTCCGGAGGAATTTATCTCTCTTGTGTTTATGGCGGAGAGTTGTGGTAACGCGAGGCCCGCCGCAAAAGCTATCAGGGGCGCTAACAATAATGTGGACTTCATTGCGAGGGCTGTGAGGGAGATGCTTTGGTTAAGGTCGTCTTTTGGGTCGGACAAAAGCAGATATAAGTAATAAGTAAATTAAGAGTTATTATTTTGACTCGAGTATGGCACAACAGCACGACAGGAGCACTCAGAGACAGTGTCTGTAGTGTAAACCTTACGATGCAAGAGCGATTCGGTACGGCAGCCCGTCTTTAAGTCCATCCAGTCTGTGGGGCTCCCAGCCTGCACCTCTGGGGAAGTCATGATGAGAAAAAGGATGGATTCGATTTTGCGCACTAGTTGGTAGTCAGTCAATGCATTCATACATCGTGTTGGCGCTGCCCATGAGGTTGGCGGGCTGTCAATATCATTTCATCAAGGATGGAAACGACTGTAACCCACCTGAGACACGTCAGGTGTGGACTTGGGGTGTCATTATAGACAGTGGTTTTTCTGCTATAGGCTCACCAACCACTCGTTCTCACTACGCTAGTAAGAGATCTGGAGGGCATTCGTGCTGAATCGTTACGAAATCCGGAGGCCGCCTCTTGAATCGAACACCACGAGCAGAAAAACCTTGCTTCTGTGTCTTTTCCGCGGCCTGGTCTCAATCATATGCCTGCAATTGAGTTTGATGTTGCAGTATAGCGCTGTGGGGGATTCCAATCAGTTGCCACTTGCTAGTCGTCGGGACGGTCGACGGCCGGTTGCATAGATGGAGCGGCGGCTCCGCGGCTCCGGATCAAGCAGGACTCGATTGGTTCAGGCTTCTTCCTTGCTGGTTTCGGGAGATCTTCAGGAGTAGAACGGCAAGCATTGAGAAACAAGACCGTACAGCTCAGTTCCTCCGTCTTCAATGCATGGAACATTCCTTGCTTCTGAATCAATATTTCACCAGTGAAACAGGACCCAGGGGGATAGTGGTGCTCAATTCAGGAGTCTTGAGCGTAAACTAACAAGTGCTATGCACGCGTTCTCACGACCCGCAAATTTCAGACGATCGCCCTCTAGTTTCAAAATTCTCTGAACCACTTCAGCACAGACCTGATGGCCGTTGTGACGTGACCGATTCTTCACTTCCATGCGCATCTCCATTTCCAAGACAATTTGAGCCATACGTGGGGGAATTGATGATCCCCAAAGCTTCATTGATGTCATAGCTTCTCCTCGAGATACGACTTAGGAGACAAATTCTTCCATGAATATCCGTCCACTGCACTAGCAATTCTGCCACGCCCCTGAAAAGGATCCTAGTTGCGGTACTATTTCTTGAAGAGAAGACAACGGGGGATGGGAGGATCGCTATTCCTATTCCAGAACCCGTAAGGCTGCCATGTTGCTCAGATTAAGTGGGATCATCAAAGAATCTAGACTAGGACCTTGGGCCAATCGGGACCTCCGCTATTCTAAGCCATACGAACAGTTCTACCTGGAAATGATTCGGGTACTCTGGCAATAAACATTGCGCACAAATCAACATCGACGAGACCGTCGGCTAGGTCGTATGTCAGCAACGTCAGGAAGTGGATCTAATGTCTATCCGGATGTTGAGAAACTATTTGAGTAGCCCTCGAGGTATTCGGCATGCCGAACGCGCGTTCCTATTTCCCTGTCACGTTTAATAAACGCTGAAGAGATTGGCTATTAGAACTGCCTTCGATCCTGGATCGGCCTCTAAGGGTAACCTTTCCCGTCATCCTGAAGATACTAGCCACAGGACGTTTGGTTATTCTACATCGTCGGATTTGCTCCTTCGGAACTCTTGTGCAATGAAGCTCATTACACAACATATTCAGGCAGAGCAGGAAGGCTAAAACGTTTTGCATAATATTGTAAAAGAACTTCAGCTGGCGGCCGACCTGGCTGAAATTCAAACAGAAGATGTCATGCAATGCGTCCCGACTTTCATTGGCAGAAAATCATAGGCGGGTAGGGTGACACCATTGTTGATGTGGGCCACTATTCGAAAATCATTCCGCGGGCGGAGTCGAAGTCATGATAAAACTCCCGAACATCGGTGTGATGTCGTCGATTCATGTAGATCACATGGTTCTTGAGGGCACGTGATTTAGGCTTCTCGGCCACGAAGTACTGCAGTTATTGTCATCCTGTAAATGAATAACGTACCCCACAAGCAAGTTGGCCACTTTTTCTTGGCACCGTACGAACAACCTTTTAATTAACATCTTTACACATACCAAGATGGGATCGAATTGGAAAGAAAGCGACATGATTCTAGCGTGTCAGGCGCTTCAATCGAAACCCGAATTAAGCATCCGACGCGCTGCCCAACTCTACAATGTCCCTCGTACAACTCTAGCTAACCGAAAACGCGGACTACTATCTCGACGCGATACTCGACAATCTAGTCAAGAAATTGAAGACATAATACAGGCGCATATAACCCATATCTCGAAGGAGGATTTCTTTTCGGCATTCTATAGGGCGTATCGTACGACTATAACTAAGTCGAATATCCAGGCAGGTTTCAGGGGGACAGGACTTATTCCGTACGACCCGGAATATGTGATTTCACAGCTGGATATTAAGCTACATACGCCTACACCTCCTGGGAGCTCGTCTGGCGCCCCCTTAATCTGGGAATCAAAGACTCCAAATAACCCAACCGAGGCGCAATCCCAGTCTGAATACGTTAAAAAAAGAATCGTATAGCATCGGAATAGCTCCCCGACGACAATACTTACGGCTATTGACCAATTTTCACGTGGTGCGACGGCTGTTATGCATCGGTTAGTTTTAGTTGAGGATGAGGTTACTACACTTCGGAAGGCCAATCAAGAGCTAAGCCGTCGTCGAAGGACTAAAAATCGACAGCTACAAGATGGAGGATCTCTTAGTTTACGAGACGCTCAGGACTTACAGTCTCAACGGGATATTGAACAGCAGCTAGAGGATGATATACGTGTAAGTCGTCGTCGTACGAGACCGGCCGAACCACGCCGACGGCGCTGTAGGATCTGCGGAGAGCCCGGACATAATGCTCGTGCTTGTGAGAATGATAAGATACGTACGAGGAAGAGGATTCCGATTAGTTTGAGTTATTATTTTTTAGTTTAGTCAAGTTATTGAAGTTATTCATACGGTGCCAAGAAAAAGTGGCCAACTTGCTTGTATGGCCATCTTGGTTGTGGGGTACGTTAGATTATAACTAGTATATCGCACTACAATACTCACATATCTCACGCTATGCTCTGTTAATCTACATTCCTATGTTCTGGTATGTGTTTATATCATCACCTATGTGGAGCGATAAACAATTCCTTCAACATCTACGCAATGTTAACATGTGACAATTGAAGAGAGTCGCTGAATTGATCTATTACTATCTATCCCAACGCATTGCATCTAACTACCATCTAAACAATCCGATTCCTCATCTTATCCTTACTTAACTCCCACTGTAATATTATAGCCAAATTACGAAATAACCTGGACCTTCTCGCCGGAAGAAGCAGCATCAGTACACGAGTCTGAACTCTTGCAGCAACTTCTCTTCCAACTAGTGAAGTTTCCTCCAGTTTTCGTCTCAAAGCGACACTGTTCCCAAACACTCTCTCCGACAGAAGGATTCTGCCACTTAGGATCATCGGGCGCATTTACGACCAACGCACCCGCCATACCAGTGAGGGAGTGAAAATCATTATGGCAGTGGAAAAACCATCTGTGAAAGACATCAGCTGAATCCGCATTGAGGCAAAGGAGTGAGAGAAGGAGCAAATAGGGGCAATACTCACGTCCCAGGGTTCAATGTTTTGAAAGCGGCCACAACGTACGTCCTCGCCGTAAGCTGAATTGTATCGCGACGCAATGGCACGGCAGGAAAATCATACGAATTATCCTTGATCTTATCATCGTCAGGACCGTTGACTTGAGACGGTTGCTGTCTGTCTGTAGAGCTAAGGCCCTGAGAAGGTGTTTGATAGAGGACTTGGAAGTCGTGGCCGTGGAGATGGACTGGATTTTCAAATCAGTACAGAAATATTTGGAGACAATGCGACAAGACGACTTACAGGGATGAGTATTGGCCTTTGCTGTGATAACGAGGAATACATTAGTGCCCTGCTTTACATGCCAGGTGTTGTTGGTTCCATAGTAGTCTTTGTCTGTGAGACCGCCCACGCCAGGTTCAGGAATCAGATCATCGCTTGAGCACTCTGGCGGCGTTTGAGTTTGGCGAAGGAGAACCGGAATTTGCTGGGCAAAAAATTGTTTGTCATTCATAGTGGCATACCGATCGGTTCCACTGGTGACAGTCAAATCCAGGTGGATAATGGTAGAATCCGAGTCATTGCCGTACATAATTCTATCGACATCAGCCTCGGGCTGCAGCTTTCCGTCCGAGTACCACTGGTCGGTAACTCGCTGGTCGGTATCCGACGCGTGCGATGGAAGATTTTGCAAAGTGAACTGATTGTTATCGCTGGTGTAGCATGGTGCCGTAGTCTCGGTGCATGACGATGTTGCCTCGAAATAGGGGGTCACCAGCTTTCCGTCCACGTTAAATTGCCCCGTTGCCATGGCGGCGTACTGGTACTGTGACAGGCTAGACCCCTGCAACTTTTGGCAGTCGTTGCCAGAGTACAGATCTGGGTCAACAACACCATAGAGGTTGAAGCTCTTAGTACTGTTCAGCATAACACTGTATCTCTGCCCTGGATGAATCATGATGGACTTGGCGGTGGAGACGTTGTCGCTCTTCAGCGGCACCCCGTCAACTTCAATGACAGCCAAATCAATATCTGAATCGTCTGCGAAGACGATGAAATTGGAAAACGCAGACATATTGATGATCCGTACGCGCATAGGCGTGCCTGAACTAAGATTTGTCGCATCGTACTGAGTCATACCACTCAAGTCGTCGCGAGCGATTGCTCCTATGTAGGAAATTAGCAAACAAGCAATAACTGCGACTTAAGCAAGAAACTCACCATCAGGGGGTACTTCCAGACCACATATGTTGTTCAGACAACAATCTCCATTCGTAATTTTCTGCTCAATGGCGGGCATTGAATCATTCCACTAGCGGTATAATCAGTAAATAAGAACCCCAAGACGGCGCGAAAGCACTTACCGTTTCAGATACATCAAAGATGAAGTCGTGGTCAGCATCATACCCGTAGTACGCCGGTTCATCAGCCTGCCTCACGATCAAAGGCGCCCTCAGGCCGTATGGATATTGTCTTTTTCAGTCAACGAGCACGATCTTATCATACCTGATACTGCGAGAATTTTAACTTACCCAACTTTGTGACTGTGGACCCAAAACGATCCGACCTGATCAGCCTGCCAAACATACATCTGAGAGTGACCCTTGTGAAGGCCGCTGGCAAAAGATTAGCATCGCGTAAAATCAAGTTGTGTGGGACTGACCATTGAGTCACGCCAACTGGACCATCGGCTTGGTTGTTGTACATCTGGTGGAATCCGTGTGCGTGCAACGACACCGTGTCGTTTACGTCATGGTTGTTGACGTTGACGATGATTCTGTCATTTTGGTTCACCTCGATTGACTGCGGAGGCCATTCGTTGTTGATAAGAATCGCATCTCTGCTGGTTCCCGGTAGCTTCGTATACGTCAGATTCCAGTTGTAGAATTTATCATCCGCGATGGCGCTTCGAGTGGATAACGCGGCGAGCGCCAACGCTACCGTCCTGGGATTCTTCATCTTGAGACAGATGTAGTACAACTTGTCTGAGAAGATGTTCAACTCGTTGACTTCCAAGGTTTGTATCTTCGTTCTTCTCAGAGAAGTGGCCTGTCAATGTTGTTGATGTGATGGGAAGATCTTGGCGTCAGAGTTGGGATATTCTCATGGGCCGTTATATACAAAACTGTCTCGACTGAGAGGTGCTGTAGCTAGCCCCAAAACCCATGGGCAGTGCACTTTCGGGTGGCAACGAAGGATCAGTAAAGTCATCATATATTGCTACAGACGTGGACTCGCACATTTGCTTGCGAACTCTCCGATCAGGGTTCTTCGTGGGAGCGTCTAATCTTCCAGTTCGTCCTGCCCTTGCCAATAGATTAATTGTGCCCAATGAAAGACGGAAATGACAGACTTGGCTTTCCCCAGAGAAGTATCCTAAAGAACTCAACAGTAGTCGTTGCTTGATTGCAGATTCGTTTCATTTTCGGGTAATCTGGTCCGATGCATGTGAGAAGTCAAATTTAGGTGGAAAAGCAAGCACCTTCACCGTCTGCAAGGTCATGAATCGTTGACGGAGACGTTGAACACCGCGAGGAGCGAAACCCCGACCTTAGCCTGGTCGAGTCGCAAGTTGCCGGTCTTCGGTGGAAAGGAAAACAACGTAAGTGGACATAACCTAAACGGAAAGAGTCTGGGGAAACTCGCGGCCTGGCACTAGTCGGTACCAACAGAAGCCGATGGCGCAGGTACTCTCCGATCGTCCATCTCGTCGACGTTACGTCGCGCTCGCTCGCAACAGGCGCGGCTGCTAATTCATGAACACGGCGCAAGAGCAGCAGAGTCGGCCTGAAAGATGAATTGACATTTTGATCTCGCGGCAGTTTTCGGCGTGTTTCCATTGTTCTGGAATAATAAGTCAGCTTAAGGTTGTGCTAGGCACCAAATAGGGGCAGTGAAACGTTGACACGGCAATTAGCCTCGAGTCTATCTCGAAAAACGCGAAAGAGCCGCAAAGATATACGTGTCTTTGCTGACCGTTGAAGCTTAATACTGGAAAATCGGACGAGCTACTGCCGTGCACCGACTTGGTCGACTTCGCCGACTTGATCAATTCGCCCGCTTGTGAAGTACGTTATCAGGTCGTCACCATGCCAAGTTCCCAAGAGCATGTATCGCTCGAAAACCACTAACGTACCCCACAAGCAAGTTGGCCACTTTTTCTTGGCACCGTATGAATAACTTCAATAACTTAACTAAACTAAAAAATAATAATTCAAACTAATTGGAATCCTCTTCCTCGTACGTATCTTTATCATTCTCACAAGTACGAGCATTATGTCCGGGCTCTCCGCAGACCCTACAGCGCCGTCGGCGTGGTTCGGCCGGTCTCGTACGACGACGACTTACACGTATATCATCCTGTAGCTGCTGTTCAATATCCCGTTGAGACTGCTTAATATCCAGCTGTGAAATCACATATTCCGGGTCGTACGGAATAAGTCCTGTCCCCCTGAAACCTGCCTGGATATTCGACTTAGTTATAGTCGTACGATACGCCCTATAGAATGCCGAAAAGAAATCCTCCTTCGAGATATGGGTTATATGCGCCCGTATTAGGTCTTCAATTTCTTTGCCGTACGACCTTTTCAAAGCCCTAAAACAGCCTACATCGAGAGGCTGGAGCTTATGTGACGAATGAGCAGGCATACTAAGTGTAATAATAGTATGCTCTTTGCAATATAGCTCGAAGTCAGTCGAGTGGTGGCTCTCATGCCCGTTGAGGATAAGAAGACGATAAACACCCTTCGTACGATCCTTCGTATAGCGATCAAAGTGCTGAATCCAGTCTACGCCTCGCTCATTTGTTGTCCAACCGTTTTTTGTTACAGCGATTACCCAATCGGACGGGAATGGGCTATTCTCGTACCAGGATAAGAGGTGGTTTTGACCCGCGACAATGATATACGGCGGGATAGCCCAGCCGGACGAATTAATACCCTGGATTACTGTAGCCCATTCTCGATTCCCTTGTTGGACTGTACGAGGCCTTCCGCGTCGTTCGGCACTTGTAACTACCATCTCGGATGAGATTAAGCCCATCGCGAACCCTGTCTCGTCGAAGTTATAGATATCCGCCTCTTGGATACCATATTTCGCAATTGTATTTCGTACGAGCGTAAACCACGCGCGATACGCGTCAGGATCTTCGCAATAGGCTCGTTGGTAGTCGGTTCTTCGATTAAAACGCGTCCGAAGGTCTGGTTGTCGTCGTACGAAGTTCGAGGCCCAGTTGACGCCGACGCGTCCAGCGCCACGGTCACGGAGCAGTCGGTTAGCCATAGCTTCAACACCATGGAGCCGGGGAGGAAATGATCGCGAATCTAGGTCAAGTATATATTGTACGACCGCTAACTCTTCTGATTCCGTAAGCTTATGACTAGATTGTCGAGTATCGCGTCGAGATAGTAGTCCGCGTTTTCGGTTAGCTAGAGTTGTACGAGGGACATTGTAGAGTTGGGCAGCGCGTCGGATGCTTAATTCGGGTTTCGATTGAAGCGCCTGACACGCTAGAATCATGTCGCTTTCTTTCCAATTCGATCCCATCTTGGTATGTGTAAAGATGCTAATTAAAAGGTTGTTCGTACGGTGCCAAGAAAAAGTGGCCAACTTGCTTGTGTGGCCAACTTGCTTGTGGGGTACGTTAATCACTTTACCTGGGTGCTGTGGGATTGAGCGCCACGGTTATGCCCTAGGCCGAAGGCGGTGTAGCGGCAATTGCACTAGTGGGGTCAAAACCCTTCCTCATAGATAAAATAGCTACACAGAAGACACAACAGAGCAGATAGATAGATCAATCAACAGAGGATCTACGCAGAGTCATCAATAGAGGATTGAATCCCTCATGGTAGCATCTCATCGTTACTGATCGACGGATTGATTACTCTGTTAGATCCCCTCTCTACGCGCAGGACACGGTCTGGCAGTACGCAAAGGCGTAGCTCAACAGACGGCAGTGTCGCTGGCGAAAGAGACGGTAGGGTTCCTACACCCTAGAACTGACGCTTCCGCAGCAAGCCCATCGCAAGGATGGCATCCCCCAGCAAGCCCACTCAAGGAGTGGCTCCGTCGCCAAGAGTAGGCGAGGAATCTGTCGACCCATCAGAGAAGGCATTCACAGGGAATGACCTTCAGGCCCTCGTGAAGGAGAGCCTGGAATTGGTAGAGGTACGACACAAATCAGAGATCAAGACTCTTCGGGACCAGATCGACATGCTCATCAGTGAGCGAGAAGACCCTAGCCTTAGGGGCCGTAAGTCAGGTTCGATCCCCTCGAATGAAGAATTCAGAAGCACGACGGGCCAGCAGATGCCGCCGGCGCCGCCCCAAGGCTTTGCCTATGAGATCGAATCGGACAGCGAAGAAGACGCGTCCCCTAGAATTAAAATCAAGAAGCGTGAGCTATCACAAGCATCAGAGCGTAAGCCCTCACACTCACCCTCCGATTCGGACTGCAAGAGCAAGCGCGGCAGATCCAAGCCCGTCAAGCCCGACAAGGTCGGCAAGGATAAGAAGAAGCACGCGCGCGGCCGATTCGACCCCGACGATGACAGCGATCCATCAAGTGAACAGTCCGAGCCTGAGGATTCAGAAGATTCCGACCTATCCTCATCCTCATCAAGCGATGACGACCGCCGTAAGCGTAAGAAGAAGCTGTCAAGGTGCAGTAAGAAGACCAACCTTGATTGGGAGGACTGGGACTTCGAGCCTGACAAATCCCAATGGGTACGCGGGCCTGACATACAAGCCTTGGCGTAAGATCTTTGAGCTCTCGCTGGAATCCATTGGCTGGTACAAGGGCAAGAACATCACCAAGCGTGACGACGTACGCATCGCAAAGGCCATCATGATGTCGTCGGACGGCATGGCCAAAGGACTTATCGACAACCTCACAACCGGAGCAAAGATGCTCAAGACGCTCAAAGCTAACTTTGACCAGTCGGCCAAGCAGCGCCAGAGGGCCCTGTGGAAGGACCTCGCCGCACTGAAGTATGACGGCAATTGCCCCGTCACGTTCAACACCAAGTTTCGCAAAGCTGTGTCCGAATGCTGCGACGCCGGACTCAAACTCACCAGCAGTCAACAGATCACTATGTTCCTCACCGCTACTGAGGACAAGGCCTCAAGCTGGACTCGACAGCAAGAGCAATTCCTCCGTCGCAACAAGATGAAGCCGGCAGAGCTCATGGAAGAGTTCGCCAACGCATTCCATCACAAGTTAACCCGTGGAGGCAACGGTAGCCAGAACAACGGAAGGAGCAGCGGAGGCAACAGCTCCCACAACGCTCAAGCGCCTGGCAGAGATGGTGACAACAGTGACAGTAGCACTAGCCGAAGAGGTCGACGATCCACCAAGGACGTCGAATGTTACAACTGCGGCAAGAAGGGCCATCTCAAGCGAGATTGCCGATCCCGCCCTAACGACGGTAATGAGGATGATAAGGGTGCTAGCGCGAATACCGCAAGAGGGCGAGAGCAATCCGTCGCGGCGCCACCCGGACTTGAAGAAGCCCTTGGCGACAAGTTCTACGGAGCGAAGGCAGCGTTCGATTACCAAGATCTCATCAACGAATACGACCAGGCTACTCAAGCCCTTATCGCACGAAGCTGTACAGCAGACGCTAGATCGGCTGATCCTGACCAGCTACTGTTCGACACCGGAGCTGATATCCACGTCACAAACGACGAAGACGATTTTACAGAGGGCACTATAGTCACACTGAAGAAAAACGCGTATCCAGTGATCACTGGCGGTGGCATCGTACACGCCCAGAAAGTTGGCACAATTAAGTGGCTCGTGAAAGGTCCGGACGGCCTGCGCAACTATTTAGCCGCCAAGTATGTACTATTCGTACCCAAATTTCCTATCAAAGTATTCTCGGGAAAGCTATTCTACCTCAACGGCGGTACGATCCGAGGCAACGATATCGTCAGTAATACCGGCACGGTAGTCACAACAATAGACGTCAAGAGAAGAGGCTGGCTCTTGTGGCAATTCGGGAAGAAACAGCCCCAGAGGACACGAAAGAGTCACGTGGACTACCTAAGTGCCCCAGCGCCGGAGCCAGAGCCAGAGCTAGAGCCAGAGGGCGCCCTACAGTCATTCGGCTTCACAGCAGAAGAGGTCGCCAGTACGAAGCGAGTCATGGACAACACGATAGTCAGCCCAAGGATTGTGGAGATGACGGACGACCTGGCAGGTGTGACACCGCACGAGTGTTTCCACCAAGAGTTGGCGTCAGAGGGCGAATGGACACCGGATGTGGCCAACTTACGGATCCCAGGATCCCTAGCGCTAGTACATGAAGACGTCACAGATGAAGACATAATCAAGCCGCGCAGAGGACTGCCCCGCAAGGCCAAGCCGAACATACGAGCCCTATATCCAAGAGGGCGCAGACGTTGATGATGTTGGTCAAGATGTGGAAGCCGGCTACGTCAGGCCACGTTGGGTGCTAAGCGACCAGAATCCGGCCGACGGTCTCACCAAGCCTTTGGACAGGACTAAATTCAATCAATTCATTGACCTGCTGGGGATGGAACGATTGGAGGCAGGAGCACTGGACGTGAAGCGCGACGGCGGTGAAAGGCGGCAGAATCGCACTACTATTGAGTGATGAAGAAGCCGTATTTGCAGGAATTGGACCCTAGAACCTACAGTGGCGAGAGGGCGTGTGGGATTGAGCGCCACGGTTATGCCCTAGGCCGAGGGTGGTGTAGCGGCAATTGCACTAGTGGGGTCAAAACCCTTCCTCATAGATAAAATAGCTACACAGAAGACACAACAGAGCAGATAGATTATTATTATTATTATTAAATACGCCGTAGGCTCGAAGCCCCCGGTACCTCTACTAGTACTCCCGTATGTCAAACCGTGCCCTAATGGCTGGACTAAATACATACGCTGCGTCGTCGGTTCGCCCTATTGGCGACTGCGTTGCGTTCACTACCATACTACGTTGGTTCTCAACCTACCAACAAAGTCCCCCTGAGAAGATCGATGCTATCTGGGCCTTGAAGCTGTCCGACCCGTCCCTAGCAGCCACCTTACAATATTCCCACTAACTACTGATTCTCCTGTTGCCGTTGCGAGGTCTCTGCGAGAGTATAGTGGCCGTGGTGCGATAGCGGCCCGTAATCGTTCCCTCGGTCCTTCCAACAGCCCGCAAAAGAGGATTACGTGCTCTGCCGTCTCAGGGGCGTCGCCACAGCGGCATAGCGGCGAGTACACGCCAAAAGCCCCTGTCTTGAATAAGAAGGCTGCTAGTCCTATTTTTTCCGTCCTGATCTGGCACAGCGTAGACGCTTCCAGTCGGTTCAGGCCGAAATACTTGCCCCCTTTCGGTATCTGCATCGAAGGGCCCTCCGGTTCCTCAGCGATGGCGCGTCGCTGGCGATCGTGATGCTCTGCTCCGGTGAGCCATCTCTTCCTCCAGTGGCCGAGGAGGGCAGCCGGGACCTCCTTTTCCTCACTCATCCACTCGGAGCCCCGGGCCTCCTTCTCCATAGTGTACCCTGCCGGTCGGAGTAGCTGCGACGCCTGCTTCCTCTTCGCCGGTCTATCCTGCCGGAGTATATGTGACGCTTTAGCGCTCGCGCTGCGAAGCAGATTTCTCTTCCCGCTAAGCCGTAGCCGTTCTTCAAACTTAGCAGCCCGGGCACTAAGATAGAGGTCTAGTGGCGGGATTGCTGCTTCTGCTTCCAGGTGGCGAACCGGCGTCGCTTTGTGGGCGCCACAGACTACCCGGAGGCACTCGTTCTGTATCCCCATCAGGCTCTTAGCTGGCCCTGCCGGTTCCTCACTTATAGTATGCCACGCAGTCGCCCCGAAGGCGATCGCGCTACGGATAACCACCGTATATAACAGCCTCGCCCGTATAAGATCGCAGCCCCACGACATATTGACTAGCTTTGTCAGGGCTAGCTTTTGAGTTGCCATTTTTGTTTTAACACGCTCAACATGGGCGTGCCACGTCAGTTTGCGGTCGAACCAGACTCCTAGGAACCTCGCTGAGACTACCGGCGACACTGTGGCGTCCCCAAGGCGAATACTTTGCGGCAAGGGCTCTCGGGCCCTAGTAAAGTGCATTAGCTCACTCTTGTCAGGAGGGAACTCCATCCCGTGCCTCACTGCCCACCGCTGACACGTAGCCCATGCGCTCTCCAACCGGCGGCAGGTTCGTGTCGTCCACGAACCCGACTACTAAAAGTAGTGGGTGCTGCTCCGATAGCTCCTCGTACAGCGTTGAAATGTATAATATAAACAGTATCGGGGATAGCGGTGACCCCTGGGGGACGCCAGCTCGTAGGGGGATTGGCTCTGACTCCTTGCCATCGAACCGGAGGCGTACCGTCCTATCCTCCACGAAGCTGCGTACCCACTCCTGAACCCACTCCGGGTAGCCTTTCCGGGCTAATATGGAAATCAGCCGTCTGTAATTGACCGTATCGAATGCCCCTTGATGTCTAGCTGTAGCAGCGAGGCGATGCCCCCGCGTCTCCACGCCGTATAGACCACGTCCTCAACTATACGTATTGCCAGTTCGGTGGACCTCCCAGCGCGGTTACCCATTTGGCCGTTTGGTAGTAGGCCGGCCGCCTCAGCTACTTTGGTGATACGCCGGCTCATCGCCGTCTCTATTACCTTCCCTACCGTGCTAAGCAGGGCAATGGGGCGCCAGCCGCCAGGGGTCTGCTTCTGAGCTGTCGTTTTATTAGGCTTAAGGATAACAACCACCCTCGCTGAGCGGAAGCGCTCCGGGTAGTACCCCAGCTTAAAGCTAGCTGTTGCCAGATCCGCTAGGATCTCCCATAGGGGTTCACCGCAGGCCTTTAGCAGGCCAGTGGGGATCAGGTCGTCGCCGGGAGCCTTCCAAGCAGCCGTTCCTTTGATGATAGACTCGATATCCATTGTGTTCACCTCCCTAGGGACGTTCAGCTCTGGTCTCGTCTGTAATAGACCGCGATCGAGGTCCGATAGATCTATACACGGGTCTGGGAACAACCTCTCAGCTAGTAATTTTGCCTTCTCATCATGTGTACGTGCCGTAAGCGTGTCGCCGGCGTCCCTCCGGAGATCTGGAAAGCCGTGGGCCTCAGGGGGGGCCCAGCTCCGTAGCCTAGCCCACCTCTGCAGTGCCCATAGGCTTTTGTGATCCTTCGCCGTCCCCTTGAGCTTCTCATGCCAGCTACGCGTCTGCACTTCGCTGATTTCGAGCCGTTGTTTTTGGCCGGCTCTTGTATATTCGTCCCAGTTGGTCTGCGACCTTGCCTGGAGGTAGTCCCGCCGTCGTCTCTTCGTCTCAGTGCAAGCCTTGCTAACCTGCGGGCACCACCACGGGACCCCAGCGCCTCGGCCAACGGTGCGTCTCGGGACCGCCACGTCGGCGATCTCTTGGAGGTTCCGGATAACCCAGTCAACAGCCTGGTCCAACTCCGTTATCGTCTCAACCGGCAAATAATTCATAAATCTCTGGCTTGATTCGGCTACGATGAGCCACTTATCCGCCATCGCCCAGTTCCACCCTTCGACACTGCGGCGGCCCTCCTTGACTGCTTCCCCGTTGGATATTACCCTAATCACTTGCGCTCTGTGGTCTGAGCCCTCTAGGCCCGGGTCCCCATCGTAATCAATCCTAGCCCCTTTCGTCACCCAGGCTAGGTCGATAGTTGAGTCTCGTTGTTTGTGCCTTTGCCGTGTGATTTCCCCGAACGGCGTAACGAGCTCTAATCGCCAGCGTCGCGCAAACTCCACTACGTTGTCGCTGCCCCGTGACGACCGTCCGTGGACGTCCCACAGCGGGTGATGTGTATTGAAGTCCCCTACGAGGACCTGTGTCCCCTCCGGCGCCCCATTAGGGAGGTCTTGGAGCGGGCTGACCCAGCGACTCCCGGTCTGGTTTGGTGAATAGATAGACCAGATTGTAAGGGCGTCCGGGCCTGCCCCGAACGTAATACTGCTCCAGTCCATCCCGGTACAGCAGATAGATAGATCAATCAACAGAGGATCTACGCAGAGTCATCAATAGAGGATTAAATCCCTCAGGTGCGCTGTTTATTCAACAACAGCTTGGCTCCCTTTCCCACTATCATGATGCCTCTAAGAGAACGATTTCACTGCTGCATAAAAGTGTGATAATATCCCACGACACCGGGTATCTATCTATTTGAACACTATTGGGCTTTGGTGAAAGGTGGCGCTTCTTTGAGCTCCTGCAACGGCGGTATATCCTCTAGCATCCCAGTCTCTAACCGTTCCCAGATGATCCCACAAGTAGGCTTCTTGACAGCTCCAACTTCCATGACTCTGGTTGGTGTGATCACAAAATCACACACTGTGTCAAACTCGTCTGGTATGAGCTCTTCTGTGAGGACCTGACAATCATGCACCAATGCGACAGTGACCGTGTCCGGGCCAACAACGCCCTTCGTGAATAACATCCCCCATTCAAGATCGAAGAAGCCGTGCCCCTTACCAAACCGTACGCCTTTCTCATTGATGGCTCCTGTCCCCGTGACCATCAAGCCTATCGAGAGTCCCATGGTGACTATTTCCTCCAGAGAGACCGGCTTTCCAACCTTTTCCATGCCGTCCAGGGTTGACGCGTACTTGTGCAACGAAGGATCGATATTCGCCGGATCAAGCAGCCAGAAACCCCTCCGTATGCCATATGTCGTCATTAAAACTTTGATGCCAGCTTCTAGCGTCTTCTCTCGCAGATACTCGAGACCGTTGTCCGGGGTTATGAAGACAGTGCTACAAGACTTGAAGCTCGGAAGAGCCATCAGCCTGTCGTTGGCCTCCTGTGAGCCTTGGAAATCCGCGATGAAGCTGGAGAAGTCATAGTGGAAACGGGAGTCCGGGTATGCCACTTTTCGCAACTCCTTCCAGACCTTGTTGCGGATGGAGGCTTTATGGCCTTGGCGATCGACACATAGGGCCATGTCAGATGTTTTTAGTGGCGTTCGTCGAGATCTGTGGTACGACTGTCAAACAAGAAGGGTTGGCTTGCTTGGATTGGTCACTTCAAATTTGATCTCACAGCTGAAATCTCACACGCCTCGTGAGACAAAATGCCCGATCAGCCCCGGCCTTTGCCCTTCCTGAAATGCCCGAAAGCCCAAGTCATGTCCAATGCTGACAGGGGTAAGCGGCCCCAACGCATCCAAGACCGACCGAATGCACATCCACAATGCTTATCTTTGAGCCGCCCCATGGCTTGATTATTTCTGTCTGGCGCAATGAATCCGCTAATTTCCGTTATCTTGCCCTAAATGGACCTCATTCTGCGAATCACGTCTCCAACTGAGATCTCACACGCCACGGGTGGTCCCTGATTTATCTCTTTTGTCTCTTTTATTTTTATTATTTTTAACCCCCCTGAAAGCTGGCGAGGACAATAGAATGGCTGCAAATCGTCATCGCGGTGGAGCTAGGCGATAAGGCCAAGCCTATGCAACCCACGTTTCCCACGTTTCCCACGCACACATCTTTCGTGCCGCGGTTCCGGGATACATATATGAGCCAGACAGTGCCACCCAACTCGATGTCGCGGTTTCTGGTCGTTTACAACGAACATCCCTCTCCGGGTCGCGTGCGCAAAACCTCGATAACCTGTCGGTGGATGACGAATCTCGACGACGAAGAAGACGATAATTGAATCTGGTGGTCGCATCAATGGTCTTCAGTGAACCAGCCCAAGTCACCGAAAAGATGGATACGGAAAAGGAAGGCCACCGCCCGCCACACAGCAGCAGCGACATGGAAAGCAACAGCAACGTCAGCGGGGACGTGGCGCTGGCTTTGCAGCGCATCAGCACTAGCAATGCAGCCCATCCAATTCATTGGAGCCGGGTCAAGAAATGGCTTATCATCAGCGTGTACTGTCTGCTGCAAATCTTCGTTACTCTCACGAGCACGACGTACGTGAGCGCGGAGTTCCTCATCGAGGAGAAGTTCGGCGTAACCGACACCCAGGTCGTGGCGCTGGGGCAGAGCATGTTCATCATCGGCACGGCGGTTGGTCCGGCTTTCCTGGGACCTCTCTCGTATGTTCACACCTCTTCGCAGTTGATTTGAGAGCAACTAGCCAGTGTGTGGGGTGGGCTGGCTGTCGTGTAACTCAAAGTTCGTTGCTTATACTTGTTTAGCGATATTGGGGGTCGCAAATGGGTCTATGTAGTGGCCATCGCGTGCTATGCCCTCATCAACATTGGGTGCGCGTTACCGCTGAACTTGCCCATGTTGATCATCTTCCAGCTGTTGAGTGGAATTTCTGGGAGTGTGGCTTTGAGTAATGTCGCGGGCACCATTGCCGATTTGTTCGGCAGTGAAGATGGTGCTGGGCAGCCCATGGCGTTGTTTGTCGCGTCGGCCAACATTGGCGCCAGCTTGGGGTCTCCCGTCGGCGAGTTGATTGCTGACAATGTCAAGATGGGCTTGCCATGGATTTTTTGGATCAAGTGCGTTGATGCCCTCGTGTGAGCGCCCCTGCGCTGCGCGTGCTGACTTGGAGCAAATAGTGTCATCATTGGCGGCTCGTTCGCCATCATCCTGATCTTCATCCCCGAGACGCTGCCCGCCATCGTCATCAGAAACGCCGTGCGAAAGCAGCAGGTCGATGAAACCGAGGAGCTCGCCGTGCTTGAGGAGAAGATCAGCGTGCTCCGCGAAATCCGATTCGTCTCGACCATGGCGCTCCGCATCATGTTCACCGAGCCCATCGTGACCTTCCTAGGCATCTACAACGGCTTCGCCTACGGGCTGCTGTTCCTCTACCTCGACGGCGTCTTCTCCGTCTTTGTCGTCAACAACGGCCTGTCCTACATCGCTGCCGACCTCACCTACCTCAACTTCGTCGTCGGCGTCACCGTCATGTTCTGCTTCGTCCCCGTGCAGACTTGGGTCTTCACCCGCGACCGTAAGAAGCACGGCGCGAGCCGCCCCGAGGCCCGCTTCCTTACTTCGCTGGTGGTCGTCTGGTTGTTCCCCGTCTCGCTCCTGTGGTTTGCCTTCACGTGTGATGGCAACACCTCCTTCTGGTCTCCCGTTGTGGCCGGTGCCGTTCTTGGATTCGCCGACCCCCTACTTTGGTTGAGTATGCTGAACTACATTGCTGACTCGTATACCAACCTGGCGGCCTCGGCCATTGCCGCCTTCTTGATTCCGTCGTTCCTGATTGCCGCTGGCTGTGCTCATGCTGGTAAGTTCACACACCGTCCAGTTGCCCTCGCTTCCCAGTTTGCTGACCTCATGATCAGGTATCGCCATGTTCGAGCGTATGAGCGCCAAGTGGGCTATGGCCACGCTCGGCTTCATCTCGTTCGGCCTTGTGGCCTTGATCTATATATTGTACTTCTTTGGCGCCCAGATCCGCGCAAGGTCCAAGTTGGCTAGAAGTTGTTAGGCTGTTGGATGAATTTCCGTCCAACCTGTACCTGGGATATTGGTTCCCGTCGTGGGTTGGCGCGCTCTTTTAATTAATATGTAGTAGCCTGAGCAGGCTAAAATCGTAAATACAATACTGGATACCCCTGACGACCAAACTTTGTTAAGACTGTATGCAAGTTGCGATCTGAGACTTTTGAGTCTTGATGGTACGATATGACGGTTTCTGCTCTTATTGCATTCAGTCAGCCTATTCTCGCTGATATTCTCAGTTACAAGTAAACAACGATCAATATTATATTAGTTGATGGGAAAATTAGGAAGTCCGGTACCTACAATGAGTATCTCAGGGCTTGTTCATTTTTCTTTAGTTTATCTATTTAACAAGTGACTGTCCGCTCCATCAACCGCCAGCAGCTGCTTACCACTTTATACCCTTAGTAGTGAAAACGCCGTACTTAAGGATCTATGTACCAGTCAAATATGAAGACAACAGCGCCTCTTGTTTTCAGGTAGTCGTCTCAATGCAATCCTGTGAACCCTTTTTTGTAGCCTAGCTCATGTAATCCGCAATTATCAGTTTTTAATGTTTTTGAACCGTACCAGCGGCGCCGTTTCAGTGGTCAGAGCATGCCTTCCCCGGAATTTGGGTTATAATCCACTCTTGGCCCAGCACATCAGTCTGTCACCTGGACGTCTCAATTATAACCCACAATGCCCTCAGCAATGAGCGCCTCATCACCCTGTAACCAAACCGAAACTCGACGGCCAATGATACCATCACCGCCAACCCCGATAGTCAGAGGCCTCGTCAGTAGTAGCTCTATTGACCCCGCTAGCACGTCTTCATTATCGGGCTTGCAGTCCAACTTGTACAACAGTGGGCTAGACTTGGCGGGCTTCGTTAAATCGCCAGTCAAACTAATTAATATCAGCGTGCGTGTACTTTAATTTCATGGAAGCGCAAGAATGGGGAACTATCACAAGTATTGAGAAAGAACTCACTGGATGCCTACAACACAGCGCGTCACTCGGGAGAAGTCGTCTGGGGATGTGGATGTAATTGTAAGGTGCGTGGCTGTGGTATTTCCTCCGGCTTGGTCATGGAAGTGAAGGTTCGCTTCTAATGACGCTGGAATTGTATCTCGAGCGAGCTGGATCCGAGGGTTGAGGACTGCCAATGCACCTCCCCGAGACTGACGGGTTGAGTCACCACACATGTCTAGATCGGGTTCGTGCTTGAAATGTATATTCTTGGAATGGGAAGCTGAAAGTGGTGGAGTTAGGTATAGAGCTATCAAGGCAGCGGCAGCATTGATCCTTGGCGACAAACGTGGTATAGTACCTCGCAAAGGTCGGGGAGAAGTGCAATGAATAGGAACAAACTCTCGAAGAATCACAGCTTAATGTCATAAAGGTAGGCTCGACAGTATATACAAGGACTGGGTTGCATCAGAAACTTATGTGTCAATAAAAAATATCCGCGGGCATCATTCATGGGGGGATACGGCTACTTAAGCATCAAGTATAACGAGCTGGAGCCACATATTGCTTGGCGCTAAACCCTACCCCTTTACCGGACCAACGCTTCGGATTCATCCAGGCGTTTAAATAAAATGGCCCTATGTTTCGGAAGTGTCCAAAACGTTGGGCGACGATGGAATTGACAGTTTCTTTTTCACTACGCAAGTTGAAGCTTGTATTCCTGATTCATGTTGGTGAGCAAGTTTGCGCGGATTGCGCGGGTTTGCGCTCAAAGTGCAACAAAAGACCACATGACAGCCTGACCTCGGAACTCAGCTGGAAATCAATTGGCTTCGAGAGTACATTACCACCCCATTCAGGTATTCTGTTCAATAACTTGGAAGGTCTGCATGGAATGATGTGTTCGGCGAAGTGCTCGGCCAAGGCGGAGCACATTGATGCAACCTGGCCATCAAGGTGACAAGATGACAGCCCGCATTTGCAGAACCACATCCAACAACACGAACGTGCACACCCAACTCCCAGTCCCTCCCAACTCAACCCAACTAATCGTCTCAGCTTAATCGTCAACCTCGCCCTTCATCATCTTCGAGAACTGCCCATTTCTATAATTTCCACCAAGACGCCACAGCAACCATGCCTTACACTCTGCCCAAGTTGCCCTATGCCTATGATGTAAGTAAAACAACTTCACTGATGGTCCCCATCTATGAGCCAGTGTCATAGAAGTAATGACGCTAAACGAAAACCTCAGGCCTTGGAGCCCAGCATTTCCAAGCAGATCATGGAGCTTCACCACAGCAAGCACCACCAAACCTACATCACGAACCTAAACAAAGCCCTCGAAACCTCCGCCACCGCTCTCTCACAAGGAAACCTAGCCGACCACGCCGCGCAACTCTCCGCGATCCGCTTCAACGGCGGCGGCCACATCAACCACTCGCTCTTCTGGCAGAACCTTTGTCCCGCCTCGTCCGCGGACGCCAAACCCGAGACAGCGGCGCCCACGCTGCATGCCGCCATCGCCTCGACATGGGGCAGCCTCGACAAGTTCAAGGCGGCGTTCACGGCGGAGCTTCTGGGGATCCAGGGCAGTGGGTGGGGGTGGCTCGTCAAGGAGAAGGGCACGGGACTGTTGCGCATCGTGACGCTGGCGAACCAGGAGGCGGTCGTGGTGGGTGACACGCCGATTTTGGGGGTGGATATGTGGGAGCATGCGTATTACCTGCAGTATCTGAATGGCAAGGCGGCGTATGTGGAGAATATCTGGAAGATTATCAACTGGAAGACGTGCGAGGCGAGATTCGTTGGGGGTCGGGATGATGCGTTTGTGGCCTTGAAGGCTAACATGTAAGGAAATAGCAATAATCCCGAGGACGAGTAGTGGGCTGTAAGAGGCATCACCAATGAAGAAGCTCAGGCGCAACGGACAAATGCAAGCTATGTATTGTTACCCGATGGTACAATCCCTTCAAAGGCACCGGCGCCATAGTAGGGTATCGTATCACGAAACAGTTCCCCAAATGCCATATTGGCTGTCCTGGTCAGCTCAGTCAATATCCACAAGTATTCCCGTGAGGAAAGTCACTGATGACTCTAATCGGACGTTCGGAAACCCAAAACGTCAATGCCGTATTACTTCTGATCATGCGATTAGTATAGACCATTGTGCGACTGAAGTTCACTGGCTGTTTCGGACCCTCGCAATTCGGCGGATCGGACCTGGGGGTGAACTGATCGCTCATTCTGATTCCCAAGCTCATGCTGAATCGCTGGCTGTTGCCAGTGTGAGCCATTCAGTCCCGCCCGTGGCTGATAGGTGTGCAGCCCGTAGCCCTGTTGTGGCTGCTGAGGATAGCCTTGTGGTTGCGCATATTTTTGGGGAGCATGCTGCTGCGGATAAGGTTGTTGAGCCATGGATTGGGCACCGTAGTTGAAGTACTGGTTCGGCGGGGCGAAATTCTGAGCAGTTGACCATAAGCCGCCCATCTTTTTCGATCCAACGACGAAGAGAAAAACAAGGGCGACGAAGCGAGGCCAGTACCCCAGAACGGCCTCAAGAATGGTGTCGTATGTGCCAGGTCGATGGAGGCCAGAGAAAACCCAGGTGCCATCCGTGGCGAGATTCCATGTGTGGCAGATGAAGTCCATGATGGATGCGACAAGGAGCAGCACGGCAGCCTGTAGCGGGGGCAAGTCAGCACAATGAAAGAGTGCTCTCATCCACATGAAACTGCGGGAGGACCTAGATCACTCACCTTGCGGTGGGCTGCCCTCTTCTGGGACAGGGCCACGACGAAGCTAGAAAAGCCGATGACCGCAAGCACGGCAATCCATAGCAAGATAACGTATGCGGCGCCAAGTTTGCGCATGGCCTCTAGGTGACTCCGGGAACTTATACTTTCGTCGCGGTAGTAGGCGGTCAACCAGGCCTCGTACAAGATAAGCTCTGCGAGGGCGAATACAGTCTCCATAATTGCGAACCCGTACGTGACCCATTTCAGCACCCGTCTTGTCTTGCGCATCACATCCCAGCAACACAGTATTCCGAGGCCGATATTGACCAACGATAGGAGGGTGAAAATCTCCGCTAAAGCCTCGAAGTAGTACCCAAAGTCGCTAATTCGAGCGGTCGCCTCCACGTAATCCCAGGTCCCGGTGAGGTTATCCAGCACATCTGTCTGCACAAATACAATGAGAGTGTTGCCGATGGCGACTAGAAGTGACCCTCTGTATGGTATTAGCAAAGAGCTTCGAGGCCGTTGCGGACAGGGAACGACTGACAGGAACATCCAGAAGAGAGCAAGTTTGAGCCATATGAAGCCCAGTCGTGCGGTGTCCCTCCTGCGGTGAATCACAACGCAAGCCGTGATGAAGAGTGGCAGAAGCGCAAGTACCAGAATCCCCATCAGCGCAGTGTACGCGATGTTGTAGGAAACCAAAGAAGCCATGGTTGCTGTCGTCGTGCACTCAGTCGCCTCTTACGACTTCGACCCCGAAGGCAGAAAAGCGACTTCCAACAAAGACACAAGCTGTCTTGTTTGCGCCGGGGGCGCGTCGCCCCAGATGCATCTAAAGTCACATTCTGGCTCAGGAGATTCTGTCAGAAACGATCGAATGATCGACTGTGCCAAAATGCGCCATAAGGCGTACCAAATGGGCCTGTCATAAATGCTAAGCACCACAATGCCAAGCTTGCCTGAGATTGAATTGAAGTCGCCAGCTCGGGGGTGCACAAGTCAATTAAACACTTGAGGCGCAACAGACCGTTTGCCTAAATATTCTGGTGCCGGCAAGGCCTTTTGCGTAACAGCGAGACCAATCAATTGTCGAGGTTGGGATAATCTGAGACCTCATAGCGCCTCTCGATGCGACGACGGCGTGTTTGCATTTTTCAGCTGGCTGCGATCATGACTTCGAACGAGGCGACAATTATAATGGAATTGGCCGCTTGCTGATGATTCGTGAGCAAGTTGGAATCGCACAAATCCCTCTGCAATACCACAGCTTGAAGTCTGGCAGAATGTCTAAGTGATTCGAGTCCAAGATGAAGTCGCAAACAGAATGGGGCGAGTGCTGGTGGCACTCAGATAATGTACAAACTGGCTTGGCTTGGCAAGAACGGCCGCCGCCGATTTACTTCCAGATTTCAACGTCGCCGCTGCCCACCGACCGGGCCGCTCAGAGTCAATCAAGGTGCGGACTCCCAGAAACGACCCACCTGAAAACCACCATTATCGAGTCAAAATTCGTGACAATTCCATCAATATCAGATGATGGGACGCCCCGTTTCGTGCAAGTTAGAGAAGGCTCCATGGGTCTAGAATAGCCCTTGCGTGTTGACTCTCGACAGACTTGAAGACGGGGATTCACCAAGGCAGCGCACTTGAGTTGATAGCGACAACTCCGCGTCGATCGAATAATTTCCATGAACTGGCCAGCCAGTTGCGGCCAGAGGTTACTGCCATCAATTTGTGGCTTTCTCATGCCCGTTTGTCCAACTCGACGAGGCGCTTCAGAGTTGCCCGAGCCTCGAGATGCATTCCGTCAATCGCCGGCAACACTGGCGCAACAAACGAGCCTCAGATGCAGGCTGAGATGCAGGCTGCACATTGTGTCGAGCGAGTCGAAATTCGGGACGTGTCCGGCATGGACGTTCTCTGAAATCAAACCAGCCAACGCATCCTTAAACCTTCACCGAACTGCGATTAAATCTTCTCGTCCACTGCATCCGAATTCGGCTTGTTGCAGGTAGGTTAGCTCGCCCTTTTTCACTGTTCCCGAATAGTCTCACGCTGGTGCGTATTCCGCAAGATTCGCTTCGAACAACTGTAAATCTCTTCTGGCATCATAGAAGCTTCCGGCACTTCCCATTTCCAACCTTATCACTTTCCGTCTCGATTACTAAACGCGGTAATGCGGTTGAGCGCATTGTTTTCTTCCAACCCTGCTGCGTACTTTGATGTCCATTGTCCTCATTTCTACCGCCTCATGTCAGTCTCCACTCCACTACTCGCCGTTCCTGGCTACCGTTATACCACATTAAATTTCCAGCAAGATTCTCCGAGTGAAAATAAATCAGACTCCATTGCTTTGCAATGTCCATACTAGTTATCCTACTCGCGCCATCTACTTAGTGCTATCTCCTTGCGGTCTTCTTCCAGATATCACAGGCTTGGCAAGATTAGCCCCGCACTATCAGGCTTACAAGCAACTGCACAGCCCCAACTTCTATCATGGAACTTGAACACCCCGGCCAACGCTTTCGACTCTTTGATCTTCCTGTCGAGATCCAAATAAGAATACTCGGGTTGTTGGAAAACTCCAATTTGGATCTTATCACTTCAAATTTTCGCCAAGCTGCGAGCGTTCTGCGGGATCATTTTCCTTCCTTCGTCCAGCTTGCCTTCGATGGATTCCCGGGTATGTCGAACAACCAGGAGATCAGACACATTATCTATCGCATAATTAAGGTATCCCGCACTTTACGTCCCTTTGAACGAGGTCCAATGGCTTTTGTTCGATGGATACGCAAATTCCAAGCAAGAAGTGACGATACTCCCCTTCCTGCCCTGCCACGAACAGTCCAGACCCTGAACTCCCTGGATCAGATTATTGATAGCATTGAGTTCTGGATGATAAGATTCCACCATAGTCTGACAATTGTATATGGCGGTAACCTCTGCGACATTACACTGGCCGTACTGCAGAACACGTCTTGGGAAAATGAGTATTCATTCACGTCAGTCGAGAACTACCGCATACGTCGAGCTTTGCTGCTTTTTCAACTGTATTGTGTCCTATTTCATCAACCGGCTGATCATCGGGATCATTCGTTCAATGGAAGAGTGGCAGAGCAAGCTTTGTTTCTCCAGTCATTGCAGCCTTTCATGATTGCAGAGCTCGATGGAGTCTACGGAATGATTGAGTGGATCCTAGCATCACACTTCAGAATCTCCTGGCACATCAGCAGACGATCGACAGCCATGGTTCCAGGCAGTCAATCCAGGCCGGGAGGGGCCAAGCTGGAGCACGTTATGAGTCGAGGGCTGCTGGAGTTGAGACAATTAATTCTTCACACTCCCAAACTGACAGGCGACCCCCGCCCATACGATGAACGATGGAACAAGATTGCTGGGAAAATGCAGGCGTTCCAAAATCGGTTCTTTATGACGGCATTGGGTAAATGCTGGAAATTTCAGTCTGACAATGCAGGAACAAACTATAAGGTGGTTAGTTACCCATCGAAAGTGCCAATATCCATGCGGCGCTGGAATGGAGCACCAGAAGGAACGAACGATGGTTCATGGGCGTACACCATGACCTACACAAAACCATCCGGATCGGACTCGGAAGCCCGTGAAATTGCAGCTCTGGAGCGCGCGGTTAATGGCGATCAGTTCAACTGGCGGGGGCTGGTGTTCTGGGAAAGAGAGCGGCTCAAGCGACACGACAGCCGGATCAATTTCGACCCCGTGGTGATGGCAAATTTCAGGGGACAGGACCCGGGCAATGGGCCCCCGAACGCATGGGTGGAACGATTAAAGGCGACAGATCCTCCCAATGTCGGTTATCAGCCGAGACTTCGTCCACTTTCCACGGCAATGTTCTCGCAGTATACCCTCCTTTCTGGGGCACAGCATCTGACGAGACTATACGGGATGTTCTCGGCGGAGGAAATGGTGCGGTACAGGTCGGCGATGACGAGCGGGATATCCATGGATTTGTAGTTGCTTGCGTGTGTGCTAATAGGAAACCTGTCTTAGGGGCGTTATTCATTAATATCCAGCCAGACGAGATCAATGCGGGTCTCTATCCCATCTCAAAACAATTCGAAATATTTTCTTCTGCATTATCTCTGTGCCTTGATACTCCCGAGTTCTCGCATCTTTGGTTCGCTGGACCCGCATTGGTATATGTTAAACGGGTCTTCCAGCAATACAACCCAGCCACCTTATTCATCTTGGTAGCACAGGAGATACTCGAGCTCGTGCGCTTTTCTGTGCCTCGCCATCAACAACGTAAACCCAAATGCGATTCGTGACCAACCCCTTGAGCGGATACGCCTATTGCGCCAACCTCACACGCATCCTCGGTACCCTGGAACGACTTATCGATATTGCGCCTGTTGCAGACTTCTAACCATTGTGTAATCCAAATGGGCTCGGTGTTCCGCCCTCCACAATATCGGCACGGAAGAATTGCATGAGCTCCTCAGCGTACTGGTAGAGGAAGGCGTTTTCGGGGCCTGTACGTTTACGACTGGTAGACGGGCAGAATGGCAACAGTGGAAAACGCGGGGAGAAGCGCTGCACTATCCGCTTGGGCTCGACGCCGCGTGGGGGGCTTCGTCATCGTTGGCGAGCGGATTCCACTGCTACAGCGCGTCGGTGAAGCGCTTTACGTTGTAGTTCTCTCTTAGCCAATGATTGAAGGATTACTGGATAGCAGGATTTGGGAGGTGTTCCGTAATCCCCCCTATGTCAATCATTCAGGAGGACCATGTCATCTCCGTCTTTATTGATATTTTTCACGCTCAAAAGCTAAGCAATCGATATCCACCACTCTCTTGATCTCAATCTTCCTGACGGTTTTATCCATAGTATCCTTCAGCTTCTTCATCGGCTTCAAGGTATCGTATATTTCCCTGGACTTGAAGCTACCACCATAGAGGTATGATCGATAATTGGCGCCCAGACGGCCCACGGTTGGTGCTACAAGGTGCAGAATGTTACTAGTGCCGAGGCACTGCAATGGTATACAAGGCCGTGTTCCCAGTTGATGTCCACTGGACTAGACTTGTCCTCTACTCGTACCACTTGACCAGGTGCAATTTCCCACAGTTTTCTTCTCGAAGAGAGAGGATCAGCTCCAATGAGCTCAGCCATTCTAGAGAACATAGGAGCGCAAAAATATGAGTTGCAATAGCCGTGAATCGAACACGGGGCCCATCGATGGCAACGATGGATTTTACCACTAAACCACTATTGCTTAATCAATTGATGAATATCAAACGGGCGTAACTTTCTTCAAGTACCCGCCACATGTCAACTTTCTCAAGTTTGTGGGTGGGCGACGAAGGTGGGTCTTGATGGAAAGGGGAGCAAGGGCTTACTTAGAAGGCTCAGTTCTTCAACTTTTTAGGTACAAAAAGAAGCGCCATGCCTGTGAATGTGCAATCAGCAACCAGTGAACCCGCACTATAGGTCTCTGAACGCCGTGGTGGTACGGCTCAATTCATGTATTTGAGCAACTGTCTGATTCCGGATCATTGGATCAGAAACGAGCCACACTCAAGGGGCTGGCCTCACCACCATAGCAAAAGTATACGTCACAGGTGTTTCTTTACCTCTGACTCTCAAATGTTTTCGTTCGGTCATCTTCTAAGTAAAACTCCCCGGCTCATTATTGATACCACTGACCAGCTTAGAAGGACTGCGGCAGGGTACCAAGTAGGCAGCTGCAGGTGCAGATAAGCCACAGTGGCTTATAGGCCTTATATAGCTAGTGGGCTCCAGTGGCTTGACGGGCCCTAGCCTATGCGAAGGTCGGCACTATATAAGTAGGCCGTTGTGACTCCACTCTCTTGGGGCTGCAATTAACTTATCGTTATTAAGTCCCCTACACTACACTGCTGGTATCTAACTGGTGGCTGGCAGTCGACTTCTCTCCAGCACTCTCGTCCTTCACTCCATACTTGAAATACCCGCGACAGCAGCGCCCCTGATGCAACGTTGAAATCATATACTAATCGTGAACATCAAACAAAAGTAACAACATATTTGTCACATTCCTTAACCTGTATTTAGAAGACTTCTTAATATTAAAGATGTAATCTGCAATAAATGCACTCTCATTTTCATAGGACCGACTAGACCGTTAAAGAAAACATGCATTGTCGTTGAGCGTGATAATGGACACAAGCAATGCCATCATCCATAAAAGAACTTCCGTTCACCCCTTCATCCAAAACTTCTTCTATTGTACATATGGAATGATTTATCCTGGATCATGAGTCCAAGCATGTCAACCGAGAAAATAGAGGCCTGTATTCGCTTGTCTTTCAAGCTTTCCACGTCTGACAGTAGGCGAACCACACCAAAGAAATGTATGATGCAGATAACAAGAGAAAGACATTTTGATGTAGCAAAATGTAGAAAAAATGTGTTTCCTATACCCTGGTTGGCTGATTGGGTTGGTCGGTCTCATGAGAAGTTAAGAAAGTTCACTATTCTCAATGATCCCTTGACCAAATCAGTTTGATCACAGATTTTGCTATCAAATTACTCTTCTTACAGGCGGCACGCGGTTTTTTCCGGGTGATACAATGAGATTGGTGAAGAAAGAGTCCTTCTGAAGTTCCTTCCAGTAGGTTTGCTAAGGCATAAGGGGGATTAGTGAATAACCGTCCTAAGAGGTATGAGAAGGTGGGTGGGGGGCTAATCTTGAGTGAAAGGAGCTTTAGGACAATAAGGATTTCTCCAAGATGGAAGATTTCATGAAATTTGGAATAAAAGTTTGAAGAGTCTAACAGAGCCAGAGTCTAACCTTTCACCCCTGACTTTTATCAAGATCATACAAAGGACTCCTTTTTTGTGCGTATGATAGCAGCATATGGGGGGACGAGCCAGTATAAAATTAATATGATTCTGGTACTATGACTTACATCTCATCTGGAATATTTCCTCCCATGAGGCATTCATCTCACATGAAAAATAATTTGAAACATCCATCAGGAATCTGAGCCATTCAACTCTCAAAATTGCACAACATGGCCGACTCTGCGCTTCCTCGGAGCGAATTCGACTTGAAAGCCCAGTACGACCGCGACATGGCGAATATCCAAGCTATGATGAAGGAGGAAGAGGAAGAAGAACCTGGCATGAGCCGCTTCAACGAACTAGTCCACAATCATCCACGCCCACAGGCTCCCATTGTTCCCCAAGAAATCATCGAAATCGAAGACGAAGATCACAATGAGTTTATCCGCGAAATCGAAAACTTCATCGACCTCACTAGTGACGATGTCCCATCACGTAAACAAAAGGCCCCAGTGGATAAGACCATCGCTATCAGAAACCTACCCATCGATTCGCGAAACCTCATCACTCAGTTTGAACTCGACGAAGGCGTTGTCCTTAAAGATGGCATAACTGTCGAGTTGCGTGATGAGATCAAAGTGACGGATAAATACCGTTTCCAGTTCCTGAGAATTAAACACATCTTCCGCTCTCCCACCACCGGTGAAGTGTTCTTGCGTGGCCTCCCTTTCACTCGCACCCGCACCCTTCGCGGGCAGATCCCACGCCTGCGCAACGAAGTCGCCATGATGCTCATGATCGACGAGGATGATGCCCGACCGGATGAAGAGCAGGCCATGATCGAATTCCCGCTAGCCAATGTCCGCCGAATCCGCAATCTGGTATGCACCAATGCCGATTTCCCCCAGATCAGATACGATGAATCTCATACCACTAAGAAGGACATCGAGGAGAATGGTCTTTTGGTGTGTCGTTGGAAATACCGTCTTACCTACCGGAATTCCGTGTTCAGAGCCAAGGGGCAGACACACGAATGGGTGATTTGTCATCTTGGGCCCGAAGATGCGTCTAAAGAGCGATACCGCTTTTCGGAAGACCAACGTCGTGCTCGATGGCGAGGGACAACGATGCTGAAGGCCGGCAGAGTGCGCGGGGGGTCTTTCGTCCCGGGTATGCCCGACAATTTCGAGTTCATTGAGGACGTGGACAACGAAGATAAGACCAACGACGTTTTCCATCGGGCCGACGGCTTGATCGACCAGCTACCAGGTCAACGCTACATATTCGGCGACATGTTCTGCGGCGGCGGCGGATCCTCCTGCGGCGCCAAGATGGCAGGCCTCAAAATCCAAATCGCCTGCGACGCCAACAAATCTGCATGCGATACCTATAGCACGAACTTCCCGGAAACCTCTCTATACCAAACAGACATCTTCGACTTCATCTCCCGACAAGGCCCCTCTCCTCCCCCCGGCTGATCCGCGTCGATGTCCTGCACCTCTCACCCCCCTGCCAATTCTGGTCTCCGGCGCACACCGTAGCCGGCCAAAACGACGAAGCCAACATGTCGGTGCTCTTTTCGTGCCACGAACTAATCAAGACCATCCGCCCGCGCATCTTCACCCTCGAGCAGACGTTCGGCATCATGCACAACCGGTTCGAGGTCTACCTTAACGCTTTAATCTACAGTTTCACGCAGTACGGCTACTCGATCCGGTGGAAGGCCGTGTTCCTCTGGAACTGGGGTCTCCCCGCCAAGCGCCAGCGTCTCATCATGATCGGTTCGTGTCCGGGCGAACCATTACCCCCCTTCCCGCCCAGTACGCACGTCGAAGACCCGCAACCGGGCGATGGCACTAAGCCGTTCGTCACGGTGGCTCAGGCTCTATCCAAGATCTCCGTTCCCCTTCGCGCAGTTCGAGCCAATAGGGATCCTTTGCACGATCTGGATAGCGTGAAGTGGCTGAACGTTCCGCAACCGCCTTGGTCTCCTCACGTGCCCCTCTCCCGAACCATCACCTGCTCCGGAGGCGTGGGGAATTACCACTTCCTGGGCTACCGCGACTTCACGCGGCGCGAGTACGCCACGCTGCAGGGCTTCCCCGTCAAGTACCCCTTTAAGCAGAACGGGGCCAAGAAGCAAATCGGCAATGCGTTCCCGCCCTGCGTTGTTAAGGTGCTGATGATGCATATTCGGCAGTGGCTCGAGCATGTGGACCAGGTGCAGCCCAATGGTGAAATTGATGAGATGAGGTGGGAATCGGCGGAGGATGTTATTGTTATTCCGGATGATTATGGAGAGGGAGATGAGGAGGTGCAATATCTGGGATTGAACCCGCTAACCAGTCCTTCGAGTCAGTCTTCTGGCACTTCGAGAGGCTCGGATGATTGCTGGGATTCTATGGATGTTGACGATGATGGATGGTGGGGTCACCAGGGTGAAAGTCCGGAGGGATTTGGTTTTGAATTTGCGTTTGGATGTATCGATGCTGATCAATCTGATTGTATCATTAACCCAACCGGAATTGAACGTGTCATCGACTTGACCGGAGTCGATTGATTGATCGGTTGGATCAGACCGAAACGATTCATTGCTGTCTTCACGCTTTGAGACAAACTGAGACATGTCTCTAGAGGCATTGGGGCTTTGCGGGGCAACCTACGGCGCTAACATCATATTCAACTTGAAAAGGGGCAGCGACTTGCCATGTCAGAATGGGAGTCATTGAAATAGTTGTATTCCATACTGTGATATTAAGATATATTGACGATATTGGCCACTTTGGCCACGCGTCCCCGCATCTCCAACACCAGCTCCCTTCAAAAATGACAGAGTTTCCCTCTAAATTTATCTGGTTATAAATGCAGTTACTTACAGAATATGTGACGCTCCTCCTAACTCTGGACTTAGACATAGTTGTCTTGATCGTCGTTCATGTAGCTAAGTATATCATAGTCCAGTCAGCTCCCCCACAGGATCGAGAGATCATCTCACAAGCTTACATCATTGCCTCCAGAGTCTTCCGGTCGCCACTCCGCAGCATTACTTCCGGGGTTTTTTGCTATCTCATCTCTATGAAGCCGCCAACGGCATATTTCTTTGGTCAAGTTTGATGATGGATTACGTTGATTCGCCCGCCGTAGGCCGCCAATAGACGCTGGATGCCATAACGAGCCTCAAAGGACATGGCACACACGATCGGATGTATACCTGAATTCTGGAGTCATTGTTGCGAAAATCAAACCAGAAAGAAACATAGCTCACAGGTGTTTGGCTGGGTCTCTTGGGCTGTTCATCACCTAAATCTAAAGCAGATTTTGGATGTCATATGGCACTACAAAAGCTCCTCATATTCGTACACGTCCACAGTGTTACCCTTGACGACGAAATGCAATAGTTTTGTGAGGGCTGTCGTGGTCGTTTGTGCCAGTCTAGATGAGATTTAGGTGGCTAGTTTTCGTTTTATACGTCAATCAGTGGCTGAATCTGTTCGCAACTTTCTAACCAGTCGGGTGCAAGATGATCTCAAGATGAAATCATGTTACGGCACATGTCACTCACTCGATGAAACAGCGTCAAGCATGGGAGATTGAAAGATTTGGGTCGAGCAATTCTGTCAGATTGTCTCAGATCTGGTCTCTGCCTTTTCCTGCGGTTATAGGGACAGATCTAAATGTGGTCGTCATCCTCAAAACCGCGTACGTTCTTGTACAGGACTCAACAACGCCACTCGGAAACGCGCGTCTGTCTCAAATACTACTCCATGAAGAATCTGAAGAGCAACACGCGACAACGGGGGGAAAATGACATTGTCTTCGATACAATCAGTCCAATCATACGGCTATCTTATAAGCAAGATCGAAAAGCACGTTTTACGACAAAACACAAGGACACTTCTTATGGGCGGAGTAAAAGAATCGGTGCTTCATAGACTCGTTATATTTCAAGTGGACATAGAAACGAATACCTCGAGCAAGCTGGCGACGTACCCGCCCAAGGAATCACAGGTCTCCATCCACGGATGCACCATTCATCAAGAACTGCCGCTAGCCACTTTCTACATTCAGGGTCTTATCATGTCTTCGAAATTGCTTGTTTTGAATTTTGACTCAACATGTGGTCATCATGAAGAGCTGAAACTGGGTAACACTTATGCTGCTGCGGGCAGAATACTCAAGCACGATCGAGGGAGTACAGATCTCCGCTTGTGGAAAACAAAGTCATTGTTCCGACAACAACAATATTCAGCATTACGCAAGAATTAAAGACCGTCATTTTGATCAAATCCTCCCCATTATACCAGAAGGACTTGGTGACGTTCCTATCTAAACCCCAGGAAAGTCGAAACCAGTTGTTCAAAGCTTGAAGATTCCAAATTACGCTGGGGCAAACGTTCATATAAGCCGTTGCCTCCAGCGAAATAGTCTTCTCTGGTGACTCGGCAACAAAGGCAGGGTTATCCACCCAAAAAGGCCAACACAGCAACGTTCAGATATTTAGTCACTCGATAACAAAGTCTGCCAAGAAAACCAACACATTGTTTCTCTCCCAGACTCCTGGGTCAATGCCAGCTCCTCCATGGTCTTATCCATATCCTCTAGTCAGCTCTCTAAAGGCGCAAAGAAGAGAAGTTGATGGGCGGGGAAACATTGTAGTGTGTCCAATCCCAGAAAGCCATCTTTCAAAGAAATTCTGTTATGTCAGCGTACCGAAGCAGGCAGATGCAGCAAATCAACACTCACTTGGTCTACATTCTTTCATCAATGCCACCCGCCTGCGCATAATAACTGCCAAGTTCGCCATCATGAAAATTGTCCATACCAAGGCCACGAGTAACCACCCACCATGCGGATGTACCCATCCTACATTCCCATTCAAGGCGCTAACAGCGAACAACCCGAAGTCAAAAGTCCCGTGGATCAGCACCGGAAGACCGAGAACATGCATGAGGTTCAGATCATGTTTATAGACATCCCGCCTGATGACATTGATCCCAATGACAACCGCGCCCAAGGCATGCATAGGCGACGCGATGACCACACGCTCGAGCAGCGTCAAGGCAAGTTGACCCGCCCCCTGACCGGCCTGCACCGTAGCATAAACAAACCCAATGTTTTCAATGATGCTGAACCCCAGTGCCCCTGCCATAACTATGGTTACATAGTTGCGCTCATGGATGACCCGGCCGTAACGACGAGCCAGGATCAAAGCCGAGTATTTCAAACATTCTTCGATAACAGCAGCAAAGACGAACGCCAGAAGGAGAAGAAATACCCAGTATTGCCACCGCATGGCCATTTCTCTTCTCCTGGCCAGGACTGCGGGGTCAGATTCGGTCAGGTCCTTTTCCGACTTGCTGAATTGGTCCATGTACTCGCCGATTTCGGAACCAAAGAGGATCGCTGCGCAGAGGTAGGACAGGACGTATTGGGTAATGACGACGACGGTTACGCCGACCGTGCCCGTGAGTATGTAGGTCCACAAGAAAGTCTGCGGGTCTTTCCTTTCATTTGTACAACGTTGCCTGTCATGCAAAAAGAGCCAGATGGTTGGGGTGACCAATACGGGCAGAAGGGCGGCTGTTAATGGGGATATGTATAGAATCAGGATAAGTGTGAGAGGGAAGATAGAATAGATGAGAATGTACGTCGCTCGTGAGAAGTGGTGTCTTGAGGAATCACTGTGACTAGCTGTACGGCGATCTACGGCATCCTTGTGAGGTGGGATCAAGTTGTCGTTCTCCATTATATGCAGTAAAATATTGCTTTCTATAATATGAATGGCGTGGTTTTCATAATAAATATATATTGCTAGAAAATAGTACAAAACTACGATTGATTTATCATGAATGCTTGACACGGAAGGAACGTAGGTGCCTGAAATGAGGGCTGAAGCTGGATAAATAGAAAACTTTAACCGTGCCGACCTAGTTGAAGCCGCTACTCCTTATTCGCACTACTCGCACGTCATCTAGCTTGTTATTGAAATCCCTCGTAACTAGTAAACATCCGTGCACTACAAATGCTCCTTTCCGATCAACCTTCGCGCAAAACTCGCCCGCAGTCTGAGTTTCTGACAAACGCACCTTGAAAGTGGGCATCGAACTCCCGATGTATGTTAAGAGGTAGCGTCGCTCGTATAAGGAATATCTTCGTCGGACTCGTACTCGGCGAAAATCCATTCATTATGATCAATTTAGGTGGCATGTTGTACGTAACCACATCTTGGGAGTTCGAAAGTACGAGCTGTCCACAATTAGCAGTCAGTGTATGCAGGACCTTGGGAGTGAGGCCGAACTAGGCTTCATCCGCCACCACCCACTATCCCCTCAGACCCGGCTCCCAGTAAAGCGTGATGTTAGCGATGCATCCAGTGAGAGCAATAATCCCCTTTCGTATGTCCAGTCCAGAGTAAAAGAACGGCTTGTACCGGTCGCCGTTGATGTTAAAAGAGCGCCATGTTCTGCCGCCCCCTGACAACCTGACATGGTCCGTGTGGTTATGGAATCGGATAGATTCAAGAGAAGCACTGACTTTCATCATGCTCTCAAGAAAGTTGCTCCATAGGCTCTGGCGCTTCTTGCTGCGACTGGAGGGGCTGGGCGTGATGGAAATATGACGTTTTCGATTGTGAGCGATGGCAAAGCAGGTGAAAATTTGACAACAACGGCGAGCATTTCCTGTCAGAGGATCTTGGCCTACTTGTGCGGAGCTCAGTTAATGCTATAGGAGTTAGTACTTGAAACGGGATATCGTCGCTGTATGATGCTGCTGGCGCAGTTGATGCTTGCAGCTCAAGTGAAAGGGTGTGTATTCGCTGAACGAATTGAGATTACACGCCACAAAGGGTTGAATCTCCAATGAAAACTCCAGGAGTGTCAATGCAGATATACTGCGATGGGTGATTGGTGTCCAAACCCGCACTGGGAAGTCGAGGTTGGCTGCTCAAGTGGAGCAAATAGGTTGAATGTGGTAAGTCTAGTTACCCCACGTGGGTATATAGCACACCTTACCAATCAAAAGCAGGATCACTCGACGTCGAAGTAACAAGATAAGTGTGGGGTCGCACTGGTACTGGCATTCCGGCTACATAGGAAGGTGAAGAAGAGAAGTACAGGTGGGGGGATCCAAGCCGCACAAGGGCACTCAAGTATCTTCCCTGTAGCTCACACGACCTTAGGCTACCAATTTCACAATAAGCATGTAAATAGCTTTGTACATTCCTGGATCCTCGACTATCTTCCGGTCCGAAGTGACTATATTATGTACTAGAAACACATAGCGAATATATATGCATAAAGCAATCAAATAATCAGGACAAGAGGCTTTTCTAACTCTAGTGTCCAATTAGTATCGGCACCTTATCGCTAATTCCATATCTTTCAGTTGTAAAATGATAAATGTCACCACATATATCCCAGTGTAAATATCCAAGTTTAATCATGTTCGACCTCAGTTTGCTTTAGTCGCCTTTTCATATGCGATCCTCCCGGCAACCCTGTTAACCCCACAATTTTAACATGCTAGTAGTAACTTGCTTTTAAAGGGCAGGTGCAAGCGGTTCTGAATGCGGCACGTAGTTACTGGTAATAGGCATTCGCTTATTCGTCACTTATCCACGATAACTACTAGCCAGGAAAGCATGAGTCACACTAGTCAACAACGGCCTACAACCAATGTCGCCATCGTTCAGTGTAAGCCGTAATCGGAGTATTACGACTTGATTCGTACTCTAACCCAGCAGCATATACATGTAACAAATTCCACAGATGATAGAAAATAATATATGATAACTATTAGACTATAGCACTCCTGCTCACTTTGGCTTCAGAAACGATAAAACCAAAAGTTAATACAGTCATTCATCTTCTCTGTAGGATCCAGCAGCAGAGACCCATCAAATAAGCAACACCAACACAATGTCCACCACCCAAACCCAACCCCTCGGACCCCCCATCAACGCAACCCCAGCCCAGCCTCCAACCCACCGCATCCTTGAAGGAACCTATGTCTCCCTAGTCCCCCTCAACATCACCCACGCCCCAGCCCTCTACACCCAACTCAACAACCCCTCAATCTTCACCTACATGACCAGCGGCCCCTTCACCACCCTCTCTGACTTCACCATCCACATCAGCACCCTGGCCACCTCAAACGACCCCTTATTCTTCACCATCATTCCCAAGATCCCACTTTCCCTTTCCAACTCTCACAGCAACGGTAGTAAAGATGGCAAGACCCTGCCGGCAGACACCCCATCCGGCTACCTCTCCTACCTGCGCATCACTCCTCCCCATCGGAGTATCGAAATCGGGAATATAACCCTCTCCCCCATACTGCAACGCACGACCGCTGCCACCGAGTCTTTGTACCTGGTTATGCATCACGCCATGTCCGACCTAGGCTACCGACGTTTGGAATGGAAATGCGACGACTTGAACGCGAAAAGCCGGCGCGCGGCGGAGCGGCTGGGTTTTGTCTATGAGGGGACATTTCGGAAGCATTTGATTATCAAGGGCCGGTCGCGGGATACGTGGTGGGGGTCGATTACGGATGAGGAGTGGGAGGAGAGGGAGGGGAAAGTGTTGAGGACGTGGTTGGAGGAGAGGAATTTTGTAGAGGGAAGGCAGGTTAGGAGGGTGGAGGAGATTAGGAGGGCGTTAGAGGGTTGAGGTAAAAGGGGATGGTTTGCGGCGTGGACAGAAAATAGTCGGGATGTGAGTGGCAGAAGCCTTGCAGAGAGTCGGAAATTACGATAATCGAAATACCTGTTACAAGTTTGCGCCTCTGTCGATCGGGTACATTACTTTACCAATTAATCCTACTTCCCAATCAAGTCCTTGAATTGGGTTTCCCACACCTCCCATCTCGCCTTAATTCTCACCGTATCTTCGTGCCCAGCCTGCAGAGCCGCCTCGTACGCGATGCGATACGCATGCAGGTTTTCCGTGAATAGCATCCTGCGATCCGTCCACCCCGTCAAATTTCTAATCTTCTCGCTGCTCACCCACTGACTGTACCCAAACAGTGACTTGTTTGCCACCGACATGCCAGCAGCATCCTGGGGTGTTGGTTCAACGAACTCGGCACCGCCGCTGATCCCGTACTCCTCCGCCAGGGCTCCCGCCACGACCTTGGCTGTCTCGTACTTGTGCGCTGAGATGTTAAAGCATTGCCCGCCAACGGATTTTCGGTTGCTGTGATCCGCGAGCGCTACGTATGCTTCTCCGCAGTCGTCAACGTGCATAGCGTGCAGAATGGTCTTTGGGTGGACGTCGAGTTTCAACGTCACAGTATCGCTAGCAGCAGCGGCAGCCGCGTACTCGAACATGATGCCGTAGTAGCTACTGCTGTAGCCATATACGTTGGTCGGCCGCAAAACAGCCGCATCGAAGAGGTCGGTGTGCTCGAACATCTTCAACGAATACGTGGCTCGCTGGGCCAAGAATAGGGCGGCAAAATTGATGGGCGATTCCTCAGTATGAGGAGCGAGATCAGGGGCTCCATCAATCGTTGTGTACCCGTAGTCTTTGCAGCCCGAACTCCACAGCACTAAGGGGCGCACGCCATTTTTGTTGCTGGTCTCGGCTATCTTCCGGATCATGACAATGGCGTTGTTGTAGTAAGCCGCGTAGTCTGGCGGCTCAATACAGCTGGCAAAGACGTCAAAAGTCTTGATTTGGGCGAAAAGCTGATCCAGGAATGAAAGGTCCGACGCAGATCCGACGATAGGGGTGACCTCCTCTGCTGCAAGTGACTGGGCTGATTCTGGCTTGCGTACCAGACCGTAGACACGCCATCCAGCGCGGACGAAGGCACGGCACACTGCGAGGCCAATATACCCGTTGGCACCAATAACAAGGATGCTTCGTCGGTTCGACATTTTGTTGAACTCACGTTGCCACAAACGATTTGGACGGGAACTTACGACAGCTTGTATATAAGACGTAGTACGGGATATATATTCCCCTTGCTCGACCCACTTGGCCCAAAGAGGTGAGATGAGGAATCCTTGGTGGACAATTGGCCGGTTCAATATTACCCTAGAGTCCAGTACAAGGCTTAGGGTCAAAGGTAATTGAGTGAAAGTGGTCAAAGCGGTCGGGTCAATTCCTGGGAAGTGGTCCGTAGATTTGTCAGCTCCCAAGGGTGGGGTGCTCTGCATATTCAAGTGCCTTGTCAACCCCTCGGGTGCCTCATGAAATCCAAGAAACCACCCCCAAAGAAGTCTTCCATGCTCGGAATCACACCTTGTGACACCTCGTAGCCCGGCGGCAATCCATCGGATGCCAGTGGGAAGGCATCTCCGGGCGAAACATAATCGTCGCCCTCATAGTGTCGAGTGTGTGCCATTCCAGACGGCGGCATGCTGTGTTCCGGGCCCACGGCGAAAGCCGAAATCGACATATCTGTCGCACTCCATCCAGGCATATGTCGCCTGTCATTTTCCCTGGCTGTGCCCCTCCTCAGCTCCGGGTGCAGTCTGCTGCCAGTCCGCGACTCCACCTTTTGCCTCGCCAATTTTGCGAACTTGATGGCCCAGGACTTACTTGGTGTGCGCATGCACCAATCTTCCAGTCGCGATATGAGGCCAATGCTAACTTCGGGAGGCACCTTGGACTGTTTCTCGTCGTAGTGAGCTAGTATAAGCGCCGAGTACCCAATGCAGAGGCAAAGGTAAGTGGGAATCGAATCCATTAAGAATGGAGGCATGTCCACAAACGTCTCCAAGACCGAGTGCGCAAAGCGTGAGGTATGCACATGCAATACATGGGTGTCCTTCTTGGTCCCTTCGGCATCCGCATCGTCGTTATTGCCACTCGTGGGATCAACCAAGGACATGTTGGATAGGAATGTCTTAGGGCTCATGGCATGGCCGCTTTCTTCCAGGGCGCGTACTGCAAGGATCAAGTTGGCAGCGTAGTAGCCAATTCTCAGCATTGACGCTGTTGGGAGAGCTATGAAGATGACCGCCGGTTAGCTATCTGAGATTATTGACGAGGGATGCTAGTCTAGGGCGGACTTGGCTTCGCTTACACATTAGATGATTCCACCTCTGTTTCCATGATTTGAACTCCTCACATTCACTATTGGCATCTAGATAGGACCGACGGTTCAGTTTCTGATGAAGCACCGAGTAGAGCATTATCTCCGCCACAAGCATTCCATTCTGCATGCTTGCCTGGTAGAAGCTTAGCAGGATATTGCATTGGTTGATGTAGGCGTTTTGAAGGACCGATGGCCTGCCGGTCGTAGCGGCCCAGCTGTAATCGGTTGTTAACACGCATCAATACACGCCGGGTATGACCTTACTGCAAATGGTGTAAACAGATGGTAGACCACAAGTGAATGGCTCGACGGTCTGAAACTGTGGTAGTCCCCCGCTTGATGTTATTGACGATCTTGGAGAAGCTGATGCTGAGCATGGCTTGTTTGGCGCAGTATCCGGTCAAAAGCCAGCTGTCAATGTACTCGGGTCCATCCTGGGCTTGTTGGCATCACTCTTACAAAGAGGGGGAAGGGACTGGTTGGGCTTACTGCGTGATCACTCATCAACAAGACAGCATTAATCTCTTCCAGACTCAGGGGGCTCGACAGGAGAACCTGTCCAAGCGTAATGCGGACTTGCTCGTACACCCCTCGGTGGGTCGTAGTACCGCACAGATCGTCGCGGTAGAGGGTGGCACACAAGCAGCAGACGCTGTGTAGGAAGGCCGAAACCTCCCTCAAGTCCCTGGCGCCGGCCTCTGTCGGATCATAGACCAGCAACATGTGGCCGTGGTGTTTGAAGAAGCTAGCGGGGTGTCAGCAGCAGCCTCATAGGGAACTGAATAAATGGATAGACTAACAGGCGAACCAGCTCATTGGCGGTCTGCTCGTCTAGCAGCTGTAGCTGGATCAGGTCAAGCTTGACGTGCTCAAGCCTCCGGTACCCCTTGGTGACTTGCTCGCCAATCTCCCTCAGCACGACGGTGGGCGCTGATTTGATGCCTAGGTCGACGGGGTCGGCGAGATTCTCGGGGTCTTCCTCTTCATTGGAGCCGGGCGTCTCGGTGTCGACCTCGCCTCTGACCATCTTGGGGCTCTTGTGGATGTCGCTGACAAGCCCGAACTGACGCGACACGAATTCCAGCATGTTCTTGATGTCTGCCAAGGATTTCTCATGCCGGCTCAGCCTGGTAATCTCAGTCAATTTGCAGGTTCCAGTGCTATTAGAATGGATCTGAACGAAGAAAGAAATGGTGAACGCGGGACACTCACCTGTCCTCGATGCTTGAGCTCGAGTCGACTGGCTTCTGGTTGGGTGGAGCCTCGAGGAACTCTCCCTTGAGTGAACACTCGATCCTATCACATCATACTGTCAGCATGTCCTTTCATCCAACACCAGGCTGCCACATTAATTAATCAATGCGACAGTTCTACGCACCTCAGTGTCACACAACGGTGACAAGCCTGAGACCCGGCGTCATACTCGCATCGACACTTGAGCCTCTGACACGACTGGCAGGAGAACACACGACGTCTGCGCTTCTGGCTATTGCTGCCAGCGCCCTTCTCCGTCGCGTCGTCCTTGTCAGTAAATCCCCTATTCGCACCACCCTTGATCGAAGATCCGGCAGCGGCGCCGACTGAAGCCCCAGCTTTGCGTTTCGCGCCTCCCCCACCATGTCGCGTCGCAGAGATCGACGACGCGGTTCCAAGGTCAGGCGGCTGCTGCCCAGGGATCGACGACGCCGGCGACGGGCCTTTCGGGATCGGAATCGCCTCAGACTCAACGGCGATTCCGGGACTCCCGGTGGGTCGAGTCGACACGGGTAGCTGCAGTGACGAGGCCATGTCTTTCTCCGCCGTCGTACAAAGCTTCTTAAAGTGTGAACACGATGCCGTCGGAGAACGCAGGTCACCATCTATTTGCCTTCACAGGTCCAGGTTCCACTCTATCAAAATCTTGGTGAGCTCGAGCCGACGGTTGCCGACGGTGGGGAACACTGCAGGCAACTGACTATGTACGTAGTCTTACATAGTGTTAGCCCAAGGGAATCAAGGGATTCTTCGACACGAGATTTAAATGGGTTAAGTTTGATTGGTGCATTTCGATGTGGAGGAATATCGTCATTGTCAACTTCAATTTTCCATAACGGGGGTTGAAGATAACTAAAACGAGTCACCTGCAAAACTAGATTCGGAGGGAATGTCGAGATATCATGGACATAGTGACGCTATATTCTATACAGACAACGAAGATATTTATGACGAGCATTGTGATCTTCGAATCATCCTGACGAGAGCTGGTTATGCTTACTTGTGTGACGTGGCATTAGAGTCTGCACTTTGCTTACCAAGGGTTGAACAGACAGTATAAGCCGAAATGCGTTAAAATCAGTTATCGCCAAGTCTCAACGAGATGGACAGTTTCATTTCTGTTTTTCAAGAGGTGTGATGATGCATCAGCAGATTCAACTCGACTTGCTTGCGGCAGCAAATATTGACCAAGCAAGACTGAGCCCGGCCATAAGCGAGTATCAAGAGATAGAAAAAGAAAACCGTCCATGGGCACGCTCTTGCTCAAGCCCTCAATCGTTACGTCTCAAACGCTTCAATTTAGATCCAGCTGGCTACAAACGAGTTTCGCTTCGTCAACGTCATGGTAATAATGAAGAAAATCCTATTGGCCGATCGACCGTCACGAGGTGTTGCAGTGAGCTGTCTATAAACTGACAGAGTATCAAATGATTGGGTAGATGGCCAGACTGTATAATCCAGACCGTGGGCATTCAATATCAGCACATAGTAGTATAAGGTTATGGGAACTGGTGCAGGAAGCTGTGACCGGGTTTCATACTTGTGGCGGCACGATGGGCGGGTCGCAGCAACGTGACTGTGACCAATGTGGTCTAGCAGCCTACTCAGGTTGCTTCAGCAATGAGACAAGATAATTCAGCTACCCACTCGATCAATCAACATAAAATGACTGAATCGTAATATCAAGATCTTGAGTACTTTCATACCGTGTCTGAGAATGGTGAACAGAGGCGGCACGGATTAATCCGGGAGGCTGCCCCACTTCGTAGGTAAGTACCGAATTGGAGCTCCATCATAGGGCCTAAAAAATATCACTGACCAGGACGTTCGCGAACCCCATCCGATTGCTACTGCTATATGCTATCGCACCCAATTTTCCTCGGCCACCCGTCCCAACCCGCGCAATGGCAGTAGACGGCACTCCACGTAGCGTGGCAGATGCCACGCGCTTCACGTCCAACACACTGCATGCTGCCTCCAAAGCTGGCAGCTTCAGCCCCGGCGGTCCCGCGTCTCGGACCACCAAGCCCAAGTCCTCGCCGTCAGTAAAAGCATCCGCAACGACAGCCTCGCGGCCCCTGCCGCTCAGAAGGCCGCCTCCGGCAGGTATGGGATCGAAGGCGGTACCTGAGACATTGGAAGAGCGGGTACGGAGACTTCGCGCTGCTCATCTGGCGGCGAGGAATCATGATGTGTCGCGGCTGGATCGGGTCATCAATACGTCGAGGAAGTACTTCGATGTTGCGCATCGGTATACGGTTATGGGGCTGATTGGATTTAGCGGTAAGTCATGTCTGCCGTTATCATTCCCTGTTTCCCTGTTCCAGCCAGCGTTCCTATCGCATGTTTGCAATAGCAGCGAAGCGAGTCATAGGCTAATGACACGCAACCAGGTCTCGCCCTCATGGTAACCGTCTACGCCACTGTCGACATGATGATATACAACCGCAAGCGCCGCGACGAATTCTTCACCTTACAAAAGCAATTGCAAGCCGACAGTCTCGAAGCCGCCCGTCTGGCCTACATGTCCGGCACCGCATCCCCGGAACAAATCAGTCTCGTCGAAGACGCCACCGCCAAGGCCAAGTCGTCTGGTGTCTCTATGCCCGCCTTGCTTGGTACACCACAATCGGCTGCGGCGCCAGCTGGAAGGGCTGGTCCTACCGCCGAAAGGACGACGCGGCCGGGCGAAGCTATGACGGAGAGCAGTGTGAATGCTGCCGACGAAGAGCCACAAAAGAAGCGTGGATTTAAGGACTGGTTGTTTAGCGGCCTGAAGAAAGAGGATTCCGTCGCCGCTGCCCTGAGCTTCAGCGATGAGGAGGCAGCGGCTTCCGGTCGAGAAGATAGAGCTGGTGTGGTCCAGGCGGTGGGCCAGCAAAAGGATGCACTAACGGACAAGGCTAAAGCTGCATTTGATGCTGAGAGGGACAACCAAAAGAGAGGCGGCCCGTTGGACCAGGTTGGGCTGGACAGCAGTGAGCCAAAGAAGTCAAGGTGGTGGTGAGGGGTCATCAAGTATCTTGGGCGAGAGACTCGGGTGGAGCTTGGGTGCAGGTATTGGTGCCTACATGCAGCTGTAGGTTGCTAGCTACAGTGGTCAAAGGGGCAGATATTGTATCATAGCTGTAGTAGAAGCACGGTGCATAGAACCTGGCGTTATGGTTGGACATGGTCCTATGTATATAAAGCTTGAGGACCGAACAGCTCTCTGTACAGATACGAGTATGTCTAATGCACGTCTCTGGCTCTGCTGGCTATCTTGACAACTTTCTGGTCGCCTTTCCAAGAATAGTTGGGATCGCCCTGCGGCAAGCAGGTCTGGATTGTCTTTTAATGACGCCCTCGTCGATTTCGTGAGCGCAGCCTCGAGGCAAACACTCCAAGATAAGTTGTCGGAGTATCTTCGCACAGATATTCCAGGGTCGAAGCATCATCCAGAGGTTAAAAGGGCCGGGGTTCGGCATACTGATACATTGGGGTCAACAAAATAGCACGGGAGCTCGTTGTTAACGTACCACCACCGTCTAATACCCAACGACGCAGTCAGTATGTGTCTGCACTGTTTGCTCAACGCTGACACGCGGGACGTAGAAAGATTTAAGATACGGCGCAAGGAGCATTGGATTTTACGGTTACTTCAGCATGGTAGATTATGTCATGACTCCTTTGGGACATAGGAAAACTCTTCGTCCAACGTTAGATAATCAAGCTCGATGCTGGAGATATAGACTCAGGTAACGGACGTTGCTATCGCTCGCCTCTGGCTGTGTCAAAGTAACCCAAGCCATGAACGTGGTGGTTTTCTTCAGGAACAGGAGGCACGACGAGAGATCTCGATACTACGATGGTGGAGTCGACGGGCGCCTTTAGTGAGTTAAGTTAAAGAAGTCAACATGACTAATTCAATGTGTGTACGTCAGACCTTCAAGTCTGTGTGGAGGTGTGATGTCAACTGAAGCCTCAGACGACGTTCCGCCTCTAACAGCAGCCATGAGATGCCTGTTGGTCGGCATTTGCAAGATCGTATGAGCGACTTTCGAGTAGAGCACGTGTATTCAGTTTCCTAGCCGTTCTTACTGTGCTTCGCTGAATGTTGGAACAGCATATAAAGCCTGCAAGACACTTGCGAGTTCCTGGTAACAAAGGGCCCCCCCCCTTCCGTTGCTTCGTAGAGAGGTTATGATACAATGAACGAATTGAGTTGCACTCCTGCGGGATGTAACCTAGGAGCTTATCAGTTATTCGAACCCTAGCAACGCACCGGATTGCACGGCTGTCACAAAACTAATTAGGCTCTTGTCGAAGTGGGACCGATGTTGTCTCCCAGGCCACGATGATTGTTATCACAGGGCTGAAAAAAAAGCAAGTTGCATGCCTTTCTAACATGACATAGAGGAGTCCTCTTATAAGCTTATCTTAGAAGTGGACCGACAACCCAGACATTGCGGTTTGTTAGTCCACGCTCTATTACTCGTGCTCTTGAAACCTCGTATAGAAGAAGTTTTAATTATCGCCTGTGGGGTTGCGCATCTTATTCGTCCATGATCAGCACGAGTCAACGGTTTTGGACCCATCGCCAATTCCGCACTACACCAGACTGGGCTAACAAGAAATTAAGAGTTGCTCATCAGGGGTGATGAGATCTACGCGCTCCTGTGACGACAAACCACGCCGACTTTTGGTTCTCGGCTACACTGTAATAACCACGCCTAGCCGCCTATGTCCAAAAGGTTCCAATTTCTATGGCGTCGACCATATACGGAATTGCACTTCGACAAGTCGTTGTCCAAATCACCTGACATGTCGGCGTCACAATATCCGCTCCATTCGCCATCGCCTCTAGACCGACTCGCCGGGTCGTATGTTGAACTCGACGACCTGAAATGGCCCGTGGACGACAAAGATGCAGCATGTCCAAGGAGTTCACAGCCGCCGCTACATAATGCTCCGGCTGGAGGTCAAGAGAGGCCTGATGTCCGACAGGATGATGACAGTGGCTGGTGGATGTTCGAACTCTTCGCTTGGGTCGTGAGTATCATCGCTCTCACTATTATAGTCGTGACGATTGCGATCACGGACGGGAAACCACTGCCTCGTTGGCCTCTGGATATCACGCTCAACTCATTTGTTTCTTTCATGTCTACAATCATGAAGGCAGCGTTGATCATCCCGGTCGCCGAAGGGATCAGCCAATTGAAGTGGTTGTGGTTCAAGAGAGCCGGTGCCGTGGGCGACGTGCAGACGTTTGACGAAGCGAGTCGAGGCTCCTGGGGTAGCATGAAGTTGATCTTCGCAACTCGAGGCGTGTATGAACTCCCCTCCCCCGGCCCCTGCCCTCTACTCCTCCCTTGTTATAAATTAGGCGCTTACCGATATTCCACTAGACATTTAGCGAAGCTGGGCGCGTTCATAACCATCGTGGCCTTGGGCGTTGACCCGTTTATTCAACAGGTCATCACATACCCGAGCCGCAACGTCGCTTCGACAAGTCAATATGGCTCAGTACCGGTCGTCCAAAGTTACATGGACTACGCATATGGAGCCATCATGGCACGTACGTTTTTTACAATAAAGTCTACTTCTCAGCTACTAATCTGGAAACTTAGTTAGAGAACCCACCCTTGCTATGAAAGCCGCCATCAACAACGGACTTTACGACACTAACAATGATCCGCAGGACGATTTTGCCGTATCGATAAGCTGCGCGACGGGGGACTGCACCTGGCCGGATACTTACTACTCGCTCGCAGTCTGTTACAAGTGTGCCAACACCACCTTGCTCATCAACAAGAACTGCACCGATGTGGATGAGCCTTGGGGCTACTGCGAGTACTCGCTACCGAACGGGCTCTACTTCGACGGCTCGCAGCGCGGGAGGCTGTACATGAACTCCACAGGAGGTCTTCCGACTATCAACTTCAACAACACACAGTCGACCATTTCGTCTATTTCCACGATGCGAGGTATTCATGATCTCTCTTCGACCACGCTGCTCGAGGTTGTCTCGAATGAATGCGTGCTTTACTTGTAAGCTATGAGATTGGATCATTCCGTTGCCGAAAATCCCAAACCTAACGTGTCTAGTTGTGTAAACGAATACAGCGCCGTCGTCAAGGACAGCGAGTTCACAGAGACGATAGTTGCAACTTACGTCAACAAAACCGATCCCGTAGTTGGTGAAAACATCACGATTGCAGCCCCAAAATCCAATCAAACGTTTACCGTTGGAGCCACGGCCTGGTATGCGCTTAGTTTGCACTTCTCGGTACGTGATTTTCTGTACATGCCAGCATTCGATGTGGTATTACGTATCTGACCATTACTGCAGATTTTTTGGACCGGCAACGTCACAGGAGCAACAGGCGAGATATCCACGTCCCGATCCGACGATGTCCTTACCGCACTCTACCAACTCGGAGACGACGAGTCCGGCACCGGGGCGCAGAAATTAGGCGGCGAGAACGACACCATTGCCGCGGTGGCCGCCAGCATGACCCGGATCCTGCGAGGGAGCAGCGCGAAAATCAACAACGAGACCTGTAGCATCAATAACTCAACGTCTGGATTGGCGTGCGGCACCGTCTGGATGGTAGAGACATATGTCCATGTGCGATGGCCGTGGATGGTGCTGCCTATCGCGCTCGAGGGCCTTGCGCTTGTGTTCTTGGTTTGTACGATTATCAAGAGTAAGAGTAGCGGGGTTGCGCTTTGGAAGAGCTCGACGTTGCCGCTGCTGCAGGGGAAACTGAGAGATGCGCAGGATGTGTGGACTCAGAGGAGATAGCAATGTTGATCAAGGCTGAACTTGCAATCATGCGCTTTGTCACTGTGATGAGACACTTTGGGAAAGCCGGTGGCTACTATGCTGGGCTTCATCATATTCCATGACAAGTGTCACAGAGCACCGATGGGATTCGTCAAAGCAGGAGTGCCAGTGTCAGCGCCGGGCGCATGGCACTGGTGGGGGGGAGCTGGTGGAGAGCAGGCCCGTGAGTTCATGGGGTCACATAATATTATTGGAAGTCTTGGGATACCGCTGTGTCCGAGGGATCCGGGCATTGTAGTTCGGAATAGGGACTTTAGCTGGCTCTATATGGGAGATGTCTTGGAGGAGGAAGGGAAGGTCAGAGATCAATGAACTGCTCCGGGCATACCTACATGTGGCTCACAGCTGGAATGCCTGTTTCTCCCCTTCACTCTGTACTATATTGCCTTGTGGCCTAGCCGTTCCTCACAAGAAATATTGTGACTTCTCGCCGGAGGCCCGGACTGGAACCTTTGGTTGATATCCATTGCGCGGCAGGCGCTTATTGAGTGACTCCGGCCAAGCTGCAAATATCTAGCTCCTATAGTTGCTGGTCTTTGTTTGTTGGAAGCGTACTAGAATTCCCTGCAGAGGCTGTATCTACTTGAGTTCTAATCCTGGCCATATGATTTATCAATCTACAACATGTTCATAGGATCTTGGTGTTAAGTTCATATATTAGCTAAAGTGTCACATCTGACGTTGGTATTTAGGCTGGCTTTATCTGACCGTCACGAGGGTGCTTGATCGTAAACTGCATAATTGCTGTTCGGCCAACTCAACCACTTGACGACGAAAACGTTTCACCGGCGACTTCAGACGATACAATGTCCTCGATCAAAATACTTGATCACTCGTTGAAGAATATTCGACACCTCGGACAGCCAATACCTTATCAACAATGTATTGTAACGAAAGACAAAGAACCATCCCGAACAAAACGTCAGACTCGCCACCTGATAGCAGTAGTTGAACAGTAACGTCCCAGGTTTATGAATAAGCCCACGGCGTGCAGCGCTTGGCTGCACTAATGTGAGCTATGTCTAGCTGCAGCTGCACTCTCTGTTTATCGACGATGAAACAAGAACGGCGTGCCTAGATCCATCCCATGGCTGCCAATCCGGCGTTGGATGTCGAGGCGAGGCCCCTCTCTAGAGAACGATTGTCACGATACTCTACGTAAGCCCGAGCTCGCATTTTTCCAAACCGGGACTGATCTGCAGTGTGGATGCACGCGGGGCGGCTATGTCAATGAGTTAAGGTTCATCGGTCATAATGGTCTGGGTCTATGGCCTGTCCAAAGACGTTATGGCTGTGTAGACTATCCGTGATATTGGGGCGGAGAACTGAACTCAATTGACTTAAACTTCGACTTGGAGCTGTTAGTCAGGATCATAGCTGGAACTATGCTGTGCTGCCGTAAAGCAGGTGGTGATGCGGGAAGTTTTCCCCGGTGGCGACCATTAATTACGTGGGCAATTTGCATACATGATTCAATCCACGAGCGGACAACAGTCCTTCGACATATGGCTGGTGGCTGCGGTGCTGTATCCAAGAACGGAATGGCTGCAAGTTGTGGATTGGATAGTGCGCGGGAAGACTTTAGAAGGAAAAAAGGGCTGCAGACTGCTGCACGCAGGGAGAGACCCTGACGCTTTGGGAACTATTGACAGCCTATCGGCAGTCAGAGCAATAGGCAAATAAGCTCCTGACAACCTGTGACCAAAGATTCTGACAAAAGATCTTTTGCCAACAGGCCGGCGTCTTAAGGCCCATAGATGCTCAATACACGGACTCTATTTGAAGCATCGGGAATGCTTGCGGTTGTGATCTTGACATAGCCTTTGAGTGACCTGATCGACCACACTGTCCAATTTGGAGGATTGGGCAACCGCCCAGAGGATACCTGAAAAGCACGGCACCAGAGTCTGGTCGCCAAGAGCGAAAGGAACATTGAGTCAATATGATCTGGATTGGCAGTTGAATTGAGATTCACATTCCAAACCTCCCTTCCTCCCATCCCTGCAACCGATGAAGCAATCTTGAAACCGACCGCTAGAAGTCGCTAACGTTTCTGGATGGGCTAGATGGTTGCCGACCATATTGCGCTAGCCGTGAGAAGGATGTTGCATTGGAGTTGTCTTGGCACATTTAAGCTGCGATTGAGCATCTGGTGCTAAACATTGACGACTTAATGGCACGACTATTATGTGATGGTCCAATGTAAAGTCTACACTGTCTTCTAGGATATTTCACGTCAAATGACTCGGCTAAGTTTCACGATAATATATTTGGCACTTGAATAGTTGTCGTTGCCCTGTGCGTCTTTTGTTTGCAGATGCAGCTGTGATGCAAGCTGTTCAACGATAGTGGCCTGCTGCCGCAGCGCTTGAGGCGTACTGGCGGAAACGAGCATGGTCCCACCCTGAAAGTGGCAAACCCTGTGCACTGAACCGCACGACTGGGACCTCCCGAAGTCACCGGCTCTAATCAGCAATGACGCGAGACCCTGGGCTGACCATGACCAGACCTCAGATTGAATGTGACCCAAGATGGGAAAGCCCATGTCCGTGTCACGACGGTGGGCTTTTGAGTACGTGACAGAGCGAGCCAACATCAATGTCGCGATTGGAGTTTAGCTTTTGTCCCATTTTCTTGTCGAATTGAACGTGTCCTTTCGTTCAGTTCAGTTGTGTTGTCTATTTTGATGTCCTAGCTCGTGCAAAATTCCTTCTGTGACGCGTTTTGGCTGCTTGCTTCCACTGGTGTCCACTGCTATGTCCGTTTTGTTTCCCACGTTATCGTTGCCACTGGATCAGTCGACGTGAAGCATCCAACTCGACGCCATTCATGTTGGGGCCGACTGCGCGTGTGCGCGTTTGTTATCCTTAAGCTGCAGACAACATCCATCCCACTTTGACCAACCACCTCAAGTCACCTTTTCATTCTCTCCATCGAGGCTTTTTGGGACTTGCAAGGATGAACATGGGAACATTCGATTTAACCTAGGACTCATTTGTTCTGGAAGTTCTTACCACAGGGTCAGCCCCGCCGCCAATGTGGCTCTTTCCCACTGACCAACGGTACATTGCAAAGCGTGCAACATCAGCATCCAAGCTTGTACCCTTTTTGGTCCGTCCCCCTCTTTGTCGCTTCTCCACAATCGGCTTCGAGGCATCAACCAGACCCGGCCATCTTCGTCTCGACCACAGCATCTTGCTTCTCCCTTTCCCAAAACCAACCAACATCACTGTTTTCTTTTGTCCATCACCAAATAATTTCACAAGCCATTCTTTCCCATTATTTCCTTACTTTGTTTTTAGATTTTCTCTGTGTATCGCAGTACTAGGAAACAGCCATCCCCTTGTCTCTTCGAAAGGATACCGTTAATTCCATAGTCGTCTTCAACGCGGCCTGCGATACCAAAATCTTGAGGCGATACGGGCGGCACTTCAAGTTTTCCCACCAGCCTCCATTATTTAGTGTACACGACTATACCAGCAATATACTGGTAGACGCCTCAAGTTATTCCGAAGTTTTTCTGCGATTTGGCCGCTGCTTCCGTTGTCGACTTCTGCTGGAGCTGGACCTCCAAGTCTGGACTTTTGCCCAAGCTACTACTACGAAATCGTCTCAATCCCCTTCCGTCACTGCGGGTGCGCCGCCACCGTTTATAACCAACTACTCACTACACATAACTCATTGCCGTCCTGTTCACTAGTGCCACCCCACCTAATTCTTTCCTCTCGCATCACTGCCTGTAATCATGCTCGATCAATATTCATGGCCCGAGTCGACTCGGAAGAGGGCTAGGGACGACGAGGAGGTTGTCACCGGCTTCACGGAGCATCGCAATGTTGGTCTTCCTCCCTTCCAAAAATTCGCACTGCCCATTGCTGACCCTGTGCCATATAGAAACGCCTCCATTCATTGCCAGTACGCACCTCGCCGCCGCATGGCCACAAGAGATGGTCCCACCCTCCTAGCTTCACGCCGCACGTGCCCGCCACTATCACCCCGGCCGACTCGGATTCCGAGGAGCAATGGCATTCACAGGCCCGGCAAGGCTCACAAATGGAGGATACGGATATGATGGCCGTGGAGGAGCCCAAGCAGTTCGCACAATACCTCGCTCCTGGTTCGCTGCAGCCAGACCCCCTCGGTCCGAGCATCACAGCGCGCATGCCGACGCCAATCCACTGCTCCTTTGCTGAACAAGTGCGAAGCAAGAACCACATCATGAACACCGGCTTTTCCCAACCGCATCCTTTCCCCCACGCCGCCGATCCTTCCGTGCCGCGTTCAGTGGATAGCGGCGCCGCATGGTCCATGGTCCAAAATCGACGACTCCCATCGCCTATTAGTGAAAGCGGTGGTGAGGAAACGCCGGCCAGCCCTAGCATGGTTTTGGATTCGTGTTCGATGGCGCAGCTCAGCCTCCAACGTCCGCAATTACCCCACCACCCACACTCCATGAACCCAATGGCGGCTTTGCACCCCAATCTGGAGGTGATCCAACAAGAGGACTCGGGCATGATGGACATGGACTGCTCTAGATGCGAAGAAGCCGGGTCCCCATCCTCAGCGCCCGCCACGCCTTCTCCGCGTGGCAAATATGGGCACTCACGAAGCAAGCACACGCTGAACTCGTGGACCTTACAGCCGGGCATGAAGAAGTCGTTCAGTATAGGCTACCGAGCAGATTGCGAGAAGTGCCGTCTAAAGATTCCTGGCCATTTCAACCACATCATCGTCTCATAGGTGGGCCCGCATGGTAGAAAGGAGGTCTACTGGCACCAGCACAAGACGGGGTGTACCCGTGGAAGGGCGACCAAGATTGATTGGGGGTGTACCATACTAGATAACGCTAAGATGGTCGCCAGTCGCTATTCCGCCCTTGGTATTTCTCCCGGCTGCCAGCGGTGGAGAACTCGAAGAACTCGGGACACGGAATACTAGACGGCAAGATATCTCACATAACAGTGTTACCATAAAAGCGTGCTTTTCTTTGGGACCTGTTGTAACATAGCAAATTGTTTATTGCTTTGGTTTTTCTTTTCGGTCTCGGCTCAGCAATACCCCACGCTCGCTACTGCAATTGCGATTGGTTTTCAGGCGTTCAGGTCGGATATTTGCATTCAAACCAGGAACCGAGGTTCACATCATATGGGGAAATGGGGAGAGCCCGTGTATCAATAGCTACGAAGCGATAGATCGCTAACACGCATTGGCATAATATGGAATACAGATACTGTTCCTTTTTTTACACCTGAAATGGCCTTGCAACTCACAAAATCTAGGAGAGGACCATCACAAATTACCTAAGAGTTCAGGGAGGGTATCCGGAGTAGGTCAGTATTTCAGAATAAACTTCGCCAGGAGTACCCAGTACAGCAGTCTTTGGGTCCCTGAGATGCCCAAGGGGATCCTACGGCTGCAATTGGCGTCGTAGCATCAATATTGTTGTCCCCATCCAGTATGCCTGCGTTTTTGCATGGCAGACTCAAGAGTCGAGGTGATGGTCCCTCAAGAAGCGGTGACAATATGATCTGATCCAGTGTGCACATGACACCGCCCTTCGGAAGTTGCCTGCACCCAGGGTATATCTTGCCAGCTCCCTATCTCTGAAAGAGCCGCTAGTCAAAATATCTTTTCAAGCAGGTTGTTACCGGTAGAGTAGAGGTGCAGATAACGTGGTTTCCTAGCCAAGTGCGGTGATCAGGATCATTCGGCGCACCAGAGGCTTCTCTAGACTCTACTAGCATTATATTAAAGTTTGGCACGTTGGGATACCTACGCAGGCTATTATGCTAGCGATTTTCAATGGTGCCCTTCAGGTTTTCAGCTTTGGGGTGCCTTTCACAAGGGCAAAACTAATTGAGGTACTTCTATCATCATGCTGGGTGGTTATGGTATACGCCATGGAATATCATCTTTCCCTATTGCAGATGAGGAGACGAGGAGCTAAAGTACCTTCGTGTTGGAGGGATACTCCGTCATATTCTGTGTCCCGTCGATTTGAAAAGCCTTTTCAGAAGGCTTTTGGTTTTGTCAAATCCACCACGATCTGTCGATGCCAGCGTGATGTAACCAGAAAAGGGGGTCATTAAGAGTGTTGCAGACTTATATACGTGTTTGTGAACGCCAAGGCCTAGTACCCAACAGGGGAGATATGGGATAAGAGAAGAGACAGACGTACGTCGCCACCAAGGGTGGTGGATGTGTGTGAATGCTGTCCTGGATCAGACTGATCAGATGGCTTCCCTGCAACCGATCCTGGCCCCAATAACGCTTTGGTGCAGCGGGTTAGTCGACAGATCAAGGTGCTTGGCATCAGTGGAGAACGTGGCGGTGATATCAGGCGAGATATCCCGCCTTATGCAACTTGGTGCATAGCTCAGCTTGGTGCCGGTAATTGGCGTATCAGGGGCGACGAGAGTCGGGTTCTTGACGGACATGTTACTACTGTTGTAAGTTAATTCAGTATATAAAAGTGCATGTTGTGGATTATTGGTATGAGATTATGAAGCGTAGGCAGCTTGCCAGCCTTGTTGTATACAAGCTTCTCCTAATTCGTCGATTGCGAAAATTCCCGCCCAATGACGTTGTAAAGGCTGCATATCTGCGTCACCCTCGTAGAACTGAGCGTCCTTTTCAAGCGGCAATCTGCCACGGCGGCCTCGAGGTCGGTCCCCAGGGTTGAAGCGGGGAACAGCCAAGCCAGAGGTCAGGGCCAACACTGCCGTGGATAGGAGGAATCAGATCTTGGCTTGATGTGGCAGGGCGCTAAAGATGCTCATGTGAAAGAGAAGGTGTGAAAAGCAACGAAGGAAAACACCTGCAGAACGAATAACCTGAGTGTGACAGTTGACTGTGGCTGCAGAAAAGGAAAGATGGTTGACACGACACGTAGGAATTCGACCCAGATGTCCCGGCCTTGATACTGATAGCCATTGATACAGATAACTGACCAGGTAAGCTGGCTACTAGGAATATTTCAAGCGATTGAGGCAATCTAAGGAGACGAGATCCCATGCTCAAGATCTTGGAGCTCATCGGCTGAATTATTCCTCCATGCAGTCCAGGTCCAGGGTTAATCCATTTGAGCCTGTAAATCGAGTCGCTGCATAGAAGAGCAGGATCGTTGTAAGAATTCCCGGAGACGATGTCGAACTCAGGACCCTGACAACGCAGACATTTTGTTGAAGAACGCGACCCCGTTGGACCCCACTACGAGAACAGAGCGGATACAAAAGCTAGGGCAAAAATTTAGACGGCAACAAGGGCTCTCTCCATGAAGAAAAGCGGTGCAAGTTGCAACCCTAGCGCGTAACATTCCAAGAAGGAAATAGCACAACCATGATGCTCTGGGCAAATGCCCCTGGAAATCAACACCGGTGCCGCTAGATCCTCAAATACAACCCAGTGGTTTGGGAATGACCCAACGAGAACAGAGTACGAAGACGCCGGAAAGGCGGGTTGAGTTTCCAGTCGGGAACTTAGCAGCTAAAACCAGCCGATTTCAGCAACTTGCAAATGGATCTTGAAATTTGGACACGAGGCCTCAGGCGTACAATTTTATGTTCCCTATCATGTTAACGAGGAGTATTGGAGTTGTTTCATGCGGCTTCTAGCTACGCGATTGCTATCTCCTACGGGATATGGGTCTTTGACGTGCGGCCAAAGTGTAGGCGTTGATCACCAACTTCCCGAGCGTGATATCTCTGTGGTAGTTGGAGTGAATAAGCTTTAAATTACATTCTTTACGCCTGGAGATCTAAAATACTGCAATAATACCATAAATATCGGTCTCTAGGTCGGCACCTCAGCAGCCTGCTACTCGACTTAGTTTTATACGTTTCATCTCTTTGTACTACTTCTATTTTAATAAATATCACTGATACTGCCCATTTAGACCAATTTTTATATAGATACCGAGATGGAGTACTGAAATATAAGCTAAGAACTAAGTTCCGATACACTGTATAATCTGTGTGCGGTGTCGAAACTCGATGGCTTAGAAGGTTATGACAGTGATGGATTCGGCTACTGAACGGCTTTGAGCGCTATAGCCTTAGTTAGGCTACTTTAATTTAACGTACTTATTCGCTTGAAGGGTTAAGGGCTAAGTGAGTTTGTAAATGAGCTGTTAGTTGAAGGTGCTGATGGGTTTATAGTGCAGTTAGAATACGAAGGGGCTAAATTTGGATGGTCCGGATAGGGTTAATTCGGATCCGCGGTAGTCTAGGGAAATATTTGCAAATAATTCAAGCATATTAAATAGTATACGCTTATTTGCTTGTTCGCTTTGTGTCGGACGCTGACTAACAGTACACAGCCGAGCTCCACATCGGAATCTTCGCTGCCTCCCTCCCATGCGCCCCTATTCTTGAAGATGCTCGGACGCACCAGAAACTAAGGCACGGGTCACAACACCGCCTGCCTTTCCGGCGGCCCGAGTGGTATCCGGCAATGCTCTTTGCTCCGTTTAATGCCAACGTTTTCTTCCGGCTAATCGCTCATCTACACCATGTGGGATAGCTGGCCCACTGGTTGTCAGCCATACTCAAATGAGTCTGCGAAGGCAAGATCACAACGACCGCATAGTCTGCGCTCCCTACTGTATGATGATGACGATGGTGACACTACTTCGAGTGCGGACAAGATTCGTAAGCAAGGCGTCGACGGCTACTTTCTGGATACGAGAGGATATCTTCACGAGCATCAAGCAGTAACAGTGGAAGGTGTAGTTTTTGCGAACGGATACCTGGGAGCAATTGAGCCAGGGTTGTCCCGTTGCGAGTGGATTGAAGAAGAATTGCTGGACTGATGGCTAAGTGCCTTGGTAACTTGGTTTTCTGATACATTTTGCTTTGTTTCCATCGAATGACCAAGGTCAGGTGCATCATTGAACAGTGGTCGATGAAAAAGGGGTTCATGTGGGACATTGGATACACAAATATGTTGGAAATTATACATGTATTCACCACGTAATACTACATTAGCTCTATGGATGACGTCTTGCTGACTCGAAAAATGTTGAGCTACTTTGTAATAACCCTGGCGACTTTCCCCGCATTCGGCGTTCTGCAGGAAATTTTGAAGTATAGCTCGGAAAACACAGGATCCGTCACTAACAGTAGTGAGTACTCTAAATAGTTGCAAAACGGCCGAATATTGCTTAGTTTAAGTGTGACCTTACCCCACGATCTGCAGTGACTCGCCGCATATGTACTTAGTGTTCCCCAACTTCAACAAGGATGCGTCGTACCGCCATGAGGTTGGTGTTTGCAAAGCACTTAAATAAGAAGGTAGGTACCTTGCTGATTTGATTTATAAGGGGGTGTTACGGCCTCCTCATTTGTTCATATCTTTGGTGTAACCGTGCTATCTAGATTGGATCTCAACAGCATTGTACAATCGCCAAGGCTTCCTGCATCCAATGTCTGGGACTTGTCTATCATATTGACTACGCCACGTTTTCTCATGTCATTATTCAAATTGATACTTCAACCCTCAATTCAAGATTCTGGGTGTGCTCAGTTGCGTGTTTGGTGGAAACAGGACTCCTGCGACGTCCTCGTCATCTCGAACCATGAAGTTGCAGACAGAAAGTCTCCTGGGCATGGTATTACCCGGACTTGCAGTCGCAACAGGCAATGCCACTTTTCAAGACCGATGTCTTGCATTCACGCCAGAAGCTCATGTCTCGAACTCGACTCGGACCGAGCTCCAATTCGTCCCCGCTGGCACGAATCTCACCTTCCCCGACAATGACGCAACATGCAATCGCGCGAGTCAAGTGGTTTCAGTAGATATATGTCGGGCAACACTGTCCATCCCGACTTCGAACCGATCCAGCATCACGTTTGAAGTGTGGCTTCCGGAGGTTTGGACGGGTCGGACGCTAGCGACTGGGAATGGGGGAATCGATGGATGTAAGTGTCTCCGCATGTTGCGCAAGAATTCCAGAGCTGAGTCGAATCGCTTTATAGGTATCAAGTACGAAGATATTGCATACGGAGTAGCGAATGGGTTTGCCACGGTTGGAACGAACAATGGCCATAATGGGACGCGTGGTAACGATTTCTACCAAAACGAGGACATTGTGATTGATTTTGCTTGGAGAGCGTGAGGCCTGCCTTGAGAACCCCCTTTCTTCATCATCTTGACTAATCCTTGACAGGCTGCACACATCTACGGTTATTAGCAAAAGCCTCACAGCACTATTCTATGGCGAACCACTCGTTAAATCCTACTTCCTTGGCTGTTCCCTAGGTGGCCGACAGGGTATCAAAGCAGCAGAGAAATTCCCAGAGGATTTCGACGGAATCGTCGCTGGTTCACCAGCAGTGGACTTCAACAACTTGTACTCCTGGCGAGCCAGCTTTTTCCCGATCACTGGGGCAATAGCTTCACCCGATTTCATCTCAGCAAAGACCTGGAACACTACGATCCATGATGAGTTGCTGAGGCAATGCGATGAGCTGGACGGAGTCAAAGATGGTATTATTGAAGATCCAACGTTGTGTGACTTTCGACCCGAACCGCTTCTTTGCGGGCTGTGTACTAATCAAAATGGGAACTGTCTGAGTATGGTGCAGGTAGACATGGTCAAGAAGGTTTATAATGACTATCTCTGGCCAAACGGGACCCTGATGTTCCCTGGCATGCAGCCAGGTAGCGAGGTCCTCGCCGCTCGGGGACTCTACGGCGGATCCCCTTGGCCTACGTCCGTCGGGTGGTTTCGATATGCCGTGCTGGCGGATCCCGCTTGGGACGCGTCTAAATACAACTTAACCGACGCTTCTATCGCTGCTACGAAAGACCCCGGTGATGTCCGCACCTGGCCGTCGTCACTTTCATCTTTCGAGTCTCGCGGTGGCAAAATTTTGACTTACCACGGACTGCAGGACCAGCAGATCACCAGCTTCAATTCGGATCGGCTCTACCAGCGCCTAGCTGCGGGCATGGGTTACAAATCAGAGCGGATGGATTTATTCTACCGCTATTTTCGCGTCCCGGGCATGTTTCATTGTAATACGGGTCCAGGGGCTTGGGTTTTGGGCCAGGGTGGCGGCGCGGCTGCAAAGGGGATACCTTTTCAACCTGAGCACAATGTTTTGGCTGCAATGGTGGACTGGGTCGAGAAGGGAGTGGCACCGGATAGTATTATGGGGACGAAATTTGTTGGGGATGATGTGGGAAACGGGGTGGCTCATAAACATCGTCACTGCAGATATCCGCTGAGGAGTGTTTACTCAGGAGTTGGACATGATCCGCTCGACGAAAATAGCTGGCAATGTCAAACAACAGAAGCATAATTAGTCTAGAGCCAAATCTCATGACTATTATGCCGTTCCTAAAATTGTCTCGTCTAGTGTTGGGTCTCAGCCGCAGCGCTACATGCTAGCCACGCGCTAACCATTCTCAGGAAATTTCCCATCATGTCTTCCTGTATCATCCCAGCATTCACGTTTATTTTACCATTTACCCCCCAGTCACTTACTTCCGAAGATTCTACTCGACCTCGGTCTTCTCATCTCTAGTTTCTACGGTTGGATATCCCTCATAATACTCATTTGCAACAGTGTAATCTAGAGGTGCTGTGTGCTGATCCGCCCATATCAACAATAACACAGCCCAAAGCTCGCCGATTTCCACCGGCAACTGCCAGAAATCTGGATAGGACTTAGAAGTTGTACAACAGCTGAAGTGTTCAAGAATATCTCACGAAGCTCGTCGCCATTGAGCGTGCGAATAAAACACCATATAGCTTCAGCCACAGCGACATTTGTGGGTGTAGAGGGTTCAATGGCGATTTATAAGTCAATCAAAGACTCTGGAGTTGGGAGTGGGGTGTATAGTATCCAGGTGTGGTTTCAGGCGAGTGATTTGGGAACTACTATGTCCATAACATCATCAGGTTCTTCAATTTTGTGTTCCCAGCCGCAGAGAACATCCACATTTCCGACTTCGAACACTAGCGCAGTTCTTTCTTCAACCGATCTCCCTTCCAGAGGTCTCAGTATGAAAGTCGCAGCCGGTGTTGGCATTGGGTGCCCTGTGGTCTTGATGACGTTAACGGGCACCGTCGCCTGGTTGTTCGCGGACATGTGAAAGCGGCAGATGGCGGAGAGGCGGTAATCGCAGCGCCACGCACTTCGCCATGAGTTAGAAGCAGAGATGAACGGGAAAGGCGCTTGGCCACGGCTGGTCAAGGTCGGTGGCCAGGATACAATGCGACCCGCAGAACTGGAAGCACGTCCGTTAGGATACTGGGTATATGCGGCGGTACCGAAAGTAGGATAGGAAGAGGATCATTTGGTACGGATATCATGCTCAATAGTTGTTGTCTTGAAGCTTGACATAGAGGGTTCGTGAGTCGTATACCAAGAGCAGTGTAGCATCATACATTGATACGATGAATTTAATTTGCTTCGATGTCTGAGGGTCAACCGCGGAGCTTGTACCTATCTAGGCCTGCTTAGTAAACCAGAAAAACAGCATCAACTTCATAAACCGAATAGAAAAACACCTGATCTGGGCCAAATGGAAAAGCTTTTCGACGTGCTTGAACGTGAGTCCAACAGTTCTGTCCCTGTATGCCTGAATCGCATCTTCGTGGGGAGCCGCACGTTTGTTGGCTATAAAGTGAGTGATTGTGGAAAGACGTGACGAATTTATGTTTCAAAGAGCCTGAGCAGCTCTGGCTACATGCGGATGGGACAATAGCTGTGCCTAATGCCTGTCCATTAGAATGATTTCCACTTCGCAGATGTCAATGTATTAGAAGAAGCTAATTAACAATTTGATCAGCTGAGCTGAAAGATACCAGTCCGAGTTTTGTTGTTATTTGATGTTTAGGGTAACGAAGAGAATGAGATTTGGCATCAGAACCCATCGTTAGCAAGCTGTCTTAGGTCGAAACCACAGTCAAAATTTGCTGCAACCGAGAATGCAGGAGCGAGCCACCGGCAACTACTATTGAATCATTCTTCAATTCCTGTCATGTGTTGGAATCAGCTCTAGATCAATTGGGCTCCCTTATATGGGGAATGGAAGTCGCAGCAGAGTGATCAAGCCTTCGAGCTTTGCTGCACACGACGGTAAGGGTGCTAGCAAAATGGGTGGTATTTCAAAGGGAACGAGTATTTCACCGGCGATGCTAGTTTTCCAGAGGACAGGGTCTGAGTGAATGGTGACATTCGTAAAGCAAGGCAGTCGCAGCAACGGCAAACCTACATCACAAGAGTCAGAGACATTTTGACACTCAGATAATTTCTTGCTGCTAGAAAGTGAGTTCACCCTGGGAATGTTCATTAAAAGAGCATGTTTCTTCATTATCCAAACTTGGAAATGCAAGGCCACTTCATGGTGCAACCAGTTACTCCTTCCACTTGAAGTGATCTACCAAGGGCTTCAGCATCAAGACCACAGCAGGTGCGACCAGAATTTGTGTTCACAAACAAACCGTCTTCTTCATGACACCACAACAAGGTGATGAGCACAATGAAAATAATGCAAAATGAAAGGGCACAAAAATTCCCCTCGCAGGGCCGCCCCGAAGAGCAAGACCTAATGACAGTCCACACCACGATGTGCAATGCAGGCGTCCCGTCATAGGCTTGGATTTCCTTGATCTTCCAAGCCTCGAAGAAGGTAAGTTTGAAGAAGAGAAAGGAAATCAGACCTGGCCTCAGGAGAAGAGGACCTGCTTAAGTACTTCCCAAGGCGGTGTGGCTGATTGCAGGTCGCTTTCTGCCGGTCAAAGGATAGGGGGCGGTGACTAAGTCGGAGGGGCAGGCAGCAGGCAGCAGGCAGGCAGAAATTTACCTACCCAGGGCAGTGTTTGCTTGATTTTCTTGGCCCAAATATCACATGCAGCTTCGGTTGAAAGGGCGGGTACGATGACAAGGCAAAGTACCTTCCACTTATGATCATCTTTCTTTGTTTTGGGACCCTTCGTGAAGCACCGTTCTGCTCGGTTGTTACTTCCAGCCAGGCACGATACAACCTATGGCGGCCTAAACCGTGTGTATACTGGATGCAAGGGCAGTGCCCATGTTTGACCTCAAGGTGTTTTGATTACTCGGTTTCGGGCCTTCACTTCAAACTTACCTTACTCTACTTAATGAAAGGGCAGCTGGTGTTGTGCAAGCCAAACTGACGCATTTGCTCAGGTCAGGTTGAAAATAGGTGAGAGGAAGTGACCATCCCTCAAGGAATTTCGATGCCCAGGGCATCGCCACGATTATCTGATAGAAAACACATGTCAGTCATAATATATTTAAGGCTGATGCCACTCAGTTTCCCCTTTGGGCCCGTTTGCACACAGCCACCGGTGGTGTGGCTGTGTGCCCTACACTCTATTTAGCCCACAGTTCAATAGCCACTTTGGAATCTAATCCTCATGCTTCTCCGTTCTACCGAAGACATCTTGTATTCGTGTATTAATTCAGTCTCTATTGAATTCAATAGTTATATATAGAAAAAAAGAAAGTGAACAAAAGAAACACAAACTACTACATCAAGTCGAACCCGTTTTTGTCACCCCGCAATACGATAGCGGGCTACTGCCTGCTGTTTGACAAAGCGGCTCCGATAGCACGTCTTATCAGTCCTCCGTTCTCAATCCCGAGTCTTGATCTTGCTTCTAACATGCTTGTTGACACTCAAAGGACATAAGTGCTGTAATATCAATACATAAGACATGATGATACTTTACGGGACGATAACTGCGAGTGTAGGCTATCTATGATCTAGACACGAAACTGTAAGCATCCCACTTGCTCCAGAGTCAATTCAGTGGCCCTGCTGGAGATTGCAAGTTTAATACAGTCTTTCCAGGACGTTGTATCCATTACACAACCCATCTCAGGTACTGAAACGACGCGCTGTTAAAGAAACACGGTCAAGATGAAATCCATCACGGAACCCAACCCCTTCAAAGCTTTGATCATCAAGAACTTCCGCTCTGGCCGCCCATCAGGCGACATGATGGTCAAGTCCTTCAGCGACAATATCTGTCTAGCAAAGCCAAATGCCCAAATCGATGTTTTCGGTGCTGCCGATGGCGAGGCTATCCCCGACCCATTGGAGTACGACTTCATTGTCTTGAGTGGCGGAACAGTCAATCTTTTGGAAGATGAAAAGCCGGCATGGACTGTTTCCGTACTGGACCTGATACGGAAGGTCGCGCAACAAGACAAGACGAAGTTGTTGGGGATCTGCTGGGGCCATCAGGCAACGCACTACGCCCTGGGTGGTCAGCTGGCCGTGCTAGACTATGGGCCCTTGGTAAGCAATGTTTATGGCGCTCAAAAATTCTGGAATATTGACATAGTTTCTGGTTTACAGATTGGGGTTCAGCAAATTCAGCTGAACGAAGACGGGCAGAAGTTCTTTGGTACAGAATCACTGGTAAGTATTTGGCACCTTTCGCAAATAAAGCCGCTCATCGTGGTAATGTCGGGTTATCTGATACTCGTATAGGCTCTCCATAAGTACCACAAGCGAGTCGTGTCGACACCAACACCAGACTTTATAGCTTTGGCTGACAACAACGAAATCTTCATCACCAAGTCGAGGAAAATCATGTCATTTCAGGGACATCCGGAGTTGAGCTACCAAATCGCAAAAGCCATGATGGAAACCGATGATGGCTCCTACCAACCGCCCGCAAATGTTCCAAAATCAGACACGGCATTGAAGATCCAGGATATAAGTGCAAGCCAAGACGGAAAGAAAGTCTGGGTCAATATCATGAAATGGGCTACTTCATAGATATGTTCAAGTATGAATTCGTTTCATGTCAATCCAGTGTAAATTGAACAGTGTTTGAACCTTTGTCACCCACATCATGACCACGGGCCCGAAACCGGGGACAATGCATACATCCCTGATACCGTTTTGAGCAATTGTGAATTGACAGCAAGTCCCGTGCTCAATTCGACGATGCAATCTCATTGACCAATCGACTGTGCGGGTTTGGGGGCAATTGTAGATCAGCAGTCACTGTTTTGGGCTCTGAGAAATATGCGGCGGCAACGTGTAGTTATCTCAGGTAGCGTAAGACTCTTTAAAAACTAGTATAGGGTACCTGAACTCCTACTTGAAGCGTATAGGGCCTGAGATACGATACAGCGTGTAGCTGTAGGTCTAATTAAAAACAGACTATAGCGCACTTAGATTGATAGTTTGGATCTTCATATCCTGGGAATACTACAGGCAGGTCTTACGCTGGTCGATCAACGATAGATATTCATCACTAGTGAGCGTCCGCATGAGAGAGGATCGACCGTGTCAGGACGTTCCCGTTAAGAAATACGAGAGTGATACTGAGCCAAGCTCGCCTATTTCGTCGCTTTCTGAGCAACCATTTCGTCACTTGGAGCGCGATCTAATGACAGGGCAGCAATTCAAGTCAAATTTTGAAGGAAGGACTCATGAGATAAGCTCTAGCTAGTGTAGGGTGGATCACATCTACGTATAAGCACTTGTTGCCTAGTAGCCGAGGGAAAGGCCAGCTTTATATGTAGTGTATCAGGATCATACAGCTGGAAGATTACCATGGTTTGGATTATCATTGCTGAAATGGAAAGATGAAATATAGTTCGATTCAAACATCAGAAAGATTCTCACTGTGAAGCGACTCGTCAATAGCTCCTCGTCGAGGTACAAGTCCTACGAACACTTAGCAGTCAAATAAAGCTTTGAATATGTTTAGGCAGACTTATAGAATAGGAGAGCGGATATTAGCCCGGTGGTAGCCAGTTTCGAACAACGCCACGGGCGTACCACCACTATGCTAATATTTGAATTAAAGCCGTTGACGTCTCACCGGAGATAACATCTGTAAAAATAGATCAGGTGGCGGAGGTCTAGAGCATCAAACTATATTAGCTGAGATTCATGGAGCTCTTTGTTCACAAAGCCTTAATGCTGCAATGCTCCTTCCGGAGCTGCGCCCATGCTTTAGGGTTCCATTTTCCGAGCGGTGAATCTTTCTCATCTGTTTTAGGGGCACGAAGAATCTATGAACGGCTTACGGCAGTATTCGAGAAATTATATTACACATTACTGAAAACTACGCAATCTGTAACATGGATGTGGTCGAGATTACCAGGAGGTGGAGGAGCCTAATTAAACAAAGCCAACCCGGCCGCAACTGATATATGCGCACGACCTCAACTCGCCCAAATATATTTACCACTTATGCCATATTTTGTATTCTCACATTCCTCATGAACAACTAAATTTTCTCACGTTCTGCTAACTATATCCGTTCTTTTGTCCATACCAACTACTGTCCTTCTTTAGGCACTGGATGCAGGTTCATTACTGACCTTCACTGTATATAATTTTTCACTGTTGCAATCTCACTCATTACTTAAGCGACTTATCAAATTTGCCATCTAGCATGCTCACCAAAACCCTTCTCAGCTCCCTGAGCATCACTGCCGCACTCGCCTCCCCACTATCCAAGCGAGCGCGAGACAACACTCAAGCGGCCGGAACAAACCCCATCAAGTTCACCACGCAATTCCTCGGCAACCAAGTCGCCGAAAACAGCTGCTCGCACCGCGACCTCGGCTTCACCGGCAAGATCAAGGATAAATGGTACGCCGTCTGGGGGGATGCCCTCTGGTGCGCTGCCGGCGTCTCGGATCCTGAGAAAGACACGAGTGGATTCCATGGCATGGTCCGCGATGCAGTCTCGGTTGTGACCGGCGATCCCCTCAAAGTCCATGACCTTAACTTGAACAAAGACTCCCCCGTGCCCCACCAGAACCAATTCGTCCCATTCAACACCGCCTGGGGCGAGACGAATATGTTTGGTTTTGGTGGGACGAGCTTGTGCGAGGTGGACTATAACTCCGCCACGGGTGTCGTCTTCTACCTTGTCGTACGCACACTCTCCCTTATTCCCTCGGTTTCCACATGGTACTGACAACTCTCCAGAACGCAAACGAGCAAGGCCTCAAAGGAGCCGGCGTAGGCAAAGTCGAAGTCCTCAACGGCACGCCCACCGTAACCAAACGCTTCGGCAGCAACGGCTTCTGGTGGGACCAAAGCCAGTTCCCGCGCTACGGCGACGTGGCCGCTTATCGTGACGAGAATTCCGACTTCATTTATGCATGGGGCGGGCCGCCGACCCGCTTCTCCGGCGATTTCGTCCAGGGTGGGTACAACTACCTGACCCGGGTCAAGGCGTCGAGTGCCTTTGATATGAGTCAGTACGAGTACTATTACGGAGCTTCTGGTGGCTGGATCAAAAATAAGCCGCATGACCAGTTCGGGGCGGATGTGGCGGTGTTCTGGAATGTTGGGCAGGGACAGATGGTTTATAGCCAGTTTTATAAGTGCTATATCTTTGTACATCTTGGTAAGTGGCCGTCCATATTTGTATTGAAGTCGTGGAGTCATGCTGACTTAATGATTACAAGGACCCGGTAGCAGCGATGTCTTTCTTCGCACTGCCACGAAGCTCGAAGGTCCGTGGACTCCTGATGTCAAGGTCTTCCATGCGACGCCTAACAATGGTGGACTTGTCTACGCTGGTGTTGCTCACCCGTACTTGGATACGTCAGGTCAGACGCTCGTCATTTCGTACACCAATAACAACAAGATCGAGGTTATCAAGGTTAAGTTTTCAAAATAAGGATGGGGTGGTTGGGGTTCCCTGCTTTGCCGGAATGAGTCTTCAGGGTGCTTTAAAAAGGGAGAAGGGACTTCACCACACCTGATAGACGATCCACAAGGTCCGGATCGCGGGCATCTATTTTAGGCGTTAGTCTTCGCTGTTTACCTTTCTCCTTGTTGCGCTGCATAGGGTAAGATGTTGCAGTTACTCTGTATTTCTACTTCTACTGTCAATAGTACGGATGAACTCTTCCTGTCTTGCCTATTTTATCTGCGTTCTTTATCGGCTGCCAACAATTTCCCGGAACGTAAATCAAACACGATAAACATGAGTTCGAATTATGGGGGATGCTTATTATTGAGATGCATCTTGGTCATTCGCTTCTCAAGAATTTCTTACTCTGCAAATGAAGACCGAGGCTTCATGGGAGCAATTCAGTCAACACTTTGAAGTAGAAAAGTTCCAAAATAGACACAAGTTACGACTCAGCATTTTACGCAATACAGATTATGCATAATAATGAGATTGACTATTGACGCTACTTTTATTACTTTATAGGTTATATACCTAGTTGGCTACTCTTAACCGCCGAGCCTTAGCGCTAGTATTGAATCTTTAAATGATATACTTAGATTGTAGCTCTGAACTCGATTATATCCCTCTGATGCGTGTGCGTATAGGGGTAAAGTGTATGTTCTCAAGTGTAGCGGAAGGGGGGGCCCCATAGGCACACGGGTACCCGTGTGATTACCTAAATAGGTAAAGCCCCTCCGTTGTCGGATACTATCACGCGTCGCGTTGTAATTAAACCTCAAAGGATTATTTTCCCCAGTTACGCATGAATATACCTACTAGAGTAGCAGTATTTACTATAATTAAGATGGAATCAAGTCCAATCCCAAGACTAGCTTCATTTCCAGCTGATTGTCTCCCTCCTGAAGGCGAATACGGATCCCGAGATGCTCTATCTAAGGCGATTAACTCGTGGGCGTCAACAAGAGGCTACGCGTTTGTAACTGGGCGGTCAACCAAAGAAAAAACCGGCAGACAGACGATTACAATTACATGTGATCGATTTTGCCGCCCTCCTACTAGTTCGAAAGAGCGCCAGCGGAAGACAACTACCCGAGGAACTAGCTGTCCGTTCTCAGTACTAGCAAAAGAGTCACTTGATAAAAGCACTTGGACCTTGCGACATCGTCCCGATAAACGGTTCGCCATACATAACCACGAGCCTAGCCAACACCTATCTGCCCATCCAACACACCGGAAGCTTTCCGATCAAGATATATCTCAGCTAAGAGGCCTTTCGAATGCTGGCATAGCTCCTAAAGACATCAGAACGTACATGCGCCAGAATACCACGGCTATAGCGACCCAGCAAGATATCTACAATCGTATTGCAGATACTAGGCGAGACACATGCGAAGGACAGAATACGATCAACGCACTTGCGAACCAGCTAGATCGGGAAGGGTTTTGGAACCGAATGCAATTAGGCCCAGATAACCGGGTAACCGCTGTCCTGTTCGCTCATCCAGACTCCCTAGCGTACCTCCACGCCTACCCAGATACTCTAATATTGGACTGTATATATAAGACGAACAAGTATGGAATGCCTCTTCTCGATATGATCGGAGTCGACGCCTGCCAGCGATCTTTCTGTATTGCATTTGCATTCCTAAGCGGCGAGTCCAAGCAGGACTACTTCTGGGCCTTGGACCGATTAAAGTCGCTTTACGAGATCTGTAATACTCGGCTTCCCTCTGTTATCTTAACAGACCGCTGTATTGCGTGTATGGATGCGGTTTCTACTTGCTTTCCATCTTCTGCACTACGCCAGTGAAAGTGGGGACAAGGGCAAGGACAGGGGTTATTCTCTTCTTCTCTGGGTGCATAAATAGCAGCACATTCTGAATAGTAGGAGGAACACACACGGAAGCACTCGAACAAGCAACAGGCACGCACCGGAAAACAACGTCAACACACACGTTAACAAGCACGAACACACTCAAGCAACAGGCAAGCAAGCAGAAACATGGCCACGATCACCTCACATCAACCATCATCATAACAGCACAAAAACAATTGCCTTGCATTACACAACAGACATTCACTTCAGACAGTCATTCAGTACTTTATTTCATACACTGCAATCATGTAATACGAACAGAGCTGACAGAGCCCTTCATATCGTTGTTTTATCTCTTGAAGCGTTATTACCGGCTTTGCATAGCTCGGATTCACTGTTTATAACGAAGTCATCGCTTGGCAACGATTAGAGAGCAGACAGTCTACAGTAGTAATTTCTGGCTAATAATATGTGCTTTGACTACTTGACTACGAACATGAATTGCTTCAATTATCCAATTTCAACGCGACACGTGATAGTATCCGACAACGGAGGGGCTTTACCTATTTAGGTAATCACACGGGTACCCGTGTGCCTATGGGGCCCCGCGGAAGGGAGAAACGGTGCACAGACCAATAGCCTGCCAGGGTTGCAATTTCCATTTGGTGTTGTTGCCATTTTTGAAGTGGGCAAAGCCACTGCACCAGCCACAGATCAACCTAGGGTTTTGGAGCCCTTTTAACAATTTTGCCGAGCGCAGTGCGGGCAGAGGAAGGTCCAACCAAGGGCCAGGAAATTTTACGCCAGCCATTTGGGTGCGATAGAGATTGATCGAGCCCGACAGACGACCTGCAGTCCACTTTCCTTCACTACGACAACCTCATCTTGATCGCAAGCAGTCACAATGGTAAGTCACTCGCGGCCGCCCTACAATATTGATTCCATGTGGCAAGCTGCTGTTTGCAGGGTGCAATGCTGACATATTTATCTTCCAGGCGATCAAGCACAACAACCAGATCCAGCACAACCGTACGTTGAATTGCCAGCGATTGCACGATGCTTTTGAATTTTTTTTTCAGTGGAGGTGACAAGACGACTGACATCTCCCAGATTTCCGCAAGGATTGGCAGCGCCGGGTCCGATGCCACTTCGACCAGGTACGCGATTCAACGAGGAGGATTTGGAAATTGTTGTGATGGATTTCTGACTTGGATGGAAAATAGGCTACGCAGAAGATCCGCCGCCGCTCCGTCCGTCGTGCGAAGGCTGCCGCTGTCGCTCCCCGCCCCGTTGACAAGCTGCGCCCCGTCGTCCGATGCCCGACCATCAAGTACAACCGTCGAGTTCGTGCCGGACGTGGTTTCACCCTAACTGAGCTGAAGGTAGATCCGCAATCCCCCATATGACTGCTGTCAACGCCCAAGTTAGACAGGCATGAAGGTCGTATTTGGATACACAAAATCTAACTTATTTGGAATAGGCTGCCGGTATCCCCCGCCTCTATGCCCCCACCATCGGTATCTCGGTCGATTCGCGCCGCCAAAACCTGAGCGAGGAGTCTCTCGCCGTTAACGTTGCCCGCCTGAAGGCCTACAAGGAGAAGTTGGTCGTCTTCCCCAAGAAGGGCGCCAAGCCCGACCTGAGCAGCACCAAGACCATCCCCAGCGTTAGCGCTGCGCTGCCCATCGTCCACGTCCCCGAGGGTGTCCGCGAGATTAAGAAGGGCGACATGCCTGAGGCGATTGAGGGTGGTGCCTACCGCAAGCTGCGTATGGCAAGAAGCGACGCCAGATTGAAGGGTGTCCGGGAGAAGCGAGCCAAGGATAAGGCCGAGGAGGAGAAGAACAAGAAATAAACTGGTCTTGAGCGTTGAGAGTTGAGTACGCGGGAGTACGGACACGGCATCAATTAGGGCTCTGCTTTTCTTCTCGTGTGTTGCTGGACGGTCAGGGCAGGTTCAGCTGAAGGGCTCACGTCTTTGTCTAGGGGAAGAGAAAAGTAATTCATCTCTATGACATTCACGATGGGGCCCAGAATTATTGCATCTTCTCCGGTTTCTACGTTCTCAATGAAAATGAAATGCACATAATTGGAAAATCTTGATCGAGCGGTAGGGAGGTGCTGTGATTCGACTTTTCTATGCGGATCTCCTGCGGATTTGTCTGTTGACCACTGTTATGACCCAAATTCTATTGGATGCTGGAACAAGATGAATTCAGATCTGTCAGGTAGGTCTAGCAGATATATTTGACTCGCATCTTCGTATGTAACGCTGTTACTTCAATCACAAAGCCTTGGTTCCTTCCAGGCAATCCAACAGACTTCACCTCTGGATCAAGCCCTGCCAGCACCAGCAGCTCGATCATCCAAGACCAACTGACCACCCGTGCGCAAAACTTCCGTGAGAGACTCCTTCACCAAAGGCCTCAACTGCTCCGGACACCGCTGCAGCAACTCTGCAATCAGCACCAGACAATTCTCGCGATCGACACGAACCATCCCCGCTTTCTTGCTTGGATCGATCTGCTGCGGCTCCAGGCCCAGCCCGCTAACCATGCTCGAATCTACCCCGCCCGATCGACAGGCATCCCCGAGCACCATTGCAGTGCCACCTGCTCCTTCCGCTGATTCAAAATTGCGTGCCTCAAAGGCCTCCTTGCCTCCTACGGTCTCGAGGAGTGACCGCAGGAGGTCGATTTGTAGGAGGCAAGTGGCGACCATGTTGGCGCCGTCGGGGGAGCGCGACATGAGGGCCATGACAAACCAGAGTTCGGAGCGGAGGACGGGGAATTTGGTATTGGTGCTTAGGTAGAGGATGGCGTTGGGGAGAGTGTCGTGGTTCTTGTAGAACCGCCCCAGGTGACTAGGTGGTGGCGGTTTTGATGCCTTGCTGGAGGTAGCCGGTTGCGCTACCTCTGTCTCTGGCCCGTACCAGGATGAGGAGACCGTGTTGCGGGTTTGAGAAGGGGAAAGGGATTGTGGAAGGAGGGTGGCCGCGTCGGGACCGGAGTGCAGCACACGCAGGACGGCAAGTACGGCGCGGGCCGCTTCGGTCTTTGTAGGTTCTTGGTCGGAGCGGAGAAAGAGGCTCATGAGCTGGTGTAGCAGGGTGCGTTCATGTGCTGGGGAGTTGGGATCGTCACTAAGAGGCGCGCACATGCGCTGGACGTTGGCTGAGCACAAAACGAGGAGCAAGCGGGTAAGAGAGACAGAGGCGAATTGGACCTGGATCTGAGTGTCCAGACCCCATATCCGTGGGAGAAGATTCGCGTTCAGGAGTCCGGCTTCACCTAGATGGGGCTTGTTGGACACGGGAATGGCGAGGTTCTTGAGGAAGCTGAGTGTCGAGTGTAACAGCTGCGCGTCGGTATTCGAGTCATCGGCTATGATAGCGACCAGCGGCTTGTGGATGGAGTAGGTCTGCACCAACGTGATGCATGCGTCGTCAGACCGGGCAATATTGCCCAGCGCCAGACAGGCTGCGCTCTGCAGCTGAACGCATGGCGTTGATATCCAGCACTGCATCGTCTGCACTTCTGGTCCTCCAATGGGGCACGATGCCGCAAATATTGGGTTGGCGGAGAGGTCAGCTAGAGCTTGAGTGAAAACGGACTGCACATTCTTCAGCTGAGTAGCCTCGCTCTCGTCGGCCTCTGTGATATCAAAGTTGACGCATGCCTTGCTGAAGGCGTGAAGAAACAGCGGGATGGACTGTGGTGTATTGAGGAAAGCGTCTTGGAACTGTGGGTTGGAGAGGTAGGTCAAGCCTACGGAAAGCTGACCCAGGAAATCCTCCAAATCTGCCAACGACTGAGGGCTCGTAGCCAAAGTAAGGAGGATGAAAGGAGTCCCCGTGTGAACTAGGTTGGCTTCTGGTTCTACAAACGTTTTAGCTGAGGATGCCACTAGCAGTGAATATATGCTTGCACTTACCCTGGCTGGCAATAAGTCCTAGAAGCTTGCAGATGTAGTTCATGAAAGACTGTGCATTGGCCAACCGTGGACTCGATATCAGACTGACGAGCTCTGGGTTTAGACCAGCTTTATATGCTGCAACTTGAGCTGGCTCTTCGTGCTGTTAGCAACTGTGAACGGATATTATGGCCGTTGTACTAACCGTAGTCAACGCATATGTTAAACAACACCGGAATGACGAAGGCCAGGATGGAATCATCGTTGAGCATGTTGACAATAGCTGGCAGGCAGTTGGAGGCAACTACTCGAGCTCTGTTCTCATCTAAAATGGATGAGTACGTCTGACTAAGCATATGAGAGGGACACATACCAGTATCTGCACATGAGTTGCCGATGATGCGAAGCGTGTGGATCGCAAGAGCCTGCCTCAATTCCGTGCTGCCGATAAGGCCAACAAAGAACTCCAGCAGCCCCGATTCTCCCAAGGGTACTCTCCATAATACTAAAGGAACGGTGCGTCAGTTCGTGATTCCGTTCTCCATCTACTACCGTGGGGAACGGAACATTGTGCTCCATTGCCACAACAACAAGCTTCGGGCAGCTCTAAGGAATTCCATGACAGAAGACAACCCCATCTCCTAAAAACAAACATGCCCATCTTGAAACGAAATCGGGACCTTGATGAAACAATAGGTCAAGAAACAATCCTAGCAAAACTCAACTCACCATCTCTACTTCCATCGCCGATTCTCTGCGCAATCAGATCCAGCTCCTCCGAGCCAGCCGCCACAAGCTGTTGGACGCTGGTGAGAACCTCCCTCAGCTTCTCAACCCGTCGTGACTTCTCTTCCTGCGTCAGAACAATATTCCCATCTTCATCCTCAAACGTGCCGATGCTGGGCTGCCTGGTGCTCTCAAAGAGGGCCTCGACTTCGCTGGGCGTCATGTCTGGTCCATCGCACTGTGCAGATTTTTGGGGATATTGTTGATATTCTGGGTCCAAAGTGACCAGGATGCCGAATTTCAACTTGACCCGGAATCGGTGGAGACTGGAATGGTATGTTGGTTCCGATATCAGGCCTTCAAAGTCAACGGAGTTGCCGGCCCGTTGGCTGTGTGGGTTCTTCTCATGTCGGCCTGAGGCGGAGTTGGCTTCGAAGTTTGCACTGGCTCGCTGCCATGCGAAGGAGTCACGTGCTGACCCACTAATGGGGTACACAGCGGCTCTATCTCGAGTTTGGAACATCTTCATAGCAAGGGCGGTTGTGATTCAACCTTCCTCTTTCCCAATAGCAAGCATCATAGAAGCGGTTATGGCCAAGTGTATGCTGTTGGTTCTTTCTCAAGTTGAAAATTATCCGCAATTGAACCATTGTCATATTTGCAAATCCAAACTGGTTGACGAGGGTCACAACTTCCAGTTCGGGGTGCTGAGGCAATTTCCATGCATCTGTGCGGTCATTGACCATTCTTTTGCACCAATCCATGGATGACAACTTCTCAAAGAAGTAGAGTGGTCTTGGGTGCACAACTGTGTGACAAACACTCGTGCACATGGTCAAGGCCGCCCAGACGTCGACCATTGACGGCAGACAAATCCGAGTCGAGGTCTTCTGGGATATGATGGCATGTGGGATCTAGCAAATGACGCACCCTCTGGTCAACATTGTATGGACGAGGCCGATATCTTCCCTGAGTCCGGCGACTTATGCGTGAAGCGTGATCGTCATCTCCTTCATTGACCATTCTCCGCCATTTTCGTTTCCGGAAGACAGCAAATGTCTGGAACTGTGTGCACGGCAAAGTATCAACTCATTATTGATTCTGTCGCGTGGTGTTTTCAAGTATAACCGTGAGAATACAGACTCGTTACGATTACTGTGTCACGTTTGATTGCCAAAAGAGGGAAATTTGCATGCAAATGGTCAACATCAGAGCCCTAATAGGCTGATGATGGGGAGTAGGGATCTGGGTGGCCATCAAAGTTGTCGAGCCATTGCATGATGCAGACGAACCAACGTACGGTTGCTTGCTAAGCAAAGATTCGGGATGAACTACTAAAATAGTCTTCAAGACATAAATAACAGTGCTGCGGCATTTTTCATATCTCCTGGCAATTTACTATGCGTACCGTGTTGAGATGGTTGATGGAATTTAGCAGGACAAGCTCTGTAAATACGAAAAGTGCGCCATGCGGCATGTCGTCTTGCTTCCAGCAATAACTCAGAACGGGATGTGAGACAGCATAAGAGAACGCGAGGTTCAGCAGCGCTTAACGCGAACACAAAAAAGAATACTTAGGGCTGGAAAGATGAACTGGTATTCCTGGTAAGAATAGAGAAATGCTAGAGGTGTCGTATGGCAGTTAACCTCCCTGATCAACTCAGGAGACTTACTGAGCAGGAAAAACGACCGCAGACGCCATATTCCACCTGAAGAGGCATTGGTTCGTATTAGCTGTCCATTTAGTGAAAAGGCACCTCCTATTATTCATATTATATTAATGCCTACATGGGTCAGTTTCGGTCCCTAATTCGGACCTTTGAAGATTTGGCAGCCAGGTCACTTAAGGGGTTCATACAACAAATATGGGGGCCTAAACAAATACTTTTGTGCTAAAAATACTTCAAGTGGGAAACGGCATGTAGATCACGTTTTATTCGTATTTAGGTGGTTGTCTTGAATTGAATTCAAGCAACTTATCCGCCAGTCTGAGTAACCATTTGGGCTTTGATCAACATCAGCTGTTGTTGAATAGGATGAAGTCTGATACAACAGGAGGGTCAAAAATGGTGCAGTCTATTGAACTGAACAGGACCTAAACCCTGCCTATTACGCTCGAGGAGAGTGCATCAGCCTCAGACCTCACGACATTAGCTGTGGCAAACCTAGGGTATAGGTGACAGGGTTGCCAGTGAGTAATTCGAGAAGAACATGTTTCTTAACACGTAAGCACATAACAACTCTGCGGCTGCGAGCTCTACTGTCAATGAGGCTTAGCCGGACCCTGGATTTCACTGAGCCTTACCGACTAGATCTTCATCTCGCTATTTATCTAGTCAGAATGATCATCTGGTAGCTTCACTACATAGTCGCACTGTCACATGAAAACTTCACAAGATATATGCTCGATATTGGGCAAAATTGTTGCTGGCGAGGTTTGCTTAGCAAATCAACGGAACTCGCTAAAATAGTGAGTATAATAAAGCAGAATCTGGCGTCCATCACTAAGTAATAACACATTATAAACATTATTGAAGGATTCGATACTTCCTGAATACTCTGTTTTCTCGATGGCAACAATCACTTCTGTTCTTGCAAGGTTGATCGTACTTGCGCTGCCCCGATCGGGCCAAAATCTATCTAAATACTGTATACAACGTTGCATAGCTCCATCACCTCAAAACTGGCCCGGGCCCTTTCCAAAGTAGCTCCCATCCGGCACCGTCAACCACGGCGTCGAGTTCGAATCATCTGTGTCACCGCCCACCGTATTGCCCCACCATTTCAAAGTGATGTTGTTGTAGGTCAGAGCGAAGAAGATGATGACAGTCGCAAGCGCAGTACCTGTGTCCATCGCAGCCTGTAGCAGGTAATTATACCGTTTCCACCAGTCAAACGCCCGCTTTCGGATGAAATAGTTGAAGATAAATCCGAAAATGAACCACAGTGAATATTGTGTAGTGTTACAAGGTGGGATGTTGCCCGCAGCGTTGAAAAAGATGGGGACGTTGATGTAGCGCACCCAGCTGTTAGGATAGCGGCGGTAGATGATGTAGACGATTGTGGTGACAATGGGCTGTCTTGAAGTCAGATCAAGCTTTCTATGGATAGCAATACTTTAGGTGGAGGTGAGGAAAGACGTACCCCGATGAAGAAGAAGTACATGATGCCATTGTACACCTGCCCAGCCTGAAACATTCTCTGTGGGCCGATGGTTCCCCAGATCAGGGATGCATTATAGACCACCTTGGCACCAGCGCATGTGAAGCGTTGCGTGTTCTTTGGGTCGCACAAGTTGGGTATATTTCCCATCATCCATCGTAGGACTAGACATTGCTCGTCAACCACAGCCTAATGATAGAGGGGGAGATTTTGAGCTTACCACCAGTCTGCGTCATAGTTGCCAGTATCGACGCGTAAATCTGCCCGAAGAACAGCACACGAGGAGGGATTTTCATGTACTGGCCCAACTTGAGATCCTGCGCAAAGTCCATTCCGTGCTTGACCGAGTTGTACCCGTAACACTTGACCATCATGTTCGCAATCGGCTTACCGGGCCAAGCATAACCGGCGATTAACTCGGTTATGATGTTGAGGAAGACCCTCTGATTAGTCGTCCCCTCCAGGATGCCCTCGGGAATAATCATCACCACGCCCATTCCGAAGCACACCACGATGAATCCCCACACGGGCAGACCCGAGTCCCAGTATCGCACGGTAAAGATGCCAAGGCCAAGGACTACCACTGTCAAGACGCCGTACCACCAGTCAGGAACTTCCTTGTAAGAGTTCATGAGGCGCTTGTGGATGTCCTCGCCACCGGCGCGGGAATTTTTAAATTTCGCCCATATTTCGGAGCCGTTGTACAGGTACGTGTGAACAACGATTGCTGTGACGGCGGCAAATGACAATGCGTATGAGAGTGAGTAGGACATGGATATGTACATGGGCGAGTACTGCTCATATTTGCTCAATACGAAGTGGAGATCTCTATCAACTACTCGTGAAATATTGTAGCTTCCGCCGGTGTTATCGAAGGTGCTCGAGGATAAGAGCGGTAGGCTGGTAAAGTCAGCATCGTCATGATAAGAGAGACACATAACGAGGTGACTTACTATGCGCTGTACCACACATTTGAGTAGTACAATATTGGCGAGAGGAAGAGGTAGAAGAACACAACGACAGCGAACGCATTGCAGGTGATGTAAAAAGGGGTCGTCAGGGGTGTACCAGCGTAAGTGATCTGTGTCCAATCGATGCTAATTGGTAATAATCCAAGACCAGAGTTCATCTACCGTAAGATCGTATCAGTTAAATTAATCTTGTCGTAGAAAGCTGGCCATTACTTACACCGAATATCGTGTTGACCTTTTGATTGTGAGGGGCGATCCAGGTGATGAAAGCAAAAGTGCCCAGACTAGTCCACAGGTAATCCGGAAGCCAGAAAAGGCCAAACGCAAAGATTGTGAAGTAGCCGAAGAACCGATATCGGGTTATTGTCCACCCGTTGGCAGGCGAGTGCTCCTGTTTCTCGTGTAAGGCTCGGAAGAGCACAGTGGAAGAGAGCGAGTTGGGCCAGATGAGGGCGGCTGGGTAGACGAGCCAACGGCGCGACATTCCAGCAAGGCCAAAGCCAAGCATCTGAGTGGTCAAAAGGTATAGAAATGAGAATCCAGCGCCGTAATCACGGTCCCAGTAGACTGGGCTGATGATGGATACAAGGGATCCGGATGCATACGCAACGCTTGCGCTGATGTTGACACACTTTAGATGAGAGGCTTTAGTAGGGGCTCAAATCATGGATCATTGGAGGAAAACTCACAATGACAACGAAAGCGTGCTCCTTAATAGAGAACTGGCCAGGATTAATATCAAAGGTGAACATGCCCAGGGGCACCCGCCACCTGGGAAGCTTCTCCCATGCGCGGCCAACTGGAAAGACGAGTAGCTGTGCAACAACGTAGCTGAGAGACAATGAGGGCTGCGACAGGTTAGTAGGTCGAGATCAAAGTTGACGTGTTATGTGGTGACTCACGTATCGTAGACCGAAGAACTGGTTCACAGCAGAGAACAGAATGACTAATATGGTACAGAGAACCCAAGCGCGAACCGCTACGAAGTGGTTAGTCTGAAGGATCGGAAACCGTTGATGATAGACTCACTGTTGCAAGGCGTGCTCGGGTCGTCTGTATTAGGCACACAAGCCGCCACCTCGGGGACTTTAAAATACCATCAGTCATGCTCTAAGTGTGACTCGGTAAAATATCGTTCAGTGTCACGACTCACAAGGGGACTGGTCTCCTTCGACGTTCCACTTGAACGCCTCGACAGGTGTAAGTTCTGTTGCCTCGGCCCTGTCCGTCAACCCCCTTTCTTCTGATGCCTTCTCGCCCTCTGGATACGCATCTGCCTCGAGATCCGATATATCCGCCTTGGGGACGTTTTTATCTTTCATCTTATTGTCTTGCGAAACCGACCCATCGCTTCGGTCGCGGCCTATCTGGTAGATCTCGGTAGCCATGGCGTCAAACTGTAACTAATACCAAGACGTGCAGGACCAAGACTGGACAAGAAGCCAAGGATTCCTGCGGAAAGATGACATTAAGATATACGGGAAGCCGCCGGGCTATATACCAGCGGGACAGACCTTTTCCTTTTCGACTGGCCGTCGGAAGTAAAGCTGAATGGCGCGATAAGGGACCACACTTGCATCTTACTCCGAATCCATGGAACCACTGCCGCGGGTTGAACCGACAGCTGGAATGCCACGCCACGCCTCCAATGGAGAGTACTGAAGTGGGGGTACCGCGCCATTTGACGTCGACGTTCGAGTCTATACCTAGCAATGTGGGTGGGCCTAGCCCGAAACCCCGGCTCCAGAGTGGAGTCGCAGTAACCGCCGTCCGGGATTAGATGCTAGAACATGGAGGCTAGCAGAACCGAATAAGGTGGTATCGTCAGAACTTGGATTGGTCTTATCATCTACAGCGTCGGTGATTCGCGTTCATTGATAATTTGGAGTATGGCCAGCATTGAAGATTGGACTGGACCTCTACGGCATGGAGGAGCCGAGGCAAATGCGAAATTATATCGTATGGCGATGTTATTCAACACGGGTGAAATGTAAGTACATTTTGGTATCTACTTCTAAGGGCGTCTCCCATTCGTTATTTCTGCGCTGCTGTGAAGCCCAACGTATTTTTCATATTTCTTAGGAAGAAGATAGCCATGGCTGCGTGCATAAGACTCCAACGATAACATATGGGTTTACCTGGGCTCTATGTAATGCCTCGAGCAGAGCGCAAGTAATTTTCATACGCGCACTAATAATTGCAATTGTTTGGTTTTCACGTCACAGTGCTCCTCACTAATAGATCTATAGCTGTACACGCTTCATTACCAAGCCCATTGCATTTCTCAAGGGTAAACACTCGCAGCTGATCCTACTTGTCCTCTTGCAACTAGAAAACGCTAAGCGATGCCTACAATGGGCAGAATGTCGATTAGAATGGTACGAAACATTGAGAGAGGTATTTAGTAGCAATAAGAGTATATGCAATGCCTTTCTGCTATGCATGATGTGCGTATCCAACTCCTTGAGTGCTCTGAAGAGACCAACCTGCCAGAAGTCAATCGCCGTCTATTCGTCGAACTAACGCTACCTTGTCAAACATGTCCTTAGACCTAGATCACTAAAACCTGGAACCGTTAGTTATCAAGCAATGCACTGGTGTGGCGATATAAGGGGCGAACTTTATGTTCACATTGCATAGCAGAACCTAGTGCTTGGCAGAGGAGATTTAGTTAATTAGTTATCCAAACTGGAGGATTCCGTACAGGTGTGCTGATGCGGTGCTTGAAAAGTCACGTCTTTAAGTAGACAAAGAGCCCACCGTCAACTATGTAAAGCTGTTAAAAATTGAAAAGTAATAAGAGGTTAGCCTCACCATTTTACACAACCACGGGTGTACGTTTCATAGTGCAACTGACCTTAGGAAGTCCTGTGGCCGCTACTGGGTAACCTACCTAACTGCTTAGCTATGCTTCGGCTCTCCACATAGATACCGAGTAGAGCTACACCAATACAACCACCAAATGACAGTCCTGAAAGTCCGCAGAACTGTTCATATTAAGATGTAATTATAAGAGACTTAGGGGTGTACCGTCCCGTTAGCCTGGCTTAGATACCAATATTTCCACAGCTATCCGGATCTTTACTCTCATATCTCATCTTAGAATCCTTCGACACTTTATACCCGCTTGCAATTTGTACCAATAGTCCGTTCACACATAACCAACAGCCAGCAAGATAGACGATAATTTGAAAGCGCCAATTAGCTCTGCTCCAATGAGACGAGAACCACAGGCTAACAAGACAACAGAAGCCCCTCCACAAAACGGCCTATACGCCTTAGAGATAACGAAAGCGGTCTGCTGGTAAAGCAGAAAAGTCATCCAATGCATTGAAGTCCCCAAACCCACCATCACGGCTCCCAAGGATGCATCGTCCGTGTGACGCATACCACCATCTGCGGCTCAGACTTGCACATGTACTCGGGTGAGCTCAACGCTGCGATACAAAAGGGCAACATTATGGGCCACGAAGCCACTCGGAATCATCAAGGACGTTGGCCCGGAGTCGCCAAAATGGCTGCAGGCGACCGTGTCACAATTTTTCCCGTCATCGCGTGTGGGGAGTGCCTTTCCTGCAATCAGGAGGAGCAATCGCTCTGTTATAAGACGAATCCTTCTGAGATTTGGGACGGTATGCATCGACATCGTCTGTCAGGAATCTTGGGGTGCTCGCACCCTACGGGTGGATATCCAGGCGACCAGACCGAGTTCTGTCAAACCAAATGCTGATCTGGTGTTTGTCAAGGATCCCAAAGATAAGCCGCCCAAGAAGCTTCTGGGACTAGCGGATGTGATAACGACAGCAGGCATGGATGAATTGGCGGAGGTGCAGGAAGGTGATAACGTGGTTGTCTGGGGTTGAGGACCGATCGGTCGATCGATCTAGTGTCTGGCTAAGTAGATTCGGGGTGCAAAGAAGGTGTATGCCACCGATATGGACAAGGAACGCTTGGAGATGGCCAACTCTTTTGGGATGATTCCGGTGCACATCAATGACCATAAGGATGTTGCCGATTACCTCTTATCGGTTGAGCCACATGGAATGGGTCGTCCAATCGATGCAAACAGCTTCCGCTTCCCGGTTTCAGTCGCGCACAAGGCGATGCGAGCAGTGCGACTGGAGGTCGACAAGAGCGACTCTATCTCGGTGGATACCAAGACTAGTCGCAAGCGAGGCAACCTGATCCTCGTTAGTGACTTCTTCTTCAGCACCGACAACTTCCCCATTGACATACTCATGGAGAAGAGTATTACGTTGCGGGGCGGGCAGCTGTTTTACCAGAAGATAAGAAACGCCCTTCTTTTGGAGTTTCGCAGAGGCGCTAATTTCGAGCCCAGCACTTCCTAGTCCTATTGAGAAGAAAACTATGATCCTTCCTTCATGTTCACATACGGCGGTAAGCTCACATTCCCGAATGAACCCGCTTGTCTAACTCGAACACACGCTTTATGGGTCAACTCGAGGATATTGAAGACCTCTATGGGAAGCTCTTCGGCTACCAACCCGAGTTGAAGGTATTCTAGACGACAGAGAGTGGTCGCAGCTAAGTTTATAACGATCCCATCAAGGCTGCAGGCTTCGAAATCTATCAGGAAGAAAATGACAAATAAGTAAATACATAGAAAGTTAATTAACGACAACCTGAGCACAATCGATTGCCCGAGACTGATCCCATAGGATCTTGTTCAAGTGACGACAGGCTGGGACCTTCTGCTCCCAGTTCTCGGTCCCTAATGCTATCCCCTGAGCCTCAGTAGCCATCATCGCGCAGCAATCTCCTCAGCCGTAAGCACCCTTGATCCCGCATAGATATCCTCCAGTGTTGCGTTCCTCTGTGCCTCCGTACCATAGTATTCCGCGGTGACAATCGTCCTCACACCCCCCGCCGCTGCAATGACATCCGTCGGATCCCTATACGCCCTGCCCAGTCCGCCTCCAATCGCTTCGCTTAGGGCCGGGAAATACGGCCCCTCATTCGCGACCGACTGGACCGACAAACAAGTTTCAAAAGTAACCTTCTCAAAGTCGGCAAAGAAGTCATCGTATTCTGAGGCAAGCGCCTGCGTCAACGAAATCACCGTCTCGTTATTTGGCTTCAGTAAAGACCACGGATCCCGACACGCGTTCTGCTCGCACGACTTGGTCACCATCAAGAGCGCGTTCAAGCGGTTGATGACCTGCGTGTGCGTGGCATTCGCTGAGTCAACTAGGTTCGTCAATTCGTACGGATCATTCGCCGTATCGTACAGCTCCACGTCGCCGGAACACCACTTGGTGTACACCCAGCTCTGCTGCTCACCCAACATGCGAATCGTCTTGTATGTGGTATTCACAAACGGCGAGCCTAGAGCAGTCGCACTGGGGGCTTCAATCCCCGCATTGCCCCAGTACTCGATGTTGATGCTTTCTTTGGAGTTGCCCTGGCCAGACGCGTTGCCGGCGCTGGAGGCGGAAGAGGGATCGTTCCATTGCGGGAGGAGACTGCGGCCGTCGAAGAAAACGGGCCAGGATGAGGAGGGGACGCCGGCGATGTCGAGAAATGTGGGGGCTAGATCTAAATGCAGACCGGGGATGTTGGAGGTGGTGTTTGCGGGGACGTTGGGGCCGCGCACAACGAGCGGGATGTTGGTATCTTCATTATAGAAGAGGGACTTTCCGGCTGGGGTGCGGTGTTGGCCAAGGTGATAGCCGTTGTCCGAGGTATAGATGACTTTGAAACATTAGCATAGCCCTTTCGGTTGCTCTATTGGAGCTAAAGCGCGAAAGCGCGGAGGACCGTACTGTAGGTATTGTTGATAACTCCCTTTTCTTCAAGCTTGGCGACAACATCCTCAACGATTTCGTCAATGCCAGCCAGAGCCTGCACTCGAGACCGGAAAACAAAATCGGCGAAGTTGACTGCAGAGGTGTTCATGGAGAGAAGGTCCTTAACCCATCCTCCTTTGGTAAGTTGGTACTCATCAGAAGGGTTGAAGTTGGGTGTCCTCGGCGCTTTGGCATCGGGGAAAAGCTCCAAGTGTCGCTTTAGAGGAATCGGTCTGAAGAGACGAAGTCAGATGAACAATTAGTCCATGCGAAATTGGGCAGCGGGATCCATTACCTGTGTGATGGCTTGTTCTGCTGATATCCAACATGGGGAGTAAAAGGAGTTATGGCAAGGAAGAAAGGCTGGCTCTGGTTGGTGAGATAATCTAGTCGATCCAAACTGAAAGCAGAATATTAGCACAGTAGTCTCTATTTTGGTCGGACAAAAACTTACGACTTGATGCGAATTACATCACTCTGGTGGAAACCCTCGTAGAACACCGGCGTCTCTCCTGAACAGCAAAGGTTAGCGTCAAGTTTGAAAAAGATGCATCTGAGGGGAAATCGGCAAGTAATCCCATTTTGGGACAATACTGGTAGGTTGAAATCATCGATATAAGGTTCAACCTGTATGTATCAGTGTATGTCAGGCTATCCTGGTGGCCAATTTCCTCACAAGAACATCTGTCCAGTTCCAGCCTTTCACAACGGTGTCGTAGTTGGATATGCCATAGCCGTTCATGATTTTGCCGATGTCTGAATCAACATTAGCTGACCCGGTTTCATAGCAGCAGTGGAAAATCATACATTCGGTTCTATAACCGGCTGCACTGAGCCAGTGAGGCAGGTAGTTCTGGTCCTGACCTGAAAGGACCCACTTGTTGTATGAACCACTATTCACAAATCTAAGTTATGTTGGTGAAACGTTTGGACAGGGGCAACTTACCCAGGCTGCACGACATTGGTCAAGTTGGTGTTATCTGTAAAGCACACTGCTCAGCATCCTCGCGGTGACAAAATTTGAGTTTGGTGTAGTGAAATATGCGTAGGTCGGGTTCCAAACCCGATCCGTACTGTAGCACTTACGGACGGTTTGCCCACGCAGGAGTGTCGATCGACTTGGACAGCACAAGGCTTGATTGGTATAATGGTTCGTAAACTCAGTGCCCTTGGCAACCAGTTCCCGTTGCAGCACAGACTGATAGTCAGTCGAGCCAAGGCGCCGGTCTTGATCGTCGGTCATGATGAAGACGATGTTCGGACTGCTGAGCCAACACCCCGCTCACGACGCCCAGGCTGCCCAAAACGATTGAAGATAACGACAACATTGTCACAGAGTCAATGAACCTTTTGACTGGAGGAAGCTATCAGGACAAACGAGGAAGATTCTGCCCTGGCGACAGCTTATGTATTGCTATAGTCTACAAGGCTACTTATTACGGAGCTGCTTAGATTGACAACTCCGCCAAGAATGCCGGTAGATGCATCACGCAACACTGCAAGTCTATCACGACTTTCCGCGATATAGCCCACCTTTTCCCACTGCCGTGAGCGGGTTCTGCGTCCGAGTGTCGTCAGATGGGCCGGTTCTATATAGTTACCCATACTCCACACCTACGCTCGGCTTGTCCCAGCCCCACGGGATACCACGGATGTCGGCGCCGACTGGACATTGTTTAAAGTTGTCAGCGGAGAAGGTGATGCAAGTTGGTGGGGTCAGCTTGTTTTTCTACCACATAAAAACTGCTGTAAATTGGAAGTGTGGGCAATGCAGACATGAGAGCTGTGTTGGTGATGATGATCATCATCACGGGGCTAACTACCGTGAATCTGCAGTTGCGGAAGACCTGTCTAAGGGCAGTTGGTCCCATCGATACACCCAGCGATACACCCAGCACACAGGCGGTGTGTCTGGGCCAAAGCACCAGGAATTGTTTGCCAGATCTTTTGGAGTGAATTTCGCGATTGAACGCTTGAAGCACGCCATGAACACGGCCTCTGATAGAATCAGAGAAGGTGGGTTTCCCCACCCCCGCGATCCACCGGCGACGAGTCTGTTTACCTACATGACGAAGCTTCTTATCATTCCTGGAATTCATCGTCAAGCATCAGATCGAGTCAGCTCATCAGATTACCACCGTGAACTCAAGTTGTGGTGCTCCTTGCTAGTGACGCGGCAGATCTCGTTCATCGACATGCTCCAGAGAAAACCCACCTAAAATTGGGCATGGACAACGTTTGCGCCAATAGATATTTCTCTAAACTACTGTAGTAGGAACTGACATTCGGTACTCAATTCCTTCCAGAATTATTGCCACAATAGTGTTAAAAGCTGGCAACGTAGAAGTTTGAAATTCAGTATTATGGATTAAACAACGTGTAATTAGCAGCCGGGAAGAAATTCGAGGTGAAGAAGTTGTTCTACGTGCATAAGGGTTCTAGAGTGAATCAGAGACGGTATAATCGTATAACTGGTTGTGTAGTCCTTATACCATGGTAACAGCTGTTAATGCGATATAAAATGCACAGCTTTGAAAGTGCTAAGGAGCATTTGTCCCGATTACCCGGTGACAGCTGACAACCATTCCTTCTCGATCGGTCTTAAGGTGAGGAAATTGAGGTATAGTTTTTCCAGCCCTGGAGCAGTCTAGGCCAATGTGCTGTAACCCCTGAAATGAGCAACACGCGCCGAAAAGTTTACACCAATAGACCACATGATCCTGTCTATTTCAATGCTACGATAGAACACATCGTCGCACAGTTTTCTCCCTAGTAAGCCTACTTATTCATAGAGCGACTCGTCTGGAACTTTGGGAATACCAAATTTAAAATCTGGGATCCAGACCTGCCAAAGCGATTCGGCTACCAAATGACTAGGTTGAGTACCGACCAGTCACGCGGTAGAAACATATGCCGACACGGCTGAAGCTGGTAATATTACTTTGGTATTGACACATCACTGTAAAATGCGGGGAAAGGCGGCCGAGAATGGAGGCTGCCGAAGTGAACAGCTATGTGACAGAGCTGCAAACTTCCCGTGGTTCAAGTCATTTCTGCGATTGAGCTAGCACTTGCTGCTGGGAAACTGCTACCGAGTGGAGGGTAACATTGCAGCTGGTCTCCAGACATCATCTCTTTGCCCTCCTAATGACCCATGGTATATAGACTGAAAGTCCCCTGATTTGACCTCACACTCATGTGTTAACAGCCGGTTGGAGTAATCATAATTTAAAACTGCATGCAGGTCCTTCGGTAGTTTAACAGAGCGGAGTCTCGACACAAGTCCATGCCACCGCACCTGAAATCAAGATGCTAAAGCTATAACCCCTAACTTATGTCTCACTACCAGCCACGTTCGTTCCTCACAAACCATCGTTATAGTGATACTGCAACTGCCTCTGAGATAACTGCTATCATCCCTCGTCCTGTAAAATGATAATCCTTAGTTTGAGAATAGACGTAGCACCCGCTCGTGACATAGTCGAGCAGAATGCGGTGAGAAACACACCGTCCCCGTCAGAGATTGATCGTCAACAAAACAATGAGCTCCAGTACCAGTATCTACAAGAATATTCCTGCAAGCGCCAAAAGCAAGATAGCCGCCGCCAGCCCCAAAATCTACGTGGCGAGGATCTCCAACGACATACTTGCTATAAGTGCCTCGAAACCTTCTCTTCCCGCGACGACTGCATAAGCCACTTACTTGCCATCGCGAATAACCTCATTAGCAGAATCAAGACCCCAGCCATAATGCCAAGAACCTGACCCATAGGTTAAGAAGCTGCACAAGCAGACACCTTCCGCCCCCTAAAGCCCGCCGACAAACACCCATCGAAGTCAGACACACAGCTACTAGCAAGTACGCCTGTATTGAGCATACTGATGGCGAATAATCTCATTTGTGGCCCGGCATTTTGATAAGTGAGCCCATAGGGGGCCACGCTACTTTGCAGAGTAGATAAGATAAGCTAGGGCTGCCAGGGTGTCAGCCAGCCCAAAAGGGCCCTCAGTCTAACGCTTTATCCAGATGCTTAATTTAGTGCCAGCTCTGAAGTCAATTCTCTCGCCCTCCGCATTTGACCTGTTCCTCAGTAGGTGGTAGCAGAGTGGGCCGGGCCCATCGGGCTGTACCTGCCACCGGGCTTCTCTGCATTATTCATCAACTCCACTGTCAGATCTGGGGATTGTTGAATTTCGTTAATGAATGGCCTGCTAATTTCGTTTGTCTGACTCGGGTAACGCTGAGCAGCGCGGACGTGACATAAACCCGGACCAGATCCTGTAAGAACGGAGTGTCCTTGTCACTCGGTGGGAAGTGCTACAGCTAAGTCGGCAAATCGCCAACGAATTCAGATCAATCCAAATTGCTCTCATAATGGTGGCGATTGGGCCTTCTTTAGGATTCATACTCCCCTCTTCGATAGTGATGCGACCTGTGTCTTCGTCCACATTGAAGAAACGGACATTTGCATCGGTGCCGTCACCATTGGGCTGATCCACAAACGTGAAATTGATAATATAAATATTGGATCCCAAGAGGGTATCCTTCACTATTCTTGCGTAGGCCTTATTAATGTTGTAAACCGGTGGATGTGTTGCTGTCCTGTTGTGTTTGGGAAGATAGAGCACATGAAATAGGTGCGCTGGTTGGTGAGCGAACGTAGCGCGACGTTGAAACTCAAGACTATCTTCAGAAGCTGGAAATCAATGAACCTGGTCTCTATAAAGCGAAGACAGCGAAGGAGCGTTGACGGGCAGGACTGATTTGTGGCACGACAGACATCTTGTTAGCAATATCCTCTCTCCAGAAGGCTGGCTTCCACTGACCTCGAGTCTCAGAGCAGTACCTAATTGGGATACCGTCGTGGGTTACGGGCAAGCAGTCCGAACATTTGCCGTCCGAAGGCTTTGCTCGGGCGGGGCGGAGGGGGATTCCTTCCCTTAATTCCGAAGTCGATACTGCCCCCACGTACTCGTAGCGCACGATATGTTTCCAGGAGGTCAATAACATGGATTAACAGGGCTCCCCACCCCATCCCCGGTTTTCAGCCAAGCGTGGCCGGTCGACCTAGGCCCTTTGAGTTGCGGCCAACTATTGATTATTACTTCGTACATCTGGGAGGGACACTCTCAATGTGGATCGGTGTACGACCTCGGTGTATCACATGTGCCCTATATTCTTCCCATGATTTCTAAAACTGGGGCAACTCGTTCACCGCCCCTAGGATTTACTTCGTCTTGATCTCACAAACATACGTCGATATCATGTCTGGTTGCAGCCGGTGGGATCGCTCTCGGCAGCTGTTAAGAACGATGACGAAAGCTGAGTTGGTAAAACGCAGACATTGACCCGTTTCGAATTAGTTACCCTTAGAATCGACGAATAGATTGTACTTTGATATAAGCACTTTCTATACTTTGGCATTGCTGAACTTTCAAAACGCCAGTTCCTAAATGTACGGCTTTTTGTGGCTTTGATTGTAGAGCATACCTGGTCCTCCTCGTATAGTGATTATACTCTGGGTGATTGCTCTGCCGCCCTGCTTGGCGAAGAACATGGTCACATTGTCGCAGTGCTATGATGCTTCGAGGCGGCGAATTAGCCTCGGGAACAGGGGCCGGGGGTAGGCCGCCCGGAGCCACATGTCAGGCTCACTCATGCAATCAATACCCACTATTTCTCATAGCGTAATGGGTATGTAAGATCGGGATTGCATTCCTGCCTAAGACTACTCCTACATCGTGTCGCCTGAGCATCCTGAGATTTTGCTTACCTAGAAGTCCAATAAATTACGGTAGTATCGACGGATGCGTTGCCTGATATCAGCTGTCGTGACCTATATATAGCAAGCCACAAACACAAATAGCCGATCAAAAGTAGGTTAGGGGTATCGTTAAGACAATTGTGATAATAGCGAGTGACGTGGTACAAGTAAAACTCTTTGAGGTTCAGCCGCGATGCCGAGAAGATGACGAGCGTGTGGTTGTTATGGGATATCTCGTTTCGTAAGGGTGACTCTCCCACTTGGCAAAATGAAGCCTTTTACACGCACGCCAGGAAAGCAGGCAGGAATAACTTCGGCTATACATCGGCACTTCCACGAACATCCCTGCCAAACTCACCTGGTTCTATCAGTCTATGTAACATACATCCAGCCAATGAAGCGCCGTCTTCCAGATCCATGCAGACTTATCAAAGAACGTGTATCAAAGAATGTGAAAACTGAGTGGACTCCGATCATCGGGATGGCTATGTAGGAGGTGCTTGGAATATGGATCACTGACCAAGAAGTTATTACATAGTTTCACCACCCTCCCTACGGTACCCATCGCGTCCAGACCATTAATATATGTGTCTGTTACGGCGGTGGCTCTGCAAGGGTTCTTCTCGGGACCTCTCTTCCCAGCAATTGTAACTATTGTGAACATTATTATACCAGAGCATCTAGACGTCGCCGCAATTGGGGTTGCGTCGGCTTTTGGTGGCTGCGGCGCGGCACTTATCCCGTTCAGTATTGGTATACTGGCAGATGTCGCTAGTGTCACGGTGCTCCAACCGGTCATTCAAGCTGTATTGGGGGCTATGCTTGTGTCTATATGTTCTTGCTGACGATCGAAAAGAAGAAGGAATCAGGGCCGTATTCTCTTCAGCCCAATCCAAATAGATGTCGCATTTGGTCAAGCCGCGCCGTTTGTTCCCCCGTAATCGTGAGAACTCGTATGCACATACGATGAACGATTGATTACTGAGAACGTGGACTACATGAGATAAGACTTTGGGAAGCTGTCAAAATCAATTCTTCTGAGCTATATTAATCCCTTTGAATGCCGTATCGCACCCGACGTTGGCATTATCTATTGCACCCACTCCACCTTGAACTCCATAAACTCAACCCTCAACGCGTCTATGGCATCCTTTTCCGGCCTTGCCACCAACGGACTGACATCCAAGACCCAATCACCCTCATCCTCGTCCGCAAAAATCCAGCAAATTTTCCTCAACGGGATTCTCTCCACCTCGTTTCCGTCCTGGTCCAGCACGACCCTGTGCACCCACGCATTCTTGCCCTGCGCGCCGCCATCCCGAAAGACTTCGAGCGTCACACGATCGACACTCGCCGCACACGTCAGCGGATAGAGGCCCCAGTCGGCGAATCGGTCGCAAGTGACGGTGCTGAGGAGCGGCTGGCCGGCGTAGAACTCGATGCCCGTCTTGACCCAGTGGCTGGGTGGCGATGCGGTGCTTGAAGCAAGCCGCGGCACTAGAAGTAGCCCGGCTTGGTCGTACGAGTGAGCCCAGAGCGCCCAGAAGGTGATGCGGGCGGAGAGGAAGGACTTGAGCGGGCGGGAGACGGTGCCGATGACTGGGGCTGTTGTTGGGGTGATGGAGAGCGTCAGTATCAGAGACAGAAGGAGAGAGAAAACGGAACATTGAATATGGACAAAAGGTAATGAAGCAAGTGGTTTGCATACCGCTCCACACATTGGTGCTAGGGGGCTTTCGCCAGATGTCGGTACCAGGGCCTGCTTCGAGGGTGAACGGCACCGTAATGGCATCAATGACTTTTCCCGGCATGGTTGATGGTTTGTGAGGTGTTTTTGGTTTATTTCTCATACGAAATCAGAATTCTGTCAAGCACTCTTGACGCATGGATACGTTCCACTATATAAGAACGCGAACGAACGAACGACATGTGATCATGTGCTTGGCAGGTGCGCTATACTAGCTTTTACGTTACTACTACCAACCCCTTCATGGCAGGCGAGGGTGCGTTTTAGATGCTTCCTACGTATAACCCCTACTCGACGGTGCGACTCCGCTTCGCATCATAGCTTACCTCGTGTGTATAGTAATAGCCGATGAAAGACCGACCCGATGTAAGAATACTTAGGTACAGGACTAAAATGGAAGCAGATGGGAACTACACGTGTACACTGACCCAAGCTCCCCCGACCATCCAGGATCGTGTGGGGCAGCCGCTAGTTAGGTGGTTCCATCGAAGCTTATGTGAGCAACGTTTGGGATAGTGATTGGTTGGAGAACGGAACGGCGAATTATCACAACATATGTATGTTTTACGTTTTGACGAAGGATGTCGCAGCTTGTCGCATTTCGTGTATATTGCAACCAAGGGTAAGTGTCGTACCTCGGCCCGGAAGACCTCCATTGCTCTGTTACTATATATACCCAGGGATGATGATGGTCTGGACTTCAAAGTTCCAAAGAAGAGAGCTCCATGGGTTGTATTCTGATTTAACGTGTTTGGGCAAAGGCTATGAGGCGCTGCTCTGACAAGGAAGGGAAATTCCAGGTCGCGAGGAGAAGAATGAGAAGAAGCACGATAAGGCCGACTGTCATGGCGAGCAATCTTGGATTTGGCCCTTAACCTCCTCGAAGACACGTTCCGTAACCCAGGAGGCACGAGGTACAATGTCCTCCACATCCGTAGGTATAACCGTGAAAGGGGGTGCCCGCAGGAACTTGCCAGACCTGACTCCGATCGAAGAGTTCTTTTTGGAACTACTGTAAAGCCTTTCATCAAGCGCAACTGGGAAAAGGGTGCAGAACATCCCCAGAAAAAATTTTCCGCATTCTTAGAGTGGTGTGTAATGACCGTAGATGGAAGAAAGAGTAGTGTACATATTCATTCTCGCCATACAGGCATTGTTGTCGAAACGCTGTGAATTTTGTTAATCGGCTCATATGAGATCATGCCGTAATAAGTCGGCCCTCAAGATCATATTTTGCAATCTGCTAAACCATAGGTGTTCCCCTTCGTAGGATGAATCAAGCACGCAGTCATTCATTCCTCCGGTTCAAACAAGGAGGTTGTGCCGATTGGGTGCTTGTTTAGGGGAAGTGCTGGGGTAACGGAGAAATCCAGCAGCATTAAATCCACTACTTGCAACTAGTTAATGAAGTCTCATGATACACTGGACCAGTCATTTACTTAAGGTACGGCTACTAAAACCGAAAACTCGAGGAAGCTGTCAAACTCCATACGGCATGGTGTTCGATGCGTTAAGTAGATTCCAATCACAAGTCGAACAGCGACCAAAGGACAAATGCATTTTTTTTCTCATTATGCCTTCGTTAATGCCAGCATATCTGAAAATCTCCTTGTAGTTAAACCCAGGCAGTCTCCCCTCACTCAAATACAGCTCGAAAGAAAGTCTGCGGCACCATATCCCTCCTAACCTGGGAAAATACAAACGCAAAACTCGAACCGAAACCCTGATGGTCCTTCATACCAATTCCATCTGAAACGAACTTTCACCATGCCTTCGGGAAAACTCCTACAGTTCTTACGCAGTGAAAGCCTCTAGAAAACATGCCACAGATCAAGCTCATGAGGCTGACGCCAAGTGATGCCGCCCTCTTCTGTGGCAACAGGAGCCCCTGCCTCATCATCATCACCGTCACCGTCAGAGTCATAATCAGCAGCGGCGGCGACAGAAGTCTTGCGCTTCTTGGTGATGGCGGGCGTTGTCGATTCGGTGGGGGAAGAAGTAGCCTTGCGCTTCTTGGTGATGGCAGGCTTAATCGCGGTGGTGGAAGCAGAAGCCTTGCACCTCCTACCGCTGGTAGAGTTGGCTGGGGTGGCCGGGGTGGTGAGTTCTCCCTCGCTCTGAGAAGGACCTGAGCTCGAGGTAGCGTTAACCTTGGCGGCAAGCTTTTTCTTGATGGCCCACCACTTGTTGGATGTGGTCTTCAAAGTGTTGATGCCTGAGACCTGCTGGAGCTTCTTTAGGTCGACCTATGCGAATGTGATGTTAGTTGATTCTGGGACACAAACATATGGAATGAAATAAGATGAAATTAATTGAGGTGAGGTGAGGCGAGATGAGATGGACCGAGATGTATGGGGAAAGAAGGAATTACCTTGGGCATTCCACCAACAACGCATTGCCAAGCAAGACCGGCAATCTCGAACTCGCGAGCAGTCAACCCGGTGTCGCCATTGGCCGAAGCGTTGCCAATTTTCTTCTTGATCTCGCACCAGTTGTTGGAAGCCGTCTTGACCGCGTTAATGTTGGCCACCTGAGCTAGCTTCTCGAGGTGGATCTGTGAGGAAGGTGAGTATCTAGAAATGGTGAAATGGGAATGATGGAAGCGCTGTGTCGCGACTTACTTTGGGGAATGAGTCTCCAACACAGAGCCAGGCCAAACCCGAAACCTCGAGCTCGCGAGCAGTCAAGTCATTCTTGTCAGACATCGTGCTTGATGGTTAATAGTTGAATATGATGGTAATATTTTGCAGCGGATGGGTTAGATGATGGTAGTGGAGGTTGAAAGTTGGTGATGAAGGATGGGTGATGGTTGGGTTTGCGGGGATGAAGTGTTCGTTCGCAATGAAGGGTACCTTCTCGAGTTTGGTTGGGCAGACGCAGGTCTGAATTGGTCACAATGGAAGTCAGTTCTTCGAATTTTCTTGTGCAGATGCAGGCCTAGCTTCAGCCAATGATTTATTTAAAATTGAAAGACGGACACTCACAATCTCAGAAATGTGTCGGTCCAGAACTTGTCGTCGTTGCCAGTCGTAAATGCCACTCGTCAGGTCTTCGACAGTGCAAATCGACCAGTATTACAGTTTACTATTGAGAAGAAAGATGGAAGATACGGCTGACATGGTAACTCGAAACTCGAAACAATGTATGGAGCATTGTCTTTCTGTGAACAGGTCGTCTGGCAGGAAGAAGGATTACTAATAATTTAGGGAAGATACAGGGCCTTGATGCATCTTATCACGCCGGACTAATCCCAACAATGATTGATAACCCTTAAATATTTTTAGGAAACTACTTGGACGCCGCATGGTCATAATTTACTCTGCGGCCTTCCGACTAAATCGCAATACATTCGTTCCTGGACAACATGTGCATGTCCATAAATTCAGAAAGAGCTTCTCGCCAGCAGTTTGAGCATCTTGAGCACTCCTCAAGGAATAGATAGCGAAGAGTAGACAATGGATGTGTGTAGGAATACCATGCCGCAGGATACAATGCGGCTAGGCTTATATGCACTGGAAAGCACAACCCCTTTTAGGAGGGAAGTGCGTAAGCAAACGTGGAAATACCACGAACCTTGATTGGCACCAATGTGACCCTATGACAAATGGCTCGCCACTCAGGACGTGAGGAAACTAAATACTAAATGTACAGGAAGTCGGTATCACCTGGGGCAATGTCTTGTAAATGGTCGTAATTCAGTCCTGTTCAAGACAACTTAGGGCCATACGATTGCGATGCTGTTCTTTGATAGACACCCAGTGGGCCAATATGAGGGTGGCTGTATTGCCGCATTTTGTTGGACCTTCAAGGCTATTATTCAAAAAGTGCCAGCTTGTGACGTATGGCCACAATTACCCTACGATATTGGCCAATTTGACCTCCACCTTCGGACCATTCCAATTCTGCCTGTGGGGCAGGCATCGCTCATTTCTATCTATATAAGGCCCTTCTGGTCACAGTTTAATTCTTGGTGGACTCTTCAGAGATCATCACATTCAATAAAAAGACCATTTGCCCTACAGTCCAATAGTATTCAAAGCAGGGTGACGCATATCATATATGGCACACACCTTAACTGAATGAATAGACGCAAATAAGCTAATCTAGTGATGGTATTACATAGAAGGTGCGCGAGGATCGTATTTTAAATACTGCTATGAAGGATCTTAAGCTACAACTGTAGGGTCCGGCGGCACCGCGCCGCTAGAATGAAATTTAATAACCAGGCCCTTTAATGGTGGCCGAACCCTAAGGACTGGCTGGAGGACCACAATTGCCCTATAGCCTTCTCTAATGAGTGCTGGGCGCACACCGATCTAATATGGAAGACCTGGATCACTATGTATGACGCTAAGGACTCTGCGGAATTCGACTTACAACGTGAAAAGGGACACGACTCTATAGTCTGGGGCATAGTTTGTGGCCGCACTAAGGAGCCTCTCTTTATCTGGTCTAAGGCCAAGGGGTAACACTGCAGAGATCTATATCAATACTATCCTATCCGTCATAGAGGAATATAGGGCTAGTTTTCCAGCAGGGTAATACCTCAGACTATAGTGCTAGAGTCATACTTGATCATATTAAAGAGCTAGACATCGAGTGTCTAAGGTGGCCAGCAAAGTCGCTAGATCTCTCGTATATTGAAAATATATGGTTCTGGATGAAGGTGTGGCTCTACCAGCTCTTGACCCCGGATGAGTTAGCTAACGCTATTCGCGCTGCGTGGGCCGCAGTGCCAGAAGAATTACTGTGTAAGTTGGCTACGTCAATGCCAGACCGGCTGCGGAAGATGTTAGAAGAAATAGCGGCTTGATTGATTGCTAATTTGGTATATGTACCTCGCTAGTTAATTTGTATGCAAGTTGGATATTGGCTATTTGTGGAGGGATGTTGTATCGCACGAACGGAATCAATCCTGAAAGAGGTGAACTATTGACTTGGCAGCATATGCATGCGATGTAATATTCGGAAAGGACTCAGTACCTCGCTTATAATTAATTATGATTTAGTGGACCTGCATCCCAAGTGCTTACTAACACCATCCGGGAGGTGTTTTCCAGTTTTCAACCTAGAGACAGGAAGAACAAGTCTCAAGCTTCGAATTAGCCGTCACGATAGAGTCAGTTTTTTACAGGCTCTTGTGCTTTCTCGCAGTCCTCCAAAGCCTCCAATATGCCACCGCTGCCGGCATTCCGCGTCATGCCACCATGGTGACGCGACAAGAAGCAAATGCTACTTCGTATGACTTCATCATTGCCGGCAGTGGACCGGCTGGCCTTACCGTGGCGGACAGATTGACTGAAGATCCTGCGTGTAGGCGCGATCACCTTTTATGGCATGCATCATGCGCTAACCTCTGGGTGCAGTCACTGTGCTGGTAATTGAATCAGGGCCTTTAGACCAGGGTGAAGACAATGTCTTGATCCCCGGCGATTATCCACCTTATCAATACTTCTGGCTCGGTTTAGACAGCGAGCCCCAGATTGGTCTTAGTAACAGGTCTTTCTCATCAATATGTGGTCGAGTGGTGTGAGGGGGTTCAACCGTCAATGCAATGGTGTTCACCCGCGGTGGCAAAGGGGATTATGATGCTTGGGAAACGCTTGGAAACATAGGATGGAGTTGGGATGATATGCTGACGTACTTGAAGAAGGTGAGAATTGAGGGAAAAGACCAAGAGTCGTGCATGATACTTATGATGGTGCAGAGCGAGAACTTCACAGCTCCAGCGTCAGCATATGCAGCAGAAGCCAATATTTCGTACACTGATGATGTCCATGGCCACTCTGGCCCAGTTCAGGGAAGTTTCCCGCCGTATTTCTTTCCCGGCAGTGGTATGTTGGCCATCCACCACGGCAATCTGGTAATACCTGGCTAACCACCACCAGGAAACTGGTGGACCGCTGCAGTAGACTCGGGCATCTCCGTGGCATCTGGTAAGTGTGCCTACCAAACAGCATCAGAGATCACGCTAACACAGCGTAGACCCAAACGGTGGCAACCATTTTGGAGTGTTCGCGATGCCCTCATTCCTGGACCCTCATACAATGACAAGGAGCTATGCCCGGATTAACCACTATGAAAGGATCAAAGATTCGCGGTCAAACTATCACATTCTAGCCGACCACACAGTTAAGAGAGTCCTCTTCAATGAGAACCGAGCATTTGGGGTTGAGTACCTCCCGACCACTGGTGGCACTGTGTCCCAAATCAACGCCACTAAAGAAGTACTGCTGGCCGCAGGCGGCATCCACACGCCCCAGATTCTCCAACTCTCGGGTATAGGCCCCGAGGCACTACTCGACTCCCTCGAAATCCCAGTCGTTATCGATCTACCTGGTGTAGGACAAAATTTTCAAGATCACGCTACCTTGACCGTTTCGTACAGCTGTAAGTCATTTCCCATTGCACCATTGAAAGATCAGTCCTATGCCGGCTGGTGGCTGACAAGGAGGGCAACGGATGGTAGTCTCGAATAACGTTGTGCCAAACCAAGAGACGTTGGATACGAATGCCACGTATCGGGCGGAGCAACTTCAACTGTACGAGCAGTATCAGGAGGGCGCATTTACGATTGTGCATCCATTGGGCACCAATATTGCGTCTCTTCCACTGTGCAACGCGACGGAGGATTGCCAGACGATTGCTGCTGCGGCGAGGGCACAGGATCCAGCACAGTATTTACCGCCTAGTACAGATCCGACGGTATTAGCTGGGTACGAAGCTCAACATGCCCTAATCCTCGAACAACTCGAGGGTGATTCCTTGCCCATCGGCCAAATACACTGGGGCACGAGCACCGCAGCAACACTGTACTTCGTGAAGCCGTTAAGTCGAGGGACCATTAGCATCAACACCACCGATCCCTTGTCGAACCCCGTAATCGACTGGCGGTCCATGACCAATCCCACAGATTTGGACCTAATCCTCGCATTGTTCCGCAAGAACCGCGATGTGCTGTCGCAGCCTTCGATGCACTTGTTGGGTCCAGTGGAAATTGCCCCCTTTGGTGAGCATTTGCAAACTGATGACGAGCTCAAAGCTGTGTTACGGGACCAGATCAACCCTTCTAATGCGCATCAATGCTGTACTGCGCAGATGGCAGCGAGGGAGTTGGGCGGTGTCCTAGATGAAGAGCTGAAGGTCTATGGTGTTCAGGGGTTACGGGTGATTGATATCAGTTCCTGGCCGATGATTATTTCGGCTGCGCCGACGGCGACTATGTACGGAACGGGCGAGAAAGTGAGTGACAAATCTCCGAAGAATCGCAAGAGTTCACTGAGTTAATCGCATGCACAGATTGCGGATATCATCAAGAAGCAGTACCGCCTTATCTGAGCCAGAACCATGAAATATGGCCGTGGGGCCCGAAGCAAAGTCCATGTATTAGGAAACGTTACGTATCAAGAAGCGAATCACTCATTACGCAGGGTATTCATTCAATGCCAACCACTCGCCCCCTTCCAGTCTCCTTTTCCATTCGCATTGCCATCTCATGTCATCACTAAGCCAACCCGAACATAACCCCCATGACCATCGCCAAACCTCCCACCAACCCCTTCACCTCACCACCAAACCTGTCCGATCCAGCGGTGACGGGGATCGCGCTGGAAGTAGTCGAATGCGAGGAACTCGCCGTAGTGTAATGCGTAATCGAGTGCGACGTCGTACTCGTAGTGAAAGCCGTCGAAATGCTCGTCTCGCTGTAGCTTCCACTTTGACTCACAGGCGAGTTATCCGAGATTGTCTTTCCAGTCTCGGTCGACGACGACGAAGTGGACCCTGTGATACTCGTAGCAGGCCCTATAGTCGCAAACGACGAGGGCGTTGCGGTCGTAAGCGGCGTAACAGTCGTAGAAACCACAACCCCACTGCAAGTATCTACCGTGACCGTCTCGTTCATGCTGTGGTGCACAGTCGTCTTCGAAATCGAAGTGACTGTTGTAGTTTTGACCGAAGGCTCCGTCTCACTCTCAGTGGAAATGGAGGACAACGAGATGGGAGTAGCGGTCTTGGCGGGAGAAGTGGGGATGGACGGAGGAGTGGGAATGGACAGAGGAAAGGGGAAGGAAAGAGTTGACCCGGGGTAACTGATGAAAGTGTAGCCGTCACTCGTCGAACTAGAGTACTCGTAGTTCGTGGTGGAGGACGGACCGAGGTCAACGGTGGCCTCCGTGGTGATGGTGTAAGTTACGAGCTTTGTGTAGCTGGTGCATTCCGTGGTTTTGATGGGATTGCATATAGCACCCGACAGGAAGGCGGTTAGGGTGCTGGTAAAGGGAACGGTGGTGTAGCCATTGTAGGTGCTGGACTCGGTTGACTCGCAATCTTCTGTGGTGATCGAGGTCGAGGTGTGGCGCCGGACGGTCTGGGTTGTTGTCCGAGACGCCGTGCTGTGCACCGTGCTGGTCAACTTGGCTATGCCAGATGGTGTAGACGTGCTGACCAGGACAGGCCCGGATGCCAGTGCCAAGGGGGCTAGAAGGAGAACGAGTGTGAAGAGAGATCCGAGGGCCATTATGAGCGAGTGACTATTGGCGATGGTATTACTATGGGGTGTCAGGAGCTGATGGTTGACGGCGAATAAAATGCGAATCTGTCAAGGTTCAGAGACAGGACTCATCTTTAAGATATAAGACCAGAAAGAAAGACCCCAATGTTTCACTTGTGACATGTCTAGCTCAACGTGGCACATCAAACGGATTCAATAGCCTTGTGTGGGGCATGAAAACACAGACTGTGGGTAGCAGGCAACCAAAGAACCATATCGGATAGGCGCAGGATAGCGATCTGTCATACCGTTTGACGGCAATGGCATCGCCTCGTCATGCGATCAAGATTATGAGATCTCATCAGCCCATACACAACCGACGGAGTAAAGGCCTGCAAATGAAGCAACGAGGTGGCAGCTAGACCTTGTATTGTGAAATGCACCATGTATCCATGTATCGACTGAGACTCATACAAAATCTGGACTGAAGCCCATCTCACGATATCACCGACTCCAATTGCATCGAATAGGGGTAGATTACCGGGTGACCGACGAGATGGCCACAACGCATGTCACGTATCACCAAGGGAAATGATACGCGAGTAAAAATGTCGCGCAAATCTCCAGACCAACTCTGAGTTGGCGGCGACCACGGCCGAATCTGCAGTGTATTCTTGACGACGGTTGGCCGCAACCCACCCCGCAGAATCTGTGGGCTGCCGCGCGATGCAAGGGGCATATTAGCTGCTACAAGAATTGACCGACCTAGGTGTCTCGAGAAGCGGAGGGCCAGGGCCAGCAACAGGAAACGGGTTGATATGATGGGCTAAATTAAATCTCGTGAGGCTTGCTAATATGTAGTGTTATGTTTGGATACAGTGAGTGAGCTGGCGACCGATGACAACCACATGCGGGTGGGCCTAGACTTCAGAGAAATGGCTCAACCCTTCGCTGGATGGGCGTATCTATCAGTTTAATGACCTTGAGGAACATACAGAATTGATTCACCGGTGCACGGCTGGTCATGCTCTTTTCCAGATGAGTGAAAATCTCAATCGCGACTAACGTAGTCCACGGTCCAATTGCACACTTCGGCAGATTTTCGTACGCTACCACTTTGACCTGCGGTTTTTCACCACATAACTATAGTTAGTTCTTGGAATGAAAGTGATATGATTCTAGCATTACATGCGCTTCAATCTGATCCAAAACTAAGTGTACGTCGCGCTGGTCAGATCTATAACGTACCTTCTAGAACCCTTGCATATCGACGCGACGGTAAAACCGCTCGAGCGATTACGCGATCGCTAACGCAAAAGTTGACTCCTTCCGAAGAAGAGGCAATCGTACGACATATAATCGACCTAGATTCGCGAGCATTTCCTCCCCGATTGAGTAGTGTTGAAGATATGGCCAACCGATTACTTCGAAGTCGCGACGCGGGACGCGTCGGCGTCAACTGGGCCTCGAGCTTCGTAAGACGACAACCAGACCTCCGGACGCGTTTAAATCGAAGGATCGACTATCAGAGAGTCCTCTGCGAAGACCCCGACGCGTATCGCGCGTGGTTTGACCTGGTACGGAATACAATTGCGAAATACGCGATCCAGGAGGAGGATATCTACAACTTCGACGAGACCGGTTTTGTGATGGGCCAAATCTCGTCCGAAATGGTCGTGACGACTTCTGATCGGCGCGGAAGGCCTAGAGCAGACCAGCAAGGAAATCGGGAATGGGTTACAGTTATTCAAGGCGTTGGGTCGTCCGGTTATGCCCTCCCTCCGTACATCATTTTCGCCGGCAAAACCCACCTCTCGTCATGGTACGAAAACAGCCCATTACCGCCTGATTGGGTTGTCGCAGTTACTAAAAATGGCTGGACTACGAACGAGAGAGGCGAAGATTGGATAAAACACTTCGATCATCACACCAAGTCTCGTACGAAAGGTACTCATCGCCTATTGATCCTCGACGGTCACGAAAGCCATCACTCGACCGATTATGTGAAAAATAGGATTGTACGACATCAAAATAGCTCACCAACGTCAATTTTTGCTGGAATAGATCAGATTGCGCGAGGTACAACGAAGGTTATGCATCGGCTTGCCCTTTTAGAAGGGGAGGTCGAATCACTTCGAAAGGCAAATGAGACCTTAAGTCGACGTCGCCGTGCGAAGGGAAAATAGCTACAGAGTGGAGGGTCACTTCGTATACAAGCTGGACAGGACCTACAGTCTCAACGAGAGGTTGATGGGCAGTTACATGCCGAATTTCGTCAAATTGGTGGTCGTACGAGGCGGCGAATTGCGCGTGTACGGCGCTGTAGAATCTGCGGCGAGCCCGGACATAATGCGCGCACTTGTGGAAATGATGTAGAGACGTCTGAAGATAACGATTCTGAGTAGTTTCAATTGATGATAGGCGTTGTGGTTGAATTAACTTATACATTGTCGTATAAGGTCTGCCAAAGTGTGCAATTGGACCGTGGACTACGTTAACTGGTGCGGATGACGCATTTAGGGTATGTAGATCCTGCCTAGCCCTACCATATCCGTTTAGCAATCATCTCATACCTGCTGACTTTCTCGAGTCCATCTTCGCCAGGCACCATCTTCTTGGACGCCTCCTCGCCCTTGCGTTCCCGTTCCCGCATCCTCTTCAGCCCCTCAGGATCGTCTGCATAAATCATACGCCTCCTCTCGTCGCCAACCTCAACATGCCCCCACCCACCAATCCGTTTGCCAGGTTGGTAATAAGAGTTTTCTTTCTTATCTGGGTGCTTGTGATTGATGTTCAGCTCCTGCATCCTTACAGTAGCGTAGTTCTCCCTCGCATACTTGAGCAAGGCCATACCAAGCACTAGCTTCAAGAGCAATAGAACAACCCAAGCCAAGAAAAACACAATAATCATGGTAACCATGGCAATTGCGTCGTCACTAGTAAAAGCCCAGAACGGGCGAACATGTGGGTTGGCGTAGGGGTACCCGTAAACAGCTCGTCCGAGAGCATTACGGATGAGCGAGTCGAGGCGGTCTAAAGCTGCAATCATGGCAGGAGAGGATGGGGTTGATGATTCCAGAGACAGCTCGGTGGTTGCCGTAGGTGATAGTGGCGGTGGTAAACGCGTGGCTAGGAACATGTGGTAAATTTGCACCGAGGCACGGATGAAGAGGCACGAGAGTGGAAGAAGTGGGAGCCCGATGCGCCTTGTAAGGGCGGGAGCGCCGAATGCCTGCTTCACATTAGTTCGTTATTCCAGTGAAACGGTAGAGATATTTACGTTGGTATAGTAGTCTTTGCAGAAAATGTCAAGCATTCTATGGTAGAGCCTAGGCTTCACGCTGTTGAATTTGTTGATGTAGGCATGCTTGATCCAATCGACTAGCATTTCACTGCCGATGACAATCAAGAACGGTGACAGTACCTCGCCCGACATCAGCCAGGACGGGATGATGGTAAAGCTCGCGGGCAGGATAGATGCGGTGTGAAGCGGCCCAGAGCCCAAAGCACTGCCATCAGCCTCGCTACCCGCACCCGGCACGGAAATGCCGCCGACTTCGACGATATTCCGCATGGCGATGATCAACAGCATAACCCAGAGTTGGAAGCGTTCGACAACGTCAGCGCAGGTGAGCTGGAAGAGGTTCTCCTTTTCGATCTTCTTGAAAACGCTGCCCTTGATCTCGACAAACTGGTTCGACATTATTAGGGTAAGCAACGCGTTGGAGTACGAGTTGACAGCCACATTCAAGGTGATGACTTGGTAGAAGAGGCATATAGCATGGATAACGTTGTAGATCAGGGACAGGATGAACATCCCGAATGGCAAAATAATCTTGGAGCGGCCAAAGCTATTCCTTGACAACGTCTCGGAGCTGAAGAGGCATTCGAGAATATCCTGACCGATAGCCGCGAGAAGGCGGTCACCAACCTATGGCAGGGTGTTAGAAGTAGGGGCTTGATTACGGTCAGTAAACTTACCTCGAGAAGGTTGTAGATGACGTAAAGCTTCATGGCTGACTGGGCGCGGATGAAATGGTACATGCGACTAGCATCAACGTTCATCAATGCCAGAGAACTACAGATGATGACAGCGCCTTGCAGCAGATCTGCCTTGTGGTAAGACGTGAGGTTCGAGGGTATCGACTTTGTTCTGCGATGCCGGTATCCGGTGCGTGTATTTCTAGCTATGGCATGCTTGGGTGGATGTAGAGCTCCGTTGGCATTGTGTCGCGGGGTGTTTTCCGCCATGGGGCCAGCCGTTGCGTCTGGTGATGCATGTCCATTTTCCGTTGGTCGACTGCGGCTTCTGTCCACCTCGCTTGGGGCTTGGCTACCGTCGGTCCTGCTTTGGGCGTCGCGCGATATGCTTCTCCCACGGCGACCTCTCTTCCAGAGCCGCCAAATGCCCTGCCAAACATAGCCTACAACCCATTTCATCTCCTTCCAGACGATGTATGCCCACCATTTGACGAGGACGCCGATGGCAATGCAAAACCGCATGGGCAGGAGAGAAAACGTGTAGAGAAATGCGTCTAGGCATGCTAGGGCGCCAAAGGTCAGAGTTGATTCCAAATAGTAGGGCATGATCAGGGCATTCAGCAGGCGTTCAAACTTGACTGCGCTTGACTCGTAGGGCGCATCGGCCGACTTATGACGGTAGATGTACAGTGGACTGGGCCGTACACCAGCTAGTTCGAGCTGAAGGTGCGTGTGCAAAGACATGGGTGGGAGAGGTATGGAATGTTGTATGGGAGCAGGTGAAGACTCGATGTGCTCGGCATCTTGGGCATCTTCAGCCTTGGGAGGCATGGGCGCCCGTTGAGGAACCGACGGAAGATTGCTCGAGCCACTGAGGTTCAATGGAGGAGGTCGTGGTCCAGGGTTATACGAGTTGCGACGAGTCGACACTGGTGCTATGAGGCCCAAAGTGGTGCTAGAAGTCTTCCGGTTGATAGGAGGTGTAGAGAGCGTCCGCGAGGACGCTGGACGTCGTCGGAAGTCAGCTGCGCTTCGAAGCGGCGCAGTATTAGGCTGATGGGGACGCAGCGGATCAGAATGATTTTCTGCCGCTGATGTAGGTGTTTGATCCTGTGCATGGCCCTGTATCTCATTTTGCAGTTGTCCGGCCATCAAAGGCCGCGACGCAGACTCGGCGATACTAGCAGACATGGGGTATTCGCTCCCGTTCGGCTTCCGCTGTTGGGGGGGCATCACCGCAACAGGCAGCGATTCGGGCGAAGCAGCCAATGCTTGAATTTGTGATGCAGAGAGCTTGCGGACGATTTCAGCAGCTTCCTTCTTCGCAGTGGACTCTGTGCGCGGTCTCGTCTTCGTCGTTGTCGTCTCGGTTTGGGTCGAATCCTTGGATGACGCGGGCGGCGGTTCTTCCATGACCGAGGACACTGACCCGTCGGTGCTGTTCATTGACGCACCAGACGAGGATGCGCCTTCCCCAGTGTCTTCAACCTCCAGGCCCTCGTGCTCGGTGTGGTTGCCATCTGTAAATCGAGAGACAATGGGCGTCGAGGCCGTGATCTCCAAAGCGGGAAAAGGGTCGTTGGACGTTGTTGAGCATGGTGACGAAAGCTGTTTTGTGTAGACTTGGCCCTTGGGGCCCTTCGGTTCATCCCTGGATAAGCTTCTCCCGGCTCGTTCGTCGTTGTTTGTGCCTACACCATCTCGACTGTCCAATACTCGAACCCCTCGCGTTTCTGCCATGCTCGATTCTGGCATTATCGCAACGCTATATTCGTCGGTGCTCCCATCGTATCCACTCTTCAAAAGGCCAATCGAAAGCCAAAATGCTGCCGTAGTTTCGGGCACAGGTTATGAATGCGAAAACGGAGAGGCGTGCGTGGAGATTTCGAGGTTGCTGTCAGCGAAACAGAGTAGTCGCAGCTTCCACGAAACATTTATTTTCCTTAACTCCGGGGCTGGAAATGGTCGGCTGATAGCCTTGCATTGCCCAGTGCACCAGTCCCGCTGGCCTATTGGGTGCTATTGCTGCAGGCTAGCTCTCAGACCAACAATGCACTACCTTACCGCATTAGCCGTGCATTGACGTCACTCTAGCCTGCCTCCAAATTCCAGAGTCATGTGTTTATACTGTATTCACACGGCCTGTAGAGGAGACGGGTCATTTTTGACGTATTCACCCATTTCCACCAAAGGCCCATGTATAGTTAATTGTCTACTTGAAGATGAGTCTCTACAAGTCTGTAGTTCAGATAGTGATTGCAAATCTGACCTTGTATCGATGACATCGCACAATTCTCTACTTTTCACGTTAGTCCATACTACACTCCAAGGACTGGCGCTGCTCGCGGGAATGGACTGATCAACAGCAGGCAAAATCGGCACACCATTACATCAGTAACAACGAAGCGCGTTGCATGTAGGCGCATAGGATATCAACATCTTCCAGTTAAATCAACCCGGTTGAAATCCCGCTTCAGTGCTTTTAGCATCATGTATCATTTTTGACGGGTAAGGAATCATTAGGTGACACGCTAAATCGGGTTGATTGGATTAGCTGTCAGACTTACGACATGATTAAAAAGATGGATATCAAGAGATGGAACTAGGTCATCAGCATTAAGTTGTTAAATCGGAGATGGCGCCGCCCAACAAGATGGAGTTGACTACTGTTGATCCCCTAGTCTCCTATAGACCAGATACCGAACACCTCTGACTCGCTTGCCTCGGCCTCATTAATGGCTAGGGTACGGATGGGTCCCAGTCGTCAAAGACATCGCGAGGTTCGACAAGATTTGGTTTTTGGTCGTCTCAGGGAAATCCTAGTTGCCCTAGAATACAGATAATCAGTGAGTATATTGTCTCTTTACCACGCCACGGATCAATTCGGGGTTGAGTCGTAGGCAATTCGTCTAAAGCCATATGTCGGACCGCACCAGCCTTCGACCTCCAACGACTGTCTTTTCCGTTTACTGCTATTGCAGCCTGCTGTTGATGACTGACGAACCCTGTGCACAAACCCTGCGCACAAACTCTTCGGTGCACAACCAACTGTTATAACTTCAGAAACGAAACCTCTGGTGTATCAGGCAACTGATCTAAATATGCAGCCAATAGGCACACTTTTCTGTATTTAAAGCCCTTATGGACGCTTTCACTCCTTTTTGACTTGGAGAGACCAGATACGCAATAAATTCTATGCCTTCTTATAGCTTGTTTTAAGTACGATATCACATGAGTGGTCCTATTGTCGGTTTTGATACCTACAGTTTCAAGGCTAAGCTGGTAAGTCTAAGGTTATAGTCTATTGTATTATACGTGTATCTGACCAATTAGGGTTATAATTGATTAATTAGTTTATTCGGTTAGATGCGCAAATAATCTGACCCTTTACTTTCGGGAAATTATCATCCTGACCGTCTATGGCTAGTAATGTAGCTGTAATCCATTATAGTGTCAAATACAGTAGGTAGTATTGATTGGTCCGGACCCGGGAAAATCTCTCTTCCAAAATATTTGGATTTGACCAAACAAACCAAATATTCGGCCTCGTAGATTTGACTATTTGAAGATAGGAATTGTCTTTGTTTATTTAATTGTCTGTTTGATTTATTCGTTGGATTTGATCGGGCTGCTGTCACGACCTGGGTTGCATCGCATTGGTAGAGACCTCGATTAGGTGCTATCGACGAAGATTCTACTCTAAGGAGCGAAGGAAAGAAGATTACAAACTTAGGTTTGAGGAGCGAGCGCGACTAAGTCGTCCACGCTTGGCGGGGCTCCTGCAGGGGTTATGATTGGCTTCCCATCTGGCACTGCCATGGCAGGTGTTCCAGCTGTAAGTCACCTGGTTGTAGTGAGTCTGCGAGGGTTGACCTTCACAGCTGCTGCGCTAAAGGATAACAGGTGGCAGTGACGAGATTTTACAATAATGAGGATTTACAGAGACAAGCAAATTTGTTGCCACGGATTAAATCACTCTCGCCCATTGAATTCGACAATGCTATATAAATGTGGTACTACCGAGTGGATCTGTTATGAACGTGCTATGATCCCAATAATTGGTATCGACGCAACGCGATGTGACAGTGACGACCGACAACTACGACTGGTGAAGACTCACAATATCACCTAATTTCAAATTCGTCTTTTCAGTCTATGCAATCGTCACGCTTACATCCACATCCTGGAAGCAACGGTTGCTCGGCCAAGGTTGACCCATGTTAGCACAGCCAACCTGATACGACTGCTGTCATTGCCCGACAGATGCTATCTCTACTCTGCCAAACACGCAGCAACTTTACATCTCTATCCGGCGCCTGCCATCTCCAAACACCAGCATCATCTCATCTGCAGCTTCCACCCAATCCTTTGAACCTTCTATCGTAACACGCCATTACCTCCCCCAACCATCCTCAAGCAAGCATAACTTAAGCCCATGAACGAACAAGAACTCGAGCTCTCCGGCCTCGCCTGGCGTTGCGTCGGCGATTCTTTCCCTAAGGTAATTCGCCATTCAACACTTCCTCCCTTCCTATTTATCACTACGTAGATACTGATCATACATATACATTGATTTCGAAGATGGCCGGCGTCAACGCCCCCAAGACCGTCAGTAACAACTGGATCGAGATTAAGAAGGTGACCAACACTTCCAATAGCAAAACCGACATGACTGCGCGTGAGTTCCAGATTGCCGGTATTGCCTGGCAGTGTGTCATTGGTGGAATGCCCAAGGTAAGTGACTACCCAAGTCACCATTTTCTCATTGCCTTTTCTTTTGTCTGATGCCGCCACGTCTTACTCGAACTCATCTCGCATCCTTACACCTTGCTCCGATTCGTTTCATCTATTCTCACCTCCTCTTCTTGAACCCAAACCGACATCACGTTCCCACAGGTCGACCTCAACAAGCTGCAGCAAGTTGCAGGCATCAAGGCCTACAAAATAGCGTCCAACAAGTGGGGTAAGATCAAGCAGAAGCTCAACCTCACGGTCAATGCCACCTCGGCCTCGAAGGCGACTGCTTCCCAGGAAAACGGAGAACTTCCAGCCCCGCCCAAGGCCACTAAGGGTAGAAAGCGAAAGGACCTTTCCGCATCCGATTGCCGTCAAGCTGACCAACTGTGGAGGTGGAAGGAAGCAAGGTGCCTAATTTTACTACCGACATCGATTCCAATGGCGAGTGCGGTACCGCCGCCAAGACTCCCGTCGCCAAGAAGCGCAAGGCCTCCGTCGCTGCTCCTCCCGCCTATGTCGATTTCGATGACGAGGTTCTTGATAAGGTTGAGGCTCCCGCTGGTATGAAGCGCCAGATGATGGAAGAGGAGGAGTTGGATGCGGAGGTCCCTGTCCAGCACCCCTTACATGAGATTTAAGGGCTGAAGAATTTTATCATTGAGCGCGTTTGCTCGAAATCAATGTGAGGAGTTCCACAGCAGGCAGATGGTGTTCGTATAGACCATGTGGACTTATTTCGGTTTGATTTTCGTGATTGCGTTTTGCAGGGTTACTTATTAGGGAACGGCTGCAATTGCATTTCCTTGAGAGAAGTTCAGGAACCTTTCTCCCTTAAGGTGTAGATAGAGCGCTATTTGCGTTGATGGAAAGGGGTATTCTCTTGTGCCTTAGACAAAAGACTTGAGATTTGATTTCCTGACGGGTAACTATCGTATATTCTAGTAACAAGGGACGTCTTCTGAATCAACTGCTTCGTTCTTTGTTTGGGCTGCAACAAGTCATACCGTCAGGCTTCTAGCCCCCTCTCCGTTCCGCTGGAGAATTGATCAGCACAAACAAAATTTTGCTGCAGGAGTTTCGACATTTCCAAGAGTGCTTTTGGATTTGGGGCTAATGAAGAGTTTGTCGCAGTTGGATCTTTCCTCTATTCAAGTATTTTACCTAAACTAGCACATATCGGCATGCAAACATCCTGTTCATGCTCCAAATGGCTTAGTCCAGAATCCGGCTAGAACTGTTGCAGGGGGACTGCGTGTGCACCATAATGGAATGCAAAACACCACAAGTAAGCCCCCAACCTCCAAAAGAGTTCATATCAAACCCATAACCATAATACCTACCAAAATGTCCAGAAACTCCCCACCACCGCCCAAGCAGACTGAGGAAGAACAACGAGCTCCCCCATCCACCACCACCCCTGCATATTCCGCTTTCTCCCGCCACCAAAAGAACACCATCCTCGCCCTCGCCGCCTCGGCCGGCTGGTTCTCCTCCATCAGCAGCTTCATCTACTTCCCCGCGATCCCAGTCCTCGCCGCGGACCTTGACGTGAGTGTTGAGAAGATCAAACTTACCGTGACATCATACCTCATCAAGTCGGGGATTTTCCCCGCCATCATGGGCGATGCCGCCGACCGGTTTGGACGACGGCCCGTGTTGTTGCTGGGCTTGTTCGTATACCTGTGTGCGAATGTTGGCTTGGCTTTGCAGTCGAATTTTGGACTATTGTTTTTCTTTCGTATGGTGCAGAGTGCAGGTGTCTCGGGCACGTACTCGATTGCGTATGGAGTCTTGGGTGACCTTTTCACGCCCGCCGAGAGGGGTGAGTATTCGGGGATCATGTCTTTTTTGTATGTTGAGAGAACTGAAACGTTGGATCTTGATTGCTGACTCTAAGATTCAAAGCCTGAATACTTCACCTAGTATTGGGCCCGTGCTGAGTGGGCTGTTACTACTTCGTTGGTCGTGGCGATCAATATTTTGGTTTCTGTCGGCCGCTACCCCTTGTTGTTTGGTCCCGATGATCCTGTTTCTTCCAGAGACAGCAAGAAATATTGTCCAAGATGGCACTGTGACCGCAAAGGGCTTCAACCGGCCCCTGATATCGGCCCTTGTTCCTCAAGTGTCCTTCTCAAGATGTCCGGAAGTTCTCGTCGAACCTGTCAAGAAGAAACACAGGCACTTTCCCAATGCTATAGCGTCTCTTAAACTCGTGAGGATTCCCAATACGGCTATTATCCTTCTCGCATACGGTGTCAACTATGCGACATACACCTGCTTGCAAGCCTCCCTCTCCACAATATTTCTCGAAGTCTATGGAATCACAGGCGTAGCTGCAGGGCTCATCTACCTTCCCTTCGGGTGTGCCTGCGCGATAGCTGCGTTCGCAACTGGTACCCTCCTGGACTGTAACTATAGACGGACAGCCACTGAAGCCGGCATCGCGGTCGACAAACGCAAGATCGGCGACCTTCTCAAATTTCCCATTGAACGGGCCAGAACACGCACTATAAAGCTTTTCGTGGCGCTGAGCGCGGCCTTGATCGTTGGCTATGGCTGGCAGCTCAATACCAAGACTTCAATGGCTGGGCCTCTTGTTGAGCAATTCTTCATCGGTCTCACCATCCAGTCGCTTTTCACGGCGTTGAATACGTTGATTGTAGATATACATCAAAACTGCCCATATACTGCACAGGCGGCTTGCAACTTTGTTCGTTGCGAGATGGCTGCGGCGGATCTCGCGGCTTTGGACCCATTGTTGCGAAGTCTGGGCCCGGGCTGGTCTTTTGTCATTCTGGCTGCGCTTGTCTTCTTCCTCGTTCCACTGTTGTTGCTCTTGGAGTGGCGAGGTATGCATTGGAGACAGGCACATGCATCGAGGCAACGCGATCTCGGTCAATCCGCCTGCGAGACTCAAATGGACAGTTTTATTGGGCGCGATATGAGTGTCTCTAGCAATATGTTACCAGCGAACAGAGACCAAAATAACACCAAATTTCTCATTAGGGGCTAGTAAATGCCCTGCTCTCGCTAACCAGCCCTAAAGCGCTCCTGGGTTCTTGCATGTACTGTCTAGGACTTATCGTAAACAATAACAAGGCATGCAGTTGAAAGTGTCTCCAATCAACCCAAGTCCAAAGGAGTAAAGGTGGCCATAAGGGCCTTAAATACAGAAAGGTGCACCTCTTAGCTGCAGTAACAGTAAAACGGAAAAGCCAGGGGTTCATAGTCGAAGGCTGGTGCGGTCCGACAGACTGCCCAAATACATTTAGGGTGTCTTCACGCAAACATAAACCAACTCAATCACCGTCCTTGAGATACTTGTTGATTAGGTACGATAGCTCCTCAAAAGCCAGCTGCCGCGTCTTCGCGCCCGGAAAAGCCAGTGAATTCATGATTAGTGTTTCAACTGAATACAAACGGTTCCGATCATCAGCTTCATCACGCGGCTCACTCGGGGGGTAGTTCTTGAAGTATTCGTCTCGGTATGTCTTATCCGTCATCTGGTGGTGCGCGCACCGCCAGATGCCCACCTCTTTCTCGTGGTGGGCGTAGTAAGCACAAGCATCATAGATGTATATCTCGTCCGTGAACTCATCGGTTCCGATGTTGCTTTCCCACAAGTCACCGTGGATCAGACATGGTTTTATGGAGCGGCCTTCTGTCGTGAGGGGGTCGAGGAGTCGGGGAATCAGGTGTTCGAGTGTAATTTGCATCACGTCGTCGAGTTCCTGCCACAAGCCGTTGACTTTCTTCTCGAGCTGGTAAACATCGTTCATAAGTCTCTTGAAGAAGGATGTCCAGCTATCGTCCCATGTCGTGTTGAGCGGCTTTTCCCCATCGTATGTCGTGCAGTGGAACCCGAATTTTCCATTGGGCGACTGACTTTTGCGGTGCAGCTCAGCGAGCTTTTTTCCAAGTTGCACGGGGTCGGGAAGCTCGTGGGTGATGTTGAGATAGTCACAGACGAAGAAGTAGGTTCCTTTCCGGTCTTGCCATTCACCATATCCGCGTGGCCTTGGGGCAATTCCCGGCAGAGTGTCCTAGATTTCTTGCATTGATCTGTGCTCGCCGAGCACGCGTTCAGCAGCGTCATAAGTTCTCAGAGTCTGGGTGGAGAATGGCAAGTTATCTCTCAAGTTTTATGTGTGTATAGGGAGTTGGAGTATACCTTAAGGAAATACGAACGAGGTGAGCCATCGCGAGTTTGCGCATCAATCCTCGAAGTCTCGGCCCACGTCGACGTGCCGTATCTGTTCACACCCATGATCACATCGCCTTCTTCCAGTACTGCCTCTGTGTTCAGGGCAACTTCCATACTTTTGAATTGCCGTGCTGCTTACTTGATACTATAGCAGCGTCAAGCTGGGAGATTCTCGAGTTGGCGACTGCGGCACTGCGGTTCATTTCGGTCAGTGCCTTGAAGTCGACCGGCTCTCCTCGACCATCTTCAAGGCTAGCTGGCAATATGGGTCCTTGTTTGGACTCCGCCATGATAGTTAACGCGAAGGGATTATAGCAGCCTTGGGTAGTATTGATGTGGGAATGAGTAAGGGTTTCTTGGTATCTGGGTCAATCTTTCCTCGTTAGAAGGGTATTGAGACATGTTCAAGAGCCAAACCTGTCCCATCGAGATGCGGGGTAATTTCGTAGGATCTGGACGTGCAGGGAAGGCTCCAAGTTGACAAGGATGGGTGTTGATACTCATGGGCCGCTACGATGGCGAGGCTGCGACTTCATAACTTCATTCCAAACAACCAGCCGCTGAAGAAACGTAGTCGTAAGACGTGATGAGATCCCTTCCCCAACAAGGGTTCGTCACAGCTACGTAGGATCGGTACCATCGTAACCTAGCAGTAGCTTCTATTGGCAATCAGCCCGAATCAAATATGGTATGTTGAGAGCGCATGATTTATTTCATTTGCAGAAGAATCACGATATCAGCCGCCCATTTATTGACAGATATTACTGACGAACGCTCGCAACGGCAGTGGCAACGGTTTAAGGTCAAAGGAAGCACAAAGACTAAGTCGGCATCAACGGCGTCAGACCTACCCTCCGAGGAAGCCACGACTCACGACCCAACGAGCCTCCCCCATCAACGGCACTATTCTTCCGTACCGAGCTCTTCCGATACCACTTTGTACCCGAGCAGCCGAGTCACAAGAGAGAGCCCTGTCAGATATATATGGCCAACTCGCAGTATCCGAGAAGTCCTTGTCTCAACAACGCAAAAACTCGCAGGATAGAAGAGAGGACTTGAAACTCGTCAATTCACTTCTTGGTGTCTCTTGTCCGCCCGAAGAGGAACTCGTGGCTGGGCGTTCAGTGAGGAAGCAAGGAACCTGCGAAGACTTCGTGTCAAGTAACGAATTCCGGCAATGGCGTGGCATCGACTCTAGCCAGATCTTTTGGGCCCATGCACCCCCAGGAAGTGGCAAGTCAACTCTCTGTTCACTTGTGATCGATCGTCTGCTAGACGAAGGGCATATTTGTGCATATTATTTCTTCAAACATGAGGATCAACAGAAGAAAACACTAAGCAGAATGCTCCGTTACTTGGCACACCAGGTTGCAGCTCGAGTACCTGCAGCTTGCCGAGCATTGGCTGACCTAGCGCGAGCTGGTGTACGAGTCCAGAATGCAGACACATTTACTATTTGGAAGAGATTATATCTCTCAATACTATCCGATGTCGAAGGCCCTGAAATCTTCTGGGTTATTGATGGGATTGACGAATCAGAGTCGAGTAGGCAACTTATCGACCTCGTGGTCGCTACGAGTGGCTTCAAGATAACTCTCAGGGTTCTGCTTTTCAGCCGTCCAAACTAAAGCATTATCCAGGCCGTGCAGAGGGCAGGTAAAAAGACGCGGGTTGTCGATATGTCGCTACCAGTGAATGAAAACGACATACGCGCAGTAGTCGCTGAAGAGATCGACTATCTACCGTGTGATGAGACCTTCAAGATCGAGACCGTTGCCGAAATTACCAAACGCGCCCATAGCAATTTCCTTTGGGCTAGCTTAGTTTTCAAACGTGTAGCCAACTGTCGCCGCCAGGAACAGGTCAAGAAGGTCCTGCTGACTACCCCTGACGGCATGGACAAGCTGTACAGTCGGATGTTGGATGTCATCGCGGGGCTTGACATGCCAGAAGACGTGGTACTGGCAAGCATCTTTCTGTCATGGGCCATGTATGCCAAGACGCCACTAACTGTCGAAGAGTTGTCTGAACCCTACATTACTGAACTGAACTCCATTATGGATCTTAAGCACACGGTGAATGAGGTTTGTGGGCAATTCGTTACCGTCAACACCCATAACAGGGTCACGCTGGTTCATCACTCAGCCCACGAATATCTTAGAAGACATACGCACCACCCCTTCTCATTAGAACCACAAAAGTCACACGAAGAGATGTTCGGAAAGTGTCTCATCGCTCTTTGCGATAAAGATCTTCGCAGCAAGATCCATACACTCAAGGTTCCACAATTTTTGCGGTATGCGGCAACATCCTGGGCTTTTCATCTGGAGGGCTGCTCAATACAATCCGATCGAGTACTCAATGGTCTCGTGCGGTTTTTGAACGGTCCATTTCCACTGTCATGGATTCAATATCTCTCAATGACCGGCCATTTGTCGGAGCTCACGGGGGTCTCCCGTCGACTTACAGCGTTCGCGAAGAGACAAAAGGCGGACGCAAACAAACCTCCAATGCTACATAGGCTATCAGATTTGTCTCCCATTGAGACCTGGGCCACTGATCTGATGAAAATCCCACCGAAATTTGGACGAAACCTAACAGAAGATCCAGATTTAATTTACCGATGCATCCCAGCCCTGAGTCCTTCCTCCTCGGTCATATCCCAAAAATACGCTTCCAATCCGGCGACAACGCTGTCTATCTCGGGCATATCTAACGATGACTGGGATGATTGTTTAGCTCGCGTCTCAGTGAGCAGCGGCAAAGCAGTCCGACTCGCCTCTTCTGCTATGCACCTTGCTGTGGCGACCGACATCCCCCGAGGGACTATAACCCTATGGGATACCAGCATGTTTTTGGAATGCAAAGTTTTTAATATCAGACAACGAATTATCTCCATGGTATTCAACGATTCAGGATCACTCCTCGCGTGCTGTGGCATATCTCAAACCAAGGTCTGGAATGTGAAGGATGGCACGCTCGCCTTGACGACGAACAACCCATATCAGGAGCGAGCCATCGAGTTCAGATTCGACGATAGTGATTGCCTTTTTATGGTAACCGATATTCGCCGCGTTTACAAGCTGCCTATGGGTACTGAGACAAGTCTTCCATGCAGCTGGGTCCAACTGAGCCCGTTCACCATGGTGGAGACAGGTGTGCCGGAAGGTGTTTGGCTTGGGACACCAACTTCAGTTGCATTCAATAGTGACTGTAGTCAATTGGCCGTTGTTTACAAAGCATTCAATTCGGGTGTATAAATAATCGTATCAGCGAAAATCGACGTTGCTAAATCATTGTTTTTTGATGCCGAAATAAGGGTAAGGTTCTCGGTTTGATAGATAATATATTGGGGCTAATCGATTAGTAACCGATCGACTATCGATCTCTGATGGTATTGCCTGTTCCTCTGCAATTCGTGCACTTTCGATATTAAGCACTTCAGGGTAGACCAATTGGAATTCTTCGATAGCTTCGTCGACAATAGCTTGGCTAGAGCGATTGTCTGGGTATAATAGTGTTTGCCATTGAGGATCCAGTTGAAGGGTAGGCATTACTAATCGATCACTTGGCGGCAGATTGAATAACGGATTTGGACAGTCCAAAGAAAAACAAAGCGAAGATGCATCTCTGATCGATCAATGATCGACTACTGCTAGATCTTTCAATTGGAAGTTGTAAAGTTGTAAAAGTTCAAATCCAAATTACGAAAGGGTCAAGCGGTGAGATTCCAAGATGACATGTGGGTCACGTCGGAAAGACATATATGTGGAGAATGTAGACCCACATGTCATCTTGGCAACAGGGTGGAGTGTAGCTCGTCAAACTCCTCACAAGTCCCCCATAAGGAGCATTTTAGCTATTCCTGATGCGGGTTAGCGGATATATCCAAGTACAGATGTCTCAGTCAACCTCCTAAAGTATCTTATTAGCCGGCGAAATGAGACATAGGAGAGTTCTTCGATAATGAATGACATTTGAAGGCCACCAATCAAATGGAGGCTGTCAGTGTAAGGTTTCACGTAAATCTGTCTATACAGAATTTTGGAGGGCTGAAGAAGAGGACGACATTTGGCAAGCGCTGCTCTGCGAGATTCCCAGCAGACTTTCGCCAGGAGAATGTGGCGGCCAACGTGTTGCGTTCGGCCCTGATTCATTCCCGATTACGGTCGCATGGATGGTCTATTTAACGAAAGTACCCTGCCATGTTTGCCATCGAATTTGCAGAGGAGGATCTTGAAATCGAAGAAATACTTCCGCGCCGCTAGGTTGATCCCTTTTGACGACGGACGTTTCGGTGCAACTCCATCCCCGCGATGGGGTACAGATAGAACACCTCGCCATTTGTCACGGTGAGCACAATTGAAGAGTCAAAACACTCTAATGCACTGTATTGACTTAACGATTCTCGACAAGGAAAGAAAGAGAAACTAAAACAGGCTGGCTCACATCTGAGGATCTTCAATCCCGTCTTCAGATGGCCAGTGCTCCTACGGGTCCACAGCTAGTGGGTTTCGTTGCATCGTGACACCGGCCGTCACACCATTCGGAATAGAGGCTTGATCAGGACTCGAAAGAACTCGATATATAGATTAATTTTAAGAGTATGCTTTCAAAGTTAGAGAATTGTAAATCAGTCGATTACAGGGGGTGGTGCAACCATAAATAAGACGTGGGGTGGCGAGATGGTGGGGTGGTTAGATGATGGAAGCTGTGCGTTTCTACCTTGGACAAGGCATAGTTAATAGCCCCACTGTCTTGGGTCCGTAAGTCGAAGCTGACAACTGTACACCTCCCTGGGATCATAATCGTTAGTGCAGTGACTTACCAGGGTACTGGCCAATGCACTTAACCCGTTTCGGCCAGTAGTCGCTTTTCTAGTAATTTCTATGGAAAGGAGCATCTCAGCACTACACCACTACACAACCACAATGACTTCAGATCTTTTTTCGTGCCCCGCGAGGCATATCTATTAGTAGTTTATTAAACCTTTCAACCCTAAAAAAGCCTCGGTAACACTATACCGAACTTTCGCGCGATGAACGGATCAAAATTCAAGCTCTTCGTAAATAGGCTAAGTGATCTTACAACGAAATCGCCGTAAAGACACCGTACTTATATCAAGTCCAATGGGCTTGTAATAGGCTAGTCATAACTCAGCGGAATAAGCCAAAGATGGCTCTAATTAGGACCGGCATAATTACAGTAATAGCTCCAAGAAAACAACAAATACCGCTATATCACTTGGTATGATCTCCGATTGTTTTCACCGTCTAGTCTCTCATGATATAGCGACAAAGCAATTACAACGGCGTTAAGGTCACTAGGCTATCGAAGAGCTATTCGGCCCCGAAAAATCGCCCTCTCAGAAATAACTAGGCGTAATAGGGTGTCCTTTACTAGGAGTTTACTTCAAATCAAGCCAAATTGTCAGAGAACAGAATGCCATAGGCACCAGTGGGTGTCAGGACACTGAACGCAGGACACCGGCGGGCCGCCGGAGGGGTGTTTCGGACAAAAGACTCCCGAGTCATGATTACAATCTATGTGAAGCTTTGGGATGACGAGAGTCAAGATCCTTGGCATCGCCGACCCTGCTGTTATGCCGGGTCCAAGCGGCGGCCTAGCTATCTATATAAGGACCATCTCGAAGTAGGATAGGGAAGGAGTTGTCAGAGCCACAAGTGTCATCCGAGGCGGGCCGGCTTCCACCAGGTAGGAAGCCGTTTGTGGCGGCTAGAGAGCCGTTGAAGCCGTTTGCAGCGGATAGGGAATCGCTTGGTTGCAGATAAGGAGCCGCTGTCCAAGATATTGGCCGAAGTCGGAGGAACACAGACATACGGAAGCAAACATCCAGAATCCAAGAGAGAACCTCGGCTGGCTATAAGTAAGGAGTCGAGACGAAGGAAGATAGAGAGGGCAGAGATCAATGCATCACCATGGGCACCCCTACCTGAGACCGCCAGTGACCACCCGGTGCTACGTAGGAGGGACGCCCGTTACTCCCCATCACTCTGTACTATTGCCTTCGGCCTAGCCGTACCCTGACACAAATCCAGAAGATTAGGAGGACGTGGTCTTCTCTGATACTTGGGCAACGAATCACCCCTAATAGAAGCGATATGTTACAATCCATGAAACAGAAGACCTGAATACCTTTGCTCTATTACGTAGGAAACCTCACGGCTACATATTCTAGGGCCAATTTGCTAGTAGTTAAACGGGACACTTTTAGGAAAAGGGGTTTGTAGGAGTAACAGCACAGAAGTATATTAACTAGATACTCCCTCTCGTCCACTACTTCTTCCAAAATAACGCAGAACTCCGTGTTTCCAGCAAGGCGTTCATCGTAACCCACGGTCGATGATGGCCAAAGTTTACTGATGCAGACGGCCAGGGCCAAAATATAGTTAACTTCTAAGCGAGTGAGTTTGTGAAATAGAGACTGAATAACAAGAGGAACCTCTTGAGGCCAAAACCCCATAATCGAACACGGACATGAAAAGATCTCAATGCGATCTAAATATTTTCAAATCCCACTGCCGCTTTCCGAATTCGAGGCTTGCTCCATTCACGATACGTGATTCGTTTAGGTTGCAGCGCAAGACTGACCGCCAGCCTCCGACCTGGTTGGCGTGGCACGTGTAAATGAATCTAGACATCGGGCCGCCTAATATAGTTGAATCGATGGGTGAAAATTCGCCTCATCAAATTTGTTTGGAACCTTGAGTAGTGAATTGATAACTATCTAGACAAGCCTTTGAGACATCCGGACTACTGTATCGGTTTTGCAGACTTCCCCACACGAGTCCGATAGCCCTCGGACATGCGTCATTTGCCTTGATCTCAGCTTCTCGCACAATTCATTCTCCCATTCCTCCCGAATTTCTGCTGGATTCTTTTGTGAGATCAACAATAAATTAATTGTGCTACTTTCCGACTTGTCGTCGACTTGTCGTCTTTTTCTGGTGTTTGGTATCAAGTCTTGTCACCCACCTCATGTACTATGGCAGCTCCGGAAGGAAAGTTCTTCATCGAGAGTAAGCTGGCAACGCCCGCTCCGCATCATGCGAGCTTCAAGGCGTTATGGGAGACTAAATGGAAGCCATTGGTACGTACCCAAAATCAGTAGACCTAGCGTCATGCATGTTCAATGATCATACACTAACATTTACAGTGCGACAAGGGAGTTTACCCATTCATGTTTGGGTGCACCAAAGACTTCCAGCCCGTCATTGATGAGATTATCAAGGTAAGCTGAAAACTCGATAGAAATTAGCAATACTCATTACTCAACCGCCACAGAAAAACCTAAAGGAACCGTATGATTGGGACCAGTATGCCGAGTGTTTCTTTCCCAAAGCCCGGGAGCTGGCGGAAGCAGCCGAATTCGCAGAGAAAGATGGTAATAAGGAGAAAGCATCAGAGCTCTACTTGTTCGTGGTGACAAAATTCGACTATCTTCATACCTTGTGGCTAATACACAGTATAGACGAGCTTCAGCTCTGTATCGTATTGCTCGGTTCCCGGCACCAAGATCAGAAAAGCAGCGCTACGCCTGGGAGGAGGGCAAGAAGGTTGCTAGAAAGGGCTTGGGGTTTGCAATTATTCTTGGATGCGATTATCGTTCAAACCAGACTCACTGATAACTGTGGTGTAGCTTGCACGAGTTCCCCATGGTCCAGGTTGATATACCCCACGTCCACGCACAAGGCGATGATGGCAAGCTCTTGCCCGGCTTCTTCCATCTTCCCGCAACTGCATCGGTTTCAAACAAAGTGCCCCTGATTATCATCTTCACCGGACTCGATGGATATCGCACTGAACTGGCTGTCTGGAAAGAGGGCTGGAGAACATTAGGATGTGCTACTCTGATTGTCGAGATTCCTGGCACGGGCGACAATCCAGGCACACCTATTGATCCCACCAGCCCCGACCGGGTATGGAGCAGTATGTTTGACTGGATTGCCAAACAAGATGCTATTGACCAGAGCAAAATTGTGAACTGGGGCTTCAGCACGGGGGGGTATTACTCGATTCGCGTGGCTCATACGCATGCAGACAGGCTGAAGGGCGTGGTTGTGTTAGGTGGTGGATGTCATCATATGTTTGACCCTAAGTGGTTGGATCATGCTGATCATCTTGAATATCCGTTCGAGTAAGTGGCACTGCCCTTCCTTTACCAAATATCTTCACATAGGACCAAGATACTAATAAGCCTACACAGCCTCTCTCACACCTTATGCTACAAGTTTGGCTTCGGACATGACTTCGATCGCTTTAAGAAAGAAGCCAGTGATAAGTTCTCACTTTTGAATGATGGAACACTTACCAGGCCTTGCACGAAGCTCTTGTTGGTCAACGGGACAGAAGATGAGATTTTCCCTATCGACGACTACTATCTGTGCCTCCACCATGGGATGCCCAAAGAAGCTCGGTAATAAATCTCATCATTCCATAGCACAGATTAACTAACATATTGTCAAGGTTTATCGCGAATAGAAAACACATGGGTGAGCCAGAATCATTCCTCATCATCCTGCCATGGATATGGGAACTGCTGGGTATTCAAGGAAACACTGGACAGTTCATGTCTACGATTCCATTCAAGCCAAAGTACTAGGGCTAGAAAGCATCACGTTGTTTCTATTAACGTACCCCACAAGCAAGTTGGCCACTTTTTCTTGGCACCGTATGAATAACTTCAATAACTTTACTAAACTAAAAAATATTATTATTATTATTAAATACGCCGTAGGCTCGAAGCCCCCGGTACCTCTACTAGTACTCCCGTATGTCAAACCGTGCCCTAATGGCTGGACTAAATACATACGCTGCGTCGTCGGTTCGCCCTATTGGCGACTGCGTTGCGTTCACTACCATACTACGTTGGTTCTAAACCTACCAACAAAGTCCCCCCTGAGAAGATCGATGCTATCTGGGCCTTGAAGCTGTCCGACCCGTCCCTAGCAGCCACCTTACAATAGTCCCACTAACTACTGGTTCTCCCGTTGCCGTTGCGAGGTCTCTGCGAGAGTATAGTGGCCGTGGTGCGATAGCGGCCCGTAATCGTTCCCTCGGTCCTTCCAACAGCCTGCAAAAGAGGATTACGTGCTCTGCCGTCTCAGGGGCGTCGCCACAGCGGCATAGCGGCGAGTACACGCCAAAAGCCCCTGTCTTGAATAAGAAGGCTGCTAGTCCTATTTTTTCCGTCCTGATCTGGCACAGCGTAGACGCCTCCAGTCGGTTCAGGCCGAAATACTTGCCCCCTTTCGGTTTCTGCATCGAAGGGCCCTCCGGTTCCTCAGCGATAGCGCGTCGCTGGCAATCGTGATGCTCTGCTCCGGTGAGCCATCTCTTCCTCCAGTGGCTGAGGAGGGCAGCCGGGCACTAAGAAATAATAAGTCAAACTAATCGGAATCCTCTTCCTCGTACGTATCTTTATCATTCTCACAAGTACGAGCATTGTGTCCGGGCTCTCCGCAGATCCTACAGCGCTGTCGGCGTGGTTCGGCCGGTCTCGTACGACGACGATTTACACGTATATCATCCTGTAGCTGTTGTTCAATATCCCGTTGAGACTGTAAGTCCTGAGCGTCTCGTAAACTAAGAGATCCTCCATATTGTAGCTGTCGATTTTTAGTCCTTCGACGACGGCTTAGCTCTTGATTGGCCTTCCGAAGTGTAGTAACCTCATCCTCAACTAAAACTAACCGATGTATAACAGCCGTCGCACCACGTGAAAATTGGTCAATAGCCGTAAGTATTGTCGTCGGGGAGCTATTCTGATGCTGTACGATTCTGTTTTTAACGTATTCAGACTGGGATTGCGCCTCGGTTGGGTTATTTGGAGTCTTTGATTCCCAGATTAAGGGGGCGCCAGACGAGCTCACAGGAGGTGTAGGCGTATGTAGCTTAATATCCAGCTGTGAAATCACATATTCCGGGTCGTACAGAATAAGTCCTGTCCCCCTGAAACCTGCCTGGATATTCGACTTACTTATAGTCGTACGATACGCCCTATAGAATGCCGAAAAGAAATCCTCCTTCGAGATATGAGTTATATGCGCCCGTATTAGGTCTTCAATTTCTTGACTAGATTGTCGAGTATCGCATCGAGATAGTAGTCCGCGTTTTCGGTTAGCTAGAGTTATACGAGGGACATTGTAGAGTTGGGCAGCGCGTCGGATGCTTAATTCGGGTTTCGATTGAAGCGCCTGACACGCTAGAATCATGTCGCTTTCTTTCCAATTCGATCCCATCTTGGTATGTGTAAAGATGCTAATTAAAAGGTTGTTCGTACGGTGCCAAGAAAAAGTGGCCAACTTGCTTGTGGGGTACGTTAGTCTTTTTGATTTTACTGCTTTGATGTCTGTGAAGCCTTTCCGAATGGTGTCCGGATAAGCCACCACTATATACACCGTTATCGTTTTGGACAATTTCGGGGATCAATACGAGTACGTTTCCATTGAAGTTCACTTCAGGCGAATTTAAACACTGGCAGTCTGGGTATAATGTTGGTCGGTTTGCGCAAGGACCAATGTCCCATGGGGGGACCCCATTAAATACATAAGAGGGCCTGCTCCAAACGCACCTGGCACCTGAGGCCATCAAATTTCCACGTGTCACGCAACTCGACGGCTTTCGACCTCTTCTCTATTTATGTTGTAAAGGAGCAGAAGTAGTTCAAGTACCAAGTTTATACCAAAGGGGCCTTACCAAAACAGCATGGCTTCGGACAAGCTCGGCGTAATTTGTGTTCACCGAGATGGGGGTAGAAACAATGAGCGACTGGCACCAAACAGTGAAGAGCGGCCGTCCGAACTGCCGACTCCGTTAGGCCCGATGTCCGAGCCAAGCACCGGAGAGTGGATTAAGGACCGTAATTCTATTGCCGACAACCAATCAATATTAAGTTATATGTCATGCTACCGCAGGAGTCCTGCATTACACAGATACCCCTAAACATGGAAAGATGAGAGCTGAACTGAACTTAAATCTAAATCGGCGTCACAGTGGATCGAAGACTAGTTGCTGGGTCCCATGGCCAATCGGAAGCTGCTTATTCTGCCCCTCAACGTGACAATCCTGATTCGTTGGCACTTATACAAATCTCATGCGGACAATGCCACTTCTCATTTTCCATATCAGGCTACGATAGTCCCATGATCCACAAGTACAAAGAGCGGAAATGCTGCCATGTTCTGTAGACCTAGTGAGTCTCACTCATCTCAGACCCACAGCGTTGCCTTGTCAAGCGAGTGCCACCCAGTGGATTCTACAGTTACTCCCATATGCATCCGAGTTGACGTTCGAAGAACCCTTCGACTTCATAAGGCGAGCACCACCTAGTGCTGTACGCAAATACGCAGCATTCAAATCAACACACCTGGGCAAATCGAAACAGGCAAGCTCCAGACCGTAACTTGGAGGCACACATCATATCCACACCAGCACACTTAAGTACCGGAAGACTTTGAGGCTCGAGCATCCGCCCGGCTTCAAGACTACCTGGGCAAAACAACTCACTCTCTCCTCCCCGCGAGCTTCATTAGATAATAGTGAATTGGCCGGTGTCATCTGCTCATTCGGATTGCCACGCGGCTGCAACATCTACCCACTCAACAAAACAGTTTACACTTCATCTCCCTTTCCACAGTGGATGAGCGAAATCATTAAACAGGATGGCCGCATCTCCTCGTACCGAAACCGAACCCCTCCTTCCCCACAATCTCGAGAGCCAGATTTCGAACAAGATATTGAAATCCTGCGAACACGGCAACCACGCAACTAGCCGTGGGTACTGGGCAAGTATTAAATTCTTTCTCCGTCAGATCATCGGCCATGATGAGAAGAAGCGTTCCAATGTCGGTATACAAGCTCGGATGGTCTCTGACGCCATCATCGGACTCTCGGATGGCCTCACTGTCCCCTTTGCGCTCACTGCTGGCTTGTCTTCCGTCAGTGGCATTACTGCGCGAACCGTTATTTTTGGTGGATTGGCGGAGTTGATCGCGGGGGCTATCTCGATGGGACTTGGCGGGTATCTCGGTGCACGTAGTGAAGCGTAAGTCCCACTGGGTTTGGAGTTGATGCATTGTATACCTCTTACTGACCCTCCTCGCGACATAGCCAATCATGGAATGAGACCAAGAGAAGAGAGAACCTCCGCATTGCCACTGAGCCAGAGATGGCAGTTGCGGACGTCAAGGCCATCTTCGCATCCTATGATATTACTCCAGGCACTCTCGATGCTCTTGTCAATCAGCTATCGGCGTCCCCCAAGTTTGTTGAGTTTATTATGGAGTTTCATCACGGCACGCCGGAGCCAGCTTCTTCTCGAGCACTGCAGTCGGCTTTCACAATTGCGCTCGGATACATGTTAGGTGGTATTATTCCCCTGGTCCCCTATTTCTTTGTCGGGCAAGATGGCCCAGATCAGATCTTCCTCGCGCTATGGATATCAGTTGGCGTGATGGCTTTCGCCCTGTTCGTCTTTGGATATGTGAAGAACTGTGCCTTCTCGGGCTGGGCTGGTTGGCGATGCGTTAAGCAGGGTATCTACGGGGGCGGACAGATGGTAATTGTAGGTGGATCCGCTGCGGGATCGGCAGTTGCCTTGGTGAGGCTCTTCGACGGACTGGGAGAGTCTTGAGGTGCAGCTTCAGTTGCGTTACAGTACGACACGATAAGACGAAACAAGCGGTTGAGGAAAGGTTTCAGATGTTATCGGGTTGGCATAAAATTGTTCAGGGACTCCAGTGTGTCATGAGTAAACGTACAAAATGGCCTAATACGACCGGAGCTGGTGTCACGGTGACGGCTTATGGAGTTGGTTGTATTTAGGTCGGCTAGTAAGACAGTGTAATTCAGAGACAAATCCTCACTCGAGCGAAATCACCTCGAAGCGAATGGAAATCAGGCCGTACCAACTACAGACACCGAATTTGAAATATTCATTTATCCCCTTTCTTGCTTCTTTCCTCCTTTACCTCGTCTAGCACCCTCTGTGCGACCCGAAAGCCTTCCAGCCCAGCTGGCAGCCCAGCATAGATCGACGCCTGCAATAGCGTCTCCTGGATCTCTATCTCCGAGCAGCCGTTATTCAACGCCCCTTTGACATGTACCCCCAACTCAGTGCTCTTTCCCAGCGCAAGCAACATAGCCAGGTTCAGTAGCGAGCGCGTGTGGCGGTCAAGGCCAGGCCGGCCCCAGATCAAACCCCAGCCTGCTTCTGTGGCGAGCTCTTGCATCGGGCGGGAGAAATCAGAGACATTGGCCCATGAGCGCTCGACATGGTCGGCGCCGGTTACTTGGCGGCGGATTTCGATGCCTTCCTTGAAAAGGGTTTGGCGAGCTTCTAAGCGAGCGTCCTTTGGTGAAGACATTGTCGACATGTGGTGGACCAAGGTTTAGTGTAGGTGGGCTAGATGATTAAATAGTTGCACACATATTTGTAATATAGGATTTTGGATTTTGTCTGCTTGATTGCACAAGTTTCGTTCAATAAATGGTAGCGAATTGAGTCAGGGCAGTGTGTCAACGATTCATATGATGTCATAATCTGCGCCGCGGGCATCATAGACACGCTATAGTGCAGAATGTCTCCCCGCCGTTCCTGGAAGCGAATAGGAAGATTTTGGAGTCGGGAAGTCCCTGGATTGGATGGCTCATACCATTGAGGTTGCCTAAGTGAATGCCTTTTTGCTGAGCGCGGATTGCAGTTTTGTTACTGAGGCCGTATACGTAGCGGGTGGGGGACAATTTTGTTAAGTTTGCGTATTTAGGGAGGGATGATGAATGAGACGGGCTCGAACAATCGTGTTATAAGACTCCTGGTATGATAGGTATAGCATGTCCAAAGAAACACGGCGTTTGCAGCCGGTATTATTAGGGACTGGCCAAAAGCCAACCCTAGAGAAGGGAATTAGGTTGAGGTCGCCGTGTTTTTGCACTGGACTCGGAGGTGTTTGCATGCTTTGGTTGTTGATTCATCCAATACCGAAGAATCTTGCCTCTTGCAATTCTTGAAATGCCGATCGGCTGTGACAGCAGTGTAAGTCTGCAAATCCGGATCTGGAAGGTGACTACAATGAAATGAAGCAATTCATCTATTCGGGGTTTGATCTGCGGGTAGGGGAGAACCTGCCGACTGAGCACTCACAGCCAAGTCATCCTAGTGCTGACAAACATCTGTGGGTCTTCAGGTGGGTTATATTGGCCGAAGTCAACGGAAGGGCGCGGCAACTCCACTTGAACAGTACCATCTGAGCAATTCGGAACTGAACTGAACTTATAGTAAGATGTGAAAAGTTAGAGGCGCCCCGTACATGACACGCCCTATCATGGAATGGACGCGCTTTCTAAAAGAGAGCTTGCATATAAGGCAGGATCGAGCCCACCTGGGGATGATTTAAACCAAGGCACAAGGCAGCTCAGTTCCCATCACAACAACGAACATCACAACCCAAATCGAGTTGACCAACCCAGACAGGATCACCAATGCCTCTCCCCTTTTCTATCTCCACCGTCAAAACCGACGGCGTAAACATCTTCTACCGCCATGCCGGCTCCCCCACCTCCCCCATACTGCTCCTCCTCCACGGCTTCCCCTCTTCCTCCCACATGTTCCGCAACCTTCTCCCGCTCCTCTCTCAATCCCACTACGTCATCGCCCCCGACCTACCCGGCTTCGGCTTCACCGAAGTCCCCAGCCCGCGCAACTATCAATACACATTCGCCAACCTCGCCCGGACGATCGAGGCCTTCGTCGATGCCCTGAACCTGAAGCACTTCGCAATTTACATCTTCGACTACGGCGCGCCCGTTGGTCTGCGCCTGGCACTGAACCGCCCTAGTGCTGTTACTGCGATCATTACCCAGAACGGGAATGCCTATGTTGAGGGGTTTGGGGAGGAGGCTTGGGCGGGGATCATGAAGTACTGGAAGAGTGGAAGCCAAGAAGACCGCAATGCAATTCGGGTTATGGTGACCCCTGATCTAACTAAGGCGCAGTACTTGCGCGGCTCGCTGCGTCTGGGGGAGATCCAGCCCGAGGCGTACACGTTGGATCAGGCGCTAATGGAGAGGCCGGGGAATGCGGAAATCCAGTTGGATCTGTTCTATGACTATCGCACGAATGTGGACTTGTACCCTAAGTTCCAGGAGTACTTCCGCAATTCGGGGGTTCCTGTGTTGGCGGTTTGGGGGAAGAATGATTGGATCTTCGTCCCTCCGGGGGCGGAGGCGTTTGCGAGGGATGTGGATACTCTGGAGTTGCATTTCTTGGATGCTGGACACTTTGCACTGGAGACGAACGAGGAGGAGATGGCGGGATACATCAAAGGTTTCTTGGAGAAAATTTATGCGGTCTGATTAAAGCTATCTACAAAGGAATACGGGTCTGTGTTGAGAATGCTAGGGGGGTCAACTCAACTGTTAACCTAAAGACGTGAGGAACGAGGAATGCATCATAGTGTGTATTGTGATCCAAACTCCACAGTCAACCAAGCGAAAGAGCACATGCAGCAGCGATCATAGCCATTCATCATCTTGGGCTTTCATCTTCTCCAAGCACCATGTTCTAGCCCTGGCAACAACCTGCGATTCCCTGGCAATGTCCTGTAATAGCATGCTGATTCGTACCCCTGGTGCTACCATTGGTACACCTTCTCCTGGCCCCATTTCAGCAGCCAGTTGTTGGCAATGACCTTGAAGCTGAACGAATTGTCTTTGGTCGTGAAAACGATCCCCTCACGCCGCCTTCCATTGACCCCCCTTCCTTCAGCTCGCACAATGAGATCCTCCATGTCTCTGGCAAAGTGTTCCAGGAGAAGGCGGTCCAAGATAGGAGCGTGCATGAGTCCGTTGCCGATGCAAACATTCCTGCACTGGCCGACAGGGTACCATTTTTGCTTTCCGATATCAAAAATCCTAAACACGTAGAAGCGGTGGGTGCCCTCATCAAAGCCCATGCTGTTCCTTATGATGCTTGAACCGCAAAGCTCACCCTGGACGGCTACGTTTCTTCGCTGGTGCCTAACCAGCTTCTCAATTATTCTTTCCTCCCTGGCCACGCGCCAAAAGATGGAGTTGTTGTCCTCGATATAGTCTTCAGTTCTACCACATACGCCAAAATTCGGGCGGTTGGGGTGTTCTTGGCCAGCGACTCGTTTCAACTCAGCATGCCACTCGGAATCTTCATCAACGTAGTAGACCGTCATGGGAACGGCGTCTATCTTCTCGGTGATTTGGAATTCTGTCTTGCCATAGAGTTCAAAGAGATTCACTATGTTCTGGGCACGCTCGCAGCCAGGCTGTGGGAAGAACATGGGTGAGTGACCGTAGCTGGCAGCAGGATGGTGGAACTCGTCCTCACACTTCCTCACACCGAGCATAGGAGCGAAGTCAACCTCCATAAGCCTCTTGACAGCTTCAGTCGGGGGATATTCTTTCTCGAGCTTTTGCTTGACGTTGACGACAACACTGAAAGTATTGAGAGGGAAGACAAGACCTTGTGAAATGTGATAATCGAAAACCTTTGTCTTCACCGCATATCCTAGCTCTCCATCTAGCTCATAAAGGTTGCCCGAGTAGCAGTATTCCCAGAATGCTGGGTTCGCTTGGGGAAGGAAGGAGTCTATTTCACAGTAAACGACCAGGTCGCCGACGTTAAACTCTTTCTTCCTGACAGCGACGCGCCATCCATCAACTACCGCAAACTCGGTGTTCCTAGTCCGACTCGGCATTTTATCCGCAATCGCTCGAACTGAGACTAGTCGACGATTTACTGGCGAGTGAACCGGTAACCTCGTCAAGTATTTGACCGAGTGACTAGACGGGGCCTCCAGCTTGGACGCTTGGAGTCTATCAATGCACTCCTCCACGGAGCCCTGTTGGCTTGAGCTCCCTTGCATAGTGCCATTCAGGGATGTCGATGGGGATGGAGAGCTGCTGCTCGATTGAATTAGAGAGCCGCTGTTCTTGGACGACTGCATGTGGAAAGGGTGCCGATTGGAGTTGAAGACAAAGCTTAGATGAAAGGAGGAACTTTGCTTGGAACCCAAGTCTGGTCTGTATTTCTGAGAAGGGTGCGATGGGAAGTACGAATGCGGAGTCTCGGAAGAGGCCGTGGGTGGAATGATCCGACTGCTTAGGAGAGTGGGTTGGTCGGAGATCTTAGACGAGGATTCCTGGGGAAAACTGCTGCAGAGACGGCGGATGAAAAGATTCGATTCCTTAGGAGACGCACTTGGTCTACTTTTCTCGGATGAGTGTGCCACAGGCGTACAAATTCAGAGCGTTGATGCCGACGGTGAATGGAATCAATCTGGTACGAGACGGGCTCGATGGGAATCCTGTAATTTAGGTGATATTTCCTAGGTTATTTATAACTGTTATTTGAAGTGACCGACGAACTTGAGCCTTGGTGGAAATGATGAGAGGAGAAGAATGATGATGCGGCGCTGAAATAGGAATCAGGTAGTTAGTTAGGTGCGCGTTTACTTCAAGTGCTTCAGCCAGATGTTACTAGCCTTAACGTGGATTAAGGAAGTCGCGATGCGCTCAGCCGCATATCAGGGAAGGGACGGCTCAAAATGAATGCAGACTCATAATGTTTGGGGTAGGAGCGTCAAAGAGTTTTATGGTTGTGATAGCGTGGGCCTACCATTTCTGTCTATAGATATGCCATTCATCATTAAGCATAGATGGTTACATTGTCGGTCCTGTTATTTGTGAAATGCTGTGTCAATCATTACGGAATGGCTATGATTACTTGGTGAAGGAGGATGATTCCTCCTACTCCGTGCTACATAGTGCAACAGCACTTCGCTTATCAAACGGGGTACAAGTGCGGCTCATGGCAAGCTTGTCTCTTTGTCGTATGGAATCAAAGATTCTATCAAACCGTACACATTGTATATTTCCCTACCAGAGTTAACCAATCGTCCCAGCTGCTCCTAGTGTAGTATCCACACATCATTCAATGTGTGGAAGTACAATTCGCTGCAACTACGGTGCCTGTGTAGGATGGAGGCAAATGGTGACACGACAAGCTTGTTTTCTTTTTGGCTGACAAGTTTTAGCACCTTAAGCCCGTCATTGACTATATGGCATGACCGACGCTTTGATCATGTTGGAAGCACAGACTTCATGTATATTCCTCAATCCTTCCTCTCACACACGACCTGGGACGACGGCATTGCGTACCAACCATCCTCTGCCTTTACCCACTTCTGCCATGATTCCAACACTTCAGACATGTCCATCTTCTCTATGTTGTACTGCGTTTGTGTTTCCTCGATATTAGCTAACGAAGCCTGGTTACTCAAGTTTTCGATGAACATTGCCGCCCACGACTCCCGTTCAGGAGGCGTCGAATAGATCCAGTGTCCCAAACTGACTTCTATGTTTTCTCGCTTGAAACCAGCCGCAAGAGCATGCGACAGTAGCTTTCTCCCCACATGTGGGTCCTGGTTTCGTGCTTGCATCATCTTTGGAATCACTGAATTAAACTTGATCATAGGAGGCATCTCGGGCCAGAACGCCACCATGCCAAGGTCAACCTCACGACAGCAGACCTTGCCGCCGTGCGGCTTCGCTGCTTCGCGAAGCTCACGCATGAACTTAGCGGCATCTTGGACGTGCATGTGAACCTGGTGGGTGTGGACAACATCCTGTATAAATGATCAGTTCCTGTTACCATCGAACCTAAGAGTCTCCGATGCTTACACAACCACCCTTCACAACCTCAAAGCCTGGGTTCTCGGCAGCCTTTCCTAGTTCCAGTGCGTCTCCAACTGCAAATTTCACATTGTGAACACCAGCTTCCTGCGCATTAGAGCGTGCTGTCTCAATGGCGTCGGGGCTGTCAACACCCAACACTGTGGATGATGGATAACGGCGAGCGATATCAATGGTGATGCTGCCTGGGCCACAACCCACGTCCAGGAGAGTGAAATTGGCTGGAAGAGCATCGAGCACTGGAATAATGTACGGGACTGAATTTTCCACCGTGCGCCTGGCCAAGTGGTTGGCTACACCAGGTTGATTCTGCCCTAGGTAGTTGTTGGTGGACATTGTGTCTGGTTTTATCGTTGATGTATGTCTGATTTGGATGTTCGATATAAGAAGTCAACCCACTATCACATCATTTCCGAGCTTTTGGGGTGTGCGCTTTCTTTTTGTATTCCAATAAGTCAAGGTCGCAAATACGAACACGCACACCCACACGACTTGAAGCATGATAAGGTTTCGGCCGATGAGAATCCGAGGTAAATGATTCGTTTGGAGGCCAACTCTCCTTGATGCCGAAGCCCCAATCACCTTACTCCCTGCGGCGTTTTGGCAAGCAACACTTTGGATGGTGACCTCATACCGGAAAGAAGCGAAGAAGTTAACCGAGCTGATAACCGGAACTTGATACTGGCTTGTCACTTAGACTTTTGAAAGCTCCTAGCTTTTCTCCCGTAACCTCTACACATGTGGGAAGGGCCAGGTCAAGTCCGTGGCTTGTCGTGCTTGATATCCCGTTCAAACTCTACCCCTTTCAATGTTTGAACATGATATTTCTGCTGCATGTCGGCCGTTCTTGTCATTGTGATATCGTGACACGTCACAGATGACAACACTCTGCAGTTCGTGATGATGTTCATTTGCGTTTTCTCCCATTAACTCTTTCCAATCGTCCCCGCCGCATGACTACTATCTAACATGCCCATACTCCCTTTCCCCTTCCCCTAGTCTATAGAACAGACCAATGTATCGAGCACCACATCATTCAGAGTTCAAGTTGTCGTTAATATAGGCACGTTTGATGTTACAGCTCTCAGCCTCATAGTAGACTAAGTTTCGGTGCCATCGCTAGTTTGTTCCCAAAGTGGAAGTTAACCGCCACTCTGCAGTGCCGATGAACCCTCAATCTCCATGTTCTCCCATACCGTGAACTGTCGTCCGTGCCATTCAGGTTTCCGTGCCTAGCGTCGCCCAGAAATAATCCCAGTCCGAGACCAAGTAGACTTTATCAGCTACGGCAGCAGCCTAGGTGTGAGGAACACGATGTCGGAATATTCAACCAAAGGCTATTAGTTTATTAACCCAGGAAGAAAGCACCGTAAGGCGGCTGTGAGGAGAATAAGGTCCACACCGAACCGTTGTGGAACTGTTTCTGAGCTCCTGCATGATGCTCCCGTCGGCGGCCTTCAGTCGTTGGATTGCACAGAAAAGGATCATCCCAAGGATACTCGAGTAGTTAGAGTTCGCGTTGCCATCAGCTATCTGATGACCTCGAGAGCCACAGCCGCAGAAAAACACTCCAATCTATCTTTCATCTCTGAAAACTCGAACACACCATGGCTGTAAATCTTTCTAGATATCTGCACATCTGCGCTCATGGTGATACTCACAGCCACGGGAGCCTACCTAGCTTTCCATTCGGTGTGGTGAGCCTTGTGGCTCAACCCCCTGTTCATCCAGCTCTTCAGTGTCGCCTTCGCCCTACGGCACGAACAGCTCGTCTTGACATCCACCTCCTCAGCCGCTGAGGACCCTGCCTGCGACTTAGAGTAGGGAAGTAAATAACAACTTCACCAAGAAAACTCTGGGCTATTTTGTGGTCCAGAATCAATCCACGATAACTTGCAGTAGCTCCGGGACGGCTGGGCCAGAGCAGTTGTTGCTTGTGGATTTCAGGTGTTGGTAACACTCGCGGTTGAAGTCTCCGTCAATACGTCCAAGTCCCAAAGGACACCCTCAAATATAAGTCAATATGAGGGGGGTCGAGCACCCGGTCTTGATCGACTGAGACAGACTCTTCGCCTTCCATTAAAGGTGAATCGAGTTCAGATAGGGGCATCTACCGCACATCGCTGCGTAAACAACCAGCTGCGCCCCGGCGTCTCGGCGGCTGAGGTCTTGTGAATGTAGATCTGCGAGAGCGGCGGGGACTTGGCCATAGCCTTCTCGCCGAGTTTCTCCTCTAGGTAGCGCCGCCTACGCTGGCTGGTCGTCACTGGAAGGATATACTTAGCACCCCCCTGCCCCCCCAAAAAAGGACCTCTAGTATCTAAGTTGTACATACGAGCTATCGTTTAGGTTCGTTCTCCCCTACATTAGTATAATGTATAGGTCCTAGGCTAAGACGTGATCCTCTATGACGATATATTATCTACTTCTTTTGTCTTTTCCGTTTGCTGCTATTACAGCCAGTTATTCAGGACGGACGGACCCTGCGCGCAAAACCTTTGGCGCACGGCCAACTGTTAGAACTCGAGAAACAAAACTTCTGATGTATCAGCAACTGATTCAAGTATGCAGCGAAGAGGCATATTTCCGGTATATAACGTCTTTAGGGCGTACTTCACTCTGTTAGATTCGGGGAGACTAGAGACATGTTCAATTCTTTGCTTTGTTATAGCTTGCAATAAGTCCGATGTTTCCCTTGGGCTCATTCTTATCATACCTATTATTGAGGTCTGTAGGTCTTCAATAATCTTGGGTGGTAGTAAATGTCAATTATAATTCATATTATTACCGTTGTTATTAACTTAGGTAGTTATGTTGTCTTCCTATATTAGGTCGTGTCTATCTGTCAAAGTGACGGGATCACAGCCTGGAGGCACGAGCTAGCAGGGCTGGCATAAGGGTAATGGCTCGGTGCCGATTTAGTCCAACGTACGTCAGTCCTATCAAGGGAAGATATTATGGGCCCCGAAAGCAGAAGTGTTGGGGCACACAGAGAGATAGTTGTAGTGTGTTGTGGATAGGTCACTCGTATAAGTCGGCCTTAATTAGGCATTATCATGTCAACGGCTTGAACTTAAATATAATCCATCTACTACTGAGTTAAATCTACGTTTCTACCGCCGACGTAGGTGGCCGTTATATATACGGAGAATTGACTGCGCAGATCGTACACTTTTAATGAACACTCAGCTTCCTAAGCAATGAAACATGAAATTCAACCTCAGCAATATTCTGAGTATCCTTTACACGCAGATAAGTCACGAGCCCGTGTCAGTAATTCTAGCGCATCCTCATTAGAAAGCTAATTCGACTATACCTGTTATTATGTAGCTTGGCATTCCTCGCACATCGCAGTCATTGTTCCCCTGGAAGTCTGTTAATTTTTATTATTAAATACGCCGTAGGCTCGAAGTCCCCGGTACCTCTACTAGTACTCCCGTATGTCAAACCGTGCCCTAATGGCTGGACTAAATACATACGCTGCGTCGTCGGTTCGCCCTATTGGCGACTGCGTTGCGTTCACTACCATACTACGTTGGTTCTCAACCTACCAACAAAGTCCCCCCTGAGAAGATCGATGCTATCTGGGCCTTGAAGCTGTCCGACCCGTCCCTAGCAGCCATCTTACAATAGTCCCACTAACTACTGGTTCTCCTGTTGCCGTTGCGAGGTCTCTGCGAGAGTATAGTGGCCGTGGTGCGATGGCGGCCCGTAATCGTTCCCTCGCTCCTTCCAACAGCCCGCAAAAGAGGATTACGTGCTCTGCCGTCTCAGGGGCATCGCCACAGCGGCATAGCGGCGAGTACACGCCAAAAGCCCCTGTCTTGAATAAGAAGGCTGCTAGTCCTATTTTTTCCGTCCTGATCTGGCACAGCGTAGACGCCTCCAGTCGGTTCAGGCCGAAATACTTGCCCCCTTTCGGTATCTGCATCGAAGGGCCCTCCGGTTCCTCAGCGATAGCGCGTCGCTGGCGATCGTGATTCTCTGCTCCGGTGAGCCATCTCTTCCTCCAGTGGTCGAGGAGGGCAGCCGGGACCTCCTTTTCCTCACTCATCCACTCGGAGCCCCGGGCCTCCTTCTCCATAGTGTACCCTGCCGGTCGGAGTAGCTGCGACGCCTGCTTCCTCTTCGCTGGCCTATCCTGCCGGAGTATATGTGACGCTTTAGCGCTCGCGCTGCGAAGCAGATTTCTCTTCCCGCTAAGTCGTAGCCGTTCTTCAAACTTAGCAGCCCGGGCACTAAGATAGAGGTCTAGTGGCGGGATTGCTGCTTCTGCTTCCAGGTGGCGAACCGGCGTCGCTTTGTGGGCGCCATAGACTACCCGGAGGCACTCGTTCTGTATCCCCATCAGGCTCTTAGCTGGCCCTGCCGGTTCCTCACTTATAGTATGCCACGCAGTCGCCCCGAAGGCGATCGCGCTACGGATAACCACCGTATATAACAGCCTCGCCCGTATAAGATCGCAGCCCCACGACATATTGACTAGCTTTGTCAGGGCTAGCTTTTGAGTTGCCATTTTTGTTTTAACACGCTCAACATGGGCGTGCCACGTCAGTTTGCGGTCGAACCAGACTCCTAGGAACCTGGCTGAGACTACCGGCGACACTGTGGCGTCCCCAAGGCGAATACTTTGCGGCAAGGGCTCTCGGGCCCTAGTAAAGTGCATTAGCTCACTCTTGTCAGGAGCGAACTCCATCCCGTGCCTCACTGCCCACCGCTGACACGTAGCCCATGCGCTCTCCAACCGGCGGCAGGTCGTGTCTGGATCGGTGCCGACGCTTAGCAGGTTCGTGTCGTCCGCGAACCCGACTACTAAAAGTAGTGGATGCTGCTCCGCTAGCTCCTCGTACAGCGTTGAAATGTATAATATAAACAGTATCGGGGATAGCGGTGACCCCTGGGGGACGCCAGCTCGTAGGGGGATTGGCTCTGACTCCTTGCCATCGAACCGGAGGCGTACCGTTCTATCCTCCACGAAGCTGCGTACCCACTCCTGAACCCACTCCGGGTAGCCTTTCCGGGCTAATATGGAAATCAGCCGTCTGTAATTGACCGTATCGAATGCCCCCTTGATGTCTAGCTGTAGCAGCGAGGCGATGCCCCCGCGTCTCCACGCCGTCAGTCTGTTAATTATGACAAGACTTTAGCTAAAAACGAAAAAGAGAAAAAGAAAAAAAGGTGTAAAAGTCACCGAAAGCCACTAGAAATCGATTTCGAAAACTTGTACTGAACTCGCCAGATTTACCACCGACATGCAACGACATCATTGGGTATTAGCACTGAAGACCAAATTATGCCTCGCGCGAAGGAATGCACCATGCATGCAAACCCATGCAAAATAAATATGTTGCAATGGGAGTCTAGCGAGCTTTTCCAAGCCTCTGTGCAAATGAGTTGTTAGGAATCGCATTTGATGCGACGCAGCAAAGTAGATATAATACGAAAAACACACGCTGGCGCGCGCCGCTCAGTAATGGCCCGCCAAGGGTCGGACCAACCTCACCAACCTCACCAGCCCCCCCTTGGTTGGTTGGTGATCAAATGAGTAAGCAAAACGCTGGTGATTTTGACCAACCAGTGATATTGGTAAGGTTAGGTGAGATTGGTGACTTTTTGGTTTAATATACTGCCAAAATATGAAGCTATCGCTAACCTCGCCGACGCAGTCCCCCGGGAACATGCTGGCGGAGTTAGCTATAGACTCGTCCGGTTCATCCAGCCAGTCATTTTCTATAGCTCTCTCAGCCGGCAGAGCCCCAAGCAGAGTATCTAGCTGGCTTATGAAGCCGGCTTTGTACTAAATTCGTAGTGTCTGGCACATGCTCATGATACCAGCATCAAGGCTTGGCCGCTGTGACGTGACCATTCTACTAGCAGATGAAAATAACCGCTCGCATTCATATCCTTCTGGATATTATAGCCATAGGCCCACGCCCATGATAAGACGGCCTTACCGCGTTCAGAGAAAGTGAAGCCGCGGAAACACTGGAAAATGTGCTTTTAAGCCTCCGGGAGTACCAGAGTAGCATCAACCGAGGCCTGGCAAGATAGCGATGCTACCGGAGTCTACATTCTAGGAACAGTTAGACCCTCTACAGTATAAGGGCAGCGGCTTAAGTGTGAGAGGAATACTAGGATAATAGCTAAATCTCAAAGTACCAGACGTTTTGCAGAGATTTGCGAGCTAACAATTCTTATAGGATGTCCTAAAGGGCTGGCAGGGCCTTCAGCACCTTCAAATTACCCAAACCTACGGCTGTTAGGGATCCCAAGCACTGTTAAAATAGCTATTTGAGCCTTGGCAACCATAAAGCAACCAGGTTGACCAACTAGGTTGTCGAAAATTGGTATCGAGCAATCCAAGTTCTCACCGCATTTTCCGCGGTGGTGACGGTACCAATTATCTCGGCGATACTCAATCATGCGGCCGTCGTTCTCATTTCACGAGCTCCAGGCAATATCATCACGCAGAGACTGGCCACTCAGATGGCTCTCTACAATGCCCCGACCAGCTGTACCTTTGGTATGATCCAGGGAGTTGAAAATACCCTCCTGAGCGAACATACGCTAAGACGATGTTCCCCTATACGGCCGCGTATGGCCACAAGGAATCGCCGAGATATTCCTCGACATTTCCGTGCATATCTCCAGCCCGCTCTCGAATTTGGCTGGCAGCTCAACAGACGAATCCAATTTTACCGTGAACTGCTCGGCGTCAACGCCAAGAGGCTACTTCGAGCTGCCGAATCACCATAATCATTACCAATCCGGCCCCCTACTGGAGACGTGGCCTAGCGCCACCGTGTTAAATACTGTCTTCAACGACAAGATATACTCTACAGATAGTCCCCCAACCGATAGGTGAGTTTCCATATATACTGTAGCCTTGCTTAACGTACCCCACAAGCAAGTTGGCCACTTTTTCTTGGCACCGTACGAACAACCTTTTAATTAGCATCTTTACACATACCAAGATGGGATCGAATTGGAAAGAAAGCGACATGATTCTAGCGTGTCAGGCGCTTCAATCGAAACCCGAATTAAGCATCCGACGCGCTGCCTAACTCTACAATGTCCCTCGTACAACTCTAGCTAACCGAAAACGCGGACTACTATCTCAACGCGATACTCGACAATCTAGTCATAAGCTTACGGAATCAGAAGAGTTAGCGGTCGTACAATATATACTTGACCTAGATTCGCGATCATTTCCTCCCCGGCTCCATGGTGTTGAAGCTATGGCTAACCGACTGCTCCGTGACCGTGGCGCTGGACGCGTCGGCGTCAACTGGGCCTCGAACTTCGTACGACGACAACCAGACCTTCGGACGCGTTTTAATCGAAGAATCGACTACCAACGAGCCTATTGCGAAGATCCTGACGCGTATCGCGCGTGGTTTACGCTCGTACGAAATACAATTGCGAAATATGGTATCCAAGAGGCGGATATCTATAACTTCGACGAGACAGGGTTCGCGATGGGCTTAATCATCCGAGATGGTAGTTACAAGTGCCGAACGACGCGGAAGGCCTCGTACAGTCCAACAAGGCAATCGAGAATGGGCTACAGTAATCCAGGGTATTAATTAGTCCGGCTGGGCTATCCCGCCGTATATTATTGTCGCGGGTCAAAACCACCTCTTATCCTGGTACGAGAATAGCCCATTCCCGTCCGACTGGGTAATCGCGGTAACCAAAAACGGTTGGACAACAAATGAGCGAGGCGTAGACTGGATTCAGCACTTTGATCGCTATACGAAGGATCGTACGAAGGGTGTTTATCGTCTTCTTATCCTCGACGGGCATGAGAGCCACCACTCGACTGACTTCGAGCTATATTGCAAAGAGCATACTATTATTACACTTAGTATGCCTGCTCATTCGTCACATAAGCTCCAGCCTCTCGATGTAGGCTGTTTTAGGGCTTTGAAAAGGTCTTACGGCAAAGAAATTGAAGACCTAATACGGGCGTATATAACCCATATCTCGAAGGAGGATTTCTTTTTGGCATTCTATAGGGCGTATCGTACGACTATAACTAAGTCGAATATCCAGGCAGATTTCAGGGGGACAGGACTTATTCCGTACGACCCGGAATATGTGATTTCACAGCTGGATATTAAGCTACATATGCCTACACCTCCTGGGAGCTCGTCTGGCGCCCCCTTAATCTGGGAATCAAAGACTCCAAATAACCCAACCGAGGCGCAATCCCAGTCTGAATACGTTAAAAACAGAATCGTACAGCATCAGAATAGCTCCCCGACGACAATACTTACGGCTATTGACCAATTTTCACGTGGTGCGACGGCTGTTATACATCGGTTAGTTTTAGTTGAGGATGAGGTTACTACACTTCGGAAGGTCAATCAAGAGCTAAGCCGTCGTCGAAGAATTAAAAATCGACAGCTACAAGATGGAGGATCTCTTAGTTTACGAGACGCTCAGGACTTACAGTCTCAACGGGATATTGAACAGCAGCTACAGGATAATATACGTGTAAGTCGTCGTCGTACGAGACCGGCCGAACCACGCCGACGGCGCTGTAGGATCTGCGGAGAGCCCGGACATAATGCTCGTACTTGTGAGAATGATAAAGATACGTACGAGGAAGAGTATTCCGATTAGTTTGAGTTATTATTTTTTAGTTTAGTTAAGTTATTGAAGTTATTCATACGGTGTCAAGAAAAAGTGGCCAACTTGCTTGTGGGGTACGTTAGTACCATCATCCATCAAATGCTGATTCGCATCCATACCATTCCAATGGGACAATGGTGGTCAAGCTTAGCGTGCCATTACCGGCCAGGATTGTGATTTCGACGCTTCTTGGGTTGGAGATTTTAGGACTGCTGGTTTTGATTGGGTTTATTTACCATGTGCTGACGTTTGCAAAACGGTTGGATGCCTTCGATATTGCAAATATTGGAGCATAAATGACGGCTTTAGGCAATTCGGTGGAAAATCTGGGCGGGGATGAAGAAAAGTAACGCGCTGCGCTTTGTACAGAGGACAGAGTAATCGGACTGGCTGAGGAGCAAATGTCGACTGAGATGTCCAACGGGCCACGGGAAGTCAACGACGAGCGAAGGATGTCGGGGTTGACCGCAGCCGACGGTTCTCCCACAACATCGCCAGGAATTGAACTCGCGGACCTTCAATAACCAAGTCATGGCGCGAATACTCGTTTGCCCAATACCAATCCCGGGGGCTCTTGTGGTTGGGGGAACAGGAAGTCTTATTAGGCGGTCGAGGAAGGAGAAGTGTGACGCAACCGGCGCAAGGGTTTAGCATGGAGCATTTATGTTATTTTAGGCAATACAGTAAAACCACAACGCCGTAAATCAATTGAAACTACTCTGAATCTTCCTCTCCAGAAGATGGCAATGCGATCTTACAAGTTCGCGCATTATGCCCAGTCCCGTTGCAAATACCACAGCGCCTCGGGCGCGTTTCAACACGCTTTGCGCGACCACCATTTCGGCGCTCTTCTTGCTGTATCTGCGTCGCCAACTCCCTAGAGTCCCGTAGGTCCTGTCCTTCTTGGAAAATAAGTGATTCTCCTTCCCGTAATTGCATTTTTTTAGTCCTCTGGCGCCGGCTTAGCATCTTATTTGCCTCTCGAAGCTCAGCGCACTCGGCCCGTATGAGGGCGAGCCGCCGTTTTTACGCGTTTGGAGGGTGCTTCGGGGGACTTGGTACGTTTTTGCCGCTTGTCCAAGACTAAGTTTTTGGTCATTTTTGAGAGCTTGAAGGGCTAGCATTAAGTCTGCTTCGTTGTATGACTTTGCCATAATTGGTTGTTGAGAAAATCAAACATTAAGTTGGCCGGTCGCGTTGGCGCATCAAAGTGGCCAGCTCGGTGTCATGGCCAGCTCGGTGTACATTCACGTTATTGGTAAACATAATATAGAAATCGAGTAACATGTATGAGCGCTTAGAAGATGAATTGGAAGATGGACCTAGATCCGACTTCTTTCGCAAGAGGTTCCCAATTGTGTAGATACTGTTAGGTAGTAACATGATAAAGCTGGGCCGCCATTCCCGTGTTCCCATACATAGGCAAGATGATTTCTTTCCCTCCCTGTAGTTCCACCCTGTGCTCACATCACTTCTCGACGAAAGCCCTCCAACGTTTGCGCATCAAGCCTGCCATCCGCCCACGATATCGCCCTTGAGAAGCTTGGGTTGGATGTCGGTAAAGTTAGGTACATCGCCGAAGACCTGGGTGGCGATTTCGCCAGGGGCGGCTGCCGCTCCGAAAGCCTCGAGGCTATCCCACATCAAGACGGCTTGAACAACGTAGGTCTCCGCGTCGTCGGTATTGTGGGTGACAGCCCAGGACTGCAGGCCCAGGGGAGCCCACAGCTTCTGGACGAGGGGCATGTGTTGCTCGAGGTAGTATTTAAGGTCAAATTTGAAAACGTCCTTGGGCAGTTTACCGTCCTTGGCCTCTGGGCGGGGGTACGCGACAGTGACGAGAGCAGGCATGACTGATGATTTGGATGGTGTTTTGCGGTGGGTTTCTTGCCTTTCTGGGTAAATGAGCTCTTGGATATGTGCCGATGATTATTTCATATGCGATTGTGGTCAATTGTCCGATTTTTCTAGTCGAGGTATTCCGTAGAGGTCCGATCTACAGCCGAGGCTCACTCCACATTGCTATCTCGCTACGTCACTCCTAACAGAGGAGTTTGACGAGCTACGCTCCCCCCCGGTAGCCAAGATAATGCGGGTCGTTTAGCCCCACATGTCTAACTCTCCGACGTAACCCATAAGTCAGTTTGGAACCTTACCGCTTGACTGTAACGAAACCTCTAATAGTCTAGCTGCGTAAACCACTAAAGAGTCTGTAAGGGTTTGTGCTAGTAAGTAAGTCCTGCTGCGGAGTCCTCAAGCAATAATATCGGGGTCTGACGTATGGAGTATAGTGCTTTGGGTAACTGAAGTATTCAAGTAGGGTAGTTGGGAATAGAGTCGTCAAGGCAGTTTGCCTCACCAATGGGTTAGATTGATGCTTAGATTGATCACTGAAGTAGAGACTGTCTATCTATGAAATGCCTGGGAGTCCTGTCCCTTATATATCCATCTCTCCTTCACTGATCCCCACTTGGATTGATTGATTGATTGAAATTTAACGTCTCATCATGTGAGACGTGCCGGGCGCAGTGCCGGCATGGTCAATGCTAGTCGAATCTGTTACAGGGGACTGTCTTCATCTAACATTCCTGTTCAGTGCGATGGGCAGATCTCAGTAAAGAAATTGGTCTCCTCCGCCCATTGGCAATACAAACGAGCTCCCTTGGCCGTGCCTAGGAGGGAATCTATACTATTCTTGGCCATATGCGCTTTTAGATGACCGGGCGTGGCCTTGCGGCCGCGCTTGCAAAAGTAGAAGTGGACTGGTGTCTTTGTCTTTCCACACCCGCAGTTGAGCAGTGCGTCGCGATGCTGGAGTCTCTCGTGGTAGGTCACGAAATCCCCGTGGTGCGACCTCGCTGCGAGTAATCTGCCTAGGTGTTGCCGGGGCAGGCCAAGTTCGGGGGGTCGCGGGTGGATAGCGATCCCTAGATCTCGATACTTTTGAGGGCAGGTAGTGGCCCATCGATCGTTGAAACTCTTCCAAGTGTAGGATCTCGCGATTCTCTTTATATGTGCGAATGAGGCCGGGTGTTGTGTCTTGAGTGGTTGCTCACAGGACGCTTTGGCCTGGGCATCTGCTTCTTCGTTTCCGGGGATGCCTACGTGTCCTGGGCACCACCAGATATACACTTGCCCCGGGGATGTCCAGGGTTTTCGCTCTCTCTGTGACCAGGTTTTGGACAGCTCTTGGAAGGCGGTGAACTTTGCTTGACTGCTTCCGGGACTTGGACAGATGAGCCTACCCGCAACCGCGAGATTATCGAGGCAGATGTGGACGTTATCTGCCATGCTGTTGGACGGAAGCTTTACAGCCTCCTGAAGCCCCCGTAGTGCTGCGTGGGCTTCCGCATCGTATACCTCTATCTGAGAGCCCAGTAGTTCGGACCCGCAGAGTAGTCTTTTACCGGCCTGATAACCAGCCCAGCCTGCTCCAGCTAAGGTCCTGTCGCTATGGGTAGCCAGCGAGCCGTCTGTATAGATTATTATATCGCGCTTTGAAAACTCGTTTATCCTTTGTAGAAACGAGCGGGCAGCCTCCTCCTTTGACTGTCCTGGGATATAACCGATCTTGGCGAGGGTGATGGACCATTCGCCAGCCTGCTCCCAGGGCGGTATTTGCAGAGGATCTATATATTCTGCAGTATCTGGGGTTAGGCTCGCCATACGCCTTAACCTCAAATCGGGGCCCGTAGGATGTCTGAGCCTCCTGCGTAAGGGATGGCGGCTATCCAGTTTGTGTAATCTAACAGAAGCCGCATAGAGTTTTGCGTCGAGTGCGATTTCTGCTGGCGGTAGTGCCGCTTCCCGTTGCAGGATCGGTATTGGCGTGGTCCTATATACAGGAAGCATGGCTCTCATTGCGGTATTCTGCGTTCGATCCATTTGGTCAGCTAGGGATTGGACCCGGTTTGAGATAATGCGTCCATTCTTGTTCTGTCTGGCAGACGGCCACCATGCTTCCGAGGCGTAGAATTGCACGGGGAGCACGCACGCGATTACAGCTTGACGGAGTAGTCGTGTTGGGGCCCCTCTGATTGTGTTTCCTAACGACCGGAGTCCGTTAGCAACCTGTAGAGCTTTAGCTGAGACGAATTTGACATGGGCCTTAAAGCTAAGCTTTCTATCGAAGTAGACGCCTAACCACCTGAGTGCAGCACCGATTTTGATGGGTTGAACAGTGTGGATCGTTCCATTCTGTTGCGTAGTGGTAATGGGTGGGTTTGCATCTCTCCCTCTTCTTGTGAAGTGTATTAGCTCCGTCTTGTCGGGGTCGAACGTGATACCCTCAGACATGCTCCAGTCGAGTGCTGCTTTCCACTCTTCGGCCAGTATAGTGCAATTTTCTTCTAGGGAACTAGAGCTTGACAGTATAGCTATGTCGTCCACGTAGCCGAATCGCGAGCGCTTGCGTCCAGGTCTGCAGGTGCCCAGCTTAAATAGGGGCTCGATATATAGAAGGAGGAGGATCGGCGAGACGGGCGATCCTTGCGGAAGTCCACATTCGAGGTCAAAAGTGTCTCCGGTTTCCCCGTCTAGCCGTATTCTCCCCTTCTATTCTTCGTGATCCTACCGGGGTGGCTCACTGGCTCACTGCGTGATCCAGTGATCCGTCACGTGACCTTCTCTAGTCGGTCCGTCCTTCTTCCGTTCCTATCTTCTATCCTTGTTTCCGGTCCTTTCCTGCAGGTATCCACCTAAGGCCTGCCAACGGGCCTATTCTGTGTTGATTAGGAACGTGGTTCATAACACCTTATAGCTAGGTAGTCTCTCTACCTTTTCGTAGGAGAATACGTCTAGGTACGTGTATAGTTCTATAGGTACCGTTTCTAGTATATACCCCGGGACCGACGTTGCCCTGGGATAAGCGGATAAGTGCGGAACCTGACTTTTATCCTGACATTATGCACTTTAGCTGGGTTAGTCATCCGCTGCAAGTGCGTATGCTTTCCAAAATATATTCATTTTATCAAGTTCCGAAAACATACCTTCATACAGCAGAAGGTATAATTAATTTGTTAGTAAAGTGTTGTGTTACAATTCAGACAACAAGGCCTAGGTAAGACGCAAGTGTTGCAGAAAGGCACCGGCTTCCATCTTTGCGCAACTCATGCCAGGTCACCCTGGGCGCATTTGCCGTGACATGTTGAAGGCAGGAGGCCTGACTAACTGTCAAGGCAGTATGAAGCTCAACCAAACGCTCGACCTAACCATCTTGAAATCGCGATGAGATCCTCTCAACACCACCTTTATTGACCAAGCAAACTCTGCTAGACCCGTAATGCGCATATAAAAGCCACGTCAACCTTCTGACCTCTTATTATCCTACGCTTACAAAATCATACGCAGTCAGTGTCTGCCGCTTTTGTTTCATGACCAATGGTAGAATTGGTTGGCCACCCGGCGGTGCAAGAGATCCTCGGAATGACAGAACAGGCTAAGCGCTTTCCAGGTATCTCCCAACGTTTAGGGCTTTCAGAGTGGAGAGAGACGTCTTGCGTCGTCTCATGAGATTCCACTGATGTCGGGTTCAGTTAGCAGTTGTGAAGACGGCTTGAGCGTGGCCTGCCTGAGGAATCGGTCTTACACGCATAGCTGACTTCGAAATACTGGACTGCGTGACGATCATGAGGAACTCGGCGCGCTGCAAAGTCCCAGCTCTAATGACTATGACAAAATAACGTGAATTTCCATCCTAGTTTCTAGTCGAACCAGAAGCTGGTGTATGTAAGCCAGTCGATAGTTCCTCAACTGGCTGGCCAAACTTGTGTGAATCAAGTCCTGGGTACATCCGGTACTTAATGTTGTCTTCAGCAACATGTATGGGGACCGTAGATTCCGCACCGCCAGTGAATGGTCTCTTGGGAGGTTTCCCGTTATTCGTGTTCTGCTTCTGTATAGCGAGAATCAACTCTTGCACCCGCAGGTCCTTCTTCTTCCTGTCCACTTCGACGGCAGCTCTCACGAAGAGAGTGAAATGCAACGCTCTGCTGTACTGTTAGCCTATATCGTCTTTTCGTTCCAGACCATGATGAACAACTCACGTCAATAAAGATAACAACACAGTAGCCACCGCCTCAACCTTGATCCATGCCAAATAGTTCATCCAGTAAAGAGCTTCACTGCTGTGGTATGCTTCAAGATATCCTTCAAACCCCGTTCCACCGAGTAGACCCAGCCACATCACGAGCTCGACTCCGATGAGCACAGCTGGTTTGATTCCTCTCGCTCGATCACGCCGCGTGCAGACAGTGATGAACTCGGCCGCGTTCCATGCGATAACGAAGACACACGGTATGATGACGACCAATCCCGTGAAGCTGTAGCTTAGTGAGAGTGCGATGCCCAGGCATAGCGCCACAGCTGCTAGGACTGTGCTGCAGGAGCGGATCCATATCTTGACTGTCACCCAGCGCTGGTCATGGCCTACCATGGGCGTGTTTGGTATTGCACTTAGGTTGTTCCTGACGCGGCTCTCCATGGCCAGGAGCAGCAAATACTTGCACAATGACGAGATCTTTCTCAGGGCGTCCTTACTTATCCGAAGTAGGACGGTATTCGGTGTTGATTTGCTGTCCAACGTCTGTCGCCATTAGGGTAAGCTGTCGCGTCGTTCGACTGTGTCGTAATACTGAAGTTCAAAACATCTGGACGTCTGGGAAATCACGAGTGTGCTTATGCCAAGTCGCTGTGCCGTAAAAGCAAGTTTGCAAGGGTAACCTTAGGCCACGTTACTCAATGCGGTATGACGTCCCATTAAAATGGATGTGCCATTGACACATCCCTTTCGTGATTGGGCATAAGGGAAGATGATCATTTACCAAATACGGCTCTACGTGAGTACAGTACGAAGCCTCTGCCCAAAAGTATACGAACTGGCAGGGGCCCCCTTCAGCCGTGTACTATGGTATCAGCCCAAAGTTTTCACCCCCTTATCAAGTACCAGTGGACCACTGTCAAGGTAACGCTATACTGATTCTTGCCTAGCCTACTCATGGTAACGAAAAGGTACTTCCACCTCTGATTCCAACTTGCTGTTAACGCGTCCTAATTATCGCGTATTCAGCAACTACAATGGTGTTACGAACCGTTGGCCCTAGACCAACATTACAGGCCCGTTGGCAGGCCAGGTGGATACAGACGCTAGGATCACGGGATCCCGCATCGGAGAAAGAAAAAGACCGATAGGTCACGTGACCTACAGGGGTGGATATGTGGATCGCTACATATCCAACATATCCAAGTGCGGATCAGTGAAGGAGAGACAGATATATAAGGGACAGGACTCCCAGGCATTTCATAGATAAACAGTCTCTACTTCAGTGATCAATCTAAGCATCAATCTAACCCATTGGTGAGGCAAACTGCCTTGACGACTCTATTCCCAGTTACCCTACTTGAATACTTCAGTTACCCAGAGCCCTATACTCCATACGTCAAACCCCGATATTATTGCTTGAGGACTCCGCAGCAGGACTTACTTACTAGCACAAACCCTTACAGACTCTTTAGTGGTTTACGCAGCTAGACTATTAGAGGTTTCGTTACATCTCTTAAGCCGCGTAAAATTCTCTCACATAGTATCGAGGTTTTTGTGAAGGTCAACCCTCGCAGACTCACTACAACCAGGTGACTTACAGCTGGAACACCTGCCAGGGCAGTGCCAGATGGGAAGCCAATCATAACCCCTGCAGGAGCCCCGCCAAGCGTGGACGACTTAGTCGCGCTCCCTCAAACCTAAGTTGTCATCTTCTTTCCTTCGCTCCTTAGAGTAGAATCTTCGTCGATAGCACCTAATCGAGGTCTCTACCAATGCGATGCAACCCAGGTCGTGACAGGGTGTGGGGAAGGCTGACAGTCTATTGATAATTACCCTTCAGACTGAGTACACTTCGCTATGTGTCGTATCATTGATAGTGCGGTATATCGCGGATTGTCTCTCTCACTGCCAAATAATCATCCCCTCTACCAGTCTAGTCGCGGCTCCGGTAGCCCCGGGCCCAGACTTCATGGAGATCACGAGGAGCTTAAGATGGGGTTAGGTTTTGTAGAAGGGTAGTATTTCCCCACACTCACTTCGTGTTGATTGATGGAATAGAACTTTAGCCTCAACTGCCGAGACGCTAAAATCCAATCACAGACGGACTTCACGGCAAGCCACCTGAATCCAAGGTTTTGTCTCCGTGTTACCATTTCGGACGTAGCTATTGACCTTATATAAGTCCACGAAGTACTTCAGCGATGGAGAATTTGGTCGTGTTTGGGGTTTGAAGCTGGTAATTATTCTGGTTCTGACTTTATTTTGCATCATCGTTGTCAAATCTCATTATTTTCTCTACCATGTTCTTTGCGTTCGCCGCATGGTTATTCCTGACTTCGGTCGTGTTTGCTGACCCAATCAGCATCAACAGCAGAAATGCCGGAATAACTTCAGAGAAGCGAGCCGACTCGAGCTTGGTGGGATATCTCGGTGCCTTCTTCCTGGGGGCGGACCCATACGTCTACTTCTACCTCAGCAATGGAAACGATCCCTTATCTTTCAAGGCCTTGAACCAAGGTCAGCCTGTGCTGAAGCCGACGAAGGGAACGGGTGGTGTGCGCGATCCGGCGATTGTCCAAGGTGGAGGTTCTGAGGCAGGAAAGAAATGGTACATCGTGGGTACTGACCTTGATATTGGAAAGGTGCGTTACAAGACTTCATTGGGAAGATTTTGCGAATCTAATGTGTTCTAAGACAAACTGGGATGCATCGCAGCGAACCGGCTCTAGGGGTATCTTTGTGTGGGAGAGCACAGACTTGGTCAACTGGGTCAACGAACGACTAGTCACAGTTGAGGATGCTACAGCCGGGATGGTCTGGGCTCCTGAAGCAATCTGGGATGCTTCTAAGGGTAAGTTCGACACCCAGGTCTTTGAAAGAGATGGTAATGCTTACCTCTGCAGGCCAGTATCTTGTGCATTGGGCGTCTAAGTTCGTAAGCAATCCCAGCACTGGTCCCCTTTCAACTGCCAGAGCAGATATCTAACTGGACACAGTACTCGGCTTCCGACACGAGTCATACAGGCACACCTTCGAATATCCGCATTCGATATTCCTACACTAGCGACTTTAAGACATTCACTGCACCTCAAATTTACATCGACAATTCGCCTACTGACATCATTGATCTTGACATCCTCCCTCTCGACAGCTCGGGGACCAGCTACCTCCGATTTATGAAAGACGAAACCGCAAAGACAGTTTTCATGGAGTCTTCTACGAATGGGCTGTTCGGTAGTTGGGTACGAGCGGGTGGGAACTCAGGGATTATTACTTCCCAAGTGGAGGGACCTGCCGCGTACAGAGATAATCAGGTTGAGAACAAAGTCCACGTCTTGCTAGACTTTTATGGCGGTGATGGGTATCGACCATACGAGAGTACTGAACCCAAGTCAAACCAGTGGACTGCAAGCAGTCGGTCGGCTTTTCCGACGAATTTGAGGCACGGCAGTGTGTTACCGATCAACCAGACTTTGTATAACGCCTTGAGTACGAAGTGGGGATCGTGAATGATGTTAGCACCACATCCAGATACGCATTTTCCAATGTTTTTGTAGCAAATGCAAAAATCCTAGAAATATCCACATTCATGATGAGCCTGATTATTGGCCTTTGTTGAAAAAGGGTTGAGTGAAGGTTGAGTTCGTCAATAGTCAAATCAATGCAACTCACAATGGATTATACTGAAGCAATCTTCCTCGTTGATCAATGTTTTGGTTGATACATGTCAGAAATGCACCCCATACAGATTTCAAGAACTTTTCCGAGATTCGCGACTTCAAGCTGCCAGGCGCTGCTGTGAAGTGCAAGATAAGCACCTAGGTACCTAGAGCCAAGTCGTGAAGAATACTGAGATGCTTTGTGGGTCTCCACTAACCCCTGTTTAGTTAAGTTCTCCATATACTAGAGCATCTACCTCCATTCATCGAGTTGCCTTTGTACATCTCGTCGTCTGCCGTGTGAGCCCGTGTTTATGTATCATTGGTCTGCATAATTTCTGGCATGTTAGCCTGAATAATCATCGTAATGCTGTATCAGACTCCGTCTCCTCTTCACATAAACTGCCCTTATGCTTGGAGTTGGTGCCTTTGCAATTGTCTGATTCAGTACCGGTAGTGGTCATTTGGAGGTAAGAATTCTCACGTTTTCATGAAGTGTCTAAGGAATGAAGGAAAAAAAAGAAAAAGGGACATCATCCAGGCAGATAAATCTTAGCGTTCCATTTATAGCATTGCTTCGTTACAGTCAATATTGGAATTAGTATCTGCCACAATGATCCCCCGTGTCCACAGCGAAATGAAATCACTTACATGTATTCTACAGCTGACATGAGCTTGGATCGGGTTAGTAACATGCATTTTGACCCGTTCTTTGCTATAAGGAACATCAAAAGATTGGACTGGACTGATTCACTCGTGATGGCAAATGATCCCGAACTTATTAATTGGAATTCTAGCTTAGGTAAATAAGTCAGCCTCGTATTGTGGCACAACTACGCATCATTTTGACCATTAAGTTGACCGGGACATCCTCGCGGTAGTGGATTGATTGGATTAGATAATAAATTTATTATCCTTGTAATTACCAGGCAGAGCCCCTGCCCAAAGTGCCGGTGTGAGTTACCCCAGGTCCACTAATGCCCAAGTGGATATATGCTTGCACAACGTGGAAGCCTCAGTGCTTCTTGCAAAAGCTGCTCTCATCAGATTGTTATCAACCAATGATTCCATATTGTCAATGAGGTTGAGCCATCATATTTCCTGTATAATACTATGGGGAAGCTACTGAAGGAACAGGATTTAAGGACTCTCATCTATAAACATTAGAAGTGTCCGTGATCCACGCTGCTCCTCTTCCCACTCTCTCACTTCCGCATTTGGAAATTGCCTGCCCCACAATGCCCCTGACAAAATCCTGAGATCCCTTTGTTGAACGATCCTCATTTTTTTCTGCATGCTGAAAATATCTGAGTTCTAACTTTGCCATGTTAGTTAGACATACTGGATTTTCCTAGATAAGATGCCTTACAGACCACCAACTAAGAAGCTGACGGCGCATCAGTACTTCTACATCTTCATCATCGATGGCATCGGCGCGGCGATACTATCAGGCGCAATCAACTTCGGCATTGCCTACTGTGAGCTGAACCCCCATCTCAAGGCAGGAATATAGAACTGACAACGTCCATAGTGATGTATATCTACTCCCTAGAGAAGGATGAGCCCGTCAACCTATTCCAGTTCCCCAACACGCTTGCAGGCGATGCAGCGCTGACCATTATCCTCCAATGCATTATCACCTGGCTCATCGAGCTCCTTCTCGTCAACGGGGACCTGAAAGAAGGGCGTGTCCAACCCATTGGTGTCGTCACTGAGCCAAGATCACGTTGGCTGCGCTGGTATCTGTTTCTTGATATCAAACAGGACGATGAACGCAGCGGTGTGGCAGATTGGTCTCGGTTTTTCATCTCACAAGTGCTCCGTGCCTTCCTACTTTCCATTCCGTCGTTCGTTTTGCTGTGGGGGCCTTCGGTTGGCATTATGACCGCATTCGGAAATCGTGACGGGGGCGACTGGACATATCACAATGCTGCCAACCAGTGGGTTCCAGTCGTTTTCAAGGGAGTTCTTGGTGGTGTGTTGGGCTTCATCACAACGCCTATCATTACCGTCTTTTGGCTGATGCGGGCGGGTTGGGCAGTCCAGTATGGCGAGGAGAAGTATGGGCAAAAGTAATTCACATATTGTAGGAATTATTGGCATGCTTTTTTTGATCGCTGTTTAGGACTCCACTTTAGTGTGTTGAGATAGAGTTCATGTCGCCCTCACCTCACCTACTCCAAGCCTGAAAACGGCGATTCGACCCGCTAACGTCCCACACCTACATCCGGGACACCCCCACATGTGGGACGCCCTAAAAATGATGCTGTATATTATAACCATTAACTTCAAACTTTTTTTACACTTATTCTAATGCGACTACAATACAGCTTTCACCGTCACTAGGGTTTTCAGACTCGCTAGACTCATCTGTACTATCCTCAATTTCACCAGCCTCGATTTGAGCCTTCCAAATAGCCTTGATATTAGTAAACTTCGAATTTGGGCTCATCTTGACCTTCCTCCGCTTCCTAGCCCTACTAGCCTCAAGCTCTGCCTCTATTGCCTCAATATTTCGCTGTGCGTCAGCTAATTGGTAGTCCTTCTCATCAAAGCCCTTTTGAACTTTCCGAAAGAGTAGCCGCTGGGTATTTGGATCACTATCAAGCTTGCTGAATAAGCTGAGTTGATCTTGGAGCTCATCTCTCCTCTTAGGCGTTGACCAGGCTACTGCTGATGTCTCTAACGCCCAGTCCTGACTACCCTTACTATCAGAGTACCCTTTGCAAGTCTGACTAGGCTGTCTGATTGGTGCTGACGTATTCTCAAGGAGCAGGGGGCTCATAAGGGGTCTAGCTATGCTCGAAGGCCAGAGACCAGTATATTTCCATCCACTCATAATGTTCTTAGCGGTCAATGCTGCTAGACGTGCCTTTCTATAGCAGAGGAGAAAGTTTCTCTTCCCTACGACAGTAGTAGTATCCCATCGGTCAAGGTAACCAAGCTCCTTCCCATAGGCTGCCTTGAGGGGTCCAAAGACTGACTGATCGAGAGGCTGGAGAACGTGGGATGTGTGTGGCGGCAAGAAAAGCAAGTGTATCTTGTTTATGAAGCAGAGGTACATAAACTCTGTCGTTTCGTGGCTACTATGCCCATTTAGGATAAGTAACCTAGTCTCTTCAGGGTCCTCTGGTTGAGTCAAAGGAATAAAGATCTTTGCAGCCACTCAATAGCCGTAGAGTCTGACGTCCACCCATTCTCTGTTGCTGTAAACCTCCAGGCTTCGTATGGAGTCAAGTCTAGAGGAAACCACTGCTGCTGGACAGACTTCCCCTTGTATATCACAAGTGGGGGTAGTGCAGTACCAGTCGCAGAGATACACTCTAAAAGAGATGTCAAAGCTCGAGATCCAGGCTGTTTCTTCCGTATAGAACGAGTCTCAGATGATCCTAGAACAAGACCATTTGATCCTCTACCTTCTAGAATACCTGTCTCATCCATATTGTATCGATTCGAGGCCTTAATAGCTTTGATCTCAGGGATAGCGAGGTATTTGAACCATTGCCTGATCACATTAGCTGAGGCTCCATTAATACGCTGGGAATCGATAGCTCTGCTTCTCTGGACCTTGACTGAAGGGTTACTCTTGATAAAAGCCTGGACCCAGTTCTTTCCAAGTGGTTCGGTGTCTCCGTGGATCTGTAGGATACGCTCGGCGAAATCTTTGAGCTGTTGATGGGTTGGTGGGAGGCCTAGGGCAGCCTGGATTCGAATCCATTCAGCCAGATGAGATTCCTGGGCTGTAGAGAGCCTCTGGTAGTCAGCGAAGGCTATATATCTTGACTGGGGTCCCTGAATCCGTCGTGAAAGAGTAGACCTTGGAACACCATGCTCATATGCTGCTTTTCGGAGGCTTTGACCGGTAGCTATTGCTTGAAGAGCTCAATACATATCATCTTCGGTATATTGACTCATATTTGTGTACAGAAGACGTACGTAAAATTTCGTAACGATTGAATCGATATTGGTAAAGAAAAAAGAGGTTGAAGTTAGAGGCTAGCGGTGTTGATGAGGCATTTTTGGGTGTCCCGGATGTGAGTGTGGGACGTTACTTCGCACATACTTTCGCCACTAAAATCCTCGTAGGAAATGGGGGTTGGCTGTGTTGCAAATATGACGATGCGTGGCGGACAAATATGCCAATTTCCTCTTGGGTCCCTAGACGCTGAAAAGACACCTTGGTCATGTTGTAAAAAGCTATTGTCTGCCCTTGATGTGAACTTCGCTAAGCAGGGCACTGGTACTGACTCCCTCCCGCAGCTTCTGATAAACCAAGATCGTCACCTGGGTGAGCATAAGCATATACTCATTTATTCTTGTTGCAAATTAGTTTCATTTGGAGGTGCATCAGTCAAAGCGAGAGCTATGCTAGTCAGAACCAAAGCAACAGAACTGATGATCGTTGGCGAAACCTGGACCGAATCCCTGAGGTTTAGAAGGGTTTGAAGAGTCCGTATCCTTGCCTTGTAAAACTGTTCATTTAGTTTGTGCATGCAAAGATGGGTATGGTGATAATGAGTAAAAGGCTTCCGTCACAGGCTTCTGAAGGTGAGGAGATTTTTTATTTTGCCAGATCATCAAAGAGAATCAAGGATCGGTAGTAAATTATTCCAAGTTGTTCTGTTACTTCTAAAGATAGGAATAATCTCACCATGTGAACCTAGTGAGCTAGGGTTAGCATGGATTATTACTCATACCCTCACTATTCTCCGGACTTTGGATGCCAATACTAACCTCACCGGAGACCCTGGTCAGGTAACCTGGTTGGCTTATAACTGCTAAGGCTTAAATAGCTATTTTGACCGTACTGGGGGTCCCTAACCGCCGCATTTTTGGGAAATTTGAAGTTGCTGGAGTTCCTCCTAGCCCTATAGGACCCCTTGTAAGACTTTTCAGCTTGCAAATTTCTACAAAATATCTGGTACTTTGAAATTTAGCTGTTATCTTGGTATTTTTCTGACGCTTAAGCGGCTACCCTTGTACTATAGTGGAGGCTATATTCAACTCCGCTAGTATATTCCTGTCGAATATCACGTGTGTCCAATCGAGTAGTCAGCAGTGCGTAAAATTGTATATGAATGAGGTGTATTCTTGTCTGTGTTCTATTCCCGCGAACTCCCGTTGCTCTGCCTTTTATAGATTCTTTAGAAAATGTCGGAGGTACATTGTTCAGGTGTCTGACCCCTAAGTGGACCGTAACTTTGGTGTTACTTTTGGGAAGAGGGGTTCATTTCGCCGTCTGAACTTTAAGTGACACTAGTCTTCTCTAGTGCCATATTATTTGTCACGACCTGGGTTGCATCGCATTGGTAGAGACCTCGATTAGGTGCTATCGACGAAGATTCTACTCTAAGGAGCGAAGGAAAGAAGATGACAACTTAGGTTACCGGGAAAACACGCGAACTTACTCCTCTTGTTGAGCTTCTGCAAAACATCACTATACAATGTGCCACGGTGTGTGTATAAGGTGATGATACTGCGGAGGCTTCGGCTTCAGCGAGCCAGACCTCTCAGGTAATAGAACTACGGTCTAATACTCAAGTCAGTATGCGGGTAGAGCAAGAACGTTTGGGATAATGGCTCACCAACTATGCGGAAATGGCGGTGTCACCGGTTAAGTGTCTTCTATGACTAACGATTCCTTCTTGCCTTTTGGGGGTGTTCGATGCATTGGACGACATTCGAAATTTTGAAGAAAGCAAGTAATTGTATGGTACTTGAAGATTTTCATCACTATTATAAGCAATTCGGTATCCTGCTAGACCTCATATAAGCGGATCACCGTGGAAGTAATCTGGTGGCTTGCTTGGTCAGCTTATTCATGGCGTGGGTTCCACTGATGCTCAAGTTGCTTTACTATGCCGTCGGTAAACTTCCCAACAACTAACAAATCACACTCATAGCTGATAGATTACCGCGCCTCAGTCGGAATTAAGAAGGGTGTTGAAAATCGTATCGACGACCGCTGAGAAATGCACCTTCAACAGGGTGGTCACCCTGGCATAGCACAAGTCGGAAGAGAAAGAATCAAAACGATGACTTGTAGAAGACTACAAATATCCCTCAGTATCCAGGTTGAAACTAAATTATTGAATACACTATTTGAAAGTGTAATGATGTACTTGGGCTTCCCCGGATCTAGAATGATCTCGAACGTCACGCCGCCATCTGATATCTCGTTTTCCTTGACTTTAAACCGCGTCACGATAAATATGTACAAGAAATGTGAGTAAAGTCTCCGATGATGCCCTCAAGTCTGGTTAGAATTCCAAACCTTGACAAAATCACCTCCGGATCTCCCTGATTACAGCCTCTCTGACTGCATCTTTAGAAGCTTATATTGGCGTCGGTTCAGCCCTGCCTTTGATGCTCTCATTGCCGGGATGCATGGTCTGGGATCGCCGTCGCCCGAGCCGTGGGCACAGGATGACTCAGCGGAACGGACCTTGCATCTTTAATGGGCGTCGGCCCGGGAATGACATAGCTACTAACGCCTTTCGTGATATTCACATTGACACCAGAGTCACTAGGCTGGTACAGCTTCTCGCCCCTGACACCAGCAGGGAAGTCAGCTCCGTTGCCGCTGATCTCCAAATTGATGCACTGCGGATAGTTCTGTGCGCCGACCACGTTCGACGCATTGTGCAAAGCGATGATTTCCGTTCTTAGCACGTAAGATCCTGGTCTGATGCTTGGCGGGATCTCGACGATCCACGAGTTGTTGTTGGCAATGAGAAGATCACTACCCCAGCATCCGCCCACGTAGCCGCACACGCTTGAAGTATTGACCAGGCCTATTTCGTTGATTTTGAACCACTCAAGACTCGTCTTATTAACCCTGTCGCATCCGCTCAAGCCGCATGAAGCTAGATAGTCCATTACGGGACCCTTGTGGGACTGCGGCCAGCCCATCCACTGCAGGTGCACGGTGTCGCCTGCGCTGACGGGTATATGGGCTTGGGCATTTTCGGCACCTCGGTGGCAGACAATGTCGGGAGATTGGTAGGCAGTTTGATTTACATAGCCCTGGTCTGTAGCGGTGGTTGACCAGGCGGCGAGAGGTTGTGCTGAGTTGTTCCCGAAACCTGGACGGGGGTCGAACCCGCTGTAAGAGGTGAGGTTGATGTTGACGTTAGTGATGAAACTATGAGAGGCGGCAATCCCTGAACTGGTCAAGGCCAGAATGATTGACCGTACTGGCGACATTATGAAAGAATACCTCGAGAGTTGGGAAGCGAGCGTTGCGCCGCTTGCGGCTTGGGTGTAAGAAACAGTTAACAGAACTTCCAGCAGCCCTATTACCAAAGATGAGACTGGAAAGAGATTGAGTCGCCAGTGATCCACGAAGCGGGGGAAAAGAGAGAACGAGATTCTGCACACTATTATTAATGAGATATTAAGTAGACTTCATGTGAAGGATAATATGTGATATAGCCTGCATATGAGTGAAACCGCAGATATTGACATGCGCACGACGGCCAATCTTCGCCAAGTTTGGAACGGAGGGCGAAGAAATCAGCAGAACCCTGCTTCCAGAAGCTTTTGACAAACACATGGTCTGATTGCCAAGTATCTTTTACTGATACAATCTGTCGAGTATGTACTTCGTGAGGCGTAAGAGAGCTCAGTTGGACCATCAGCTTGTGTCATTTTCATTCTTTGTAATACAACTGTCAAGACAATGAGAATACTCAAGTCGCCGACTTGACTTGAGTGAACGAACCACATCGAGCCACGGCTGTGCTAGTGGAGAACCCCTGAAGACTTTTCCAGGTTTCAGAACGCGCAACACCAAGGCCTTACTGCAGTACCAGGAGACGGGAATGAGACGTGTTCATATGACGGCAAAATACGGCGGAGATATTCAATTTATGCGAGATGCACTGAAACAACGCGGGGACGTGTTCTGATCACCAGGCGCAGCACTCCCAAGCCCCGAAGCTGCCGACAATACCCTGGTCAACGTTGTGGCGCCGTCTTGGCACAACGGCCACAGCGGGTTTAAGCCACTGGGATGGACGTCCATTGTTGATTTTCGAAAGTCCCAGGCCCTGGTCCGAAGGAAGGGTTCGTGTCACGCGTCGAGACAATCGCGATTTGTTCGAATGTCAACACGTTACGTCAAGCTCATGACGTACTAGAACATTTAGTTGAAGTTTTGAGACACCAATTTGTGCTTCCGTTGTATCTTTAAATTATCCGCAGAATCATCTACGGCACACGCAATGTTTTCAGGCTGGTCTTGGGATCCAAGCCATGTTCGCGCATTGGCGAGCCTCGATGGCAACCTTATGAACCTTGTGTCTCGGGGGCAGAGCACCATTGGCCCACAAGCAACCAATGTACTTCTGAAGCTCCCTGTGCATTTATGACCAAGCTGATTTTGCCACAAGGTCCCCCATGCCGCCAACAAGAGTGGTAATGAGAATGTGGCCTCGCCAACGACTAGCAAGGGAAAGAAGGCTGCTGGGAAGGCAAAGCCGGCCGAGGAGAATGATTCCGCTGAGCAGGAGAAGCCTGTTGAGGAGCCCAAGACAGCTGTCAAAAAGCGCGCTTCCAGGGGCAGAGTCAGCTTGGCCGCCGCCCCTGAGCCTGGAGCCTCTCCAGCGCTCAAGAAATGTGCCTCGACGAGCAAGGCCAGCGCAGCCGCTCCTAAGCCAAAAGCAGCGCCAGCATCTAGGAAGCGCAAATCTGATGCCGGCGCCGAGGAGCCTGAAGGCATCCCAGAAATCGCAGAGGACGATCCGCGCCTTGACGTCGTGGACGAGACATGCCAGCAGATCCGCTCCAAGATCCGCCGCTTCATCGAGTCAGGGGCTATGACCGTGGGCGAGTTCCAAAAGGCCATCGTCGTTACGCCCACGACATATCAGCGCTTCATGGCCGTTAATGGCCGCGATAAGGGAGAGGGGAGCCTCGTGTACCCCCACGCGTCGCGATTCTTCAAGAAGCGGGAATTGCAGGGATTGAAGGCCGTGCCGCCTAAGAAGAAGGCGAAAACCGATGGTGCTGCTGGCGAAAAGCCCAAGCCCGGGGGCAAGACGACCAAGGAGGCGGCGGCTGATGCACTTGATGTTGGCGATGTTCATTTGGATGGTGAGGATACGGGCGATGTTCCCGTTTATGATACGTGTGACGAGATCCGCCGGAAGATCCGCACCATCCTGCGCAAGGATGGTGTCACCCAGGCGGCGTTTTGTCGCGCCATTGCGAAGGAGTGCGCCGCGGAACAGACGATCCAGCCTCGGCAGTTGACCGCGTTTCTGGGAACGAAGGGGGTCACGAACGGGAATACCACTCTGGTGTTCTACGGGAGCTATGTGTTTTTCGAGAAACAGAGAGTCAAGGACAATAAGCCCAAGAGCAAGATGCGATTGCAGATGGAGCAGGTTTGGCAAGGCCCCGATAACGGGAAGGGGCCGGGCAAGAAGGGCATGAATACGGTAGATAACCTTGATGGGCCTTTGTGGATTCGTCATAACGAACGGGCGGTTCAGGATAAGTATGGACGGTTGGAGTTCGTGAAGAAAGGGAGGTAGGTCAAGGAGACGTCACTGCTGGGTCAGGTCACGGTGGGATGAATTTGGTTTCTATATACAAGACGGGGGTTGAAACAGATATAAAAGTTTATGTGGTTCCGTGGTCTATGAGTCGAATCTCCCTTCACAGTGTGCTATGCCGTTTCCAATATCTGCTGACTGCGCATCCTGATAAACCGTCTCGAAAGACTTTTCGCAGGTTCAATAATATCAGATTTTGCCTTCCATGCCAACATCTTGCCAATCGCAGAACCGCACCAGCCCGCTAAGATTATGAACCAAATAAACCAGATAACTGGTAAAGATAATCACTCAAGAAAATACTTACGCCAAGCTAGAATTAACTCTCCATCGGATGAATATATTATTATTATTATTATTAAATACGCCGTAGGCTCGAAGCCCCCGGTACCTCTACAAGTGCTCCCGTATGTCAAACCGTGCCCTAATGGCTGGACTAAATACATACGCTGCTACGTAGGTTCGCTCTATTAGCGACTGCGTTACGTCCACCACAATACTATGTTAGTTCTCACCCTACTAACAAAGTCCCCCTGAGAAGATCGATATTATCCCCATAACCTCGATCTTCTCGGAAGGTACTAAGTCGGTAATCTTTTGTTCGACGCTCGCTCGTTCGCTGTCGATTTGCTTCTTCGTTGCGTTTTCGTCGCCACTACGCTCCACGCTCGGCGCGTGAGCGCGTTCGTTCGCTTGGGGGTGGTGAACACTCTGTTGGAGTCCCGCCCGCCCCCCGTCAATTACCATCGGCATCTCCATGGCTTTGCGCCCTCGATTCGCAAGCGATGCGAGGTCACTATCCGATGTAAGCGCCTCTGAAGAATCGATTGCCGTAATCTGCTTGATGATTTAACGCTGTTCGATGAAGTTATCGATGAATCTCAAAAACCGTCTGCAACTATATCAGATCGATGAATATATAATCTGAAGCCAAAAGCAAGTGTTACCCTTGTTTTCGAGTATAGTCCTTTGGTTAGTTTACTATAATTAACGTAGAAGTTGTAAAGTTTTCAACCTTCTCTATAGTACGGGTTTTTCTAGCATGCTAGCTAAATTAGTAACCACAGTAATAGACTTAAAAATGCACAAGGATAGACTACTGTGATGCGTGCGCATTCCTTTCCCCGTTTTACCAAACCGAAAAACTGAAGACGCAATAATCTGCACTATCCACCTTGGATTCCTCCTGTCTTCTCGTGAATTGTTCACACTTACTGCACAGCGTGCGGAAATTATGTTCTGTCACCTGGTCCCTACTCCGGTTATGCCCTGCTCATCAGCTACCGCCGCCATCGCAGCCAAATAAGACCAACGGAGACACAATCCTGTTCTAAACGCTGAATCTCATGTTAGAGAAAACCTGAAGTTTCCTTGCAGTAGTGATCATTAGATGCGTTGATGACAGGAACTCCTGATGCCACTAAAATTAGAGCAAAGCATGGTCCTAGACTAACCATGCCAAATCATGTCCTTACCAGGACGAATCGAGAACCGCATATGTCCAATTGATCTGCATTGTATGCTGTAGAATATGTACAAGAAAATCGCCGCGATCCGGCACTGAGATAATGTGTAGTCAACGAATCACATGTAGTTCCCGTCGTAGTAACCGGCACTGGTGTAGCTGCTGCCCAAAACAGTGGAGATAGAGACAGCAGAGTCAAGAGTCTCGGCAAAGCTGGCCCGAGTACCTTCAGCACCTTCGCCAGAGTTGTTATACTCGCCAAACTCAACACCATCGGTGCGTTCATCGTCAGTATTCCAGACGCTCCATCCGGCTGAGTTGATGACATCACTCATGGCGCTGTTTTGGAACACGACCCGAGCGTAGACACCCCATGGGCGGCCTAGATAGAACGTACCAGAGGAGCAGGACTCGCCCTCGGCACAGGCCACGTCGCAGTTGTTGAAGACGTAGTAGGTCTCGCCCGAAGAGGACTGACGACCGTTGGCTATAGAGACGTTAACACAGAGTTTGATCGGAAATCCAAGGGGCCACTCACCAGTGATGTAGCCGACCGACTTTGCGAGGACGCGGATGTCGCAAGCCTCGAACCAGGCAGGAGACTCCTGGCCAAAGATGAAGTCGGTAGCTCCTTGGATCATGCAGTTGGAATAGAGCTGGTAACCCTCGTTGGCGAGTAGGGTGTCCTGGAATCCGGTGAAAGCGCAGCCGTAGTAGCCGCTGTCGGCGTAAGCGCTGAGTGCGACGGCCTGGCTACCCTCGCCATAGGCATTCTCGACATTCACATTGTACATCTTGAAGTTGGCAGCGTGGACACGCAGGGTGGCGGTCTCGTCGTTGGAGAGACCGTCGTTCTGGCTTTTGCTAGAGGTGATGGTGGCTCCGTTGCCGCTATAGCTAGCCGTGTCGGTGGTGTAACCATAGAAGGTCAGCTGGGCTGAGCGGTCGTCGACGAGCACTTGCTCGCTATAGGTGCCTTGGTCGATGAATATGCACTGGTCTTCCGAAGATGAAGTGGACAGGGAGTCGACGGCATCTTGAATGCTGTCGTAGTCCCCGCCGCTGGACGACACGGTCAAACAGCCGGATGGGGCGCTTGTGCGGGCAGCAGCGAGCGCCGTGGCGGCGAAGGCGAGACTGGCACCGATGTACTTCATTTTGAGGGTGTTGAACTTAATATGGGTATTTATGAACGAAAGATGGTCACCACGACGAATACCATGCGTATGCGACGAACGCGACAAGTAGAGGATTGATCAAAGAATATTGGGATGTCCAAAGAATGAGCCATATCGACCTAGACTTGGTGGACTATGTCAATCTTATAGATCTCGGCGAGTTCATCACTGTTCATTTGAACGCACAATACCAGACGATCCATATGGCATTCCGGCATCCCGACTCCTCATTTAGGATCTCCACGCTGAAGCCATTGGTGGACCGACCTGGCCAACCTGCCGCGTCGACCCAACGCAACTGTGCTACGAGAGCCACTTGCGTTGTGGCATCCGTATGCAGCAGGTTTGACAGGGGCCTGCGTGTTTTGCAGTTCGTACCCGACAATTTATTCTACGGAACCTCTGACGGAAAGTTTAGACTATTGGTGGCCCTTACCACCGTGTATATTGGTTTCGCTACCATATCTGGCACTGCTCCATAGTGCCAAGAGGCCTTGGCGAGCCCTTAGCCTTAGCGGCCTCTCGCGGCCAATTTGACCGATTCTGGCAACACTGGCAATTCTGGGGTTGCTTTACGTGCTTTCTTTCTATATTTAGTGTATTCTTCAAGTTTGATGCTAACCTCATCGCTTAGTGGCCCAAGATTAATGAAAGATAGCTCGGGAAGGCGTAACTCAGCATTATATGACGTAGAGAGCTATGGTATTACTATATTTACAAGCGTTGAGCTAGCTAGTAGCCTGTTACGAACCGTTGGTTCTAACCCCGCAGGAACAAAGCCCCATAAGGACGGAAAGGACGGAAAGGAACAACTAGGCCCCCGACTAAAGGAAAAGGTCACGTGATAGGGATCACGCTTGGCAGAGTGATCCCCTACTTGGGATCACCAGGAGCGATGTTACACGCAAAGGTGGTCAAAGATTTGTGAGGTTGTAAAAGCATGACATTCTATCTAGTCCTATGGAGCACGAAGGTTGGACTTAATCCCAAAGGGCTAAGTCACGTGGTAACCTTGGTGGTCTTAGCAAAGCCCACCAAGGTTGCCTAACAAGCGACGTGATCCAAGTGATCCAACGAGATCAGTGAAGGAGAGATGGATATATAAGGGACAGGACTCCCAGGCATTTCATAGATAGACAGTCTCTACTTCAGTGATCAATCTAAGCATCAATCTAACCCATTGGTGAGGCAAACTGCCTTAACGACTCTATTCCCGATTACCCTACTTGAATACTTCAGTTACCCAAAGCACTCTACTCCATACGTCAAACCCCGATATTATTGCTTCAGGACTCCGCAGCAGGACTTACTTACTAGCACAAACCCTTACAGACTCTTTTGTGGTTTACGCAGCTAGACTATTAGAGGTTTCGTTACAGTATATCCTACTGACCGCCTGACCCCGTTTCACTAGGTGGTTCCGGGGTTCTACCGGATCGGGGGCGAAACCGGCCCGCCATGATGGCTCTTTGCTTACATAGAGCCTCTATATCTCTAGGAGTTCAAGGTAGGCGAGGAGAACGAAGGGCTTCAACTTGAACCGTTGCTTTCACTACTACAATACTCAGACGGTGATTCTGATTAATTCGGCTGGAGGAAGGGTCTTGGGAATAGCTTCAAAACCAATAGATGCTGGCTATTAAGTGCTGTACGATAACCTGACAAAGCTACCAACTTGTTTCGTTTTAGGTGCGGGCACTGCCAAGCGCCAAATTTCTGGCAAGCCCCTGCTTGACGCACGCCAAGGCACTGTGGCAAGGGGCCCTGGTAGTCTATTAACTCTGTGACAGAGGTTCCGTAGTGCAACATTAATCTAGATGACATAGTGCAGGGAGCAGCAGCACGATGCGCGAACTAACAAAGTGCCATGCTAGCAACGGCAACTGCAAACCGATACCGGATTGTGGGGTGACGATGGAACAAGTGGGAAGACGTCGTTGGTGTAGAAATTGGAAGGAGCTTTGAGAAACGTCATGGAGACCGGGGCTAGTGGGGAATAAATTGCCAGCGGCGATTTTGTTTCATGTTCCTTCTAGCGTTATACAGAACAGTAAACAATTTAGTACCGACAACTTTCGTGCAATACGTAAAACTGTCGGCTCGTCGTGTAATCTCAACAATTTGGACTATCGCCAAGTCTCATTTGAGAAATCGAGGTTCGACTAGGCACCTTCTAGTTCGGTATCGTTCGTACCAAGCGAAATGTTAAGTTGAACTTTAACGGGGTCGGAATCCATATTACTATTACTGATACTTTTGTCGAATGCGCAGTTGACTAGGGGCAGAAAAAGTTGGCCAGGGTTAGGAATTTTGTGGCGCAGCAAAGTTCATCAGGGTCAGAATATTTCTAACCCTGGCCAAGTTGGTGTCACGGTGAGCACAGTTGAAGAGTCAAAACACTCTAATGCACTGTATTGACTTAACGATTCTCGACAAGGAAAAAAAGAGAAACTAAAACAGGCTGTGTCATGACCTGGGTTGCATCGCATTGGTAGAGACCTCGATTAGGTGCTATCGACGAAGATTCTACTCTAAGGAGCGAAGGAAAGAAGATCACAACTTAGGTTTGAGGGAGCGCGACTAAGTCGTCCACGCTTGGCGGGGCTCCTACAGGGGTTATGATTGGCTTCCCATCTGGCACTGCCACGGCAGGTGTTCCAGCTGTAAGTCACCTGGTTGTAGTGAGTCTGCGAGGGTTGACCTTCACAAATCTAAGCATCAATCTAACCCATTGGTGAGGCAAACTGCCTTGACGACTCTATTCCCAGTTACCCTACTTGAATACTTCAGTTACCCAGAGCCCTATACTCCATACGTCAGACCCCGGTATTATTGCTTGAGGACTCCGCAGCAGGACTTACTTACTAGCACAAACCCTTACAGACTCTCTAGTGGTTTACGCAGCTAGACTATTAGAGGTTTCGTTACAGGAAGGCCTCGTACAGTCCAACAAGGCAATCGAGAATGCGCTACCGTAATCCAGGGTATTAATTCGTCCGGCTGGGCTGTAACGAAACCTCTAATAGTCTAGCTGCGTAAACCACTAAAGAGTCTGTAAGGGTTTGTGCTAGTAAGTAAGTCCTGCTGCGGAGTCCTTTAGCAATAATATCGGGGTCTGACGTATGTGTAACGAAACCTCTAATAGTCTAGCTGCGTAAACCACTAAAGACTCTGTAAGGGTTTGTGCTAGTAAGTAAGTCCTGCTGCGGAGTCCTTTAGCAATAATATCGGGGTCTGACGTATGTGTAACGAAACCTCTAATAGTCTAGCTGCGTAAACCACTAAAGACTCTGTAAGGGTTTGTGCTAGTAAGTAAGTCCTGCTGCAGAGTCCTCAAGCAATAATATCGGGGTTTGACGTATGGAATATAGTGCTTTGGGTAGCTGAAGTATTCAAGTAGGGTAGTTGGGAATAGAGTCGTCAAGGCAGTTTGCCTCACCAATGGGTTAGATTGATGCTTAGATTAATCACTGAAGTAGAGACTGTCTATCTATGAAATGCCTGGGAGTCCTGTCCCTTATATATCCATCTCTCCTTCACTGATCTCGTTGGATCACTTGGATCACGTCGCTCCTGGTGATCCCAAGTAGGGGATCACTCTGCCAAGCGTGATCCATATCACGTGACCTTTCCCTTTAGTCGGGGGCCTAGTTGTTCCTTTCCGTCCTTATGGGGCTTTGTTCCTGCGGGGTTCCGTCATGGCCTATTGTAGGGCCTGTCGGGTTGGTTTTGGCCAGGTTAGAACCAACGGTTCGTAACATGGGCTATCCCGCCGTATATTATTGTCGCGGGTCAAAACCACCTCTTATCCTGGTACGAGAATAGCCCATTCCCGTCCGATTAGGTAATCGCTGTAACCAAAAACGGTTGGACAACAAATGAGCGAGGCGTAGACTGGATTCAGCACTTTGATCGCTATACGAAGGATCGTACGAAGGGTGTTTATCGTCTTCTTATCCTCGACGGGCATGAGAGCCACCACTCGATTGACTTCGAGCTATATTGCAAAGAGCATACTATTATTACACTTAGTATGCCTGCTCATTCGTCACATAAGCTTCAGCCTCTCGATGTAGGCTGTTTTAGGCTTTGAAAAGGTCGTACGGCAAAGAAATTGAAGACCTAATACGGGCGCATATAACCCATATCTCGAAGGAGGATTTCTTTTTGGCATTCTATAGGGCGTATCGTACGACTATAACTAAGTCGAATATCCAGGCAGGTTTCAGGGGGACAGGACTTATTCCGTACGACCCGGAATATGTGATTTCACAGCTGGATATTAAGCTACGCCTACACCTCCTGGGAGCTCGTCTGGCGCCCCCTTAATCTGGGAATCAAAGACTCCAAATAACCCAACCGAGGCGCAATCCCAGTCTGAATACGTTAAAAACAGAATCGTACAGCATCAAAATAGCTCCCCGACGACAATACTTACGGCTATTGACCAATTTTCACGTGGTGCGACGGCTGTTATGCGTCGGTTAGTTTGAATTATTACTTTTTTAGTTTAGTTAAGTTATTGAAGTTATTCATACGGTGCCAAGAAAAAGTGGCCAACTTGCTTGTGGGGTACGTTAACATATATCGCAGGCAAGCCATTCCAAATTGACTGGCTCAAAAAGGAGGACTTAGAGGCTGGGGTGCTAAAAACACAAAAGTATCCTCGGCTACACAACGTATCCGCAATTCCTAAAGATCAGGTCGAAGAATTTTCCAAGGTGGCTACAATTGGCGTCTTGCTCTCGGCAATACAAGGGGCGTGGGCTGTTTCTGATGAGTGGAATAAACTTTTGCCTGACTATGAGTTCACCAAGGCCGAAGACTTTCTGAAGGGAGTATGGGTTGGGAAATAGGGGTTATTATTGCCATAAGCAACTAGACCCTATTGTTGCTTGGGCCGGGTTGGAGCATAGACTTATCGCGTTTTTCTGTATCTTTGGTTTTTACTACCCAACTTTTCCGGATTATATTCACCCACATTTGTAATTCAAGCTTCCCAGTTCAGACTACCTGTCTCATCAAATGAATCTTGTTTCCACATATGTCTTACAGGCCTCCATAGTGACTACTACAACCCTCACCTCCCATTCATCTTGTCCTGACCAAACTCCTCGAACAACCCGGGCAAAATTATCCCCAAATTCGTAAATTCAATTTGATCGTGAAGAAACTGCTCGTACGCAATATTCTCGCCGGCAAGCCGTTGCTTGAACCCCAAAATGCCCCCAAGATAGTCCACCGGAATCTTCAGTCCCACCAGGTCGAAGTACACCTGATGACCCAGCCAATACCGACTCCGTAACTCAAGTCCATAATCCTTCCTGCGCCACAAATGCAAGAACTCACCAACTTTCATGGGTAACCATGCGTCCCACAAGACTGCGCACACCGCAGCGGCGTATCCCGCCCCCTCGAGTTTATCCCACGGCAGACCGAAATATGCCGGGTTCACGAATTGGATGCGGATTTTCATGTACTGTGGCCCGATAAACTCGGTCACCTTATGCGTGGACCCAAGCCATTTTTCGCGATGGCTGAGGTCATCGCGGTGCAGGCGGTCTTGAAAAGACGATTGGGCGGAAACGTGGTTATAGGGGTACCAAAGAGCGTAGCGCTCGGGCTCGACTGAGTGCCACCAAAACCACCAGTCGATCATCTCGCCTGTGGCGCCAGGGAAGCGGGTTTTGGAGGCGACGTAGGCGGTTCCATCATTGAGAGCACACCAGCCATTTTCTATTTCGTGGTAGCCTGGTTCGAGGAGGTGAGCGACACGAGCGATTTGGAGAAAATCCTTGGGGTTTATTGGCTTCTTCAAGGCGGGTATAATGTCCGGGTACAAGGAGAGGCTCGAGTGCAGATACTTTGCGTAAGGTTTATTCTTGATCCGTTGCTCGGTTCGCTCAAAGTGCTTTTGGGTTCCAAGGGGGTAGAACGTGACTGGTACTAATTCCAACGGCCCCAGGGTAGACCTGGATGATGTGTCTTGATGTGACATCTTTAATTGTTGAGTTTGACGATTACAAACGAATGTGTTGGGTTCAAGAAAGAAGACGTTTTTATTTTGAGTCCGCTACCTCGGCTCCCCACATCTTCGTAACTAATCGATCATCTGCGACTCCATATGGATAAGCGAGGGATGGTATCAGACGAAACATGACGGCCCTATCAGTCAGCCAAGCCCCATGTGAAACAGTCTCAAAGTCTAGCCATGCTATAGGATGACAACGGGCTTTTCAGGTTTACGGAATCACAGTGCGTAGAAGTCATCTCTGTCTTCCGTATATGGAAAGTAATTCGTGTCCAAAGATATCAGATGGCCGTAGGGCTTGCATTCGGTTTCGATTTCGTATTGCTGATATTCCAATTCCAGGTGAGACAACGCCGGCAAGCAACAAGGTTGCTTACAACCACATTGCCTCGGTGCAAGGCAATCCATTTTGAAAATCCAATTTTGCCTGCATCTAAAGAAACCTGTAACTCTGCCTCGGATGCTTCTCTTAGTGCAAATGAGAACTGTCCAAGTCTCCTGATCAAACGCGGGGTAAAGGAAAAAAAACTACCTTTGCAGAAACGCCAGAGACTCGGTTCCTGGTCGATTCCAAATCCTATGCCGGAGTGCGTCGAAGAGGCCGGGAAAGTCACATTCCAGCAGCAATTCACGTTGCATATGTATCATAACGCAGTTGAGTCTGTGTACGACAGCTTCCAATTGGGCGTCAAGTTTGTGTAAACCCGTCCAAGGCGAGACGGTCCAGTATCTGCTGAGCTGGGGTGGGCGTCTTTGTTCAGAGGATTCGTGGGTAGACGACAAGCTCATAAACAAGAATTTGCTGGAGGATTATGAGGGTACGAGGGCATGGCCATGTCATCCTAATCGTGATAGGATCCGAGACAGAGTCTGCATTGTTCACTTAGTAGTCAAGGTAGTCACATGTCTATCTCCTCCCACAGTCATTACGCATGCTACTACGACCTGTTACGTGCAAATATGACCTCACCAGACTTTGGTATTAGGCTCTATGGAAGTTCATCTACATCATCGATGAGGCCTCGGTTGGGAACTTGCCTGTTGGATCATGGCCAATTAGCGAAGGTTTGAGACTAGACTAGATTGGACTAGACTAGGTGGCTGGCTTTATTGTAATAGCATGCTTAGCAGCAGTGCCACTCTACCGAATCATATGCTCCGCACTGCTGTACCCATTATTTCCGGCCAATTAACTATGTATTATACAGGAATAGTGGAATGACCTTGATCTACCAAAAACTGTTCGAAACGATGAAGTAAATTGGCATCAGGACGTGGTTTGTGGCCATGGTCGAATCATAATCAAGTCCGACCTGTATCTCGTCCACATAGTACCTATTTCCTCTGCTTGCCCGGGGACTACAGATCTATTCCTGTAGCTGACTGCTCCTTAGACCGGACCTAATGTAAGCCAGCGATGTCCGAAAACTACCCGTGGTCATCAATGACTGCAGCTACTTTATTCCTTGTACAGCCAACACCAAGTCATGAGAACAGACAAATGTCATTCGTACATCAAACCGCTTTACTCGACAGTAACAGACTTGGCCAAGTTACGGGGGAAGTCGACGTTCAAACCCTCCATGACAGCCAGCCAGTAGGCAATGAGCTGCAGAGGAATGACGTTTAGGAGACCTTGCAGGCAGTCGACGGTCTTGGGAACCTCGATCTTCTCAGCCAGGTTGGCCTTGAACTCTTCGTCACCGGGGTTGCAGATGACAATCGGCTTGCCACCACGTGTAACAACTACGAAATATTAATACGGGACAAGCAACAGTAAGCGTTTTAGGGAAATAAACATACGTTGTTGGTAAGCGTTGAGTGACTTCTTGAAGAGGCCGTCCCGGGTCAAAATCATGATGATGGGAAGATTCTCATCGACAAGAGCCAAGACGCCGTGCTTGAGCTCACCAGACATGACAGCCTCGCAGTGAAGGTAGGATATTTCCTTAATCTTCAGAGCACGTTCAAGGGCAGTGGAGAACTGGCTGCCACGTCCAAGCAGCAGCAGCGACTTCTGGTTCTTGAAGGTGTTCTTGCAAAGCTCTTTGATCGGCTGGTCAAGCTCCAGGATCTGCTTGATCTGTTCTGAGATCTTGCTGAGACCCTCTATAATCTCCAGACGTCTCTGCGCCTTAGATATACGGTCTCCACTAAGAGACAGAGCAAACATGACCATAGCTATGAACTGCGAGGTGTAGGCCTTGGTGGAGGCAACACCGATTTCGGGACCAGCGTTGACGTGGACACCGCAATGTGTGAGCAAAGAGATAGAGGAACCAACAACGTTCACGACACCAACCGTGAGGGCGCCACGCTCCAAGCAGTATCGAAGAGCCATGAGGGAGTCGGCAGTCTCACCAGATTGAGAGACGAACACGCAGGTATCGTCACGGAAGACAGGGGCCTGTCTGTCAAAAAAGTCGGAAGCCAACTCCACAGCGATGGGGATTTCTGTGAGTTCCTCGAAGATACCTCGAACGGCCATACAAGAGTGGTAACTTGTGCCGCAAGCAATGAAGATGATACGACGGCATCTGCGGATTGTCGCAATGTATGATCTAAGACCACCCAACACGACGGTCTTCTTATCGGAGTCCAGACGACCTCTCATGGTATTAATAACGGACTCAGGCTGCTCAAAAATCTCCTTCTGCATGAAGTGGTCGAACTTGCCCTTCATGATCTCCCGAAGCTCGAGCTCCAGAGTCTGAATAGTTTGGACGTTGGAGCTACCGTCAGCCTTCTTGAGACGGTGGATATTCAAGGAGCCGTCGTGGATATGGGCAATATCGTCATCCTCAAGGTACATGACTTTTTTGGTGTGCTCGATAATGGCAGCCGGGTCGGAGGAAAGGAAGAACTCAGCGGGCATGGGCATCCCATCGTCCGTCATAAAGGCACGAGAGAGCGAGCGATGGAGTAGAAGCTTATCGGCGGTAGCTGGCATAGCGGCATTAGGGGTCAAGAAGTTGTCCGAGGTCTTCTTGAGAGCGGCATTTTGCGAGGCAGCCTCGGCAGGGAGAGCGTCCTCCTCAAAGTACTCGACATCGACGAAGTCAACCTTAATGCGCTTCTGAGTCTTGACGCCAACAACGAGGGGCGAACCCTTGCGGGCAGCAATAACCTCGTGGGGGTAGTGGACAGACTTAATCAGCAGACCGTAAGCTCCCTCAAGCTCGTTGATAACGGACTTGGCCAGGTCGACAAAGTCGATACTAGACTGTTGGTCGTAGATGTACTTGGCGAGCTTTGCAATACACTCGGTGTCGGTCTCTGTCTCAAACCTGAAGCCCTTAGAGACCAAGAGGGTCTTCAGCTCCTTGTAGTTGGTAATGATACCGTTATGAACAATCGAGAACTCCCAGTTCGGATCGGATCTGAAAATAAGATTGCATTAGAAAATGAAAAGGCGTAAACCATCCAATAAGGGCCTTCAAATAAGCATCTTACCGGTGAGGGTGGCAGTTCAAGCGGGAAGGAGTACCGTGTGTTGCCCATCTTGTGTGTGCAATGCCGGCATGTGAGTCGAAGACTTTGGTGAGATCTGGCTTCTCATCCTCGATGAGTTGCTTAAGATTAGCAACCTTTCCAACCTCCTTGAAGGCGAGGACTGTGTTCTTCTTATCACCGTCGACGGCTAAACCGGCAGAGTCGTAACCACGATACTCGAGGCCGGACAGGGCTGATGAGGAGAATCGTGTTAATTCCTCATTTGATCACGTCAAATAGGACGAGGCTGAGTTCAGAAATATTACCATTAACAAGTGTGTCAATAACTAAAACACAGCTTTTAGCAAATGCCATCTTAAGTGGAGAAACCTCGCCGTGTTAAGTACTGTAAAGCATTTTCCGCAGCGAGGTTTTGAGAGCTTCGCTATACTTACTGAACTTTCTGTCTTTCTCTACTAAATAACTGACGTCTATTAACAAGACAAATGTTAGCGTCTCCTTTTCTTGATTGATCGGGAAGAGATTCTCGCGAATATGACGATGCTAGTATCGGTTCTGTAACTAGCACAAGTGAATGCAAGAAGTGGCGTTTTCTCGAAGGCCACGATAGAAAAGAACACTGTATCGTGGCTTCGATACTTACATCCGAAAATACTGTGCGGGGTTCAATGTTAGCATCTCGTCTTCAAAATAACATCGAGGGGTTCCGTTGCTTCACCGCGACTCGGTTGCGTGGAATTTTCCGTACCCGAACCAGCTCGAGTCTTGTTCCGGTCGAAGAGAGCTTTGCCTGGTCAAACAAGAGGAAGAGGACTATGGTACTACTTGGTGCAATTGAGTCTTTGTATCTGTCTAACTCACCCACACATCTTGCCAGCGGCCTAGAAGAATAAGCTTGATTTGGGGTGGCGATTAGAAAGGGAGCCCCTAAATGGATCTGTAGTGCAGTATCTCGGGCGAGAAGCGGGTACCCAAAAGAAATAAGAAGTCAAGGGAACTGATGTAGATGGGAGAAATGGTAAGAACCACAGCTGATGGGAGGGGTCTTATGGCCTTTCAATGCTTCCAAGGGCTGAGCTGCACTGATGGCAGGCCGTAGCGAAACACAGGACGAAGGTGAGCGAGTTTTGGCCCACTACTCCTAAGTTAAGTATAACTATGTACCTTAGAAGGTATCGATAGGATATCCATGGTCGGCCCCGTCTAGGCGAACGTGGATATCCTCGTATACGCATCGGGGCTAGCGCGTCAGCCAGCGCCGTCCCAACGTCAGCGGGACCGCGAATACCATCCTCTGACTGGTGGTTGCTAGACACGTTGCTACAATGCCATCGCTTTTAGGTGCTTCACGGATTCAACGTATCTAAATCCGCTTACCATCTGTTGTGGTTCCAAGAATCATTGACAAGCTCAGTCAGTGAGAGCCCAATTAAGAACTCATTCTTTGATCAAACTCATTATCCGGCGTCTTGCTACGATAGTCCTCGATGAGATGGTGTCACGAACCGTTGGCCCTGAACCAACATTACAGGCCCGTCGGCAGGCCAGGTGGATACAGACGCTAGGATCACGGGACCCCGCATCGGAGGAAGGAAAGGACCGACAGATCACGTGACCTACAGGGGTGGATATGTTGGACAGCCAACATATCCAAACGATCCAAGAAGGATAAATCGCACTGAACAGGAATGTTAGATGAAGACAGTCCCCTGTAACATAGATTCGACTAGCATAGACCATGCCGGCACTGCGCCCGGCACGTCTCACGTGATGAGACGTTAAATTTCAATCAATCAATCAACCAAGAAGGATAAGAAGGAATGGATATGTTGAATATGTTGGACAACCAACATATCCAAGTGGGGATCAGTGAAGGAGAGATGGGTATATAAGAGACAGGACTCCCAGGCATTTCATAGATAGACAGTCTCTACTTCAGTGATCAATCTAAGCATCAATCTAACCCATTGGTGAGGCAAACTGCCTTAACGACTCTATTCCCGATTACCCTACTTGAATACTTCAGTTACCCAAAGCACTCTACTCCATACGTCAAACCCCGATATTATTGCTTCAGGACTCCGCAGCAGGACTTACTTACTAGCACAAACCCTTACAGACTCTTTAGTGGTTTACGCAGCTAGACTATTAGAGGTTTCGTTACAGATGGCTACTCAGTTTAGGGTTCTTCTTCAGTATATAAGCCTTATACACCTAGCGCCGTTTATCGCCCTTCTGGATTTCATAGCTATCCACGCTGTGGACGTGATTACACTTCCCAAAGGAACTTAACTTCTTTGCTTCTCCGTTTTCCGCCTCCCCACTCGGCATGATAATCACCGCCTGCGTCCCATTCCCCAGCAAACTCGGCCGCGGGTCCCACAGTCCATTCCACCACGTCCTCGGGGTATTATCAACGTCTCCCAGCCCGCGACTCTTTATGGTCATACACAAGTATTTTTGCCTAAATCGCTCCACTCGTTCCTGTACCCTTATTCCGATAAAACAGGCAAAGGATAACCACTCCATGTCGTCAGCCTCGGCATCGAAGTCGTCTTCACTGTCGATGGTCTGTACGACCTCCGCTCCCACACTCACGTCGTGCGTGCTGACTTCTTGTCGCACTGGGGCGATCTCAGGTTCTGAGGATTCGAGTTGGATGGACGAGACTGTCCGCCGCTCGATGCCACTGAATACGGGGCCCAGTAGCTCGCGTCGAGCAGCCCGTGTCGAGTTCGCGGCTTGGGGGTTATCGATAGGCCCCCGAGTCGACGATTCACTGTTGTGGCCATTCGATAGATGGAAGTGGTTGGAACACCGTCCAATGCCATTTGGCGGTTGACTCGATGATCCACCGCTTTCACCATTCGAGGGTTGGAGGTTGGGATAACGTCCTGTTCCATTTGGCGATTTACTCGCTGACTTGCCCTTCTCGCTCTTTGAGGTGCAGCTAGCGCAGCCTTTCGCCGAGCAGTTCAGCTCATCGCAGATGTGGTTTGCATTCCTGATTTCTTTCTCTTGTTCCTCGTCGACCGTATCATTCGAGTCCGTGGAGGCACTCTCGGAATTGTCCACGTTCCTAGTCGGCATGGAGCCACTGCCATCCGGAACGGCTTCAGGTCCCTCCAAGGGTGCGTTACGGTATCCTTCATTCGGCTTTTTCGATTCGGAGTGATTATAGTTCGCAGCGCGAGGATCTTCGATAGTAAACATCACATGACCGCCGTCCTCGGGCTCTTCGACAATGGTGAAAAGCCCACGCGAGGGACTCAATGCACCCGTCGGCTGTGAAACTGGGGGTCGTGTATCAGCCGACTGCTTATTCGCGCAAGGAGTTGGATGGCGCAGACCATCGTCGTCATCAACATCAGGCTGGGCCATGGGTTTCTCAATACGAGCAATTGCCTCAGCGACTACCATGGCCATGTGGGGATCTGGACCAGCCGTCGTGTCTCGGGCGTCGTTCTCATCTTCTAGAGCTGTGTCAAGAGAAAAACCTGCCGATCCGGGCGCTTCCACTGCTTGATCGACCGGATCAATCGGCGCGTTTCCAGCAGGGTTCTCGTCACATTTCATCTCCTCATCGCACCCTATATCCTCCTCAGGGGCTGGACATGTCATGGCAGGCGTCGATACGGGCGCGATTGAACTAGTCGTGTTGTTGTCGTCGACATCCTGTTCAACAGCCATCTCGTCATCCACATCTAACCCCAGTATTTCCCATGCAAAGGCCGTAAAGGCCGTCTCCTCACTCACGCCCAAAAAGTCCAGGTAATCCGGCTTGCGGAGCTCCCAGAGCTGTCTCCCTTGGGCGGCGCCTCTGGCTTCGCAGCGAGCAATGAAGTCGCGCACGCCGCCATACCTGTGAAAAAGTCGGTCGAGAGCGTCCTCAATATCAAACAGCAGCAATATGTCCTTGGGTTGCCTCGACTCTGTGGCCCCTGATTCTGGCGCCATCGTATTGCTGGCCGCGGCGTCGAAGTTTGTTGCGCGAACCCAAGACTCGGAAAGGAGGTCGCATTCGTGGCAGTGTTCGTCTTGAATTTTCAGTGCATCTTGTGTGCGCGATCCAAGCGCTTCCGCGCATGATTTCCTGGTCACTGCAAATTCTTTTGCATGAAACTCCGATTGAGCCCTGGCTCGAGGAGAGACAGTTGATCGATACCATGGCTAGCCATAGGGCAAGAGAACTTACTCCTGATATTAACATGATCTCCACACATTAACCGAAAGCGCTTAATCAGCTCGTGTGAAGGAGCTGCACAGATGAGCCTGCAGACGTAGAGCGCCCCCCCGTAAGAGGCATTGGTAATCAGAACAACGAGAAAAAAGTTTGACATTTTCTTGTATTTCGGGTGCGATTGTAATATTCGGAAAATCCAGCGAAGTCTATATCAATCCATCAGATATCTTTAGTATCATTCAGCTTTCCTATCTTGATTGTTGCCGTCCGCATATGACCGACTCACCGATCCCTTGCGGCGACGTACCTCCACGCGTGCTTGAAGTGGTGGGATGACCGTCTGCCCCATCCACTGCACTTCCGGCTTTTTATTGATATGTTTGATATCGTAATTCATGACGATGTAGGCAATGGCCATCTTCAGCTCATGTGCCACGAAGAAGCGACCAGGGCTATTTAGAAATCAGCAGGGTTGGTGGAACGGCGTGCCCAGTCTGTGCTTACCAGGCGTGTCTACCATGGCTAAAGGCCAGGTGAGAATCACTTGTGGTGACCATCCCCATCTTCTTGAGCCTCAGTGCTTCAGCAGGGTCTTTTTGCTCCGCAGGTCTGGACTCGTACTCTTCTCTGGGATTGGAGTAACGGAACGCATCATATCTCTCGGGCTCATGGTGTAGATCAGGATCGTGGTGCAAGCCTTGCCAGTTCAACACGAGTGAACTCCCGTATGGCGCATGCCAACCTTGCGTCGGATTGGTGATGCCACTTCGTGCCACGACCTTCCGTTCGACTTGGGTGGTAGCAAATATGCTGAGCCTTTGGCTCTCGCGGATGGCGCTGTCAATGCGGTAGAGCCTCGACAGACCGTTCTTGGTCCATTTGCCGCCCTCCTCCTTGAATACCCGAGCTGCCTCCTCGCGAAGTCCTTCCAGATAGCCCAGCGAGAGGTCAGACGAAACGAGGTCAAGGATCATGTTTAGGCCGGTTAGTGTCGTTGTATGAATCGCAGCAAATTCAATGGGAAGCAATCGTTTGGCAATAACGGAGGGTTGGAGCTCAAAGCTGTTGCCTTCAGCTCGGGCAACACGTATCGTCCAGGTGATGAAATCCTCTGGTTCAAGCCAGTCATGATATGCCGGATCGCCGGCGGCCTTCTTGTTCATGTCATCAAGTCGCTTCTGAATTACGGGTAGAGTATGTTTCGCGCCTCTCCAATAGTGTATCCAATTTGGGATTGTAAGCAAGGGCCCAACAATGGGATGCAGGCTCTTGGGAAACATGCAGAACAGAAAGCTGCTTTGAACCACGCAGTCGGTAAATTTGACCATACTCTCCAAGAGCGCTGAGTTACGATTGACATGGCCATCGGCCCCAATGAGCATCCTGTTGGTCACCTGAGGCACAATACTCAGCCAGCTATCCCATACATTTACGCTCTTCCATTGTTCCGTGTCTAGACCAAAGACCTTGTCGATCGAATCCTTCAACTCCTCCTGCGTTCCCGGTATTAACGCACTCAAAGCGCGGGCGATGCTCTTATGCACCACCCTCGTGTGGTATACATCGTCGGATAGGCGCTTGCCGAGGAAGTTGTATTCGCTGTAAAGAATGTCGTTGTGGGCTTCGTGGGTTCCGATGACCGAGTCAGGCTGTTCCAGCATCCATGTGGTCTGAGATTGCGGTATGACGATTTTCGCTGGTCGGCTTGCCGACGATGGCACAACGACGAGGCGGCCATACTTGGAATGCTACATGTATCAGACGCGGTTAGCATTGGAGCCCCGGCCAGACAATGGGGCATGACGCAGTAACCTTTTCGTATCCCTCCTGCATCCAGTCTTGAAAGCGGGTGAAGTAAGACCAGTGATCCCTCAGACTTGCGACGAAGCCTTTGCCATGGCCGACCCGGGGTAGGGAATCCGGATAGGAGGGCTTGCTTGCGAAATCGACGATGAAGGACGTTACGGTAAAGATTACGACAGCGCCTACGAAGCGGCCTGCCGTCAGGTGTTCAAATAGCACGCCAAAGCTAGTGTCCATCGTGGGGTTCATGGAGTTGACGTTAAGTCGAATCTCCACCGTCGCAAAGATGATGACGACGTTGTCAGACAGCGGGCGGGCATCTGAGCGTCGCACGGGTGTAACACAGAACCCCAGTTCTCGCAGATCAGCCCAGACATGATTCTCGAATGATGGCCAGTTCAGAAAGCCGGCTAATCTTCAGGGGGGATTCAGAACCTAACGGCAAGCGTTTCACGTATCATCGGATGCGGCTTGCAACGAATTGGTGGTGTAGGCTGAGAGGATAGCTGGAACATCCCAGGCTCGGCCGGTGTCAGCAAGTCAAAGATGAGACGTAAAGTGGGGCGAAGGCAAGGATTCTTAGTGCAGAACCTCGAGCTCGAGAGTTGAGCTGCTAGTCTAATCTCTGGTAGACTACGGCTAACAAAGATTTAGGTTAGAAGGTGCTAAGTGACGTTCTCCTTGAGGTCGCCTACAACCTACGAGGTACGTATTGAAAATTGGGCGAACAGTTGCGCTCATCATTTGCGGGCCAGATACTGCAGGCGCGGCTATATCCGCTGACAACGCCCTATCGCTCGAACCTACCTGGTTAATAGATACCCTCATAGACCCCGCCAAAATTCAAAGTCGCACCCTCGTAAGTATCGAGATACACATCATCGCTGCCACAATGTCGAGTCTTTCCACGAGACCGAATACTGTGACACGATTTGGGGATCGCGAGCTAGCTGGCACATCTGTGCACTGGAACCAATATAGAAGGGCTCAAAGAAGTTGAATATGCCAAATTAGATACGTGTTTGAACTTGGGGGTTTTAACACGTCTGGATCTCGGCGTGTAACAGTGTTCAATATAGAACTTATCTAGTTTTTAGTAATCATGAGAAAGAGACATCAACCGATGGTGAATCGAACAGGCTTGAGAATTACATAAGCTGCAAAGATGCTTGCTCATTCACACAAACTACTCGGGCATTATAAGGTCATCTTTCAAAGCATCGAATATTTGACACCCGTGTAACGTCAACTTGCCCACTTATACCAACCATAACCTGAAAGCACCAAGCAATCTGGCGCTCAAGAAGCGACGGTAAACATGGTTGGAATCACCTCGCCACCGCCAAAGATGGTTCTGGTGATATTGAAACTCTTTGAAGCACCATATGATCTTTGATCCCTTGTTTCAGCGGCACCAAATGTCTTCAGGGTCTTCCAGACTTATCTGAACCACTCCATCATCCTGACTATAAAGGAAGCAATCGAGCCCTAGGTGATTAAAAACTCGTTGGAGGCCACCAGAGCATTGCCAGCCGATGTCTTTATCCAGATGCTGAAAATTGCCGCCGACTCACAGAACCGATGTCAAGACGCCGCCGCCAACACCCCCTCGAAGACTCCGTGGGCCTTGGCTAACTCTGCAGACTGGATCGCCTTTCTTCGATTATCAAGTTGATGGCAGGCTATATCTTGAAAATTCGAACGGGCGTTTCTGACTGCCTAGCACCTTCTCCCAGGAGAGTTCGCCCGAGGTCCATTATCGCCCTGTATCCGCAGATTTGGCGAACTTGAGTGAGACGTCCACATTGGTAGTTATTCTCTGACCCTCTATGAGAACTGTGACGTCCAGAAACACGCATGCGGCGACACGTTTGGGCACAGAGGTTCCAACAATAATTACAGCAAGTGGAGTAGGTACCTTTATCATGGTATTGTGGTAACGACAGTTACACGCATTGCTGCTTGACTGACTTTGAGCTGAGTCGCCAAAACAAAGCGAAGCATGATGCTGGAAGCGGGGTTTGAGCACAATGGTCCTGTTGCAAGTTCTGACAGATTGCTCTCCAGCAAGATAATCGCGACAAGATCCAATCAAATCATGATCAATTTCGGTACAAGACTACGTAGACATCTATATCCTTAGCTGCAACTTCGACCTCAACTTTCACAGGTTTCCACTTGATGTCATCAATGTCGACATAAGTACAACACAGGTCCTTATGGTGGGGTCGGCTGTCGACTGCGGGGTCCTCGAAGCTTCCATTGACACGAAGTAACATTGCCTGGGCAACGAACCTTCCTTATGCAGAACGAAGGATATTTCCTGATAACATTAGGTCGAAGACTTCGATCCTCGATCATCTCTGACCTCGCTCGTACAACGTTTTTTCTCTGTAGCAGCAGACTCCGGTGTTGACGTGTTGCCCATGTGGCCTTGTGTGCTGCTACTGATGCAATCTACTGTACACGCAGACCTACCTACAACAGGTAAAGAAGCCTGACTAGCACCCAATGACGCCATGGCTCAAGTCATCCAGAACGTGCCGGCGGCAGCCCTTGCGCTCCCAATTAACTTACTTGGCGATGCCTGCAAATTGCATGAGTCTAGACCAAGCACTCGAGCTGGATGGCCACCTGTGGTTCGACCGTGTTTCACGTTCCTTGCTCTCAGTGGACTACCGATCGACCACCTCCAGATGGGCGAATAAATCAACAGCGGGTCTGAGTGGTGCGGCGCCCAACCTCAGATGAACCAAGCCTATGTGGACAAACGTCACGCTTGGCTGAATTCTTCCTATTTGCCAAGTTGACAGACGACGCCTCGTCAAATTTCGCAGATGCATTTATGATATTCAACTCTTTGCTGTTTTTTCTTCCATTCGCTGTCTATCCTCGCAATTCATTTCTCGAATCACCAACATCATGACGGGCAGCGAAGTACCAGTTAAGGACTCCATCCACCAAGCCGGCGGCGGCCAGCCAGGCGGTGAGGAACGCACCATCAAGGAGTTAGCCGCACCAGTCTTGCGGCACCTCGAGAGAATCTTCAACTGCCACGCAAGTCCCGAGAAGAAGTGGAACAAATTTCAGATTGTCACATTTCTTCATCATGTTCAAGCGGACAAAGTCACTGACCCCTCAGGCGACATCGCAACCAAGGAGGAGTTGGACTTGAGTGGCTTTTTGCATTACATGACTTCAGATGCTACAAATGCCCTGGGGCCACCCCTAGATGAGGACATGAGCTGGCCGCTGAGTAGCTACTTTATTTCCTCAAGCCATAACACCTATTTGACGGGCAACCAGCTGTACAGTAACTCCAGCACGGATGCTTATAAGAACGTATTGCTGCGGGGTTGTCGGTGCATCGAGATTGATGTGTGGGATGGAGATGATTCCGACTCGGAGTCGTCTACGAGTGAGAGCAGCGACGAGGAGTACCAAGAGAAGAAAGCGCTCAAGAAGGCCAGTCGCAAAGAACGTCTGGCAAGAAAGATTCCTGGGTCCATCGCAAGTCGATTAGAGAACACTTCTCTAGGCAAGCGGTTGGAGAAGTACACGAGTGGTGGAGCGAAAACAGAGGCGGCCTCGAAGCAGCCTGCACAGGCAGAAAGTGCCAAGAAGGACGAGATTATGGAGACTGGGACACCTATTACAAAGGAACCATCAGCCCCCCAAGCCATCGCCATTGAGCCACGAGTACTGCACGGTTACACCTTGACCAAGGAGGTTTCCTTCCGCCAGGTCTGCCAGACCATCAGGGAGTATGCGTTTGCCGTTTCGGACCTCCCTCTGATCGTCAGCCTCGAGGTCCACTGCTCTGCGGAGCAGCAAGAAGCCATGGTGACGATCATGAAAGACGTATGGACCGACTTCCTGTTACCACAAGCTGATACCGATGCCAAAATCCTACCTCCCCCCGGGGAGCTTCGCAAGAAGATCCTAGTGAAGGTCAAGTACTCACCACCTGGCGACCCAGCACCCAGCTCGACGACAGCGTCTGACGAAGACCGTCTCCCTGCCGAGGCGCAGGCATCCAATAAAACCAGCAAGAAACAAAAGAAACATTCTAAGATCATCCAGGTTTTGTCCGAGTTCGGCATCTACACCCGCGGCGTGTCGTTCAAGTCCCTTGATCAACCCGAAGCTGAGATGCCCACACACGTCTTCTCGCTCTCCGAGAGTACTGTGGAGGAAGTGCACGAGAAGCAAGCGCCAGACCTGTTCAAACACAACCAGAAATACCTGATGCGCACGTATCCATCCGGCATGCGCATCGGCTCGTCTAACCTCGATCCGCCAGTGTTCTGGCGCAAGGGCATCCAGATCGTGGCGCTTAACTGGCAAAAGTGGGACGAGGGCATGATGCTTAACGAGGGCATGTTCGCTGGCACGGGTGGGTACGTCTTGAAGCCCGACGGTTACCGTGGTGGGAAGCCCATCGCCACAAGCGACGATGCTCCGGTGACCACATCGACAGGAACCGTTGTTACGGAGCCACTCGCACCCGCTGAAATCCTGCACCAGACGCTCAACCTGAGGATCACTGTTTATGCTGCCCAGAATCTGCCGATGCCTGAAGAGGATGATAAGGCTTCTGGCTTCAATCCGTATCTCAAGGTTGAGCTCCATACTGAGCCCCACCACACACACATGCTCAAAATGGAGCAATCGGGTAAGGCGAAGGAGGGCGAATACAAGGCCAAGACAAAGACCATGAAGGGCATCGAACCCGACTGGAAAGGCGAGGTCCTCGAGTTTAAGGGGGTTGAGGGTGTCAAGCCTGAGCTAGCGTTTGTGCGATTCCTGGTCAAAGATGATGAAATTGGGCGTAACGATTTGGCGGCCTGGGCGAGCATCCGACTAGACCGTCTTAGGAGTGGATACCGGTTCCTTCAGCTGAACAATAAGGACGGCATGGCTACAGAGGGCATCATACTTGTCAAGATTGAAAAGTCATTCTCTTGAGGAAGGAAGTGCGGGGGAGATATTCGAGGTGGACAGGATCGAGCTTGCCATTTACCAGACGCTGCGCTATTTTCAGACTCGCAAATACGTACAGAAGCACTGACGAATTACCACTTGCAATCAGACAAATTGGCATGGAGCTGCCCCCAAATATGAACTTTCGATGGATCAGCACAAGAAGAGCTTGCCGTCTGACGGTTTTAAGCCCGCCTCAACCGGGGGCTAGCAGATTCACATTAAAGCGACCCATCTTGACTACCGTCATGAGGACGATAGGAAGGGTTAATGACCCTGCGACATCCATGGCACTTCTATAGCTAATTTGCACGAACCTATCCATCACTCTAGCATATCCAAGTTTGCGGCATGAGTTATCTCACAAGCCTACAGGAAACAATGCGATACCGTACCCGTTCTCTGTGGTAGGACATGTCACTATTTACGTTATGATAGTGATGAAAAGGGTGTTGCGGAACTGAAATGGGCATGAAGACGTCTAAAGGCTAGCCACTGGCGAATGCCATTACTCCTCGTGTGCCTGCGACTCGTAACCGCGCCCTTGGTGTCCTCTTGGCCAAAGCACCACTTTGCCAGGTAGTTTATTCCAGGTTAATAGGGTACAGAAATGGTTGTGCCACTGGTAGGGCACCGCGTCCTCGAAATTCATGGGAATACCAAACCTTCGCATTTACTGGAGCCAGTCGTTGAGTTGGGTCGCCCAAGCTTCGCCCACACCATTCCATCACCCTTGGAAAATTTTGGAAATTTCCTCCACACATCATTTGCATTTGCTATATTTGGGGAATAATATCACAGGACCTTCACGTAACGCTGTCTGTGCCTGCCCTTCGCAAAACGAGACGCATCGCTAGGCGCTATGGCTGATGGGCATCAATCGAGCTATGGGGGATATGTCCCTATGCCTGGGTACGGCGAATTAGCACACGGGCTAAAGGGAAATCCAGAAGCAGGGCAGAACTTGATCGGTACGGCAAGGCATTGTCATATCCCTCCTGCAAGCGTCGCTGGGGGCCGCCAGTACATCGGCCCTTCACCCGTCGACAATCACCTTGTACCGGACAATCTAAGCCAGCAACAAGTCGATGACGGCGAGCAACGACGCAAAATCTGTGGGGTTTCCATATTGCAAGCCGCTCCGAACCCGCCGTTGCCGCCCTTTCCCATGATACCTGACCTCCTCTGCGTGGAATCCGCCCCCTCAGACCCGATACTAGTCCCTCTACGCAGCAACAGCTATAGCCTCGCCCATCTTCCGCGTATTAACCTCTCTCCCACCCAACATACGCCAATGCAGGCACGAATGTCCAATAGAGACTACGCTCCAATCAACCTCAACGCCAATAACACCCCCCTGGACAATTATTCCTCAGTCCGCCCCAAGAACCTCCCCGGCGCAGGCCCCCTCCTCGAACCCCTCCTGTCCGCCCCCGGCCGCAAATTCGCCGACCATGTCTTCTGCGACCCGGGCCTACACACCCGCATGAACGAACACGGACGTATGATCCGCTGCGAACGGGAAGGCCACGCCCGCGAGTTGAGCAAGCAACCCTGTCGGGGGAACTGGAATTGCCGGTGCGGCCAGGACGTCTACCGCGGCGACCACAAGACAATGGCTTGTTTTCCGCTCTTGGATCCGACGGTGGCCCAGAAGAACCTGGAGAAGGTCAGGGGAGTTCTTGAGGGAGTGCCGGAGGGGAAGAAGTTGCCTGTTCCGGCGGGGGATATGGTGCCTGAGTGGCATTATAGTAAGGTGGGGGAGAGGGTGAGAATAAGGGAAGAGGAGGAGGGGGAGGGGATAATGGCGGCGATTCAATGGGAGCCGGTGCAGCACATGAATATTGTCGACGAGGAGGAGGAGGAGGCGCAGGAAGTAATGCAGGTTGAGGAGGGAGACGAGGATTGTCTTTGTCGCGCTTGTCGTCTATTACAGCTGGGTCGTCGGGTGCGTAGTAGATCCCGCACTGTGGAGAATGAGAGCAAGCGAATGGATTAGGGCGGGAGATTTAGTCAGACTTGGACCGAAAATCCTCTGTAGGATTTGCGGGGCGGGGCGTTGGGTCTCTGTGCGACAGGTATTTGGGTTGCAGTAGTTGGAGTCATGACTGCAGCTTGGTCAGAGGAAGATCATAGATGCAGCCACGGGCGTATGCTGCCTATAATAAACTTGGACACGACACGTCTGGAAATAAAAAGGGACAAAAAAGGCACAGAAGTACAGAAGCGAAAAAGAATAATAACATAGACAGACAAACTTTTCATCAGGACACTTGAGCACTTTCCTTGGTAACCCCACACACCTTGGGGGTATATACACTTTTGTTTAGTGTCGTCTCTTTGTTGAATCTTCTGCAATCTTGTGATCCTTATTTCTTACATAGATTCTCCCTAACGAACGAGGATTCAATTTTGTAGATACACATTCTACATTGTTGTTTATGAATATCGCGCTCGTGGTGAACGGCGTGAGTGAGGAGCAAAAGGAGTTACAGTTTAGCTACGAAGTCATGCCATGCTGGGACGGGATACTCGATTTTGGGACCATGACCCGCAGGTTTTTGATATTATTTAGGCCGAGTGTTAGTGACTTGAAGGTGGAGTGGCACTTGCTGTCGTAAAATCCACAGAAGGAGGTTACTCCAACTACGCATGGCCACTTTACAGAAGATCCTCTATGTGAACAGACAACACGATAGCTTCAAGTCAGTTCTAGGAATTTCATGGTCGAAGTCAACGGGTGCGCTTGGTATATCTTACAGTTAGGGTATAAGATAGTACCTAAGTCCCGCAGATCTGCAGCCGAGGCGAGACGCAGATATCCCAAATGCACAAACGGGAACGGACAGCAGTTCCTCCCTATTTACCTCAGCGTCGTTCTCCAAGCACTGGGTCCATGTTGCTGTGGTGATCCGTAGTTGATATCAGTCCGACGCTCCAGTCCCCACTTTCCATGGCTTTATATGCTTTCAGCCGGGTGTCGTAAGCTCGGGCAGATAGAGAAGACGCTTGCGAACCACCTTGCATCACCACGTCATCGTAAGCCTCTTCAGTCCTATCACCTTCCTGGAATGTCTCGTAGCTCCGCTTCGATGACGGTGCCATGTCTCGAGATCGGTCGGGCGCCACGGGGGAAGAGTCTGTCGACGAGATCGATATCGCGTCCGCTGGAAAAGAGCCAGCCTCCTCTCTAGCTGGCGTTCGTGCATTTTTTGTCAGTTGGCTCGGATGGTTGTTACTGACCTTCGCAGCGGACACATCGAGTGCGTCAGTAGGAGGCAAAACTGGACCGGACCGACCTTGAGCAGGATTTATCATCGTCCGGCGGCTGTCTTCTCCATTTATTTCCCGCTGCAGCTGTGCCTGTCGAGCCAGTTGCTCTTTAAGTAATTTGTCCATCTCAATGTCGTGTTCGAACACGTCGCCGCTACAGTATTTGCCGAAGTAACCTTGCATGGTGATGCCACTTTGGTGCCAGTAAGGAACATCGACGGTACAAGGCCAGATGTCACGCGGCTTGAGGGTTTCCACTAAATGTTTTAGTTCCGGATAGGAGGAGTGGCGGGCGTAGGAGAAGGTGATCTTGGTCGGCAATGACTGGACCGGAGGTGCTGGGCCTCGTTGTTGGTGATTGGAAGTGGTCTTTAACTTTTTCACCATTGACAGGACGATATCCTTCAAATTCGTCCGCATATCTTCAGGGAACCCTGAAATGTCCATATTCAATGAGACACTTCGACCACTCTCCAGAAGCTTGATGAACATAGCCTGCATCTCCTCCTTGACTTCTACCGGTATGTTGTCGTTGTCGTCGATCCTGGTCGTTGTCAGTGGCAGGCAGCATGGCATGATGTTGGCGTCATCTCACATCTGTACAAGCATCATGATATCTTTGGGCACCAGGTGGTCCAACTCAGCCTCACGCTCCAGGTCGCCGCCGCCACCGCCTATGCCGACTTCTGCAATGTCTTGGCCGTTAGGCAGACGGGCGACGATTGGTTGGATCCAGACAACTGGCTTGTTCTGCATGACTGCGCAAGCCGTCCCTTTCTCACAGCTGTGGATGCGCACATTCTCATCCAATGTCAAGCAGCCATCGTGTTGGTTGTTCCCGCATGTGAAGCCCACTAGGTACGGCGCTTCTTTGGACAATTGGAACTGCGGGCCAAAGCGATCGTTGGTGGGCTTGGCTACAAGCGACTTGTACACGCCCATCTTATACTTGTCCACATGAATCTATACCATAATGAGACACCTATTTACTCATACAATATCAAAAGTAGCTCACCTTGGACTTAAGTGCCTTGGAAAGGGCAATCCAAACTTCTTCGTAGCCATAAGTCCACGCTTGCATGCAGAAATACGTATCATCGGGGTACTTGGCAACCTTCTCCAGAAGCTCCCGTAGGCCATTTGCCTTGGTTTGCTGTTCGTAATCATCAAGAATCGACGTGTCCAGGTAGATACGGTCTAACGTTCTCAGGCCGGTGGAGTACTCGACCATGCTAGGGTTACGAGCAATCGTGTTCACCCACCATGGCTCGCTTCGAATGTCACCAGTGTATAGTACAGCCTTTCCATCGCTTTCAGCAACTGTGAAATACATCAGGTCAAATTTCAGGAGTTAGAAGGAAAACACGCACGGAACATGACAGCCCCAACGCAATGGTTCGCATCAAGCAGAGTGACCTGGATGTTGTTCCCGGGTGCCAGCTCAAGCGTGGTCGGTGTGTCCAGAGGAATGGGCTTCAGCAAGTTCTTCAGATGCTTATAAGTTTGCACCTTGGCCTCGAGAATACCCTGCGCATAGTTGATGCGACAGGAGTATCTCTCGAGACGGAGCAAGATCTCACGCGTCGCAGCCGAGCAGTACACAAACGGAGATCGCAGTGTCTCCAGCCCAGCAAGATGGTCGCTGTGAACATGACTGAGAAAGCAAGCTAGCGGCGGTCGCTTGTCTAGGTTCTGGCGGAAGAAATCGACCCGGATGTCGGGGAACTCGTGGATGATGCCGTTGAAGGTTGACATGGCTGTGATGAAGAAAGCGAGGTGTCCCAAAGTAGATCTCACGTCACGGCGCAGCGAAGCTCAATTTCTTGAGCAAAGTCAATGAGAGCACCTTGAAGTCTCTCCATGTAAGCGAATCAATCTTGCTGAGGTCACCAGCGACACCAGGAGATGAAGACCACAACAAACTGTTGATCCGAGGCAATGGCTTTGGCTGTGCCTGCCAACCTCAGGTGACGTCGTCGAACTCGGATAAACTCTGTGGCACCACCAACGCCGACGAGGTTTCACATCTTTCACAGGACAGCTTCAGCGCCTTTATCTGAGAAATCAGAGGTTCCAAAGCATCGTTGCTCAACGTTGAGATGAGCAGCAAGTTTATTTCACTAACTAGACTCGAAATGCTAGACCAAATTAGTGCGATCCACGAGACGCTTGGCAACGGTCATCGTTGCAGAACTGCTTAGACCGAAACGGCTAACTTGAGCTAGTCGAATATCTATGCATTACCTTCATCGTTTTTTCCTTTATTCAAGACTTGGTCTTCTAGGCCTGGGGCTTGAACCACGGCCCTCTGGGATCTCAATGGCCGTCACCTAGGCCGTTTCGCGCAAAACTTGATGAGCTAACTTCTGTTGGACGTTCTGGACGGCAATACAAAGACAGCGAAGATATCTTATACAACGAAACGAGACAGTGCTTCTTCCAGAGCTCATGTCACGAGTTCTAACCCAGTGGGAGCGAACGGCCGAGGGGCAATGCGAGCCGTAATCCCCCCTAGGCTGCCTCTTATTCCACTGGAAGACCGCAGACTTCCCGCCCACCAACAGTTTGGCCCAACTCTCCGCATTTATCAATCTCTTCCGTCTGCGACAGCTCAGCTCCCTGGGAACATTATTATCTGATCCACCCCCTTTCACCACACTGCAGCGGTGACCACACCTAATTCCACCTCGTCTTCGTCAACCACTCATAAAACCCATCTCACCGCCCCCCCGAAACGAGCCTAGCCACCATCTGCGTCCAAGCCGCCGACTTCAACCGCTTCCCCCGCTCCATCCTCGACGATTACCACGCCCACTTCACCGTGGACCAAATCGCCTACGAATGGACCAAATTCTGTAACCCGGGTCAAGTCACGAGCATCGCACTACGGGCGTTGCTGTTTGACAAGTGGGCCGCGGAGTTCGTCAATGACTACAAGGTCACTGCCGTCCATCTTGCGTGTGGACTGGGTAGCCGACCGTTCAGATTGCGGAATCGGGGATAGATCGAGGGCAGAGATGAAGTAGTTGGCACGCGGGTAAGTTGGGTTGTAGATTTACCAGATGTTGTTGCGATTCGGATGGGGCCAATCAATGTGAAGCCCGGGTGGGGATCGTACGAGCTGGTGGCTACTTCGATGACAGAAAATGCATGGTCGGAAGCCATTCCCGCGGATTGACCAACTCTTATTGTCTTCGAGGGTGTATCGATGTACCTCACTCGTGAAGAAGATGAAGAAGAGCAACTCTGATCCGGCGAGTCGTGGAACAGTTTCCATCAAGAGAAGTGATATTCGACACTGTGGGCTCCTTAATAGTCAGGTTCCAATGTCTCATCCCTGCGGTGAAAGTAACAGGGTCTATCGTCATTGGACAATTAACAAGCCAAAATCGATCATGACGACATTAACCAGGTACCACAGCCGATAAAGACGATATTATTGGGATATTGGTATATCCCCTTTCTGCGGAACTTGGGGTACTGCCTGTGATACAATCTCCAGAATGGCTGCGAATAAAGACGGTGTGCAGTCAGCGAAATCAATGGTTGTACCTAAGTCAACCCTCCCCAACAACTTGTCACTCTATTCATAAGCAGTAGGCGTTCTCGATTCCCTGTTTAAAGATCAAAATCAGGTTTTCATATTTGTTTCTGCGGAGACTTACTCCCTGACAGCCCCCAATCCATAACTGCTCCGTTTCCTCAGCCTCGCCCGTTCCCGTGGCTCTTCTTCCACCACTTCGGGGGTTCGCGCCGAAGCACGACCTGTCGCCTTGTTTATCAGGCTACCCAGCCTGCCACTGATTAGCCCTGATTTGTCACCCCATGCATACGAAGAACTGCTGCCGTCAGGGTGTTCCATATCGTGCTGCTGCTGCTGCTGTTGGGGTACAGAACTAGTATTTTGCGCTGGATGTCCGTGACCTTGTGATTGTCCCTGTGGCGATATTTGTCCGACATCGTTCGGGTGGTAGAACCGTCTGTTTTCGATCTCATATCGTCCGGCCTCGATGGTGGCCTGATTCTTCTCTTGCACCTGGGTATTCTTGGAGAATCGTCGGTCGACGGTGGAGTTGAGTGTTCCGCGAAGAGTCTCGCCGGCTCCCTGCGCACAAAGCCGTTGGCTCTAGTTCAACCGATTGACAGGCTTCATTAACGTGTACTCACATGTATACCAGCAGCAGCTAATTTCAGGTTTTCGAACGTCGGGTGTGTCTGATGTCCAATTGGTGTCTGCGTCTGCATCTGCGTCTGCGTCTGTGTCTGCGGCTGCACCTGCTGTGTAGGAACGGGCTTGCGCTTGGGATAGTCATTGATCTCCTGCGGTGGCTCGTTTCGCCCCGGATAGCTAAAGCTTTGATTTTGTGTGGCTCGCGAAGGACTATCGAAAGATCTCCGTGCCATGTTGCGCTCGGGTATGGCGGGGCTCGGCTCTGTCGTATTCAGGGGCGGGACTGACGGTACGGAATCACGAGCTGGTATTACGCGGCGGCCCGGCGTTTCTAAGCTACGCCGTCGAGATCGCGCCGCATGGTCTGGTTGGGGTTCAATCGGCGAAGGCTCTGTCAACCTGGCATCTGTTTGTTGCGTGGGCTGTGGATTTTGTGTAGGATGTGTAGGATGCGTAGGTTGTGTCGGTTGCGGGGAATGCGTGGGCTGCACATTTGGTTGCGTCTGTTGTGCTTCAGGTTCGGTGCCGGTGGCCAGTTCTGAGACGCCAGACCGGGGCTCCGTGATGCTCGAGCTCACCCCATTGGGGCCAGTGACCGTCGTAGTTGTCGTTGTAGTAGTCGTCGTAGTTGTCACGGTCTGGCCAGTGTTTGGATTCGTGTGTGTCTCTTGCTTGATCGTCGGACTTGTGTGAGAGGATGGTCCCTCTCTGCTCGTCTGAGGGCCGCGGCTCAATTCAGGCACGTTGGCTGGAATAGATGCATTAGCTTCGATGGGTGCGTTGCCGGTAGTGGGCACGTTAAGGCGCGAGCCGTTGGTGTTGAGAGGGTGGCCTTGGCCTGGATTTGGAGCATTGAGGTGCAAGCCACTGGTGCTTCTCGAGGCATTGGACAAGCCTTCGGTCGTCATAGAATTGTTGGGCTCACTGCCAGTACCGTACGCCGAGTCGCCAGTATCTGCCACCGGTAGGGCGGATACGTCCCCGCTCTTGCGCTTGTCCTTGTCTTTGTCCTTTCCAAAGAGCTTCCATTTGGAGCGTTTCTCGGTGAGGGGTTGGTCTGAAGGATGCATTATGGCAGGGAGAATAGATATTGGGATTGAATTGATTTGGATCAAGGTGGAAAGTTGCGACTCCAGAGTTTCCTTAGAAACAATGGCAAGAGGAGGATCATGGCTCCAACATTCATATTGCGCCGAACAGCCGTCTGTGCAATATGATGTCGTAAGTGCCGTCTAGGTTGCATGGAATCAAGGCCGCGTCCTGCAATTCAAAGTGTCGATCATCAATGAGGTCACTGTTTGTTGCACCGCCACACGTAGCGCCACTGCCGATCGTTCAGAAGTCGTTGGTGTGGCTAGTGAACGTCCTGATTGATACCCCTCGGGAAGATTAAACTTGCTTGTTAAACGCATCCAATGACGGGCAGCAACAGAGCCAGGGTGTTTGATTGAATCGTGATCGACTGTGAGTTATTTACTTTTGCCAACAGCTCAAATCATATCTAGCGTCATTAGCTCGCATTGCCGCCCTGCTCTTAGTGACTTCGGTCCCTCATTGATCTCAACTCTGAGCGACTCAACTTGTAAACTGTGGGCAGAAATGGCAGTGTTCGGCCCCGCACGGACCACCCAGTGTGGCCACTGTAGATTAGCCAGAGCTTACGGCAAGTAACGATAGTCATAAGAACAACAACAATGAACGGTGGGCTGCGATTGCCCACATAAACTATGAGCGGTATTCCCGTATTATTGGCGTAGTGTACAGGATCAAATTCAAGGCTGCAATATTGAACCACGGGTTTGTTGCTAAATAGCATGTTCCAAGTATAGCTAAAACTTGAAGAAGAGCAACTCAACTGAGTAGGTATCAAGAGAAGAGATTCGGGTGGTAATTTCCATTCATAGTAGTTGTGATGAAATTTTACGCTATTGGGCTAGTAATATTGACTTTCATTTGAGTGCCACTATGGATATTGCTACAGGAGTTGAGTACCTAAAGTCTCTTAACGATATAGTTGCTTGCTAGTGTTTTCAATTCCTTCCTACTAAACCAAAAGTCACAAAAATTACAGTTTGCCGTTCAAGCCATACTTCATATGTAGCTATGTTTCCTTGGAATTATGGCTGACTGAGAACTTCTCTTTCATCTTTACCGCTTTGTAAATATATCACTTCTAGACGCCGAAGGACCGCCATTTCCTCTCAAAAGGGACCTTAGTATAGGTCATTAGCTAGAGATTATCCAGTGAGCTGTATCCTATGGTCAGACAGACAGCGTATTGTAAGGTTTGCAGCTCGACTTCAAAGGGAAAGGCCTGAACCCCTGAATGTCCTCCTAGAAGACTGCCCACTGGCGAATCTGCCCTGTTGGTGAATAAGATGCCAGGGGCAGGAAGCGTCATCGTATTTACAAGAGTTTGAGCTACAAGTTCAACTCAACATGGGCAGGTGCAGGGATATAGGAACAAACTACTCCCTTATTTGGCGTTACGAATGTCTCACTTTAGACGAAAACGATGGCTATATCGCCCGTGAAGCAAGATGGTATCGAGATGGAGCTGGTACAGAATTTGAAGAGGGATATAAATGCATTGTTTTATAAGCTTGGGTTTGCGTACTCGAAGTCGAAGGGGGAAGACAGTGTATTTGTACACTAGACAGAGCGTCCCGAGAATGAAAACTAGTGGATTCAGGAGAAGTACATGAGCCCAGAAATAATCGAGACGCCCAATACTTGGGGCGATTCGAGTTCGAGAACGAAAAGACGAAGATGACACTAAATACCCCCTCGCGGCATTCGAAACTTTGCTTAGAAATGACAGGTCCCCAATTTCAACATTTCCTAGATTATACTTGTGAAGACCCATATATCATGCCTATAGTAGAGCCAGCGAAAAATCCAGCGCAATGTCCGACATTATGTGCTTACCGATTGGCTTAAGTCCTTGGATATATAATGCAAGGATATGCGCGCCGATAAAAACCGAATTTGCCGCCCGTTTATTCCAGTCACACTAAGACTGCAAACAGGGCCGGCCGAGACGCTGCAACTGCTGCCAAGAGAGGATTAGACGAATCAGCAACAACAAGCCCCCGTATCTGACTGTAATATATTATGGATAATGGTAATCCTTGGATACTGTCTTAGGAACAGGGTTTTGGAGTTTTGCTTTTCGATGTTCGGATGATTTATTCAATAAATGGAGTTTTCGAGGATAGTTAAGGACCTGGATTATCTAGGGTACCATCTCTAACAAAGACAAGAGAGCAGAGAAGCATTATAAATGAATGTTCGTTCCCTTCGCCTATTGAGGCTCCAGCTGTATTGATGACCTGTTGAGGTACTTTTGTTAATCTTATCAGAGCAACAAGGCTCTTGATTTATGTTTTTTTGTTACCCTCCCGGACAGCTGATCTTGTTGAGAATCTTCTTGTCCGTTCCCTATCATCTTCACCTCCAACCTGCCGACATTCACTGCCCGTCTGCAAAAAAGAAAGGGGCCATGCTCTAGGGCTTATTGATAATATAAGCCAATGCGACAGACATATTCGAGGCGAGGAGGCCCACAAACGGGAAGCATGTGACCTTCGAAGAATAACTACAGCGAAGATATTTGTAATAAATTGAATAATTTCACACGGCTACTCGCTAGAAACTTTTCAAATACATAACTTGCCAGTCAGTTTAGCATACCGATCTCAGTGTCTCGTATATCACCCCCATTTCGTAGGAGTTGGGGACTGGCTCCGACAACGGACTTAGTAACTCGACCGCTAGGCTTACGGCTGCGTTTTAGAATCTACTATGTAATAACTAATAGCTTCAACATTGATACTGTGTCATCTTCTTCACGAGATCAAATCAATCCCTTTCTCGTGGTTGCACCAAATTTCTGGTTATGGGGTGTGAACAAGTCCCAGAACAATTGCGTGTCCAACATGTCAGCTGCGGATAATTTGGGAGCTAGGATTTTAGAGCAACTCATGTGAGGCCAACTAGCAGATAGGAGTGTTCTTCCAGTCTCGTAAGTACTGCGACTGCGTGCACTAGCCACATAATGTGCCAAGTTGAACAGCTCAGTTACGGAGTCCAGGTTAACCAACCGCCGACTCCCCTGAAATCTTGGTGGAGCACATACTTCAACTGAGCTCATTTGAGTGATATGGCTTCCGCGGTCTAGTTTTCAATGCGTAGCTGGTAGCTTGTGTCCTTAATTCATCTCGTAGCCGCCGATATAGTAACCATGCGTCTAGCGAACCCGCTTGCTCGGTTAGCCCCCGTTGACCCCTGCTCGGCGCTAGAACTCAACGGTTCATCCAGAGTCTCGGTACGTGAGGTTCTGATCAGGTAAACATTTGAAACTTCCGCGATTTTCACCAGAATGAATCGAAGTACCAGACGCACCAAATGAGGACCGGAATCTACGCAAGCACTTTGAGAGTATTCTGAACATAAAAGGCCACGGAATCGCACATCCAGGTCGTAGTTTCTCGTCATTCGTGCAAAAATGCCTGGGTCTCGGAAGGAACCGAGTTTGAGCAAGTGGGGCTCAATCGCAACTCCCTTAATCTAATCCAGACAACGACCATGGCACCACCTGGGAATCGTCACCATGCCTCATTTCCATAAACACATGTCCCCCGGATTGACTCGCTCCTTGCCTTTGTTTGAAACGGAACATCGGTCGACGGCGGGTCGGACATGCAGATAGAATGCGACAGACATCACACTTGAGACTGGATTCGCTCCTTTCGCGCGCCAGGAGGGCAGAGAACATGCGCCAACCATTAAAAAGAGTCGACGACCCCAGCCGCGATCTGGCTCAGTGCTTCTCATCAGGTCCCTCCGTGCTGATCCGTCCCTTCACTCATTCATTCATCATCTTACCCGACGGTTGATTCGTCACAAGTCATTCTTTTCCAGAGCCAGGTCTCTCTCTATCCAAGTCATCATGAAGTTCTCTTCCACCTTGCCCTTCGCCGCCGGCGTCTCGGCCGGCACCGTCCTCTGGGACGGTCGCTTCAACAGCTACGCCTCTTCCGCAGACCTTACCGAGTGGTCATGGTCCAACCAGGTCGGCGAGTATCAATACTACATCCACGGCAGTGGCGAAGTCACCGAATACGTGAACTTGTCAGAGGACTACAAAAACCCGGCCGACACGGCCTCGGACCAGGGCGTCAAGATCAGCCTGACGGATACGGCCTACTGGAACGGCCAGACGATGCGCCGCACGGAGCTGATTCCCCAGACCACGGCCGCCATTGGTGCCGGCAAGGTCTACTACCACTTCAGCATGAAGCGGTCCGACGTCAACCCGCCCGCCGAGACGCGCGAGCACCAGATCGCCTTCTTCGAGAGCCACTTCACCGAGATGAAGGCCGGCTGGATGAGCGGCGCCTCTGGCACGTCCGATGCCTCGCTGCGCTGGTTCGCCAATAGCCAGAGTCAGTGGAACGTCACCTGGGAAGCTGACGTCTGGCACAATGTTGCCTACGAGATCGACTTTGACGCCGGCACCGTCGGCTTCTGGCACTCGACTGGTGCAGATGCCTTGACCCAAGTTGTGGCTCCCGTCACGGCTAGCACGTCCAGCAATGGAGCTGACTGGCATCTGGGTGTTTTGGAGCTGCCCCGCGATGGCTACACGGACGCGGTTGAGGATATCTACTTCTCGGGTGTCTACGTCGAGTCGGGTGACTTAACAACCGAGATTGGTTCCGGCAGTGGTAGCAGCAGTGGGTCATCCTCGATCGCGGCTGCTCCCGCCGCCACCTCTGTGGCAGCCACCAGCGCCCAGGCCTCGACCGTCGCCTCCCCGACCACTCTGCAGACCTCGACTGTTGCCGCTTCCATTGCCACTTCCGCCGCGTCGTCTCCTGCCACCTCGGCATCCACTTCTGCTGTGACCACTGCTGTCGCTGAGACCACCGCCATCGCTCCCGTCGAGACTACTCCCGTCCCAGTAGCCACTTCCTCTGCGACGACATCTTCTGCCGCGGCTGCTACCAAAAGCGCCAAGACCAAGTGCAGTGAGTAAACCCGAGCACTTTTCATGACAACCCATTCGGAACTTTACTGACTCATTGGCAATATAGACAAAAAGAGACACGCCCGCAAGTGAAGTCGACAAGTAGCTACTTGAGCCATTACGATTCCAGCCTGGTGGGCTGAGAAAGCTGATTGGCCAACGGGGCTGAAAGAACTGTCACATTTCCTGTATATATTCGCAGTTTTCAAGACCCTTTCCGACTCGCATATAGTATTTTTCCATTATATATAAACCATTACTTATCGACATGTAGACATTGTTCCGAGTACGTACTTGTTCCTCCCGGCACCGCTTCGAATGCATCCGCGCCAAATTCATCCCACCGGTTCCCTTCCCAGCCTGTCCTGTGCTCCACTACACCGATGACCGTCTTTGGAAACCCTTTCATCTCTAAGCCAAAGTAGCGGGAGCATAGCTCTGGTCAGGGCTAACAACCTGGCCGTTGAGGAGCTGCTTATCGGTGTACGCAGGCCAGACAATCAACTTCTTGCTACTGTCCACAACCGACAAGGTGGTAAACCCGGCGTCGGGGCCGAACTGGCCGCTCCAGCCGCTGGAAACGGTGTAAGGGCCGCACACCTTGCCGCTGGTGCCAGTCTGGCTAGCCTTGGTGCCGGCAACGGTGAAGGTGCAGGGCGTGGCAGCCGCCGTGTGAGTATCGACGGAGAAGGTCCACTCGCAAGACGTGTCGGCCGTGTTGCAGGTGCGCTTCAGGCCTACGATGGTCCATTCCGGGACTGCGGCCATCATGGATTTCTCGGCGGGGATGGGAGCGGGAGCCGCGAGGGTGGTGGCCGAGAGGATGGCGGCGAGGAGGGTGGTGGTGAACTGCATTTTGGTGGTGGTGATGGGTTGGTTTGGGTATTGCGTCTTGTTGGAGATGTGTGAATGTGAATGTGGTCTGGCTGATGTAGGAGACTGTTGAGCTGTGTTGATGATACTGGTGACATTTTTCCGCCTGTTGAGCTTCCGTCGACTTGACTTATATACCTGGACCCTCTACTAACATGCACATAACGTTACTTACTCGCCCACTCATTGCACAGCTAGGCTAGAGCATCCATCAATACGAAGAGCTGGTGGGATCTGGGCAGACCGCTCCTCGTCAAAGTTCGTGTTGAAAGTTTCCATTACCTCGACAATGGACCATCATGATCATCACCTGACCACGTTGCCTCCTTCAGCTGTCCGACACTGCCCGAATCTTAACTGACCTGCCTGAAGGAGCTGGAGATTTTATGGGGCTAAGTAGTCTATCTCGTATAGACTCGCTGTCAATCCCAGGAGTGGGGTGGTATTCCCCGCCTATTCACGTTAGGGCAAGCCAAGGTTAAACGATGGAATGGGATTGAATATGTCATGTCACGTTGTGCTTGGTCTACTCGCAAACATCCTTCTCATCAGTCCACCCAAGTCAAATGTTACATGAAGATCATGTCTTCAGAGCCTTTGCGATCAATCGGGCCTAGCAAGCCGAGCTCGTATTAGCGGTCGTTCTATCCTCATCCAATATATCTTGGCATAATAAAACCCCATATTATACAGACCCAAGGGATCTTAGCATCCAGCTGTCTGATTCGTTGCGTGTAACCTTAATCTATTTTGGATATTTGGAGTCACGAGGTGTGTGTTGGCAGATCGCATACGAGCCGCTCTGCCTCGAGCCCGAATGCTCGGGTACCCAAACCGAAACCGAGGTCTGTCTGTCACTTGGGGCAATTTATATCCGGCGGATAGCCAGCCTGATCAGACGGCGTTTGACACGGTGGTTTCAACGCCAAGACCTCGCATCATGGCTGTCGTCGCAAAGTCGCGAGTCATACGAGAACACGGTCATTATTATGTCTCTATTTCTTTCTTCTCACATCTATTGATTTCCCTTCATTCTTATTTCATCTGCATCCAGCCCGGCCCAGACCTATTCATGTCGCCTACAGTACTTTGTTTTACCCGCCCAGTTACTCACTCACCTCCCGTCCTCTGGCTTCCCGCCAACTCACCTCAATCTGTTCCCGCACCTCCCTTAGTTTCATCTCCACCTGCCGGTGAAATCCCCGATTGAGGCCGAAACCACGGGCACCAGGGATCCTCGTCCCGGAACAGGCATTTGCGCACACGTGTAGGCCCAGGAGATACTCAACCGCGTTGACGAGCGACCTGCTTATATCGTCTTCTTGATAGACGCAGGATGTCAGATAGCGGTCCCGCTCCGTGAAGAAGGGTTGTGCGGCACGGCGTCGTCGGAGAGGCGCGGTTCCGCTCTAGAGCCGTGGGTGGTGAGCCGGCGGCTGCGCTTTCAGTCGTTGCTGGGTTTGAGATGCGTGAGCGGTGTGTCGTGTCGTTGCGTCTGACTCCCGGGTGTGCGGCGCAGACAACGCTTTGGAGGGTCTACTTTAATCAGCTCAAAATGAATTTGGCGGCAGACTTTCTGCGACGAAGAGAAGGAATTTGGCTTCGTAAGTTGGCTTCGTAAGTTGGCTTGGTGTAAGTGGTGTCCGTAGCCGGTCCAGATCGATCTTACCTGCGCACCAGCAGAGTTCTTCAAGCGAGGACCAATCTTCGGGCGCAAGTCGGTCCGGCATGACTTGCAAGAGATTCAAGCAACGAGTGTCAGGATGCACGAGTTTATAGCCAACGGGGCCTGGTCATTGACTCTTGCCCGGTCCATGCTGGGAGGTTCAGCTTGGCCCTGCGCATTCGTGGGTGCGTCCCGATATTGTCGTATCCTGCCTGGCTTTTGACGGGTTGGAGAACAGGCGCATCTAATCTCCCAATCCCAAACTTGTGAAATATGACCACAAGCCCCGGTTGCGTTTAGAACGGACCGTTAGGAGTGTATGGGGCAAGTATATCTGTTTGCCCTTGCCATATTAACATGACTTCGTCACGAATCTGGGTTGCCCTGGAATGCTAGTACCGGGTCATTCTCTGGTCCTGGATCAACCCGTGGTTGAAGGGTACCTCAAGTTTTGGTATGTCCTTGCTTGGCGGCTATCGCACCTCGAAGCTTCACCGTAGACCGTGCGTGCATGCGAGCAATTGAATGCCTGCAGAACTGACTGTTCCACCTGTTCCATCAGTTGAACTTCGTCTCATCGTCTGCCTGTCCATGTTCCCGACGAGACATACACGACGCCGGCTGGAAGCTATACTTCATACAGTCAGGCTGGCGTGCCAGCTCTTCCTAGCAACAGCCGGAGGATCGCTCGCAGACGGGAAATTACCCCTCCCTGCCGTCGCCTCTCATTTTCCTTCTCCTTCTCCTAAAACTGCATACAGGCGACACAAGCAGCTTGGGACTCAACACTCCAAATCTCCTCTAATCCTACCAATGTCAATGTTGGTTCATGTCCGAGCTACCCACCACACTGTAGTTGCGAGTCCGAGCATTCATGCGGAAGCCTCCCAAAGATCATTTCATACTCCGTGAGAAAGATGGGGCATTTGTCCAGCAAAAATGCGCACGGTCTGGCGGGCTACGGGGTATTGCGACACACTGTGATCAAATAGGTAACTTATTCCTCTTACCTATGAAAATAAAGCACAGTCTCGACTCGTCTGCCTGGGGTATTGGGGATGCCATGTAAACTGACTTCATCCCAAGGTGCCAAGTCGAAAGTCTTCCACCAAAGGTGGCTGGCCCATCCGCGAGACAACGAGACAGAAAGCCTTTTCTCCAAGACGGCAAAATCTCTTTGTTTGGCATTGATGTTGCATTGTGCCTTTCCTTGAGGCCCTTTGGTCGCCCCTCCAACGCAAGAACCAGGCGTATCTCCCCTGTTCCAGACCGTTCGGGACATGTAACTTCACATTCTGGCGAATTTGCTCCTGTCGATTGGGTTTGTCAACAACCAGATTTCAGGAGCAGGGCAGCTCGCCTTTCATACCTTTTCAACTCTTGCGACCCCGTTCCCGACTCGTTGGGGTTAGGGTGGCCGGAAGCAAGTTTGAATGTCATACCATGAAACCGCGATCCTTGGCACTGCCCTACGGCCCCAATTTCTTGCGTCTGGTACGAGTCAGTCAAGTCAATGCACTAACACCAAACCTGCCAACCCAAGTCCCTCCCCGTGCCCAGAACCCGCCCATTGAGATGAATTTGTGAGGAACATGACATAACAAACGGATCGTCCCTGTGGCTTCCAGTGACAGGGTTTTCCCGGCGCCTGTTTGATCTCAACGGTCTCGGCATGGATTCATCTGGACTTTGCCGAAGCCTATTCACCGAAATCACCACTGGAATTGAGTCTGATATGAGGTGCCATCCTATATGATGCTCGGCAATCGCCCACTCGGCCGGATTTACCGTGGTCTTTTCGCTTTTTTTCCTCTTCTCTCGCTCGCTTACGATCTGTGATTAGTTTGCTTAATACACCAGTTGTTCCGCCAGCACCAGTGTTGGCTCAGTGCTTTCTCCTTCTCTAGTCGCTCTTTGATACTAGCGTCTTGTTTTTCCTCTATTTTCTTCTAGTTGTATATATCAATCTTTATGTCTTCCCGACTGCTATTTACATAGCACTTTAATCATGTTTCGCAGGTCGAGTATATCTGCGCTGGCCATGGCGGTGATGGCCCTCTCGGTGGTGGGTGTCGAGGCTGGGAACCTCTGCTTCTTCCCGAGCGGCTTTCAGAGTCGCGACGTGCCGTGTGACCCAACTGCGGAAGTGAGCATGTGCTGCGGCAGCCTTAACGCATGTCTATCCAACGGCCTCTGCAAAGATACGAGCACGACCAACAACACGGGCAACTCGTATGCCAGGGGCACTTGTACCGATCCGCAATGGGCATCCCCTGTTTGCCCTCAGATTTGTCAATTAAGTACGCAATCACGCGTATCCTCATGAGTTGTGGCCAAATGGGATCGACTGGGCTGACCATCTGCACCAAACAGATCATGATACAATGACCAACAGCTCAGCATTCGACTTTAGGTTTAACGGAGTCCAAGTTTGGGAATGCAACGCACAAGGCTTCGGCACACCAGCCGACTACTGCTGCGAATCCGACTCCGAAAAGACGCGATGCTGCTCCACCACCGAGGCTCTCTTTTCTATTGTCGCAGCCACACCAGGCAACGCGCTCGCCATCCAAACTATCGACAGGCACGCAAATACAACCAGTACTGCCCAAGGCAGTAAACCCACCGGCTGGGTCACATCGACTGCCAGATCGACTGCCAGATCGACTACCACATCGACTGTCAAATTGACTGCCATATCGTCTGCTATATCGTCTGCTATATCGTCTGCTATATCATCTGCTATATCGATTGCCCCAAGTATGTCCACGGCCGTGCGAGCTGGAATGGCGATAGGGGACACGTCCGCCATGATCATCCCCACCGCCATGATCACCCCCATCGCCACACCCAGCAGTAGCTCTCCCGGCACCGCGAGCCACAGCGCCTATACCAGCAGTTTGAGTAGTAATAGCAGTAGCAGCAACAGCTACAGCTACAGCACCAACATTCTCGCCCCATCCACGGGAACCGACAACACATCAAGCGCGCAAACAGAACCCATCTCGAACGAAGACTCCACACCGGCCAAGACGACAAGCACCCTCTCCACAGGAAAAATGGTTGCCATCGGTCTGGGGGCCTCCATGGGCAGCGCCCTCATGGTCGGGGCGGTAGTAATGGTTTTCCTACGAAAACGCCATCGCAAAAACAATCAGCATCAACCACTCGACAAAGACGGCCACGAGCTGCCGCAAGCGGGCAATGCGCCATTCTACCCGGGGCCCACAAGCGTTGCAACGGTGAATACACGTGACGGAGCGGGAGGGTGGTATAACCCTGGAGTCGTGGGGTTGACGCCAGTACCGACTGGAGGAGGGGTAGTGGCCGGGTTGCACAATGGAAGTTCGACGAGGCTGGGACCGAGCATGCCGATACCAGAATTGGATATGAGCCAGGTTGATCGGATGAGGTACGAGATTGGAAGGGATTCGAGGAATGCGTCGCCCGCCACGTCGGAGTTGGATGGGGGCGGCATGGCGTCGTTGGCGGTATCGCCTTTGTCTGGACCGCCGAGGCCGGGGCAGGCGAAGGTGCAGTCGAGGCTTTATGAGCTTGAATAGAGATTGAGGCGGTTTGGAGTTTACATGTAAAAGCGGTTTTGCATTTATTCGTAATTGATACCATTAGAACTTTCATTCTTGAATTATCCATCTTATTTGAGATCCTGGCTGTTCATCAATCTACGGTGTGTATGTTCGTCCACCCTCGATATATTCCAAATTGGCACCTTTTTGGGAGACGGATCGACATGATGCTTACATCATGCCGAATGCAACCGCGATGGCAATACGCCGAGAAATCTTATTGCTCTTATTAGTCGGGGGCAACTGTTTTGTCGGAATGATCCGAGGATCTGAGTTTGGACCAGCCAATGCTCCTAATAAAAGCCGAAAGTAGGAGCACTGTGTTGGGGTATACAGCGCATATGGAACACGTCGATTTCATATATTCCGATTGGGTCCTTGCGGCTATTTGGTAGAGCAAGCATACTTCGCCGCCCGCATCATGGGATTGATTCTGAAGGCGATGTCATCCTGGCAGCAGTGATTGCGTATTAGGGAAGCAGAGGGAAGGATGGAGACACTGGGAGGCGGCTCTCTTTATGGGGTTTTAGTAAGTTCTTCATTTGGGTGGATGTAGATGGTTGGATCTATTCGGTAGCACATAGCAAGGGTATAGACCACCATAATGGAAAACTTTAGCGGTCGACGCCTTGACGAAGGGAGGTGACGTTAGGAAGTATCGCTGGATACCCCGTGCAATGATCGCGGAACCCCTTCCGGTAAGTTGAATTGAGGATTCGGATATGAAGCATACTATAGCAGCAATAGTGATAACCAATCTGTTCGGATCGAAAGCTGACACCGCTAGGCCTTTCCTAGGTATTCTTTCATGTATCTAGTTTATAGTTTTCAACAACTGAGTTTGAACATGGAAAAGTTACACAGCACCGGACAAGTGACGAGCGTGGCGCACGCGATGACCCTCTGCCACATCACCGGACTTCCCCGACCTCGTCTCCTCTCCCGTCAAGCCGTGCTCTACATGCAATGGGTCGTCAACTGGGATCATCAAATAAACGAAATCAAGACGTAAAGAATCATTTTACCCTCCGTCCCAACCTCGTAGCCCGCGATGCTTAAGAAACTATCCTTTGGGGCCGCCGTCCTCGCTTTGCCTAGCACCGCATACACACCGCTCAACATCACCTCTCTCGCATCCCGAAATGGCTCCTCAGTCATAGAATGCTGGCAACTGTCCTCCATCCCCGTTGAGGCCCATTCAGCCATGAACTACGTGGTCGGCGAGACTACGAAAGCGAGCTGGTCCATCATCGAGCCCCAGACGACGGTTGGGGAGGCGTGGGCGCCAACCGTACAGTCAGTGATCTCGAATGGTTGATGTACAACTCAAAGAGGGATGGGGAGATTGAGAGAAGATATCATGACATTAATAGTTGTGCAGGCTTACTATGATTCTCAACGGTATGATCCGTATCACCGCGCCGTCGCCCGAGTCGTCAAGCAGCGCCTATGCTGCTATGGCGGCACAAAATGGGTCGAATATATCGTCCGCTGAGGTGGCATATATCATGCCCGGGACTTTGAAGTCATCGCTGGTAATTGCCGCGGACATCAAGGAGACGAGTTATTTGACGGGACACTACACGGAGTTCCCCTCAAATGAACCGACCGTATTGGTGCAGATCCCGTTTGAGGGTAATCGCGTGCCGGAGCATACGGTGTTGCATGACGGGCAATGTTGAGCTTTGAGGGAAACAAATTTGCGCAATCGGCTGTGGGAATGGATTTGAACAAGGATCCTCTGCATCTTGGCAGTTTTGGAGAATGATGCTCGGTTTTGGGTAGTGCTACCTACGTGCCGCTTGGACTAATTTGTGCAATAACATCATTTGCATGATATGACACAATTGCATATCGTTCCTTGATGACGGATAACCTTACGCCGACGAAAACAGTCAAGATGCAAAAAGCTAGCTGCGCATTCCCTGTCTCCAATCGAAAACAATTACCAAAACCAGAACCTGAAGCTCGTTCGGCACAGGATCCCCGAGTGGTGGTAACCCTGGTTGTGTCAAATCTGTCAAGTGTTACTGTAGCTTTCCCCTCACCAACAATATTTGTGTTCCAACCGTCCTGCTAGCCCGTTGGTGACTTGCAAGAGAAGCTAGTGGTAATCCCACTATCATACGCAGTCATCAAACTCTCCACCGAACTATAGACCCCCAAGCCCGTCGTGGCAAGCGCGCCCAGCATGTACAAAAAGTTGAAAATATGAAATAAGGGCTTCTTCATAAACCCTCTCACCAATCTCCTTACCCCGGTATCCTTATAGCTACACGTCCCCGTCACCGGATCGAAGCTTTCCTCGTCCTCAATCATAGCATCACTACGCACCCAGAAACCCAGGGCCACGGCAGCGGGGAAGGTATACGTAAATGAGAGGATGAACAGCGCGCCGATGAAGCCCGAGACGGCAGTGAAGGCGGGGACGGCGGCGCAGATGATGAAGGCGATGGCCCAGTAGATGGGCGTCATGACAGCCCACCAGATCTTACCCCTTTTATCCGTTAGGGGTGGGAAGCCGAGGAGCTCCTGGAAGACCTCGATGTAGACGACTTTCAGGCCGATATTGCCGTATAGCGCTGCAGCGATCCAGCCTGTGATGAGGAACATGATGTTGCCAGCGGTTTGGTACCTGAATAGGACCATGCCTTGGTGGACGCTTTACTGGTTGTTAGTATTCAACCACTATCACCTATTTATCTTCTTTCGTCGTATGTCCTGTCTTGCAAATACAGGGAAAGGATGCACTGACGGATTGTAAGTATACTGCCCCTGGAAAGAGTAAATAAAAATGCCGAAGAATATATAAACGCAGTAGATGAAGACCTGGGCGATAAGCAGACCCTTCCAGAAGTCGAGGGGATGCCGCATCTCGGCCATGAACGAGGCGAACAACAAGGCGCCGCCGTACGCATACACAGCTTGGTTGAGACCGTTGATAGTGGCCATGAAACCGATACCGCCGCTCGTGATGGGAGGCGTGCCGGCATAGGTGGTGATAGGCATGTCGTTGACCAGGCCGAAGGAAGCTTCGACGGCTTTGTAGTTGGGAGGATTGTTGGCGTCCACGCCCATACTACAGTTTTGATACGTCAGCAGTTATGGGTGGGATGGCAAGGCGTACTCGTTAGGACATGGGAAAACAAGGCATGAAGCACGTACCAGATGAAGAGGACCGTAACGTTGATCCAAACACTAACATTAGCCAACCACCCAAACCGCTGCAAGGTCCTGATCTGTCCCAGTATGAAACCCCCCAGGGTGAAAATAAGCAAGCAAACAATAAAGCAGACCCCATTTCCGTCAAGATACCCCGACCCAACACTAATCTGCGAAAGCCCCTGCCCATTCGTCAAGATTAGCGCGGAAACAGTCAACAGTTGCTGCAGTGCCTGGCCAATATTTATAAAATGGCGCGCCCCCGGCCCAAACAGGCGGTAGAAATAGTCGCCATAGCTGCGCAGCGGGTAGCGGTCCGAATCGAGCGCCAGGAACGCCTTCCACAGAATCCAGCCTGAGTACCACGCAAAAACGGCAAAGGTGGTGAAGAGTGCCACACCGGGGCCGTAGCCCATCTGCGCAAAGGCCCAGGGGATCGCGGTTGGGCCGAGGATGTCCGTGGTGATCAGGTAGAAGATAGTGCCCCAGCTTGCGGTGCGGAAGGCGCGGCTTGCGTTATATTGCTCCGCGTCGGTGACGCCGTATCTGGCAAGTCCGTTGGCAGCTGGACGTGTTTTCTCATTGTCCCCTGCCTTTTCCCCGGTGGTTGGGGTAGCGCCGGGCTCGTTAGTGGTGGCGATCTTCTTTTCATTCTTCAATGATGAGAAGCGATCTGTGAGTAGGCGCTTGAAGCTGAGAGGGGGTCGATTCTGGAGAAACTTTGCGTTTTCCTCACGCTCCTTCTCGCGCGTCAGGGCGGCGTAGTACAGATATTCCTCGAATTGGACGACGCGTCCGGCCTTGATGCGCTCCAGCTGGGTGGCATCGTGGGCGATGTGGCCTACAACCTCTAAGTCACGAGGATCGCCACCCTGGATGGCGAGGTTGGCTGCTGGAACTACGCTCATTGGGACAGTGTGGATGTCAATGACCCAAAAACGGATAATTGGCAATTTCCCTGGCAGCGGGGGTTTCTTCGAGTCGAGAGAGCAGAAAACGCGACAATGGTTCCTGTAACACACGACTCGCAGGTCCGCCTTTGACTTTTATCATAGACTTTTATCTCGCATGTGTAGATAATGGACGTGGTACATAGCCACGACCGGGTGGTTGCACCCTGCCAATCTCAGGTAAATCTCTTGGCGATCGAAATTGATAAAGCTTGCTTGCCATTGTCTGTACTCGTTTCTTCCATTATTGCAAAATAGTTCGGCTGATATAGATACTCGAGGATTGCGCCTTCCTGTCTGGGAAAGGCCATCGGATAAGAATTTCAACATGTGCTGGTGATTTGTCTTAGCGCCCCTCGCCTGCAATGGCCTTCCCCTCTCCCCCTACTTTCCCATCTCGTCGGATACAGATTATGCCGGATTCTTCAACGACGCTTACATGACAATTTCCTGCGTTTTGGAGAGTGCAATTGCGTCATAACTTGCGATTGGTCACGCAAATGTATTGATTGATACAAAATTTGGCAGGGGTTTTGTTGTATTGATAGCAGAAGTCGTGCGACAGGATGGTGGCATGCGGTACATGATAACGATTGGTTGGACTACCGTCCATCTTCTGCCATAACACGTCGATGAAACACATGATAATGGCATATCATGCCAACGAGAGACGGATTCTTAGTGTAACCTGACGAGGACAAAATATCGTCACTTCGGAACATGGGGCTGGATACAGATGATTGTGCGACATAGTTGGGACTAGAACAAGGTATGAGTTGATTGAACCGTCAGCATATTTGTCCATCTGGGCAAGCTGTTCAGGATAATTTGTAACCATCGGCCATGGGTTGCGCTGTAGTGACGTAGGCACAGGCCTTCGGGTAGGGTAATTTCGGATGAAATATGTAATGAGTCTGTTTCTGGAAGGATTCGTTGAAGTCTGAGGGCGCACTCTTGATAAGAAGAGGTGCAGAGGAGAACAGCAGAAAACAAGAGAGCAAGACAACCAAAGAGAAAGGAGTTCTTCTATTTTCATGTTGTTCGTACTGATTTGTGCTTGTTGAGTCTATTATTCGTGCCTGTCGAGGTACTTCTGTTATTCAAGTTGATTAGTTCAAGCCTGTTGAGGCCTTTCTATTGATCTGATCAGAGCGATGAGTCTCTTGATGTTTCTTCTTGTGTTGCATACCCCAGGCACACAGCCTGTGTGCTGGGTGCAGCGCTTGGGCCAATTGCCCATAGAAAGGCCTGCCGTAACTACAGCTTTTGGGACTTAGTCCCATCATCATCACCAATACAACGCTCTTGCCTGTATTGCCCACATGTTGTTATCTGCCCGGACAACAGATCTTATAGAGGATCCTCTTATCCGTCTCTTCTTAACCACCTTAACCAGCGGGCATTCTGCCCGTCGTCAATAGTAGGGCTTCCAGCGTCTAGAATAATATTAATGACGTGAAGTGATGCAGAGCAGTCAACTGCAGAGAGACCTTTGCACGAGAACTCCTGGCCGCTAAAATGTCTCGGACAAGTCTGAACGTCTTCCTCCAAACAAGTTCTTGGTGGGACAAATTGACAAGCGTTCTCTATACACAGGATACCGATTTCATTATTTCAGCGCTGCGTAGGGCACTTGAACATGTCATCACGATGATAAGCTCGCGTCTAAGGTAATGCACCATGACGACGAGGCCATATCCTTCACTTCTCTATCCATTAGCAGAAGCCGACCCATATTTTCTATCTCAGCCACAACATATAATCTACCAGTCCAATAAGCAATTGACCATGTGCAGATGAAAGCTGATCTTGTTCTTTGGCCAGGCCGGGGAGCATCGTGGTACGGCATCGCGACTACGAGGTTAATACGAATGTGAATATCATGGGCTTTGAACCAGACAACTCCAGAAACACCTTGTGGGAATTAACTTGGCAACTGGCATCTGTCATGATGAGAGTCATGCAGTCTTATTCATGATTTTATGCAGATGCAGCTGCATTGAGAAGTTCTGAGCGCTGCGGGTATGTGATGGGATGATTCATCAGGGCTACGAACACACAAGGAATTCCCCTTGTAGCGACCAGCGCGATACGACCCGGATGACAGTCAAAACGTGTCATGGATGTGTATCGTGGGACAGAGACAACTCAACATCCTAGGACTTTTCGTCACAGGTAAGGGCTTCTGGAAAATGTTTCAGAGCTGACGAACAAGGAAGATCAATTTAAATGCCGCAACTTGCCAGATATACAGGCATGAGCTCTTCGTGTTATGCGGAGGTTAGCCGCCATTTAGGATCAACGTTTCATCTCCAAGGGCTTGGCGATACGAACTTAGCAAGCTATAAAAGGATAGACACAAAGGGAGACATGGTGATTTATGCACTAGTAGCGCAGAAATTTCACATGGCTCTTGCGGAAATGGACTACAACCACGTCTGTGAGCTGTAATAATGTATCAAACATCTAGCTGAGAAACACACATCTGGGGGTAATGCTGTCTCTATTTTACTGCATACCCGAAAAGACCTAACGGTAACGGAAGTCTGACAGGACTCACTGGATTGATACACCCTTGCTAAATTGTGCTATGCCGGACAAAAGGTCTTCGAAGCACAGGCGAGATCTTCGAACTGGGTTCTTTCTTGGCCACACTTCATCAAAGCGCAGATATGCCAACGGGTACTGGGAGATCACGGAGAAACCGGCAGGGCCAACTGCCCGTAGATAACCCTTCCGTGGCAAGGATTTATGGGTTATAACTCTGTACAGGGGCCAATATAGGTCCCCATTTATTAGCAATGGTAAGCAACAACGTCCCAAACAAGCGAGTTCCAAGGCGGCTTTACTTGTGAACTAGATCGCCAAGGCTATAACCATGCGTTGACTATAGAATTCCTAGTTGATAAGACGAACGTCATAACCTTATTGGCACTTGGAGCATTACCAAACCCAGCATAGTAGGTTACCAGATCGGGTGAGACCCGCACGACGGCAAGTGGACCAGGTCCACTCCAGGAACAACTTCTTTATGAGAAACAAAGTCGGTGTATTTTGAGGAACTCCAGGGCCCTCCCATGTACTCTGACAGTTCTTGGCATCTAAGCCGGTGGTCGCTTGCAGACTTTGGAAGGGCTACCCGTTGCATGATGATCTCCAGTTTGACGGGCATGGTTCGATGACCGTCTAGCCTCGTCTGGTGTTTATTGATTTGAGTGTTTATTGGATCCAATTTTGGATTGAATAGTTCTAGTGGTTTCAATAAAGCCGTTGATATGATCACTTAGCATGGACGTTTCGAGGTGCCAAAATAACTTCTGGTTACATTTTGGTTGGGATTTTGTGACTACTCCAAGAACCCCTGTAATTGTGGTGGGAAGCAGATTTATAGACCTTTTAAAAGAAATAAGGTTGACTTGGTAGAATTTACAGTTATATCAACTTTAAGGGTAGATGCATTGAGAACGTATGATGTACCGCTGGGACACTATTGCACACAATAGCATACAAACAGAGATATCCATCGCTTTCCAAGGCTTAGAGGAGTCACTCGGAAATGAGTTTGTTACCCAGGTACTAGTTTAGTACCAAGTCTGCGAAGAGCATTTGGCATACAGCATGGGATTTACAACCAGCAGCTATTACTTGCAGTCGACATTATTTTTAGAGTTCTGGTGCAAAATGAAATAGCATAAAATATTATTACCAGGAATGTGGCATTCCAAGATCAGATTCCCATGTCATGTTGTTTCACTAACTTAGGTTAAGTCGTGAAAACCGGGCCGCTGACTCGTGAACTAGGATCCCACTTGATGTCCTCTTTGGTCCATCTATACGATGACATTCCACTGGGGTCGCCTCCGACCAAAGCATCGAGGAGGAGCGGCACCAAGGGAAACAATGTACCTGAGAGCAGCGATGATGACCTCACAACTTCTATAATGGGCACCTTGATCAGGACTCAATCAAGTATATAAACTATGGCGTCTATTGCCTTCGATATCATGATCTTTATTGAGTCACCATAGGTTCAGTTCTAGACTGACTAATCCTTTCTTTCGAAATATACGTTCTCTTCTTCATTCTTTCTTCTTTTGCAAGTCAGTACATTAAGTCGGTGTTATCCTGCATGGGCAATCGCATTGAAAATGGAGCAACTTGCTAACATGGAAACCAGAGAAAATGGGCCTGCCCAAGGTTATTTCCCTTCTGGCGCTTTTTTCGTCCGCCATTCGAGCAGCAGTTCCCTCCATCGAGGGGTTCACTATTACATGGAGTGATGACTTCACCGGCGCCGCCGGAAGTCTGCCAGACAGCGCCAACTGGCTCGTCGACACTGGCACCAGTTACCCTGGTGGTGCTTCGAACTGGGGGACTGGTGAGATCCAAACCTTCACCAGCAACCCGGAGAACATCCAGCAGGACGGCAATGGTGTCCTTAAAATCACGGCCATCAAGGACGAGGCCGGGGGTTGGACCTCGGCCCGTATCGAGACGCAGCGCACCGACTTCCTGGCCCAGCCTGGAAGCAAGATGCGCATCCAGGCCAGCCTGAACCTACCTCAGGTTGAACAGCCCATCGGTTATTGGCCGGCGTTCTGGACTTTGGGGGCTCCCTTCAGGGGCAACTATCTGTAAGGCGTCCAAATTCTACAAAAAAACAACTTTCATTTCCACTAAGACTCTGTCACCAGAAACTGGCCAAGTATTGGCGAGTTCGACATCATGGAAAACGTCAACGGCATCGACGAGGTCTTCGGCACCCTGCACTGCGGCTCCAACCCCGGTGGCCCCTGCAACGAGACGACAGGAATCAGCGGCAAGCAAAAAGGCTGTCCCGGGTCAATCTGCCAGGGCAATTTCCACACCTATACATTTGAGGTCGACCGTACTCAGACCTCTGCCGAATTCCTGCGCTGGTACGTCGACGACGTCCAGTTCTTCGAGCTTGCCGCCTCCGACGTCGAGGCGGAGGCCTGGAACCAGACTGTTCACGAGCCGCATTTCCTGCTCATGAATTTGGCTATCGGTGGATCTTTCCCCAACAAGGAATTTGGGGCTGATGCTACACCATTGGAGGATACTACCTCGGGTGGGGTTTATCAGGCAGAATACGTTGCGGTGTACTATTCTGGGTCTAACAGCACCACTAGTCCTGTTGCGTTGCGAGAGGGAAAGCTCGAGAGACGGTTTAAGGGGCTGCACTCGAATAAGATACGCGTTAGGGATGGCGGCCACGATCGGGGTGATTTGACATTTAGTCGTGGTAGTGGCTTTGGTCGTGGCTGACGCGTGTAAGTGATTCTTTTCTTTTTGCTATGCAACGGTCAGTCATACACAACGTCTAGGGATATGTAGTTTTGTAGGTTAATCTACAATTTGCGTGGAAATTATGGGGTTTATTGTGCATACAAGGCCAAACGCTTCTGCGTAATGTTAGTGATGCCTTTCTCTACCTTTGATTTACTGAGGTTAGCCAATCTAGCTCGAGAGCCTCCCTCACTCCGACCTTAGCAATTCCGGATTCCAGAGCATCACGGGATGGATGCTGTGGTATCTCTAATGCATGTCCAAGCTGTGTACCTGAAACCTCCCACCAGCAATCATACTCCAGCCAATCTCCTCGGAGCATAATGTTCCTAACAAGGGGTTGAAGCCTTTCCAAGGATTTCCTGTGAGTCCACGCCAGGCCCCCGAATGAGAGCACATTCATCAAAATAGTCCAGCGACATTCAGGGCCCCATAAGTCTGACCACCAGCGTAGTCGTACTGCAAGGACCCGCCATACGTCAGATTTGAATAGCCCATTTGCGAGTTGTTGTTCAACCTAGTGACCAAGTACCCGCTATTGTCTCTCCCTGACCCCGTGTCGCCGGTTATTAGGCCTCCATTCGACTGCTGCCGACTACGTTGCTGGTGCCGCTGCGGCTGTTGGCTCTGAGTGCTGAGGGTCGTACGTCTTGAGAAGTCGGGCCCATCTTCGCCAAAATAGAGGTACTGCGATGGTGTGTACGCCTGTTCGGCTGAGGACCGATGTTGGGATGATTGATTCGCGACATTTGATGACTTCCTTCGTCCGGTGGACGGTGCTGTGGTTGAATTCTTTTCCCAGGTATTATCAATGCTGCGGTGCTGCGAAAGGCGTTCTGACCTTTGTGCCACGCTTTGTCGCGGAGATATGGTCGGGCTGGCTTGCTCTGTGACCTTTTCAAATTGCTTCGTTGATCTGCTAGAGCAGCAGGAAAACGACTCCAATAATTGATGAATCATGAAGGGGCCGGCTGAAAATTTCGAAACTTTTATGAGCAAAATGCTGATGCGAAGGCTTTCTGAAATGCCGAGCTCTAATCCGTGTGGTAAGAAACTTGTGGTTTTGGGATTACAAGGGATCTGATGGAAGACAGACTGAATTTAGGTGAGTGATGGCGAGAATGTAGGCATTGCAACCCGCCTGCATCGGCAGCGAGAACTTAGTACTTATGCGCGTGTGGATTGAAACCCTGTGATGATGCTGTGTGCCTTCAGTGCGCCTTCCACAGTTGGACTACCAATATGTGGCGATGCTGATGTTTCATGCAGTTGAGCATGAATGTTCGGGAGGGCACGATAGAATCAACACAGCCACGATGCGGACCATCCCTTGAAATCACAACGCTAGATTCCATTTCAAATAATTCAGTACTGGATCAATATATAATACCAAAGGAGCCCATGCTTGGCGAAAACACTGTGCACTGCTGTTGCGTGTGAAATGCCCCCATCAGAATTTGATGTGATGATCGTTATGCGCATACTGATCGGTTTCGATTACGCATTCATGGCCGTCCTGACGGGAGTCTCGAATTGACTGCTGCGATATTTGGTCTTTTCCACACGTCCGAACATCAGTTTGATAGACAGACTCAGCAAGACGTAGTGGGGATAACTGGAGGACTTGCATCCTCGTTCGTATTCGCCGTATGGAGGCTCAATCCAAGAACCCAAACCTCCAGATATCCGGAGCTCGGTGCAATGATGAATCTCTTCATGCTCCTGGAGAAAACTTGTGATTATGGAAGAATATGTGAAACCGGACGAGGACAAATGCGTATCCCGTATAAGAGGAACCAAGTGGTCCACGTGCTCAAGTGAAAAGAACGGCGCAAGATGTCATAAAACTTCGTGTGGAATGATCCATAGTATAATCCCAAAGCGAGATATCGCATGATGGCGCCCCGAGAGGGCCAAGCTGGTTTTGACCCAGACCGCCCCATCACGCTTATTATACTAGGAATGAAGCATCCGCATAAATCTGTTCCGCTCGATAAAGGGTTTGACGCTATTGAAATTTGCGCAATAGTCCTCCATGACTGGTATCAGCCCCACCACGGGCGGCAGAGTGAGACCGTCTCCCGCTGATAAATTTGCAACAGAGGAAGGTTTTGGAGCATACGAAGAAAGTGTCTGCAGCTTGGACTCAATTTCACAAAGACGACTCTGCACATTGAATGAGGACTGTGTATCTGGGCATGCTTAATCGCCCGTCGTCGTAGTAAAATGTATGGGGTGTATGCACATTGGAACTTGCAAACGACACAATGTGAGCATGAAGGTTTATTTGCGTCGTACTGATCTTCTTGATATGGCATGAGTCGCAAGCCTGTCGATATACATTACCTACGCATGCCTGGCATTGAAGTAAGCTGTTTGGCCAGAAATTGTGTACCTTCGCTTCTCGAGACCCTGTGGTCTATTCTTGGATATCGTCTCGTGTCAATCAAGTGACCACAGGCTGTATTCGCACACAAGTAGTAAGCTCTAATCTAGTTTGGGGTCTAGGAGATTAGTAAGTACCCGGCCTGCTCGGGGATAAGCAGGTCTGCGGACCTTTCACAAGAGCCGGATATAAGTATGCCAATAGAGGAAACCGCCTACATCTTGGCCAAGCGCTTGCCCACTTAAGGCGAATGTAACTCCACTTGACACCGATCTCGCTTCTACCGTGACGTATAATGCTCAGTAACCATGACACTCGATACAACAGCCATGGATCACGTAGAGTCGGCGTTATCTCAATATACAAGGAGATACGAATGTTAAGACCGGACCTGCGGATACATCCTAATACCGACCGCATTAGAATTCTTACCATTGGCACAGCACTCAAAGCAAGGATCGGCTAATTCGTACAGAGGTTCACCTTAAAGCAAGATCCATCTGACTTGGTAGGCTCCTCGGTGTTCGGCCTCAGTACAAGAGCCATTGATCCCGTAGAGGCGGCATCATCTCAATATACGAGGAGATATGAATATCAATACCAGACCTGCGGATAAATTCTTACACCGACCGCGTTGGAGTTCTTACCAATGTTACAGTACTTATATCTGAGTTAGTGGGCTGCTCGGTGTTCGGCTTCGGGCCAATAGCGGCGTCATCTCAATATATCAAGGGGATATGAACGTCAAAACCGTACCTGCGGATAGATATAAAAGCCCTGGGGATTTCAATGCCAAGTTGTCGTTTGCAAATTGATCAACAACTTTCCTTCCAGCACCAAAATTCAATAACCAGAAGATCGGCACTCGAAACTCAAACACACATACTGTTCCCCCAGATTTGAATCAACATGGCACATATCAAGAAAGTTGCGATCGTAGGCGTAAGTCCTCCCCTAAGTATCCACCACCAACTCCCTCTTGACTAACAGCTACTAGGCAACCGGCACAGTCGGATCCCATATCATCCAGGAACTTCTCAACGGCGGTAAACACGAAGTAACTGCCATCACCCGCGAAGACAGCAAGGCCGAGATCCCCTCTGGCGTCAAAGCCGCCAAAGTCAACTACGACGACCATACCTCTCTCGTGTCGGCCCTGGAGGGCCAGGAAGTCCTCATCATCACCATGAATGTCCGCGCACCGCAAGACCAGTCTCTGAAACTTGCCAATGCCGCCGCGGACGCCAACGTTCCCTTCGTCATTCCCAACGACTGGGGCTGCGACATCCAAAACCAGGCGCTGATTGAGAGAATCCCGCTAAAACGCAGTCTCTTCGCCTTGCACCGACACATCGAGGAACTGGGAAAAAGCGCCTGGATTTCGATTGTGGAGAACTTCTGGTACGAGTTCAGTCTCGGTGGGGGCAAGCACCGCTACGGGTTTGATTTCAACGAGCGGTCGGTGACGTTCTTTGATGATGGGAAGATGCCTATCAACACGACCACTTGGCCACAGACGGGGAGGGCGGTGGCGGCGTTGTTGAGTCTCCCCGCGTATCCTAATGGAGATGGTGATAAGCGCGTGACTTTGTCGAGCTACAAGAACAAGGCCGTGTACATCTCGTCTTTCTGCATCAGCCAGAAGGATATGTTCGAGTCGGTGCTACGCGTCACGGCCACTAAGGAGGAGGACTGGAAGATCTCGTACGAGGATTCTGCTAAGCGGTACGAGGAGGCTCAAGAGGAGTTAAAGGCTGGTAGCATTCCAGGATTCATCCGGTCCATGTACACCCCCATATTCTACCCTGATGGATCTGGTTGCTACGAGAAGGACAGGGTATTGGACAACGATGTATTGGGGTTGCCTAAGGAGGACCTGGACGAGTTTACCAAGATTGCTATCAGCAGGAAGGACGTGGTGTATTAGTCGTCGCATCCATTTTAGCAGACATGGACTGCAGCTGTACAGCAAGTCATTAAATAACATGTTTCCTCTGTCCATTTTCTGTTCCAAAGACGATGGAAAATTGATGATATCCCTATACAGTAATCGGGCTGCCCATTTACCAGATGTTTGCTCTATTCACCTTCTAAGCTAAACGGTAACACAACACCAAGTCTCGTTCCGGATATTTGGTCTGCCATCCATCTGGCTGTGGCACCAATTACATCACACACAAGCGAGGCAGCAAACACATTTATTCTAGTAATCCCCCCAGTCCATGTCCGCAGTTCTGGGTATACCGTAGCCTTTGACGTAGGACTAGCCAGTCATCCCCGACATCCAAATTTAACATGATGCCAATCGCAGCTCTAATCCTACTGTGGCCTTTCGCCACCTCCCTAGCCTTTGCCAGTGTCCTTCCTGGCATCAAGGGCACCTTCAACAATCATCACGTCCATCACCCCAACGGAAGCACCATCTCCGTTTACATACGTGACTCCTATCACGTCCCCAAACTCACCAGAAGGAAACGCTTCTATCAAATGTATCACGTCGAGTCCGAATCCTCCAACCTCTGCGGGCCTAGCTCATTCGTCGACGAAACGGCCACCGACTCCGCGCTCGTGAGCGACTGCAGAGCCATCAACGCCGCCTTCGAGAAGGTCCACGGGTATTTCGAGACGGGGGATTACTCCGGAGGGGAGAATAACTTCAACACCCTCGCAGTTGCAGGGAATTGTGTCTTTGGGGTTGCGCGGCGGGATGGACAGGCAGGAAGGGTGGACGTAGGGGATACGGATTTGATTAATTTGGTCAATAATGCAATTGGGGATTTTCAGCGCGATGGGAAGGTTGGGGCGAGGGGCGATATGGAGTGTGGGGTTGTGCCGATGCGGTGGAGGATTTACCCTAGGCCATGAGATATGTAGTGGACAGGAAGTAATTTGACAATTTATGAGCCCAGGAAGCGTAGTGATCTAGGTTCGACTACAGTCCCATGGCTTTCGAAGATGGATAGCGTGTTTGTGTTTTGCTTGAACTGCAGTTGATGACAACGTTCCAGTTGATATTCGCTAACCTTACCGTTCCTTTACAGCAGTATTTGTTCTGAGTATCATTAAGTCTCTACCTTGACTTCCTCTTCCTTCTTGATCTCTTCCCATTCCCTCAGTTCCCTCAAAAACTCCGCTCTCCTCCTCTTATACCCCTCATACGCCCTACATCTCTCCCAAACCTCCCTAAACAGCTTACTCACCTCTTCCTTCTCCTGCTTCCCTTCATGTTCCTCACTCTTCGGTAACTCCTCCCTAATCTCCTTCTTATACTTTCGCCCGCCCGCATGATTTCCATACCGCTTCGCCCGCGTCATGCCCATCTGGATAAACTTCCGCGCCATGTCCATGCCTACGAAATCACCCTGTTCATCGAATTCCAGGAAACGTTGCTAAAGGTCCACGGCGCTCTTTTGTGCTATGGGAACAGTGCGGAACCGTCAGAGGGGCAGGCGGGAGGATTTATAGGGTTCGAAGGTGAGGACGCCTTGTTGGCCGCGTCCGATGCGGTAGATCATCCGGTGAGCATGGGATATTGTTTGGATGACTGGCGTGGAGGGTTTGGGGGATTTGGACATTTTAATATGACGAACAGCTTTCTATTCTCACTCATTATTGAAAAGTATTCTATATCAAGAGAGAATAAATTTTGGGGACTGTTTGGCTGTCTTAGTCCATGATGTCATCGTCTTGAACTCTGTGTCAGTTGGTAGATAGCACAAACATTAGTCTCTTGAAGGAACAGCTTAATTCTTGATACATTTTCTGCCACTACTGAAATAACTTTTGGAGAGCGTCCACGTATATGATTTAGGATATATATTGATACTGATCTACTTTCTGTTGGATGCATGGTGGTTTATGCTGGAGTTATGACATAGTCAAGTCTTCGGTGATTAGGATACTACCTGCGGTTGACTCGCTTGATACTCATTTTGTTTTTCCATGTTTACATATATACTAATCTATTACAGCCTTATCTCGGAGAGAGTGGCTCGTTTCACTCAATGTCATTTGCGCATGTCGACCCTATAGTAGCTAGAATAGTAATGAGATGAAGGCTTCGTGGTCACGCTTCTTTACCACTATCCACAAATCCATTGGATGTGCTTTGAAACAATCTGTGAGGTCCCGCAGGACCCAACTAGATCAGCCAGTTGCACTTATCAGCAACCATGGCACCGTCAAAGATGTGGACCCCGTTTACTGAGACTATGCCCTCCATTCAATAAGCACTCAACACAAGAAGCGATCATGGACTCATTTCCCTTTACCACCCACTCAGGCCGATACATCACCGTGAGACGCCCCTTGAATCCACCACGTAAATATCATACAAAAACCGAAGTCAAGCAAAAGTTGATTCCAGAAGAGACATCCTGCCCCATCTGCAGACTCGACGTATCCACCCCTTTGGAACTTGTCTACCTGCCCTGAAAGCATGCATTCCATCCTGATTACATTGGAGCATGGAGAAACATGTTCAACGATAAGTTCAAAGCCACCTGTCCCTACTGACGCACAGCCCTCTAATACTCAGAGTGCAGCCACAAGCTTTCGGGGCGTCTTCTTGCGGCAGGCTCCCGCATACCTACCAACAAGCTGTATGGGAGGTGCCGCAGCCAATGCACCAACAGAAGATCCGAAACTCACGGCGAAGCCGCGTACCCTTGCGTCCCACCCTTCGACTGGCAAGCGCCACTTCCGCTCCACATGAGGTCTTCTCTGCACCATCTCCATGATGGCATTAAGATTATTATAGCCATCCGAAGTATTGGGTGGGCGGAAAGACCTTTTGGCCTCGACTTTTCATATGTTGAGTTGATTTAATGGGAATAATATGCGCTGTAGGCAGGCAAGGGGTACTTGGGACGAGTTGATGTAATAGAGTCAATAAAGAGATGTTACATCTAAAGCTCGACACGACAGCCTTGGCTTTATTAGATTAGGGCTACAGTCCTCGTACCATTGGGCATTTCAACATTACGAAACAGCAAAATACACACTAGTTTAAACTTCTTCCATGCTTCTTGTTTATCGATACAATTACCGATGGAATATCGGTTAAGATCAACCCGTTAACTACATCGCCTGATCACCACTAAAAATAATTCATCGAAGATTTGTACTCCATGGCAATTCGAGAAGTATCAAAAATCATCCAGACACCAATTTTGAGGTACTAACGTCGATACCGCTCGTTCCGGACGACATGAGAACCATTAGGAATAACTTTATAGATGCTGATGTCGAGACGCCGGGTCCATGGCACCGATGGGGAGACGGTGTGGAGCCGAGGCGGGGCTTGTGGATCATAGAGTATTGCGGGAGATCGTGGGATATCGTGGTGCCCGAGGGATCGGGCATTGTAGTTCCGAATAAGGTGGGGGGAGATTGGTCTTGGAGGAAGAAGAGAAGGTTAGAGATCAAAATAAACCATCGGCGCATACCTACCTATGACCACTAATGACTACACGATATTCAACGGTGGGAACGCCTGTTTCTCCCCTTCACTCTGTACTATTACCTTGCGGCTTGCCGTGCCTGACAGCCGGGTTGTGAAAGTAAGAAGACACAGAAAGCACAGGAAGGCTCTGGCTTAGCCGGGTTCCAACAACAGCAATGTGAGAAAATGCACGTCTTTTTGCTAGGAAATCAATCTAAGACTAATGTTGAGTTGGCTACTATTTCTCCTGCTGCATTATAATTATGTGATATTTCAACACCATAAGAGTCAATGATAGGCGATGGAAAAATACGTAGTCAAATGGCCAAAACACTTTAAGAATAAATAAGTCTTGAGCCATTCAGGTTGCATGATCAACAGGGGATGGTGGGGAGTAGCATCTTACAGACAGAGGGGGATTGTCCAGTGTACCCAGTTAGAAGGTAATCACAGTTCCAAAAATTGGCGTTGGCAAAACTACACACCACAGAGACGAAAGAGGAACAATGTTGTTGCGGCTTCGCGAGATTCTTGACAGTTGCAACTAACAACATCCAGGGCCAGTAATGTCCGACTCTGTTTGCGAAGTGATCTCAAATAGTGGCTGTGAGAGCCACGTCGACAGACACCATACTCATATACCTTATCTAACTTCCCATGAATGAAATGCCTTGGGAAGCAGACAGCGCTATCGTCGTAGTTGTGTCAGCTATTGTATTCCCAAATGAAAGTGCAAGTGTCCGCACCCGTCAGTTAATTGCAACATAAAACAGTCAGGATCCATGAACATTCAATGTTGGGGTATCATATATTTCATTGTATTCTCAAGGAGTGACTAGCATGCCTCCGTCTCCGGTGCTTCTCCTCCATCCCATAAGCCCTCCTGTAAACTCCTTCTCCCTTGTGATGGCAAAATGCACATCGAACGATACATGTCGAATAAATTTGTTGTGTTCAAGTTGGTCGAAGAAGAGTAGGTGGGAAGCAAGCGCAACGGCTTATTTACCGCACGAGGAGCAAGAACAGCTACTGCCACAGTTGCCTGTAAGGAAAGTCGTTGTTAGCAAATGATTATGGCATGTTTGTCGAGTCTGCTCAGTGCCAAGAGCAGGAAATCTCTAGGGGCGGGGGAGGGGGGATTGATCTTGTAGTGGGGTAAGGCCTTTGCGACATGATGAACTTACAGCTCGAGGCGCCAGAGCATCCGCAGTCGCCCTTCATCTTGAATGAGTTTGTTTGGTTGGGTGGGAAGGTGATTGAAAGTTGGTTTGTTGTTGGTTTGTTGTTGGTTTGTTGGTGGTCTTAATCGTGTGATGAGATCGTGTGATGCAAGGAAAGAGTTGCGAAAACGAAGGGCTTGAGGGGACCTTTATATATCCTACATGCCCCTCCTTGGATCAAAGGGGCATACGTCACATCCAATGGGATGATGTGCATGTGGTACATGTGGTGGGGTTAATTCTGGTCAGGTTCTGCGTGGTTTGTGCGGATTTGCGCGTCTTGTGCGTAAATCGGTTTGGCAATCGCCCTGTCCAACTGCCCACCGACACCCGATAGGAAGGCATAACATCCCACCTTCCTTCCTGTTGGCCTATCTCTAACCAGGGAAGTGACTGTTGGTAGAGTTTCAAGGCCCAGTTTTAGCACTCTGTCGGGCTTGCGCCTTCTTGTCAGCCCCTTGGGTCCGACGCCACTTCCACAATGTTACCACAACTGCTTCCGATCACAAAGCCTTATCGCAGACTGCAGCCACTACCCAGGTGGTGATGGCCATCGTGGCCCACCTGCATTGCTCATTGTCATCCGATTGCAATTACATATGCTTTGATGCTAATTCTGCAATCTTCTTCCTGTGTCGTCACATGCGTGGTTTGTGCCTTCTGCGCCTCTGGACGTCGTCTTGTGCCTGCCCGCCTCTGCCGCTTCTGTGAGTAAGAGCCATTCAATCCGCCCATCGCATGTTCTTATTCCCACAATCGTTGTGACGCAAATGGAAGGGCGGGCCGCGGCTTCTTGGCCAGACCAAAAGTTTTTGCCGACGCCAGAAATTTATCATAGTTTAACGTACAACCCCACCTTTCTGGCCACACACCTTTCTGGCCACATATTGCAATCCAATTGAAGGTATTCGAAACAGTGTATTCAACGTACTATTATAGCTATTCAGGTACAACCAGCTCTAACAGAAAGCTGTGCTCTAGGGCTTCCTGAGGTATAGATCTGATAGATTCTGACGCCTTAGCTGGGTCCAATATTACCTGATTCCGACGTTGTACCTGGTCTCGTTGCCGTTCTACTTCAAGGGCTCGATCCATCGCTTCCTTAATCTGTACAATGTTACCAAATCGTTCATTAGGCCCTAATCGTACCTTCTTACGTGGTTTGAGGCGTAACGAAGTTATCTCGGCTTCTAATGCGTGTACACGTTGGGTCAAAGTAGCGACCTCGACGCTCTGTACATCTAGCCGACGAGTCAGCTTCCGAAACAATAGCCGTTGCGACGATCGCAATGGCGTAATCGCTGCCAGATTCTCCCTAGCTACTAAGCTAGTCACTGGCGTCGCTATTATTGTCGGATCAAGCCAATTACCAGCTGTTGGTGGTGTAGTTGATCGTTCTGATAGGGGGGCTATCGTCGGCTGAGGTCGCGATAGATCTAATGGGTATATTCCAGTTGCAGAGAAGCCTGATTGTACATTACTGATCGTGAACGACTTCGTATATGCCTCGATGTATAGCGAGAGGAACGTCGACTTTTTAAATGGAATAGAACAGTACTCGATCGAGAGAGGTCGCTAACGAGCGATAGTACCGCTTTAATGGAGCAAATACGGCGACGTCGAGAGGTTGGAGCCCGTGAGAACAGTGTGCTGGCAAAAATAGTAACGAGATCTTGTTACAATAGGCTAACCACATCAACTCGACGTTGTCGTGAGCGATATGACCATCTAATATCAAGAGCCGCTGCTCGTCGGGATCAACTGGTTGTGTACGAGGTATAAAGATATCACGAAGCCATCGAACGGCGATATCTGTACTGATCCAACCGTTAGATGAATAAATATATTGCCAATCAGGTATATCGTCGCAATCGTTAAACCATTTTCCTAGATAGCTTCATCGACGCGATTG